AGGGACCAAAGCGCACCTTGTGAGCGAACCGGTCAGGTAGCGGTAGGGAAGAGAAGTCTTGCTCGGCCTCGGCCATGGTGGCGGGCTAGATTGGTTATGGCTGAATTGAGTTGATAAATCACTTAAGGACCACGGGTATTAGTAAAATGGACCAAAAAGAGTATGCGCACACTGCTTAGGTAGAGATCAAAGCAAGAAGAAGAAGAAACCAAGTAGGAAGAACAAGGCGATAGAGGTCCGGGACCACGCAGTAGGGGCTTTGGGGGTGAGATCTGTTACCGTCTGGTTTGGTGCCCAAGCAACGGACGGGGGAGAGATTCGAGACGCTCTCAGGCGGTGGTCGGAAAAGGGAATAACGAGGTATCATGCGAAATTCAAAAGTGAGCGGTACTTTGAAAGACCTCAAAATATGCAATCCTAATCGGGGAGGTTGAACTGGGGGGGATAAGAGTGTGTAGTGTTTGGGGATGTTGGTCGTTGCGGGAAAAGAAAGGAAAGTAAACAAGCGGTCTTGGCGGTGTCGAGGGTTGTTTTGTTTGTGACCCCGCGGTGGATCTGCTTGCGATTCCCCCCGTCTCTCCCTGGATTTAGATCTGGAACTGGAACCGGGATCTGTTTCATTCCATTCCCCGATTGCACTCGATATCTGCCTACTTCTATTCCCCCCGCGAAAACCTCTCCGTCTTTTTGCGATTGACGGCCTCCGGCGCAGGCGGAGGTGCATTGAGGGGACACACACAAAGCCGCCGGCACCATGAGCCAGCTACTCACGGCGCGACAGGCGGAGGAGCTGTAAGTCTCCAGACAAAGGTCCTGCCCACTGTTGCAATTTAATAATCGCCTTTCTCTTTACAGACACAAGTCAATCATAGCCTATCTGGCCTCCGCAAACCTCACCCAGAGCTCCGCAGCGCTTCGAGAGGAGCTCGGCGACTCTATCACAGTCGACGACACCACCCTCAAGAAATATGAGGGGCTACTGGAGAAGAAATGGACCAGTATCGTTCGACTCCAAAAAAAGGTTCGCTACATTCCTAACACGCCGCACAAAATGCGTTCATGGGGCTGATTGGCCGTGGGGCTAGTAGATTATGGACTTGGAATCGCGATGCGCCTCCCTACAGACTGAAATAGACACCGCCACTCCCACATCTCTCTCACGACGAAACCAGGACCCGGCGTCCTGGTTGCCCAAAATTCCGGCTCGTCATGACCTCGAGTCGCACCGACAACCTGTCACCTGCGTTGCCTTTCACCCCGTCTTCTCCTCCCTTGCCTCTGGGTCGGAGGATACCACAATCAAGATCTGGGATTGGGAACTGGGAGAACTGGAGCGTACAATCAAAGGCCACACGAGGGCAGTTCTTGATGTAGATTATGGTGGTCCGCGAGGAGGTACTCTCCTTGCATCATGTTCCTCCGATCTCAATATCAAGTTGTGGGACCCCGCTGATGATTATAAAAACATCCGCACCTTGCCCGGTCATGACCACAGCGTTTCCGCCGTCCGATTTATCCCATCAGGGGCGGCCGGCTCACCAATGTCTGGTAACTTGTTGGTGTCGGCTTCTCGTGATATGACATTGAAGATTTGGGACGTCACGACTGGATACTGTGTTAAAACACTGACAGGGCATGCCGCCTGGGTGCGTGATGTTGTCCCATCGCCGGATGGCCGGTTCCTCTTTTCTGCCGGAGATGATCGAGTTGGCCGTCTTTGGGATGTTTCTTCGGGAGAAACTAAAGCAACATTCTTGGGCCATGAGCACTACATTGAATGTGTTGCCCTCGCTCCGTCTACGACTTACCCACACCTCGCGCCTCTTGCAGGCTACAAGAAGCCACCGCCCGCATCATCATCTGCTGAGTTTGTCGCAACAGGTGGTCGTGACAAAATCATTCGTCTCTGGGATGCCAGGGGTAACTTACTCAAGACCCTGGTTGGTCATGACAATTGGGTGCGGAGTCTAACCTTCCACCCCGGCGGCAAATATCTGATCTCGGTGTCAGACGATAAGACAATACGGTGCTGGGATCTTACCCAAGAATGCAAGTGCGTTCGTACAGTCGAAGCTCATGATCGCTTCATTACCTCAATGCGTTGGGCTCCACCCTTGATCAAAGACACCGGGGCCAGCGGGGATGATGGGGCAAATGGCACAGATACAGCGAATGGGACCAAGGAAGATCCAAATGCTGCATCCAAGATGTCCATTCGATGCGTGCTCGCCACTGGCAGTGTTGATCTCAAGGTCAAGGTATTCGCCTCGTGAGACAGCAAAAAGAAAAGAAAAAGCCAAAGATTTGGTCAGCTCAGATAAGCCAAGCTAAGCTGCCATATCATTTCATCTACGAAGTAACGGTACTCAGGACCTCTCCCCGGTTCATTGGAGAGGTCAAGGCTAGAAGGATTTTCGTTCGTCATTTCTGGGCAAGGAGTTGGTTTCTCTTCCGTGATACCAGTAACCTACTTTCCATTTGCAAGTGATTTAAGGGATCGAGTCCCCGGCTTGGTCGAGGAGAAGAGCTCCCTGGATTCTTTTCATGATGTACACACAAGTTTGATTTTGGGATCTGGCCCCTTTTGTGGCTCTCTCGTACATACAATAACGGACTTTACGATGGTTAGCGTCTGCTTTTGCCAGTGTAAACAGGCGAACCTGTGAATTGCAGCGCCTCTTGGAACACGACGTCACATAAATCTCTCATGCGCAATTTCTAAAGGTTTAAATTAAACAGACCTTACTTTTTCTGGACAAATTCGGGCTCTGCAGTTCAAGAAGATGATGACCAGGTAAACTGGATGAATACTTGAATTAAAGGAGTGGTGACTAAGTCTTCTAATAAAGTAATCAAGTACACAAGTTGTAGATTGTTTGTTAAGAATACTAGTAGCTAAAGCAGGCAAGATATTACCAGGACTAGGGGGAACAATAATAGGTTAAAAACCATCAGGATGGAGGGAAATAGCGACGGGTTGAGTATCATCAGCATAAGGGGAAACGGTAACAAGTTGGGATGAAAGGCATAGAATATTTAGTTTGTAGGCTGTTCCAGCCTTGACAAGCTTGTTTGGACGCCCTTAGAATAACTGCAGATAGAAGTCGACGGTTGTTCATGATTTTTATATCTTTGGTCTCTCGTCAAAGATTGATCATGTTAGGTTGTCTTGGCGGATCGTGTCGTTCGAAATTTATAGATACAAACAACACCTGGGCACTCGAAGAAAATAACGTGTAGAATGGAAACTTGGAGGACTAGTTGTAACAGAAAATTGTATGATGGTAGTATATATAGTACAAAGACCCGACAGCAACATAAGCATGGATATCAGAATCAACAATGCTCCGGTATCAAGAAGTGAGTTCAAGAAATGACGCTGATATTCTCGAGGCACATAATTCTCACGCGTCGCTCGAAAAAAAAAGCTTATTCCTGGCGAGCCTCCTCCAGCTGCTTTGCTTGCTGACGCGCAGCTTCATGGGATTCCCAAGTTGCCTTCCGTTGGAGCCATTCTTCACGAGCACGCTCTTTCTCAGGTCTCTGGGCCTCCTTCATCGCCGCAGTCCGCTGCTGAACCAGGCTCTTGATTCTTCCAACACGAGCACCGTCCTTGTTGGCATGATATAAGCGGATCAATTCGGCATCCGAATACTGCACGCCCTCCTTCACTAGGTTGCTGGTGTATTGCTTGATATCAATTTCCTCTCCCAGTCGCCGCGACTCTCGGCGGAGGTACTTCGCGGCCCAGCTCTGCTCCCGCTGTGCTTGGCGTTCCTCACGCGACAAAACGGCTGGACGGTCCTGGATGGGTGTGGCAAAGGGTGTAACGATGCGCTCGACGACATGGCTGACGTGACGGCTCTTGGGAGCGCCGGATGAGAACTCGATCACGTCGCCCTCCCGGAGAGAGTTCTGAGGGTCGGCGACAAGGAAACGTGTTTCCTGGGGGTAGAACTTGCGAATGTGCTTGTCCCAGGCATTGTGGCGGTGCAAGACGGTAACGGTGCCTTGCATGCGACCGACCGACACAACAGTGCCGGCCTTGACGGCATAGGCGTACTTGCGGAGCTCGGCAGGCGGTTGCAGTTTTTGGAGTCTGGGCTTGGCTGTGTTCGAGGAGGGGGGTGGTGATGTGATGGTTGGCTCCTCGGGGGAGATGTGCTGCTTCGGACTAGCAGATTCTGTCGAGGCGTGTCGGAGGGGTTGAGTGAGTGAGTATGTGGATGGGAGGAGAGTTGGTCGTGCCAGAGTCAATGGCGATGCGATAGACCGGATGGGCAGCGCAGCCCGGAAGATTTGACTGGGTGTCATATTGAAACAGTTCCGGATCGCGGGGGCTCCTGGATTGGCTCTCGAAGAATATGGAGACAAAAAATGGGAAGATAGCCCTGCAATGGAATTGGGCGAATTAGGGATGGCACCGGACAAGTTGCGGAGGTGAAGGTGAAGCCTGAGAAATTCTCGGGACTGCTGTTTGCCTTGTTTGCACTTGGGTGGTGTGGCTGCCTCAGGCAGAATTGATGCTGATGCCTGATTTTATCTAGAGTAGTACCTTATGGGATCCCATGTCCGTCTTTTTGACAAGATTAGACTAATTTCGCTTGCTTCTTCGGGCCGAGAACTCGCCCTCGTATCGATGATTCTTTCTATTCAGTGAATTATACTTTTGTGACTACTTGATGTCCACCTAGTTGAACAGTCAATGATAATGCCAAGATGGCGGGAATACTACATAAACTCTGCCTAGCGGACACGAGTCCGCCTACTACCCGCCCCGATACAAATACTGGCAATACTCCTCCAAACTTCCATTGACTATTAGGTTGTGCATCAAATTCGTGTCCACGCGTATCACGGTCCGGTTTCAGGTATCTAGCCGACAGAACCCCCGAGCAACTTTCCTCCAGAGAAAGAGCATCTCGAAGAAAGGCCACCAAGTGCTCTGCTTGCCCCGAGCCAATAGTTTCCACCCAAGGACTTATGATTTCTACTTGAAAATGTCATCTGTCATTGCAAAGGGTGTTGGGAGATATCTCTACCCGGCCGAGACGTCCCGGCATGCTGCAACTATCCTCGGCTTTCCCTCCAAATACGCCCTTGCTCCAGCATACTATGAACATGCGTGCACAGATATTGCTAGTCTGGCATCCGCTATATCGGCATTTGAGCCAGTGAGACTATATGCTCGCTCAGAAGACGTGGGAAAGGCACAGTCAATGGTCAAGCTTGCCAGCGAGACGTATCCCAACGACGCAGCAAACATATCTTTCATCCCCTTCCAAACCAATCATCTCTGGGTCCGCGATACTGGCCCCGTCTATGTACAGAGGCTTGATGAAGCATCTCAGCAGAAGCGTTTTGCGATTAATTTCCGGTTCAGCGAATGGGGCAAGAAAGATGACATCGGTGATCACGATCGCGCTTCTGATGGTCTTGACTGGCCCGTCATGGCCCCAGAACAACTCGAAGAGAACAACAAATTTGCCGAAAGGGTCATTAAATCCGACTCCTCTCCTTCTCCTGTCACAATAGTAGAATCGGAGATTTGCGTGGAGGGTGGGGCACTTGTTGTTGATGGTGATGGAACTCTCCTAGCCACGGAGAGTAGCATTCTCAACGAGAACCGCAATCCGGGGCTCTCGCGGGAGGCGATTGAAGTCGAGTTGAAGCGCGTACTAGGAGTCGAGAAGATAATTTGGTTTCCTGGCAGGAAGGATCTTGATGTCACAGATGTACACGCCGACGCCGAAGTTGCCTTCATTCGGCTGGGGTTGTTGTGCTCTCAAAGCCGGACCCAACTGTACCATCGGCATGGCTGGAGATATATGAGGAGATTAAAGAAATTCTGAGCAAGTCTGTTGACGCAAAAGGTCGACCCTTTGAAGTTCATACCGTGGATGAACCGAGTCCCAATGTTTTCGGCGATCTTGCGTACGAAGAGCCGGCCACGAACTATGTCAACTTCTATTTCGTGAATGGTGGTCTCATTCTTCCTCAATTTGGAGATCAACAAAAGGACCGAGAAGCTGTTGAGACATTGCAGAAACTCTGTCCCGATCGGGTGGTTCGACCTGTTCGTGTTACTGGGCTTCCGCTAGCTGGAGGTGTTATTCATTGCTCGACCCAGCAAGTGCTCTCGGTGGAAGATATTTGATTAGAAGAGTATATTGTTGACAAACACCATAATATTTTATCATATCGCATGTTATGATAGTTCTTTTTTTCTTTAATAAGACCCTTCTAATAGAGGAGCCGGGATGAACTGCACCGATCTTTCCACTCGAAGCATTTCAATTGCTATACTACAACAGAATGGGGTCATTAGTATACTATGACAATAAATCCAACGACAGTCATTACATGCTTTCATTAGTTTTGATATTTCATCTGCAGTTCAAGTTCAAGTTCTCCTTCCCTTCGATCCCGCTGTGACTCCTTCCCGAGTCTGCCTCGACCCACGCCTTCGTATTCCTCACTCTTCACTCACTCACTCCGCCACACTCCATTTGAGTGACTCACGCAGTCCGACCTATAACTACTCCTCTTCTCAGTGGTTTATTTATCGCAACGTCAAAAAAGAGAAAAACTCAATTGAAAGCACAATGTCGAACGTCTCCAGGCGGCCAAACAAGGAGCAGCGTACGGCTCTAGCCCAGCAGACACTCGCGCTCACTGCGCGTATCATCAACACCACCAATGCCACAAATGAAGCAGACCTGTACTCGACACTTCTACCCCGAATCACCCCAGATCCAAATGGAACACGACCAAGAGTCACAGTTCAAAACAGCGACAGCTTCACAACCGCCCGCCTCATCCTGGAAACCAACCCAACCGCCAAAATCGGCGTTCTGAATATGGCCAGCGAGCGTCATCCCGGAGGTGGATGGCTTCGTGGAGCACTAGCGCAAGAAGAGGCTCTGTGCTTTCGCAGTACACTCGCTGTAACTCTGCACAAGAAATTCTACCCGCTTCCTATGTTCGGAACTATCTGGTCTCCGAACGTCACTGTGTTTAAGGATGAGGTGGATACCTGGTTTTGGGTTTACCAACCGGCTGAGATGTTCACTGTTGGGGTTGTCAGTCTTGCGGCTCTTAGAAGACCCCTTCTTACCCCCGATAAGAGGAACTACGGTATGTTGATAGCCTTTCAAGCATTTAGATGGAATACTAATTACTTCAAAGCCCGCCCACAAGATCTTCGAACGGTCAAGGATAAGATCAGACAGGTGTTTCGCGTTCTCGCAGTCAATGGTACCACACACTGTGTGATGGGGGCGATGGGATGTGGTGCATTCCAAAACCCCCCAGTCGTGGTCGCTCAGTGTTTCAAAGATGTCCTCGAGGAAGGAGAGTTCAATGGCGCATTTGAAGAAATCATCTTCGCAGTTTTGGACAGTAGAGCGGAAGGAAACTTTGAGATATTTCGCGATGCCTTACAGGCATCCTGAGGATGAAACTTTACTTTACTTTATACGAAGGCGGCTGGTGTTTGATTCTCTTTTATTGTGAGCAGCTATCTGATACCCCTAGCATCTCGCTATCTGCTGTTTTGTTCCTATTGTCGCCTATGTCTCATAGACCGCGACGAAGCCATGTCTACGAACACAGTCGAAACCGGCTCAGAAAATATCCGTAGAGTCTCGAAGAAAAGCTTCATAGGATATTGGGCCATCATTCCTAGTTTGAGGGTCAATTGGTGCTTGATACAAAGGTACTATCCCATCAAGGCCACCGGCTTCATCCCATACTATGATAGCCAGAGTCAATGAAAACGGCCCCCTTCGCTAGTTATCGGGCCTCGTGCCCTCTTAGGAATATCAATATCTTCGTCACCTCGGACTTTTGTCCTCAGCACAGGGCTTAATGCACATGGTTTGTAAACACACATGTAATTGCATAATAGCCCAACCCCTAAGTAATTTCTGGGACGAGACCTCAGATCAAACAGTCTTAGTCAGTCCGCATCGCTGTATCTAGCTTTGTGATAGCCTCAGCTAGCCATATCGTCATCATAGTCTCCCTCATTCTCCGTCGGTAGTAATGATTGTAATGTTCTAGTTTCCGACTGGCCACCAAGGCTTGCTTTCACGGCCAGTCCAACTAAAACTTATCACAAAGCTCCATAAACTGAAGATTGCAGTTATGCCATGGTCCATTTACTTAATAAAAAGCGAGAATGGGGTCAGTCACTGCTCAAAGCCATAACTGGTTACGGCGTCGGGCAACATGACTAGGCGGGTGACGTTGTCATGAGGCTTACATCCCAATTTGGCAAGATACTCGAATCAATTCTAGTCTTTACTGTTTCGCATCTCCCAATAACAATTTTTTATTTTCAATCTCTTCGAAAGGTAGCCTCTGGTTATCCTTAGCAATGATGTTCTCACGAAAAGAGAAACAGAAGAACTTGCATTTTCGTTACAGTAGGAAATATAACCCCAGTTCGGGCCGTTACAACAGGGAAGTTCTAAAGTACAAAGGTAAGCAGTTGGAAAGATGGAAAATTGTCACCCTTGTTACTCGTGACTACGCCTTACGGGCAGCAAGCCAGCAGGAGGAAAGGCTACAACATAAGGTCAAGGCATTGCAAAAGGCTTCCAAAATTAAAGATTTGGAAGCTCAGGTCCAGGCAAAACAAGCAAGTGAAGAGTTAAACGAAACACAGAAATTGTTGTTTGACAAGGATTAGGACCTTTATCAGGCAGTTTCAGGGCTCGAACTCGAGCCTTTTCGAAAAGATTATGATGATCTGAGACAAGATCCCAAACGGTACATGCGGCATGAAATGGTTAAAGACTGTTCAGATCGAGGTGGTTGCTGTAGTCGCAGCTGCGACTGCTGTGCTCGCAGGTCTCAGGTCATGAACAAAGGAAATAGGAGCATCAGACATGGACATGGACATGGACATTGCACTGTGGAGTGCTAATGCTGTATAGACAATCGGGGCTTCGAACTCTCTGAAAAGGCAAAGGAAAATATAGCGAAAGACCTTGAAGAGAGGCTTCGGAATGATGACCCAAGATTTGTCCTCTCTGCTGCGGACGCTTTTTTTGTGATGCCTTCAAATTAATGTCTTTCCACTTGTTGGGTGTTAGCTGGATTGACTTTGCTATCTGCTATCATGTCTTTCAACGGAGAAACCAGAGTATGCGGCCGGTGCTTGTTTTAACAGAGATAGTGGACGAGAGATTGGCTTTTTCTGGGACCCTGCTGGCTGAAGAGTAATCAAGGTTAATAGATCGCATATTTGACACCTTTTTCCACATTTGAGAACGAGCAATGTTTAATCTTGGCAATGTCACTGTAACATTGTGATTGGTCAACTTCAGTTGCGGCATGTCACTCGTCCAATTTGATTGGTCGATTCCCTAACCACTATAGCCAACACATTAAACATCTCGCGAGGCCGACTTTTGTCTTATACAAAATGCCCAAATACCGAATCCCACTTTCTCGAATACTCTTCAGCCACTGCTATAGAACGCATGTCTGTGTATCTCACTAACTCAACAGATATTGAGATGGCCACCATAGCAGCCGGACCTCAGGTGGTCGCATCCGCCAATGAACGAGAACGACGCAGCACCCCAAAATCAGCGCTGAATATCCACCCTTCAAGCCAGGTAATGAAGGATATCGAAGGCCAAACAGTGAATGAGACAGAAAAGTCTACAAGTACCGCCAAGCAATCAGCCTTCAAAACTCTTGGCTGGCTGGACCGGTTTCTGGCAATATGGATCTTCCTCGCAATGGCCATTGGGATTATTCTGGGAAATTTCGTGGAAAACGCAGGGCCTGCCCTTCAGAAAGGGAAGTTCGTGGGGGTTTCCATACCAATTGGTAATTTCTCTCGAATTTTAATGTTGATAAAGGTACTGAGAAGAGGAACTCATGCTGATTGTGACTAGCAATCGGTCTTTTGGTCATGATGTATCCTATACTTTGCAAAGTACGATTTGAATCTCTGCATCATGTTTTCCGAGACCGAGGGATTTGGATTCAACTTCTATTCAGCATCTTTATAAACTGGATAATTGCCCCATTCTTAATGGTAGGTACTCGGCTTGTAGGCTGCCGTGGATCTACTTGCTAATCGCTTTCGTTCAGTTGGCTCTAGCATGGGCCTTTCTCCCAGACGAGCCTGAGCTTCGAGAAGGGCTCATTCTGGTTGGACTGGCGAGGTGTATAGCAATGGTGCTTATCTGGACTAGCCTTGCTGGTGGTGATAACGAATACTGTGCTATTCTTGTTGCTATCAACTCGCTACTGCAGATGGTATTATTTGCACCATATGCTGTCTTTTTCATTAAAATCATCAGCCACTCAGGAACCCACATTTCACTCTCTTATTCCGTTGCTGCAAAGAGTGTGGCAGTGTTTCTGGGTATCCCATTGGGCGCTGCAATAATTACCCGTCTCTCTCTTCGTCATATTGCCAGCCCGCGCTGGTATAATCAAGTATTCCTAAAGTGGGTGGGCCCTTGGTCACTTATTGGACTGCTCTTCACGATTCTCGTTTTGTTCGCATCTCAGGGACACCAAGTTGTGCATCAAATTGTATCAGTGATTCGGGTCGCTGCTCCGTTGATTGTTTACTTCATCGTCGTCTTCTTCGCTACTCTTCTTGTGGCTTATAAGTTCGGTTTTGGCTATAAGTTGGCTACAACTCAGAGCCTCACGGCAGCCAGCAATAATTTTGAGCTTGCGATTGCTGTTGCTGTCTCAGCTTTTGGGGCCAACAGTAATCAAGCACTTGCTGCGACCGTTGGCCCGTTGATAGAGGTTCCTGTCCTTCTCGGTCTCGTCTATGTTGTTAAATTTATAGCCAAACGAGCTGGTTGGAGGGACTAAAGCAGGCCAAATACCATTTCAGATAATCAAGACTTATTTTACTTCTTTGTAAAGGACCTAGTGTAATACAACCCATCCATCCAAGGTAAAACGATGAGCAGGTAATAATTTTAATAAGCTTCCGGGGTTGAAGCTCAACAGAGTACACATCATATCAGCTTCATTATCAACATTCATGGTTGGAAAAATAGACAGACCCCACTGGGATAAAGACTATGGTCAACTCATCGGGCGGATGATGATGGCAAGTATTGAGACTCGGGCTGTACTGGTAAGTAATCCTAGTATCATGGATACAAGAACAATGCCCATACAAGGTAAATTCCGTGTTAGCATACTAGTACCATTTGCCATGGCATATTTCAGGCGATGTGATGACCGAGCAAATTACAAAGGCCCCTGGGCGATCTCAAAGAGGTGGTGGCTGCTGTCAACCCGGTTCCCTGACAAAAGATTAAGATCGGGCGGGATGCTGACAGTGTGGCTTTCAAGGGCCAATGACCTAAGTTGATGCAACATAACAAGTTATTCTAGAACAATTTACTATTGCTCGTTTATTATGTAGAGTAGAGAGTCGAGCCACACCTGAGTGTTTAAGGATCTAGCAGAAGATGATACCGAAACTCGCCGTCTCTCAAAGAGAACAAAAATCCCACGCAACCCAAGCACAAAAAAAGATCAAATACATTTCGCCACATCCATGTCATGAGAGCATCTAGGTTCGTTGAAGGTCCATTGCCTGCACAGGAAGCCACGTTACTTACGCGGCCTTTTCGGACGGCGTGGCTGAGACTTCGCCGTCCGTCGAATTATCAGCAAGAGCCAGCTTCGTTGCTTGGAATTTGTCTGCCGAGTGGGCTGATATGCGGGTCAATTCGGTGACAAAGGACTGGCCCCAGAATGCGCTTGTGTATTTGGACACGTATTTATCCAGCTTGGCGAAGTTGAGTGCCCGCTGTTCATCACTCATCGTGACAGCTTCTTGATATGCACCCGCCAGTTCCTCCGTGTTCCAGGGATTGACGATGATGCTTCCGTTCAAACTTTGAGCAGCGCCGGCGAATTCAGAGAGAACAAGGACACCATGACGCTTCTGCTGCGTGGCAATGTACTCGTATGCGACCAGGTTCATGCCGTCTCGTGTAGATGACACGATGCAGGCGTCTGACACGGCATAGAGTGCGATGAGTTCATCAAAGTTGACAGACTTATGCAGGAAATGTATAGGCATGAATTCGACGGTGCCTGCGAAATGGTTAGCACGGACTAGAACGGAGCGTCGACGCAAATTACGAACCAAATTTGCCGTTAATACGGCCGACCAACTCATTCACGACAGCGCGTAGGTTCTGATACTCCTCGACATCCTGTCGGCTCGGAACAGCAACTTGAACGAGGACAACCTTTCCCACCCACTCTGGGTGGTCGCTGAGAAATACCTCCAGCGCGTGTAACTTTTGCGGCACGCCCTTGATGTAGTCGAGGCGGTCCACGCCAACCATAAGCTTCACGCCCTGGAATTTTTGTTCCAGCATCGCAATACGTTTTTGGACTTTCTCCTTCTTCAGGCCCTCCTTAAATTTCTCCGGGTCGATGCCGATCGGAAAGGCGCCGCAGGTTATGATCTTACCCTGGAACTCAATACCATTTGGGGTTGTCGCCAGACCCCTAGGCTAATCAGTAACTATCACCAGAAACAGTTATCTCCGAGAACCAACTTACAGTAAGCGGGAGCAACTGCTCAAGAAATGGCGAGTGTAGTCGTAGGTGTGGAAACCAATCAAATCGCAATGCAGCACGCCCAGGAGAAGCTCATTGCGAACCGGCAGGATACGATAAATTTCACTGCTGGGGAAAGGAGTGTGTAGGAAGAACCCAATCTTGACATTCTGCTTGCTGTCACCGATCTCCTCGCGCAGCATCTCCGGCAGCAACATGAGGTGGTAATCATGCACCCAGATCAAATCGCCATCCTGGACTTCCTTGGCAATGGCCTTGGCGAAAAGGCGATTTGCCTCCTTGTATGCTTCCCAAGCGGATTCGTCAAATGTGATCTCACCCGGGTGATAGTGAAACAGCGGCCAGAGGATAGAGTCTGTAAAGTGGGGTTGTCAGTATGAATCGTGGGGAGCTCCCGCCCTTCCGCAGGGCAGGTGGTCTCTGTAGGGGATTTGGACGGAAGGGTACAGGGTACATACTAGAAAATCCATTATAGTGACGATCTGCCAGGTCATCGTCAATGAAGACGGGTACGGCACCGTACTCCTCCTTCAAACGCTGCTTGACAACCGGGATTTCGGGTTCTGGCACCTCCAGGCCCGGCCAGCCATACCATTGGAAGGTCGTGGATTTAGATAGACCACTTAAGCCACTGACCAGTCCTCCAGAGGACATGGAGAAGTCGTATTTCCCATCCTCGGAGCGCTTGATGGTGATCGGCAGACGGTTGGAGACGAGGAGAAGGCGGGCTTCGTTCTTGGGCTCATCGAGAGAAGGCATGGTCGTGGAGAGCTCGGAGAGCGTCGAGCAGGTACTGCGAGCAGCTTAAACCACAAAAGAGCGATGGTAATCACAGGAAGAGGTGGTGGGGGACGAGAATGGGGTCCGTTGAAGAGAAGCAACGCCTGCAATTTGCGGAGCAACAATTAGCCAAGCCCGGTTTTCTTTTCTGAGGGAAGATTAGAAAAGACAGAAAGCAGAATGAATACCTTTGAAAGACACCAGGACCGACCAGCCCAAGCTTGCAGCAACTCCCAAAAAAAAATGGAAAGCTTTGAGGACAAGGGAACAAGGGCGGGGAGAAGATGAGGAGAGTGAGGAGAGTGAGGTCACGCCCCGAAACTTGGAATTGCTACAGTGGAGCTCCTCAATAGCACTCACATTGGCATGGGGCACAGACAAACAGGGGGGGTTGGTGGGGGATGATGATGGATGGGCACAGTTCTTTTTTTAAGTGCAAGCAGATTCTTTTCTGACTGCTCCTGCGATAACCCTGTACTGCACGAAGCAGGGGGGGGGGTCGCAGCGTTGCGATTGGACGCTGCATGAGTCTCCTTTCGATGCCCAACATGACACCGCACTGACGTCGCCGGTCAAGTGTGTATACTCGCACAGTACATAATGTACTGGGAAGGGACTTCAATTACGAAAACCGCTCGGACGCCTCATATCAGGGGAATACAAGCCCGGATCTACGCCCGATAATACCAGCTTCCCCTGTAAAAGGCTCAGCCCGGTAGGTGAGGTTGCACAAGAGTCATAATCAGGATCATTATCAGGTTCATGAATCATGCCATCAATTCTCAACGTTCCTCTATAGGGCTAGTGGCTACAATCTTCAAACTCATAACGCAGACTTCTCACTCAAACTCCACTCCCCAGACTCAGAATCATGCACCACCCGCCCCTCATCCTCCAACTTGTGTAAAACCAGCCCAATCCCATGCGATGCCGGCAGATGCAGATTCTCCGGCACATCCTTATAGATCACCTTCACCAATTGTAGCGGTGTCCATGAGCGCTTCGGCTCGGGTGATTGCTCTCCAGGACTCACGTCCAACTTTCCCCATCGTAAGACGCGCACTACTTCGTCCTCCCGCTGCTTCCGATGCTTGATATACTCCGATATCCGGGCATTAACGTTCTCCATCACAGCCCCGTGGCCAGGATACCCACGGCCCTGAACCCGGTCGCGCATACGGTGTAAGCTGAGAGACATAGGTTTTCAGATTTTCGAAGACAGCAGTGCCGTGGCCGAGGACATCTACCATCGTACCCTGATTAGCCCGATTCCGGCCATTTCGTTTCTAGCCAGGGAGGTTAGAAGATTAAGATCGCTGGAAAGACTCACTATCCCCGGTGAAAATGGCATCTTCCTCTTCCAATACAAAAGCCATATGATCCTCCGTATGGCCTGGTGAAAACACAGCTTTCAGTGTCGCGCCTTCGACGCTGAATACTTGCCCATCGACAATGCCCACTTGACCCTCGTCTTTGTCAGGCTCGCACTTATACACACAAGCCTGTGGACAAAGACGCAGGAGATCTTTCACTCCGCCGACATGGTCGCCGTGCCAGTGTGTGAGCAGGGCATGGTGGACGGTAGCCTTTTCCGAGGAAAGCACAGAGGTCAGGTTATTTACCCATGCGGGCTCGCCCTGACCGGTGTCGATGAGAATGCGTTGGTGGCCGCGGCCGATGAGATAGGTATTTGTTCCTAGGTAAGATTAGCTTTCATCTTAGTCCAATTCCAATCATCGAAACGTGTAGAGCTGGGCATATTGGATAGTACCTTGCAAGGTAAACTATATCGAGATATTGTCAGCGCACTGTTCTCGGTTCATTTTCATTTCACACAGAATTGCCTACCTTCCCCGGGTTCCCTGCCAAAATCCGGATGACCGAGGCGCTGAGGCGTTCTACCTCCGGCAGAGGGACAAGTTGCGTTGCCATGTCGAGGTGACTGTGAGGGAGCGGAGAAGAATGACTGATGTTGTACCTCTCGATTGCAGTTGAAGTCCTTGGGCGAACCCACCACCTGCAATTATTAATCACAATGCACCTTCACGAAATGTGGGGGACAGGTGGAGGCGAGATCTAAGTAGTAGTCAGGTCTCCTGCTGCATCATTACTGCTTCCGATGGCGCATCGCAATCGTGGAGTCCATTCTGCGGGGCAATTGGGCCTCGGCAGCTTAGCTCAGCCCCGAGGTTATGGTGGCTATGGTTATCCTCAACGTTCAAATCCCTCCAAATGCATTTTTGAAGTTTGTACTGTATGCTTATTCACTGATTTATGCCTTAACCGAATTTGCTCTGCTGATTGAGCGCTGCTCTTACTCCTTGCACACCCCCTCTTGAAAACCATGACCATTCTCAAGAACTTGAAATAAGTAGTCCCCACTCGCGGCCGGAAGTACGCAAGATAGATTAATACCCAGTGAGTGCAGTCAGTAGTTATTGGCCTCGGGGTAGCCGATGCTCCTAGCCCAGGTCCGCGGGAGGTGCTACTAATAGAATATCCTGATCTTCCAAGGCTGCAAAGATCTGCCACGGGAATCTTTTACCATTACACTACGTCTTCTACGTTATGAATAGGAAAATAATTTGAACAAAAGGAAATGTATGCATGCTATTTTGACATACAAAACAATGGAGGGTAAATCAAAAACATATATCCATTGTGCCGACCCAAGAGGGAATCCAACGCGAGGCCGATAGGCCTAAGAAACAAGATCATAAAAATTTTTCCCAGAGCGCAACTCCTCGTACCCGGCTCAAAAAAGGGACAAACGCACACACACAGCGACAGCCCTGATAATTATCCCCAGGGCAATGTCACTTTGCTCTCTGGCTCGCTCAAAGTCACAAGAGAACATAGTTTACACAGGATCCCCTCGGGGCTCCCGAAATAACGGGGGCGAAGTAGACATCATAAAGGTAGATGAGTCTATTTAGTTGGCGGACTTGCGAGCCATGGTGTTCAGGGCGGAACCGTCGACGAACCACTCGATTTGGGGCTCGTTGAAAGTGTGGCTGAGGGAGACGTCGAAGGCAGCGCCACCGGCAGCGGGGTGGACGCGGAGGGTCATAGGCTTGCCGACCTCAAGCTGGGTGCAGAGCAGATCAACCTTGTCCTCGGGCTTGATCTTGTCGTAGTCGGCGGGGTCGGAGAAGGTCAGGGGCAGCATACCCTGCTTCTTCAGGTTGGTCTCGTGGATACGAGCGAAGGAGCGGGTGATGATGGCGAGACCGCCGAGGTGACGGGGCTCCAGAGCGGCGTGCTCACGGGAAGAACCCTCACCGTAGTTCCAGTCACCGATGACAACCCACTTGACGCCACGGGCCTTGTAGTCACGGGCAGTGGCAGGGACAGCGTCGTAGGCGCCAGTGAAGGCGTTCTTGACCTTGTTGGCCTCACCGTTCTCCTCGTTGATGGCACCGATCAGCATGTTGTTGGAGATGTTGTCCAGGTGACCACGGTACTTCAACCAGGGGCCGGCCATGGAGATGTGATCAGTGGTGGTCTTGCCCTGGCACTTGATCAGGATGGGGATGTTCTCAGCATCCTTCTTGTCCCAGGCAGGGAAACCAGCCAGGATCTGCAGACGATCACTGTTGGGGGAAACAGCGACGTTGATGGACTCGCGGTTGGCAGGGGGAGCCTGGTAGGTGTCCATACCGGGGTCGTAGCCGCGGCTGGGGAGACCCTCACCGGTGGGCTCCTTGAGCATGAACTCGTTGCCATCCTTGTCCTTGAGCTTGTCGGTCATAGGGTTGAAGTTCAGGGTACCAGCAACGGTCATAGCGACGACAATGTCGGGGGAGGCGACGAAAGCGTGGGTGGCGGGGTTGGCGTCGTTACGGCCAGTGAAGTTACGGTTGTAGGAGGAGATGATGGAGTTGGCCTCACCCTTCTTGATGTCCTTACGGTCCCACTGACCAATGCAAGGGCCACAGGCGTTGGCCAGGATGACACCACCGTACTCCTCCATGGTCTGGAGCTGACCATCACGGGCAATGGTAGCGCGAATCTGCTCGGAACCGGGGGTGATGGTGAAGATGGACTTGGACTTCAGGCCATGGTCCAGAGCATCACGAGCAATGGAGGCAGCGTGGGACATATCCTCGTAGGAGGAGTTGGTGCAAGAACCAATCAGACCAACCTTAAGCTCCTCGGGCCACTTGTTCTCCTTAACGGCCTCCTTGAACTTGGACAGAGGGGTGGCCAGATCGGGGGTGAAGGGACCGTTGATGTAGGGCTCGAGGGTGTTGAGGTCAATCTCGATGATCTGATCGTAGCGGGCACCGTCGTCCTCACGGAGGTCCTTGGCGTACTCGCGAGAGAAGTCACCAATGTGCTGACGCTTGGTGGCCTTAAGGTAGTCGTACATGCGGTCGTTGAAGGGGAAGATAGAGGTGGTAGCACCGATCTCAGCACCCATGTTACAGATGGTACCCATACCAGTGCAGGACAGGGAGTCAACACCAGGACCGTGGTACTCGATAATGGCACCAGTACCACCCTTGACGGTCAGGAGACCAGCAACCTTCAGAATGATATCCTTGGGGGTAGTCCAGCCGGACATCTTGCCAGTGAGGCGGACACCAATAACCTTGGGGGCCTTCAGCTCCCAAGGGAGACCAGCCATAACGTCGACAGCGTCAGCACCACCGACACCGATGGCGGCCATACCGAGACCACCAGCGTTGGGAGTGTGAGAGTCAGTACCGATCATCAGACCACCGGGGAAAGCGTAGTTCTCCAGGACGATCTGGTGAATAATACCGGAACCGGGCTTCCAGAAACCGATGTTGTACTTGGCGGTGGAGGAAGACAGGAAGTCGTAGACCTCCTTGTTGATGTCGTTGGCACGAGCAAGATCCTTCTCGCCACCAACCTGGGCCTCAATCAAGTGGTCACAGTGGACGGTGGTGGGGGTCTGGACGGAGGGCATGCCAGCGGACATGAACTGGAGAATGGCCATCTGGGCGGTGGCATCCTGGCAAGCAACACGGTCGGGACGGAGCTTCAGGTAAGAAACACCACGCTCAATGTCCTGGTTGTGGGGGTCGTCAAGGTGAGAGTAGATGACCTTCTCGGAGTAGGTCAGAGGGTGCTGCAGACGATCGCGGACGACCTTCAGGTTCTCGGACATCTTCCTAAAGCGGGCGCAAACAGGTTAGCTGTCAATTCCATGACGAAATTTTCAATTTTTCAAATTTTTGTTCAAAAGTTGTGTTGAGCAGGTGAAGATCATACTTGTAGTTGATGTAGTTACCCTATAGTTCAAATCGTCATTAGTGGCTGTTTTTTCCGATTGTCTTGGAGCTATTCGATGAAAGGCTCAGTGGGCCGGGCCACTCACAGTTTCAGAGTTGGTCATCTCGACCTTCTTGTCGAGAGGGTCAACGGTAGCGTAGCCCCGAGCCCCGAAAAGCTAGAAAAGGTGAAGGTTAGTCACTGCAAGGATGTATCATCGCCATTGTCGTCATCATCGTCATCGTGCCGACCCAGGCCGTATTGCGATGCGGACGATTGCTGCGCCGGGAGAGACAGTGCTTACAACACGGGACTTGGAGGCCTAGATAATCATCATGTTAGCATTTTCATTCACTGAAATTCGGTTCGAATATCGCCCTCGGCGGTCTCTCATTGAGAGGCCCCGATTGACGTGGACGAAGCAAGCGCATCGCCCAGCCTCGGCAATGAGAAATTGGAGGAAGTATGCAGGGTGAGATACGTACCAGCGCACCGGCACGCGCGAGGCGGGTGGAGATCATGATGAATAGCTCTAGGTACGACCACCTTCACCTGTGGTAGTAAAAGAGAGTGGATAGTGGAAGAGGAAGAAGGGAAAAATGAAAATCGAAAAGGAAAGCTTGGTGGTTTTGAGTGGGCGATGAGAGACTGGGACCGAAGAGCCGTAACCGCCGTTACCATGGCGATACCATACCGTATTGAAACTCCGTTTGGCCCGTTCGGATGCGGCAAGTTAAGGCACGGCCAGAGCCAGAGCCCCAGCTCTGCGATGCTCGGCCTGAGACATGACCAACTTGCGAGTAAATTTTCAAATAGGAATTCGGTATCTCTACTTCATTAGGATGCGCAGCTCAACAGCTATCTATTCATCCTATTCTAAGGTGCTTGACCCCTTACCATACTCACTTTGATCGAGGAGGCCATCTCGAATGAGGTCGGTAATGGCAATACGCGGCATGTGACGGCGGCAGAAACCCTCACCAATCACAGGATTTACAATTACAGGGAGTCGTCCAAGGTTGGACCAAGGGAGTTTCGGGCCAAGGGCAAAGCGCTGTGCACGGGCAGGTTTCATTAACATGCGGACACTGAACTCGGCCTGAACCCCGTTCACCCGTTCGGATGCACATGGATTGGGGGGACATGTGGTCTCTGTGGTCCTCTGCCCCATCAGGCCCATTATTAGATGCCCATCAATGGGGGACACTACGGAGTAAATGTGACTATAAATCAATTCTTTATTTATCGAAATCACCTCCCTAAACAAATAACCGATGCTGGATGCGGTCATTCCTACACGGGTGAAAGTATAACTAGACACGAAACTATGTTCTGTTACTAGTATTCCGTACTCGTAGTGTACATTTCCGGACCGACAACATGCAAACGTCATAAAATACGGGGGGGGGGAAAGGTAAAGAGGTAAACCGGTGACGAGCAGCCGAGGCGTGCCGAACGGGCTTGCCGCTGGGTTGCCGACCAATCACCGCCCGCCTGTTTCAAGCAGCCCGCTGACCCACGCTGGTCAGCGCAATTTACTCTTCCAGGCCAAGGTTGTCCGCTCTCCACTCCGCCCCATATCCCTCCGGAAATCGGTGATATCTTTTTTTCTCTATCTTCCATCGTTTTGATACCACTAGTTCAGCGATCGGACATCAAGATGGGTGCTCTCCGCAAAATCAAGACTAAGCGTCGCACCAGGTACGTGGCATTCACCATTGGGTTACGGGGAGGAGGAGAGAGGGCGGGAATTTTGAAAATTTCCAGAAGTGAATTTAGAGGAAAAAAATTTGAGATCTGCATATTGACTCCCAACAGAGACTATGACCAGGTTATCGCCGACGTCGACTCGGCGCGCCATCTCGCACAGTACAAGGCGAGCAAGGATCCAGAGGATCTGCCTGGACTCGGTCAACACTTTTGTGTCGAGTGCTCCAAATGGTTCGAGAGCGACTATAATTTGAAGGCGCACACCAAGGGCAAAAACCACAAGCGCAGGTGAGTCGCAAATCACTTTTTCCGCCGTCGCAAGTTACTCTGCTAACCATCCAATTCTTTTTAGAGTCCGCCTCCTTCAAGAAGAACCTCACAGCCAGGAACTCGCCGAAGCCGCCGTTGGTCTGGGTGTCGTCGAAAATTGGAGGGGTCACATCAAGCGGGCAGACAATGCGGCCGACAAGGCCGACAAGATGGAGATGGCTGCTTGATTCGGGTCTTGAACTACAACAAGCATAGATGTCGAGATTCCCAGCATCGCGCTCTCCTCAATTAGATCGCCTTCCTTTCGACAAAAACAGCGCATTAACGACGACCACGACTTTTGACCTTCGGATATTCACGAACCTACAGCTGCAAGGCGGTGGAGCTCACGTGAAACAATTTTTTTTATAGCCGAAAGTCGCCGGATGTCCGTTCTGCCGGTTTGCGGCATCGCACAAAGCCACCGGTCATCGGCACATCCACCCGGGCAATGCGGCATCAGGGCGAAATTTACCCCTTACCACCAGTACCCCGGAGTAATTCCAATAGAAATCCCTCAATACCAAATAGGAGCTCTAACCAGAAAGGGTGTTTCGGTATATCTACTTGTCTTGGCCAATCCCACTCTATGTACACATTAGCCACACTGTTAGACTCTTAGACAATGCCCTAGATTCCACCCTCGGCTGGCACCCCATGGGCCACCCCCGGACTGCTCAGAGCCTTCATCAACCACTCGTAGGCCGCCCACTACCCGATTATTAATGGTCAATTGTCTCGGTCTGGAATGGGCAAAGTCGAAAGAAAACATACCTGTACTGCATTCACAATAAATGCTCTGATACTGCAGATCCCGAGCCCCCGATAGAAAGCGCGCACTCCCTCGGCTCGGTAAACTTCCCGTGCAATCTGAAATGAGTTCAAGGTCCGCCGAGAACGTCCAAGTAGAGCACGTCCCTCCGCCGCCTCCCCCACATGGTCATGCATAGTTTGCGCCTGCAGTCTCGTCTTCACCATGTCCAGCGGAAAGACCGAGCCCCAGGTGACAATGCCTGCAATGCCACCGCAAAGAAGCACCTTGAGTGTAGCTTGATTGGAACTTTCATTCTCGGTTGTCATCAATCGTTTGCATAATTCGTAAGACCAAAAACTGCCAGGTCAGTCAGTATATATATCTACTAGTAGTGGTAGTATAGTCATTTGCAGTGATGTACATATAAATATAGATATCAAGTGATAGGATGCGGGGAGGATCATCAGGTAGTGCATAACTTACTAGAATCCGTAACCAATTGCGTCTCGCGCACCAGTGATGGATCCGCCATAATACAGACCCCTCCACCCACGGTGGCGATATATGTCCTTGACAACGGTCCAGGACGATACCTCCGGCCGGGAGTCCAATTGCGCACGGCACTTAATGAACTCGGTTGGCGAGGACACAGTCCAGCTGGCCATGCCACCAACGGCACCAGCGATCCAGATTTTGGACAATGACACACCATCTGGGTTGGTCGTGTCAGTGATGGAGCTATCAATCGACTTCAATGTACGGTTGTAAGCCACAAAAAGGATAGCATTAAGCGCTCCATATCCTAGAATCGGAGCGGCCGCACCTTGATAAAACGAATTAGTACACGGGCTATTCAACTACGCAACTCAATGGCAGCACGAACCTCGAACGAGGGAGCTCGCCTTCTCGAATCGGCTCAGATGTGACGTAGTAGATGCATCTGTGCGATTGCCGGCCTGCAGCCGCACCTTAATTACGTCGAGAGGATTTCCGATGACAATTCCAAGCGCACCACTAAGGTAGCCTGCCCAGAAATCCGACATCCTTCACTGATCGAGAAGTGTGAAACTCCATCGCTTGCGGGCACCCATGTGAATCTGGTTGCCAATGGCGGGGTGGTAGAGGATCACGTGATAACGCGGCAGTTTGGCGGAGCAGGCAGACGCGAGGCAGGCGCGTGAGGGCAACAAGTTACAACTTCGGATTTCAACAACAACAAAGAAAGAGGAGTGTACAGAGGGGTTGATAAACGACCTGGGAACGTTAACTTGGAGGTTCAACATTATGTGCGATCTTTGTTCTGACCCCTCGAGTCGTATGGAGTCCTTGTTAACAAACTGCCCAGGTATCGCCCGCGTCCACCCGGTGCCGATGGCGGCGTAAAGACACCATTGCAGCCCAAATCCGTGAATGCTGTTGATCGCCTAGCCAAACCATTCAAGTGCCCCGGATCAGCAACACCGACAAGAGTTTCAGAGAAACCAACAAGGAAGAGACGAAAGGTCAACTATGCCAATGCCGACGGCAGCGCCGAAGAGGGAGCGGAGAAGCCATACACAAACGACGACCGACTCGCTTTGGCGACACGGGAGGTGAATCGATTCCCGGTCTTTAAGCCCAAGGATAAAGATGCGGCTTTTAGAACACGATTCCGAATCCCATTCATAGACAGAAATACGGAAGGCTACAATCCCGATCGCCCTGCACCGACGTTGGGTCTCCGGACAGGTGCGACTTTTATTGCCAAGCCACTGCACGACCCAAGTGGTGAATTTGCCATCGTTCTCTATGACCCAACTATTGATGATATCGCCGAAGAGCCTCAACCAAAAGAGCAGGAAGGGCCAACGGAAGCAGATGCGCCGCCGGAATTGGACGAGCCCCTGGTACATAAAAGTTTGGCAGATATTCTTGGTCTGAAGAAAAAGGTTGAAGATAGGCCAAAAGTGCCTGTCGTGATTGACCCGCGACTTGCAAAGGTTTTGCGACCACATCAGATCGAGGGTGTGAAGGTAATGTCAATCAATGTCCGTCTCGTGAAATTCAGAAACTAATGTGGCGGGACTGGCAGTTTCTGTATAGATGTACAACTGGGCTGATTGATAGGAACGCGAATGGATGTATTATGGCTGATGGCATGGGGCTGGGAAAGACAGTAAGTGATCATGGAATTTGATGGTGAGGTTTAACGCTAATTTTTCAGCTCCAATGCATTTCTTTGATGTGGACATTGCTTAAGCAGGACCCCGAGGCTGGGAGAACAACGATCCAAAAATGTGTCATTGCTTGCCCTTCCAGTCTGGTCGGGAACTGGGCCAACGAACTAGGAAAATGGCTGGGGAAAGATGCAACCACTCCCTTCGCCATAGATGGCAAGGCTTCCAAAGCAGAGCTCACTCTCCAAGTCAAGCAATGGGCAATAGCATCGGGCCGCGGAATTGTTCGTCCCGTCCTGATCGTATCCTATGAGACCCTCCGCATGTACGTGGATTGCTTAAAGGACCACCCGATCGGTCTACTTCTTTGCGACGAGGGACATCGACTCAAGAATAAGGAAAGCTTGACATGGGTGGCTTTGAACAGTCTCAGTGTCAGTCGTCGCGTTATTCTTTCTGGAACACCTATTCAGAACGATCTGTCTGAATACTTTGCCCTGCTCCATTTCGCCAATCCTAACTTACTGGGCTCGCAAAATGAATTTCGGAAACGATTTGAACTGCCAATTCTCCGAGGTCGTGATGCTGCGGGCACTGACTCGGATAAAAAGCTAGGCGATGAGCGCTTACTCGAACTTTCCACCATTGTTAACAAATTCATCATTCGACGAAGCAACGACATTCTATCAAAATACTTGCCTGTCAAATACGAGCATGTCGTTTTCTGTAATATGGCTCCGTTCCAGCTGGATCTCTACAATCACTTTATCCAGAGTCCGGAAATCCGAAGCCTTCTCCGAGGAAAAGGCAGTCAACCTTTGAAAGCAATCGGAATTTTGAAGAAGCTTTGCAACCACCCTGATCTTCTCGACTTGGCAAACGATCTCCCTGGATGCGAAGACGCATACCCAGACGACTTCACCCCACCCGACGCCCGAGGTCGCGATAGAGAGGTTAAGAGTTGGTACTCTGGAAAAATGATGGTCCTTGACCGTATGCTCGCTCGAATCAGACAAGACACCAACGACAAGATTGTTCTCATCAGTAACTACACTCAAACATTGGACCTTTTTGAGAAGTTGTGTCGCTCACGCGCCTATGGCTGCTTGCGATTGGATGGTACCATGAACATTAAGAAGCGATCGAAGCTGGTTGACAAGTTCAATGATCCGGAAGGCCCCGAATTTGTTTTCCTCCTGAGCAGCAAGGCTGGTGGATGTGGCCTCAACTTGATTGGTGCCAACCGACTGGTTCTCTTTGACCCAGATTGGAATCCAGCTGCTGACCAGCAGGCTTTGGCTCGTGTGTGGCGTGATGGACAAAAGAAAGACTGTTTTGTCTACCGCTTCATCGCGACTGGGTCCATCGAAGAGAAGATTTTCCAACGACAGTCCCACAAACAGTCATTGTCATCTTGTGTTGTGGATGCAGCGGAAGACGTGGAACGCCACTTTTCCCTTGAATCCTTACGAGAGCTGTTCCAATTCAAGCCCGAGACACGCAGTGATACACACGACACATTCAAATGCAAACGGTGCCGACCTGACGGTACCCAGTACATCAAAGCGCCAGCCATGCTCTACGGAGATACGAGCTCGTGGAACCATTTCGTTAACGATGGTGAAAAGGGGCCGCTGAACCAGATCCAAGATCTATTGATACGACAAGAGGTTGGCGAGAGGGACGTTTCGGCCGTCTTCCAGTACATTAGTCACTGATAATATCTCGAAGTGGGATTTTGGCGCATTATGATTTCCACGCAAGGCGCTTATTGGGATATTTTGCTAGCGGCCTAGGATAGCGATTATTGGATACGTTTATTTTCAGCGTGCATTGATTCCGCGTCTCAACTTTCGAGCGTTCAATCTGAATTTTGGTTGATTCGTTATGAGCGAGCAAGTGCACTTTATCAAGTCATAAGCCCTGGCCTACCCTCGATGATCTTGGTGATTGTACTATAGCAATCTCAATTCCATATTTCTATTCACTTTCACTATTTATGGCCCACGACTATGCCCTGTACATCATCTGCACCCCATTAGTTTCAGAAATTTGTGGATCTCCTCGTTCTGTCGATGGCCAACGGATGGCCAACGGATGCCTTGATTTGTTCGGTCGGGCTAGTGGCGGGTCGGGACCGAAGGGCAACTCGGGACCGAGCCAACTTCACCTCCCCCGAATTTACTGCTATCTGCTCCCTGTCACTGATATTTGACCCAGCATATATGAAAAGCAGTGGCTGCAATGAGCTTGACTCGAGGACATTCATGCATTGTCTGCCAGCAACGCAAAGTCCGCTGTGACCAGCAAAAGCCATGCGCAAACTGTGTTCGATCCCAGGTCGAGTGTAAAGTTGCGCCCCCACAGCTAGCAAGGAGGAGGAGGAAGAACCTCCATGAGCGGGATTTGCTGGAGCGACTTCGGAAATATGAGACACTAATGACTCAGAATGGTGTCTCCTTTGATTCTGCTTTTGACGATCAAGATAAGAATATTGAGCGACAGGGCTCTAGGAGCATAAAGCCTTCCCAGGGTTCACCTGGGGACAGTATCCCTAACCAAATACCCAGAGGCCATGGAAACGAACGAAGGTCGGCCAATTAAACTGCCCAATCGCCATATTAAAATCAAGCTTATTCTCACAATAAAGCAGATATCAGAAGTGGTTCGCATATTATGACGAATATCGATCAACCGATGATTTGCTGGAAGTGTCAACCGACGAGGAGCAAGACCAACCAACTATCCATCACGCTTTTGATACGATGTTTAGCGACTTCGATACTTTCCCCTTCATGGTAGGTGGGGCACCAACTCCAATTACCCATCTTCACCCTTCTGCAATTCAGATATTCCAGCTATGGCAGATGTATCTTGACAATGTCAATCCCCTCTTGAAGATATGCCACGCCCCTAATTTGCAAGCTCAGATTGTGGGAGCTGGGGTAAACTTGACTAAAATACCAAGACCCCTCGAGGCTTTGATGTTCAGCGTATATCTGATCGCTGTGAAGTCAATGACAGATGAGGAGGTTCAAAGTACCCTCGGAGAACCCAAGTCCACTGTTCTCGATCGATATTATCAAGCATCTCAGCAAGCATTGGTCAATGCTGGATTTATGAGATCAAACGACCTAATGGTATTGCAGGCCTTCCTATTGTGTCTGGTAAGTATGATGAATTACCAATATGTTACTCATATTTCATATACTGATCATAATTCACCCTAGCTCGGCGTAGGACGCAATGTTGATCCGCGTTCGCTTTTCTGCTTGATTGGGATTGCTGTACGGATAGCTACGAGACTTGGTTTGCATCGGGACAGCGCCAAATTTGGCCTCTCCCCATTTGAAGCAGAGCAGCGGAGGCGAACCTGGTGGCAATTAGTTACCCTCGATAAACGGATTGCGGAGATGACAGGTTCCCCCATCACAGCTCTGTCATCTTGTGGGTCGGAGTGTCAACTCCCTTCAAATGTTAACGACAGTGATCTGCACCCAAATTCAAAAGACGCCCCACGGCCGTCTACTGGATTTACAGAGATGTCTTTTGGTCTAACGCGAATCGAACTTACCCTGGCATCTGTTCCAGACAGTATTCGTCCTAAACCACTCAACACGAAGGTAACACATTCCGCCCAAGCGCCCTCTACAAAGTCACCACATACAGGCCAGCAAGATTCCCATCACATGTCACCTCCTGATGCGGAGGATTATGACTCTTACTTTGATTTTACTTTCATAAAACACTGCAACCCTGAAATTCCCATCCAGCGGCTTACTATGCTGGCAACCAAAGTTGGGCTTTGCAGGCTCCATGTGGTTGAGTTTATGTGCCGAGGAGTTCCCACATCTAGCTTGAGCGAAAAAGAGCGTGACAGTACCTTTCTGAAGGCCATCGAAATGCTGGAATATGATGATGCAATTCATACCAGCGACAACCTCCGAGGCTTCCAATGGTACACCCAGCTCCAAATCCCATTTCCAGGATACATTTTTCTTTCCAGCGAGCTAGTTCACCGAACGAGCGGCGAGCTTTGTGAGCGTGCATGGCAAGCAATCTGCAACAATCATGAGCATCGGGGGCTTTATCATAATCTTGAGAGCCCGATGCATATGGCGTTTGGCCATGCGCTCCTTAAAGCGTGGATATCCCGAGAACAAGCTGAGCTTCAACTGGGCAGAGCAAGTGAGCCCCCGAAACTGGTTACTGTGCTGCGTCAAAGGTTGGCTTCTAGGTTGAAAGGCAAGAACCCCGAAGTTGTGAATAGAAGTGCGGATACTGCCAATACGGAAGTTTCTGGTTCAACTATCATCGAGTCGCAGGCAGGTATTGGGTCGTCATCTGGACTCGAAAGCACATTCAATATGCCGGGGACTTCAATAGGGGGAAATTTAGATCCAATGACTGGATCTAACTGGTTCGATTCGAACCAAATGGATTGGGTATACCTTATGCAATCTGGAGAATTTGGAGGTCTTTTCGGATGTGATGGACCAGGTTTTACTTAACGGAATCCTCTGTTTCTTTCTCTTTAGTCTATGTTTGTTGACCGTTGGACCTTGAGGGCGATTCCGGTGTAGCCGAGAATAAACGTGGGCGACAAGATATTAAGACGGGAATTCTATGCGGTCATCTTATTAGAGCTCTCTGTTCTCAAAGCTCCAGCTGAATAGTGGGTCCGATGCAAAAGCAGATCACTTGCCATATGGAGATTTCTCCTGACCCCATGTACTCGTATGTACATATGCACTGTCGGTCAAGAACATGGTTAAACGTGCCGATTATCATTTCATAATGATTCGACATTTGATACCCAGGCTTTGGTCTCGAGGTAGTTATTCGAACTAGGCCACACCTGTTATATCACACGAGTGTCGGTTATAGGCTTCTGGCTGCCCTTTTATATTCTCATTGAAGATTTCCAGGTCGATCTCTATCCATGAAGCTTGATAGTGTGCAGAGTAAGTACATCCATGGATGATGACTCCCGCCGGCGGGCATTTTGGTGATTGAGGGAGCTCTCGTACTTTTGTGACTTACATCTGTTTGCTACCCAATGCACCACCGGCGACCACCCCATACCATCAGCTGGGTAATTTCAAGAAGTTGGAAAACGATGAATCCCAGGATCTATCGTCCTCTCTCGATGTTGCAAGCCGTACGTGACCGACCGCAAAGATGTACAGGTTGCTCGAGGCGATCTTGAGCATCTTGCCCGACTGTACATAAATTCGAAATTAATATTGACTCTCGCTAGAAAATCCACCCGCTCAGACCGGCTCTCAGATCTCATCTAGTACGACCCTGATAGAAACTGGACCGCAACCGCCAATAGGTGATCTGGGTACAACCGGCTCACAGATAGGGCTTGCACCGGAAAGTGACAATTCTGTGGAGAAGGGCCGAGCTGAAGAAGTTGACCATGTTTCTCTATGGGACCAAGCCTATGACACTCTGAAAAAAGAGCAACCTAAGCTGGTCTTGCAATATGAGAAGCTTCTGTCTAGGGTGTTAGGTCCGTAAATCATCCAGCATCTTTTATTTTGCTTTGCTTCTGCTTGGGCCTGGCTAATACATTATTTGATAGATGATTCGAATCCATCATCGCCTTCATACGATGACCTTGATAACATGGAGAATCTTATCCCCCAAGGTGATAGACTCGATCGCCAGAAAAAGATGGCGGAAGCAAGGGAGCGCGGGTTGAAACACGTCGAGGATGAGAAAGCCAGCATGAGTATTCTAGGACACAAAGTCATCTTACAAGATGCCATGGGAGGAATCGCAGAAGGCATTGAGGCTGCCCAGACATATGTCAAAGGCGCGATCAAGGATGTTCCATACGCCCCTGCCGTCGTGGCAGGTATCTCTCTGGTTCTTCCACTCTTCAAAAACCCGAGCGCTGTTGAGGCAGCCAACCGCGAGGGGCTTGCCTATGTGATATCCCAAATGAGTTACTATGGTGCGATGGAGCCCCTCCTACTACAAGATCAAAAACGGACTGCCTTGGATGAAGACTTGTTCGGGCGTGTGGCTGGTTTCTACAAAATGGTCACCGAGTTCCAGATACAGAGCATCTTATGGTTCTATTGCCATGGAGTTAAAAATTATTTCAGGGCTGTGATAAATTATGACGAATGGGACAGAAAGCTGAGACTTGTCAAAAATGAACAGCAGGAACTTGGCTCAAAACTGGAAACAGTACTATTCCTGTCAAGTTCAACCATCTCAAAAATATCCGCAAGACAGCCGATGAATCTTGTGGGAAACTCGAGAATATTCGCGAGGGAGTTCAACAGCTTGTCATGTATGCAAAGGATAACGAGAAACAGAAATTTCTCGAAGCACTGCAGACGAGCGACCCTAGTGATGAGAAGGATCGCATTGAAGAAGAGAAAGGATTTATACTTCAAGGCACTACGGATTGGATACTCGGAACTCCAGAATTCCAGTAATGGCTTTACAATGACCAAACCCAGTTTCTCTGGGTCAAGGGTGATCCTGGCAAGGGAAAGACAATGCTTCTCTGTGGAGTGATCCATGAGCTGTCCAAGTCATCTTGGAACACAAGCAATCTCGTTTATTTTTTCTGCCAGGAGACAGATGAGCGGATTTCAACTGCATCATCAGTTTTGCGAGGGCTGCTGCGCATGTTTGTGAAAGCACAACCGTCACTTGTCTCATCCCTTGGGGAATTTACGAAAGATCGCATGCATGGCCGCAATGAATGGTGGGCATTGCGCGGGGTCTTTCAGGCAATTCTCGACGACCCCCAGCTTCGAACAACTTGCTTGATCATCGATGGGCTTGATGAATGTATCGAAGGTAGGGACAAGCTCATTGACCTGATTAACACCCAGTTAAAAGCAAAGCCATGGGTTAAATGGCTTGTTTCAAGTCGTAATTTGTCGAAGATTGAAAGGGGTCTAGGTGAATTCGCGTTACCTCTATCCCTGGAAGAAAACGAGAAGCATGTTTTGAAAGCCATCAACTCCTTCATTGACCACAAAGTCCAAAGATTGGCTAAGGATAGCGACATCGAGGGCAAAGATTTGGGGGAATGTTCTCGAACACCTGTATAAGAATGCAGATGGTACTTTTCTATGGGTCGAATTGGTGTGCAAGCAACTAGAAAAAGTCTCAACTCGCGAAATCGATAAGCTTTTGCCAGAATTTCCATCTGACCTGATATCCGTTTACGAGCGTCAGATGGAACGATTGGTAAATTTAAGACCAGCGGACTATGAACTCTGCAAGCAGATTTTGTCGGTTACCTCACTTGTGCGCCGACCTGTTAACTTGGAGGAATTAGCCTAGCTGGCAGACTTACCTTCGCCCACGAAGAAGGAGACAACGAGGCTGGTTAATGAATGTAGCTCTTTTCTGATCATTCGCAGAGGAAGCACAGTTCGTTTCGTGCATCAATCGGCCAAAGATTACTTGCAGAAGGACGGCCTACCTGAGATCTTCCCAGACGGGCTGAAAAGCCACGATCATGCTTTGTCGAGGTCTCTCCAAGCAATTGCCGTGACATTGAGGCGCGACATATATAATCTCAAGGATCCAGGTTATCTAATTGACAATGTCAAGGATAAAAGTCACGACCCCCTGGGCCCAGTGCGATATGCATGTGTATACTGGGGGGACCACCTTTGTGCAGATCCCAGAGAAGTAGATTTCGAAGAGGACGGTATATTGGACATGTTCTTACAAAGAGACTATCTTCACTGGATTGAGGCTCTCAGTCTCCTCAGAAGCATGTCGGCCGGAGTCTTCTGGATGTTAAAGCTTGAGAAACTGGTTACGGTTAGTAAAACAAACGATCTCGGAGATTCAAGCTTACAATTATTAGGCGTGGGGAGCATCAACTTCACTAATAGATCGCACGCGAGACGCATATCGATTTATACAGCACCACAAGCCTACGATCGAGGAAAGCCCGTTACAGGCTTATGCTTCTGCGCTGGTTTTCAGCCCAACTCGAAGCATTACGCGCAACCAGTTCATCACAGAAGAGCCCAACTGGATCAAAACAAAACCAATGATGGAGGATGACTGGAATTCATGTCTGCTGACCCTTGAGAGCCACAAGCAGTCCGTTCAAGCAGTTTCATGGGCGTCGAACAATATACTTGCATCGGCATCATTTGATGGGACTGTGAAAATGTGGGACATATCCACAAGTGACTGTCTTTCAACATTCCGTGGAAATGGATGGTCTATCTCATCTCTGGGATGGCTACGAGATTCAAAGCTTGGCTTAGTCTTGGGCGACGGAAGAATCGAGACATGGAACACAACCGAAGACTACAACCTTCCGCCGCTCAAAGATGGCGATCGGCCACTATGGGAACCTATTTTGAGCTTCAAAGATACAATTGAGCTATTCAAAGTAGCGTCTTGGTCTTCTCAAGGGACGCTTGCATTTGCCGTCGAAGATGGATCAATCTGGGTTCGCCCTGCCGTTTCTGTTACTCGACATCAGCCGTCAGTCCCATTCAAAGGCACCCACCGAGGAGTGTTTACACTGGCCTGGTCTCATGATGGCAGAATTGCGTCTGGTGCAAGGGATGGAACATTGAAGATCTGGGATACGGCCGATCGTAAATGCAAGCTGGCGCCTGGAGGTCATAGCGATGGGTCTATGCCCTTGCTTGGTCACAGGATTCCCAGAGACTTGCATCGGCTTCAAAAGAAAACATCATCAAAATCTGGGAAACTAAGAGTGGTCGCTGCACCGCTCGGGTCCAAGGCCAAAGCAATTTAATCCGGTCTCTTTCCTGGTCGCCAGATGGCAGACTCGCAGGTGCCGATGGCGAAACGATCAGAATATGGGACAGTGTAACTGGAAAATGTCTGTCTAGACTTGAGGGTCATAGCCATCAGGTCTGGTCAGTAGCCTGGTCAAAGAACGGGACTAGGCTTGCATCTGCTTCCCGCGACAAAACAATCAAGGTATGGGACGTTGCAGGAGACCGAAGGGAACAGCCTCTTCTAGGTCATAGCCAAAGGGTCAATAAGATTGCCTGGTCAGCGGACAAAACCAAGCTTGTATCCGTTTCAGAGGATGGCACTGTCATTGTTTGGGATACCTGCACTGGAGGATATATGCAGAACCGTATCGGCGATGTCCATTCAGTGGCTTGGTCAAAGGATGGCACCAGGATTGCGTTTGCGGCTGGATACAATGCTATCGTGATTTGGAACGTTGTCACTGGAGATCGTACACAAACACTCATGGATGAGAGCAACAATATAAGGTCTGTGGTCTGGTCAGAGGACGGGACTAAGCTTGCATCGGTATCGAAAGACCACCAGATAAAGTTCTGGGATCTCTCTAGCGAGAAATGCGTGGAAGCGGTCTTACAAGATGGCGCTTCAACAAATCCTATTACTTGGCCAGAGTACGGTGCTGAGTCCGAGACTCTTGATCTTGATTCTGTGCTTTCTTCAACAAATCTGATGACATATGGAATTGACCGAGAAGATTCATGGATAACCTCCAACGGGAAAAGACAGCTCAGGTTACCTCCAGGGTATCATATTGAGTGCTCGGCTATCCTGCCAGAGAGGATCGGAATTGGATGTGGCTCTGGACGTGTACTTACTTTTACAGTCTCAGAGACTACTGCGAGCTAGGTCGATAGTTGACACTAATCAAATGCGTCACTCGAATAAACCTTTGATAGTTCTCCTGGTAAATTTGTGACTGGCTTACGAAGCGCTGTCCCTTTCAAAACTTTCGTCTTTGTATTTGTTAGTGGAGGGATCAAGCAACTATAAATACTTGTGTCTGGCTAGAGTTAGCTTTCTCAATCTTCATTGTGCCATCCGACTCATTACCAAATTGACCCACCAATCTTATCATACAAACTTCAAAATTTACCTGGCCTATTGTTTAACTATCATAAAACCGAAAGATGAAGGTATCGCTGAATATTGTCACACCCCTGCTGGTCTTGAGTTCTGTTGTATCAGGTAGCCTATCGGGATACGGTATCTGCCAGGCAGGATGTGCAGGTATCGTGAAGGCCTGTTACTCGGCTGCAGGATTTACATGAGGAGCCACTATGGGTGCAACTGCACCTGCAACCATACTTGCCTGTAATTTGGACTCATCATTTGGAGCCTGCCAATCTGCTTGTGTATATGTATTGTTGATACCTTTTCCGTGAAAAATTAGTGGTTATCTGAGGTGTCTGTAAAGCAGACGAACTTGAAGAAAGATGTCCTTGTCCGCGAGCTACTTTCAGGAGTACGCTGAGAGAAATATTTTACTATCAGAGTTTCATGACTTTGACGAGTTCTTTCTTTAATTTCACTACCTAAATTCGCTATTTTTTAATGTGAACTACTTACTGGTATCTCGTTTGTTCTTATCCGTTTGCTAGTTTGCAGCATTCCGACATCCATAATACCACCCATCTAGCCATCAAAAAAGTAGAATAATAATTTAGAATTCTTAAACCTCTAAAGGCACTCTGTCAGTTCATTTGTTTCTCTCCTGTATGGGCCAGGCTATGCTGGTATAATACTGGTACAAGCACTGTCCCAGTAGTAGAGAGCATCGGGCCGAGCCCAGACCTGCGGTGAGTGTGTGACGTATGGTCAGCAGCACGCTTGGACTCCTCCCTGACTCCGCGTTGACAACGCATCTTCCACTTCCCCCACTGGTAGCTTTCCTGCCTTGTCAAGCTTCTAACGTGTCGGAGCTCCTCAAAGTGAATCTCCTTACCAGCCTTTCCGCAGATCGACCCTACCACAAGCTCGCCCCCCCCCATCCCGAACGCGAACCTCTCCGCCATGACCATTGCCTAATCGGAGCTCGGGACAGCATTCTCCGCCCGTTGAAGCAATGGATCAATCAATCCAGCGGCTGCTGAACGATAAGCTATACGATAAACGAAAACAAGGGGCTCTTGAGTACGTTAGTTAGAGCTTCATGAGGGCTCAAAACGCTCACTCGTGGCACGCACACCGCTAATGCGCAGCTCTTTTTGCAGGCTAGAGAAAATCGTCCGAGATGCTGTCTTCCGAGGAGAGCACGAGAAAATTGCCAGAATCGTCGAACAACTCTGTCACGACTATGCTTACGCCGTACACCAACCCCATGCCCGAAATGGCGGTCTAATCGGATTGGCAGCTGCCTCCATCGCCTTGGGATCGGTGAGTCAACACAACTAGAAGGAAATTGGGTGAACGAGGCTGATATACGGATCCAGGAAGGAGTGGCACCCTATTTGAGAGAAATCGTACCACCCGTCCTCGCTTGCTTCTCCGATCAAGATGCGCGGGTTAGATATTACGCTTGCGAGAGCATGTACAACATCGCCAAGGTGGCCAAGGGAGAGATACTTCTCTTTTTCAACGATATATTCGACGCTCTGGCGAAGGTGAGATGACATCGGATACACCTATGTTGCTACCCCATTACTGCTGCTGATATTCGTCCCAGCTTGCCTCCGATTCAGAGCTCTCAGTCAAGAATGGGGCTGAGCTACTGGACCGCCTCGTGAAGGATATCGTGGCTGAATCGGCAGCTTCATATGTCTCGGTACTACAGATATCTGAGAAGGAAGACCCAACCGATCTCGACGAAACCGAACTCCCTACAGCATTCTCTCTCGCAAAGTTCATTCCTCTGCTCAAAGAGCGAATCCACGTGATCGGGCCATACACTCGCAACTTCTTGGTTTCTTGGCTCACCCTGTTGGATACGATTCCTGATCTGGAGCTGGTTACATATCTGCCTGAATTCCTGGAAGGATTGGTGAAATTCCTCGGGGGCCCGAACAAAGACGTCAATGTTGCTACGCAAGGGCTCCTTGACCGATTCCTATCGGAGATCAAAAGAATCACAAGACTGAAGAAAGGTATTGCGGAGAGCCGCAAAGATCAGGAGAGCCGCAGACGCTCCGTGACGAGTGACTCAATGAGCTTTAGCGCCAAGACTGAGACCGATGCTGCCGATAAAAACGACATTGCGGTGGATGACTCCGAGTCCGGATCTCTCTTTGATGACGAAATAATACAAGTTGACGGAGACTGGATTCCAGGGCAGGACGTACAGATTGACCACCCTAAGATTTTGGATATCCTGGTCAGCTTTGTCGACACATCATACGGTATTTATCATTCCTTGCTGTTTCTTCCAGAATAAGTTGAACCTAACCATATTCATATCGATAGACGAAGAAATGCAACTTACTGCACTCAGGTGGATCGACGCCTTTTTCGAGATTAGCCCCGAGGACATTCTACCATTTGTACCACGGCTTTTAACCCAGGTGCTCCCGGCCATGTCAAGCGGCTCGGATCAAGTGCGGCAGGCAGCCAATCGTGTCAACAAATCCCTTCTTGAATACATCTATTCACTCTCTGATGATGCGGCGGATGATGTGCCTCAGCCTTCCTCCAGGGTGCCTTCAACCGCGCCTAGCAAAGAAAGCGTGGAACGAAAACCTTCAGAAATCGCGAGCATCGATGCCAGAAGATCGACGACAGAGACTTCTAGAGCTGCCACCCCTCGTAGTAGTATTGTTTCTACCCCAGTGCCACCCGTTGATCTTGACTATGCTGCAGCTGTCAACTCACTCACATTGCAATTTCTGAACGAGAATGAAGCCACTCGAGTAGCTGCGCTCTCATGGCTCATTATGTTACATCGCAAGGCCCCGCGAAAGGTGGTTGCGTTTAATGATGGAACATTCCCAGCCCTCTTGAAGACCCTTTCCGATCCTGCAGAAGCAGTTGTAACCAAAGACCTGCAGCTTCTGTCTCAGATTTCGAGAAACAGCGAGGATAACTACTTTGCGTCTTTCATGGTCAACCTATTGCAGCTCTTCTCCACCGACCGACATCTGTTGGAGGTCCGTGGGAATCTGATTATTCGACAACTGTGTCTTAATCTAAGCCCTGAACGGATTTATCGGACACTAGCCGATTGTCTTGAAAAAGAAGAGGTAATTTCTTTGATCGAACTACAAGGATTATCTACTCACGGTTATTAGGATATTGAATTTGCTAGTATCATGGTGCAAAATCTGAACAACAATCTCATCACTGCTCCAGAGCTATCAGACATGCGAAAAAGATTACGAAATCTTGACTCAAAAGTACGCCAACTCTTGGATTCCTCCTGCTCTCGATCGAAACTAACATAAACACAGGAGGGACAAATGTTCTTCGTTGCCCTCTTCAGATCCTGGTGCCATAACGCTGTCTCTACATTTTCACTCTGCCTTCTCGCGCAAGCCTATGAGCAGGCTTATAATCTCCTCCAGATCTTGTACGTTGCTTTACACCCTGCCGTATTCCCAGAGTCCCTATGCTAACTGATCTTCAGCGCTGAGTTAGAAATGACTGTCAATATGTTGATTCAGATCGACAAACTGGTGCAACTCCTCGAGTCACCGGTCTTCACATGTACGCACCTTTCATCCGAAACTATGACCAATACTAACGAGTAATTCTACCAGATCTTCGCCTCCAGCTTCTTGAGCCAGAAAAATACCCATACCTGTACAAATGTCTTTACGGTGTCCTCATGCTCCTCCCCCAAAGCTCAGCTTTCGCTGCATTGAAGAATCGCCTGAATAGCGTCAGCAATATAGGATTCCTCCACGCTGCACCCCGCAGGTACGGCATCTCGTCCCTCATGTCTAAAAATGAAATTACAAAGCTCACACTACCTCCTAGCACCGCGCAAGCAGGGCCATCATCATCAACGTACGACCGTCCCGGCGGCAGCCGTCTGAAAACTCGCGACGAGAACGGTATCCGTTGGGTCGAGCTCCTCGACAAATTCAAATTTGTCCAAGAACGAACGCGCCGAGCCCAGGCCTCGCAACACCAGTCACTCGATGCAACCGATTCTCTACATAACCCGTCCCTTACTGCCGCTCTCTCGGCTGCGACTGCAGACCGTAGCAGAGATCGGACGGGTCTTCCAGACATCCCCCGAGGCATGGTCGGAGGTTCTGGGGCTATGGGTCCCGGCGTGGGAGTCGCAGGCCTAGGTGTGGCGGGTGGTAGTGGTGGAGGCCGTGCGCTTGAACCGAAAGTCAGCAATTCGTCGTCTTTGCTTGGATCAGGACATAAGCATAAGTCAAGTCTTCCGAACCTGGGCCGTTTAGGGATCGGAAGTCGCAAGTCAAAGAAATGAGACGGCAGGATCAATTGTTTACTTTACGTCTTGCGCATAGCAGTGGTTTTAGCAAATACCCCTCATCATCTGCGCTGGCAAGCAGCCCAGCAGAATAGCTTTCTTGGTTTTTTTTTTTTTCTCTCTTGCTTTCCTTCCGTTCATAGTATACTTGAATTGTCATGTATCAGTTTAAGTGCAGATGTAGATAGAATGTTTCTACCAAGATACTAGGAGCAGTTCCGAAAATGAATCAAGGATTCGATTCGATTCGATTCGATTCAATAGTCGAGATGAACTTTGGAAAGGCTATATGGACAGTGAAGAAATCAAATGCAGGTAAAAGCATAGACAGTAGAAGCGAAGAGAGAAAAGTGCTCGGAAGCAGGAGGCATCAAAGTACATCGAGAAGCCATCCCACAACGCAAGAAGAAAGGTCTAGGTCAAACGAAATCCCAACTTTTAGGAATCGAAATCGCCAACATCATATGCACAGGCGGGGAAAAAATGGCGCCAAAGTGCAGAAAAAGGGGGGATCGAGGTCGTCGTGCTCATCTTCGCAGGGACATCACGCGAAGTCGAGAAGAGGGCCGAAGCCGAACAGAACAGAACATAATGGAGGAAAGGAAAGGAAAGCAAAACAGGTCGAGCAGGTGAAAGAAGAAAATGGCTAATGCAGAAAGAAGAGTAGTCAAAGTTCCAACGGCGCCGGGGCAAAGCGAAGCGAGACAGAATTCATCAACAGCGACGGGGAGGAAGTATTCATTCCTCCTCATCCTCACCGCATGCGTGAATCATTTGAGCCCCAGCCGGATGGTCGCCAGCTCCCTGTTGAGTGTTTGGAGACGGTGCTGCCGGTCGGGGAATTGGTGCCATTGGAGTAAACATACTCGCCATCAACGTATTGAGCTCCGGTGGAGAAAGTGCTGCGGTGCTTGCGGCGGGCGTAGCGCTGTTCGAGACGGTAGAGCTCGAGCTCTAGAAGGCGAGGGGTTAGCTTATCGTCCCATTGTGCATTGATTGCATGTTTGTTTCTTTTCTCTGGAAGGGTGTGGGTGGGTGTGTGGGTGTCGCGTGCACGTACTTGCTTGAAGCTTATCGATCAGACCCATTACGACGGTGGTTTTGTGTGTTTTGGTTGAATAAGGATATATCTTATTCTCGCTCGTGAGTCACTAGAATCGCCGGGAATTGCTGGCGATAATGCGTTGTTCTCGTTGTTGCTCCTATAAATGCAAGTCGGACGATCGTTCCCACATGCAGAGCAGGGAATAGAGCTGTGGTGGCCGGCAACGGACGGAAGTTCAACACCACGTCACTAGACTAACCATGGATTAGTGACATTCCAGCGATGGTAGGGTAATTGAATCAATGGGTCGGGTCATTTCATACCAGTTCAATGCAGGAAAGGAGGGGGGAGAGGGGGAGACACGAGGGAAGCGGGACTTTTTCTGCGGGTGCCACAAGGAGGTTGGGAGGTAAGGAGAGGTAGAGCGGGATTAAATTGGAATATCTTCCCCGGGTTTAAGTTCAAAGAAATTCAGAAAAGAAAAGAGTGGAATGGGGTTAGACCCGAAAAAAGAACGTGAGATGCAGTAGAAAGAAGAAAAGAAGAGGGACTTGAAGATGGAAGGTCGAGAATCGCAGGAGAAAGGGGGAAGTGGGGAGGGACGGCTTGGCGTGGAGAGTCCATACAATAGGACCGAGTACATGACAGCTCGATGGAGTACGGATATTCATCCTATCTATTCGCCACTGTTTCTATTTCAAGTTCCATGTTATATTCATTCCCACTCACGGCCCACTTCTTCCGTGCCTGAACGAGACAGAAAGTACATCTCATCCTGTTTGTTTCTACTGTATGTTCTAGGCCCCCCCTCCCCCGCCAACGTTTCATCCTACTCCTCCTGCGCTAACAGTTCCTGCGCTATATGTGCGTCAGCGTCGCCCTAAACAACTTCGGGCTTAGGGTTTTAATCAAGAAGGGGTCTGAGCGTACCGTTCCACAGTTCCGCATACACGCCATCAAGCTCGAGAAGCTCGCGGTGCGATCCGATCTCCACCACTTCTCCGTCCTTGAGCACCAGAATCTGGTCGCTGTCATAGATTGTGCGGAGCCGGTGCGCTACAAACACACTCGTCCGACTCTTCTCGCGCAGAATGCTGTTGATGTTCTGTAGCAGAGCCTGCTCCGTATAGGTGTCCAGGGCCGAAGTCTAGATGTTCCCACCAATTACGGTGGCTGGTCAGCCACACTTCCACGAATTACGCATCCTCCTCGGTTCTGATCACACGAAAACTTACCGCTTCATCGAAGAATAGTAGCTGGGGGTCTTTGAGCAGCAATCGTGAAATCGCTAGTCGTTGTTTCTCGCCGCCCGAGATCATCATCCCGCGTTCACCCACCGCGGTCTGATACCCGTCGGGCAATCGCTCTATCAACTGGTGGATGCGCGCACGTTCGGCCGCCTGCCGAACCTCCGCGTCTGAAGCATCGATCCGTCCATATCGAATATTGTGCGCAATGGTATCATTAAATAACGGGGTGTCTTTGGGCACCACGCCAATCGCCTTCCGGAGGCTGTCAAGTGATACGTCGCGAATATCCTGTCCGTCAATAAGAATTCGCCCCGACTGAGTGTCGTAGAAGCGGAATAACAGTCGCAGGATAGTTGACTTGCCGCAGCCGCTGGGTCCAACAATTGCGAACTTTGCCCCGGCCGGAATCGTAAAATTGGCGTTTTTCAGGATCGGGCGATCTGGGTGGTAGCCGAAAGTGACGTTCTCGAAGCGGATCTCGCCGCCGCGCTTCAATGCCAGGGGCTTTGCGTCAGGCTTCTCCTGGATTGTCACATTGACCTTTTGTAGGTTGAACAGCGTCTCCATGTCCAGCAGAGACTGGCGCAGTTCACGGTAGACAGATCCTAGAAAGTTAAGGGGCACAGATAGCTGGAAGACGAGCTGATTGACCATAACCAGGTCACCGACCGTCAGAGCACCAGTCGCGACTCCGTCAGCGGCAAGGTACATCATGCCGGCCAGTGCACTAGAGAAGATCATGTTTTGACCTGAGTTGAGGAAGGCCAAGGAGGTTGTCACCTTGATTGATGCATCTTCGTAGTTTTTTAATGCCTTATCGTATCGAGCAACTTCGAACTTCTCATTATTGAAGTACTTGACAGCTTCGTAGTTGATGAGCGAGTCGACGGCAACCGTTGCCCCGCGATTGTCAGCTGCATTGGCCTGGCGTCGGAATTTGGTTCGCCAGGCAGTTGTGGTAATTGTGAAGGCTGTATATGCAAGCATAGTTGAGACCGTAATGGCCGCAAACTTGGCGCCATATTGGTACGTCTAGAAGAAGGCATGAGGAGATGATCTCTGGTGAGTAGTGAGATAGAGAATGAAAGGCCATACCAGAATACCACACACGAGCGATATTTCAAGCGCTGTGGGAACGACATGGAAGACCATGGAGGTTAGCAAGAAGCTGATACCCTTGGTTCCGCGATCAATCGCCCGAGTCAAACCACCAGTCTGACGCGAGAGGTGAAAGCCGAGGTCCAATCGTAATAAGTGATCAAAGACATTTCCGGCAACCTTGCGAATGGCTTTTCGCGCAACGCTGGCAAAGACTGCGTTGCGAAGTTCTTGAAATAGAGTTGCACTAATACGGGTTACGCCATCTAGACAAGTCAGTTACGAGGAACATCGTTTTCCACTTGGCAGTAAGCCCATACAAGCAATGATCATGGAACCTGCAACAGTATAAGCAGTTCCACCAATGGCAGCAAAGTCCACATTCATGGAATCCACGATACTCTTGAAGTAGAAAGGAACCTCGACGTTGAGGATCTAGATCGATCAGCATATATAAAGAATAAAAAAGAAATATTAGCAATCAGACATACCTTAGCTCCTATGAGCAGTGATAATGCTGATCCCACACGAAGCTTCGTGCCCCAATCATCCTAACATGGGGTCAATACTTCCATTTCCAACCAGGCACGTGCCATCAAAAGTCATACCTTCGGCCAGAGGTATTTGGCCATTTCGCGCAAAATCGCCCAGTCCGCCTTCCGTTGTTCTTTGGTGGCTTTTGTCGACTCGCTCAGCAAGTCTTTCTTGGCCACGGCCTTCACTGTGCCATCTGGCTTCTCGATCGCTTTCGCATCGATGAGTTGCGACGCTGGCGGGGCGGGGGTCGGGATGGGATTGTTCTTCGCTGCGGGCAGGTCCTTGCTATCGGGGACCTTGTTGCGCAATTGACTGGTGCAGGTGAATGCGCGCAGTTGTGTCTTATTGAGTCTTGTCCATGGTGACGGTCCGGCGAAGCTCGGATGTGCGAACCGCGCCGCCGGGCGCCAACAGGGTGCCCGAGCTGCTTTGAGCAGCATTGGTATAATTTGGGGTGCTTGTTTGCCGCTGAGTGTGACTAGTATGGTCTTATTGTGCTCAAGGAAGCATAATGCAGCTCGTGCAAGGCGAATGGTGTGTACAGCTCCCTACTGATGGTCCGCGGGGGAACCTGGAGAGCTGCCGGCTTCGGAGGAAACGATAAGGTCGGGGTGGTTACGTTTTGACCACAGGTGTCGGTAATATCCAAGACAGTGAGAAGATAGAAATAAGGAGTAAAAATGGGGATCCGGCAGTAAAGAAAGGCAAAATCCCCCGGTGGGAGCTTCAGTAGTTGCTGTCGCAATCGGCGGCGGACGTGGTGTACTTTGGTAGTAGTTAGTTTGGGGCTGCGGAGGACCTTCGGCGCCACGATTTCCCGACGCAATCAGCGGCTGCTTTGCGCATCAGCTCCAACTCTGACGTAAAGTCCATTTTCCTGCCATCACTCGCTCATTGTGTCTGGAACCATGCGTCCAGTCCTTCAGCGAGGTGTTCGGACTCTGTCTTGGACTAGAGTGGTCCCTCGTGCCTCCCGACACGCGAGATGCATTCAGATTCGCGCGACTCCCTCCGAGGAGCCCACGGTCAACGGGGACCACTTGCCCCTCGCCAACACGCCTAGCTCGGCGGAATCTCGAGGTATGATGTTACATGGTGACTTCCAGTACAGCCTGTTTGATCATGCACTAATGAATCGAACTAGATGCCCGGTTTGATGTTGTCGGTGCGCCATACTCGCTCCTTTCGGTCGCCCTCTCGCCTTCGCAAAACCTATACACGCGCCGCGGAACTCTGGTCGGATTGAGTGGAAAGGCAGACAATGTACGCAACGAACGAACTGGAGAAGTTTGCATGTTGATAGGTTGTGGCGTGCTAACTACCCATCGCAGGTGGTTTCAACGTTGAGCGTTCTAGAACCCTTCCGCAGGGCTGTTGTCGGCACCCCATTTCTGTACCAGAAGGTGTGTCGCATGATATTCACTCACTCCTTACGACGAACCCGCAATTAACGACATTTAGGTCTCCTCGGCGAGCCCAGTCACAGCCCTCATCTCCGTTCGGTCTCCAAATACCTCCTTCGCCGTGGTGAATCTTAATGGTTCTGTGGATTGGATGGTCGCCCAACGGCGTGCATTGCTGGCATGGACAGGCCGGTCTTTATCCATTAAGCCAACAATCAACACTAGCCTGGTATGCTACGCCCATATGCCATGGATCTGGTATCGAATTGAGCTAATTTGTGCAGAGCTTGTCTCACTGGGGTAGTTCCGAAATCACTGGGCGAGGATTGATGGCCCTTGTCGGAAATGGCCAGATATACTCTGTGGATTTGAAAGATGGCGAGCAGTATATCGCCCATCCCAGGTAATTTATTCGCCATCGTGATGATTCCTTGTCAACGCTAATATCATTCGCAGCAACGTCGTTGCCTATACCATGTCCTCGAACCCACCTCGGCCTTATCGTTTCAAGTCCACAACCCTGAACTTCCAAGTTCCAGGCCTGAAGACCCTGCCCAGACTTCTACAGGGTAACAAATTCATTCGTGACATGTCCGACTCAAACACATGGAAGAACACCATGAGATTTCTTCACAAGCTTCGGACATGGTCTCGAATGACCATCTGGGGAGACAGGGTGAGTTTCTTTCTGCCACGTTTGTGACCGACTCGCACTAACATTTATGCCCTCTGTCAGCTCTTCCTTCAATTTGACGGGCCCGCGACTGTTCTCGTGCAATCCCGCGGACCCCGCGTAAATGATGTTCTGTCCGGCCGCGAAGTCAACGAAATCGCTGACTCCCCTCGAGGACTGACCCGCCCCCCTCAGCAGGTGGAATCTCAATCAAGAAAAGAGGCGGAGGCAGCTGTAAACGGTGTCCCGGAGATCGCTCGGTCGGTGGAGGACCTGAACCAGGAGATTGCGGGAATCAGCCAAAGCATTGCCAAGATCCGCAAGGACGGTAAGGTTGAGATCGAAGAGATTGGCCACACTAAGGCCATCTAGAGGCTCTCTTCACAAGTTATTTCTTTGCGTTGGAATTTTTTTCATGACCTAGAGGCGGTTTCTCTTTGACTGGTTTGCGACATCCTGTACAGTATTGCGAAAATCTTCGAACTTCGGCCATGTGTCGTTAGATCAATCATTATGTTTCCTTCGTTGAGATAATCGAGCTTCGGTGTGTCAATTATTAGGGCCGAGTATTCAAGTTGTATCACTATACGTGGCTGTGAAGAGACGACATCCATGGATTACAAACACGGTTCCTTGGCCTGTCGCTACAATCCGCCGACAAATCCGGCTTCGAGGCTGTTGTATTGAGATCCTTCTGTGGGTCTCTGTATCTAGATACATCTACAGAGCCGACTTCTGCAATCCACTGAAAAGATCATCAATGAAGTTCAACGCTTTACCATACGCCTCCTTCGAACGACTCGAGACCACCGATGTAGGATCAGTCGAGAACGCTTCCAAACCATGCGGTCCATCCTCAACAAGCAAGAGTTCCGACTTAACTCCCAAACCTTTCAACTGCTCATGTTGGTCAATGCTTTCCTGGGAGGAACAACCTCATCCGCAGTCCCATGCACAAAAATAGAAGGCGGATAAGAGTCGCCCACGAACGACTGCAAAAGACCCGATTTCAGGTCCGAAGGAAACGCCGCAGCTCGCTGCTCATAGTCCACCTTGTCCAGATCTCTACCAAGGCCATCTCGTCCGAAGATACCATCCAGCATCGTTCCGGAAATTTCCCAGTGGACTGTGAGTGCGAAGCGTCGCGATAAAGGCCCTCCCACGGACACATCGTCGCTGACAACTGTCTTGTCTGCCAAAAGCTCTGGAACAGCGTTCAGGTCGACAAACTTCGCAATGGATGTTGGTGGGCGGGCGCGTGTCCAGTGATCTAGAAGGACATTGCCACCGAGTCCGTAGACGGAGATCAGTGCGGCGGGCTTAGGGCTGGCGTAGATGCATGCTGCGCGGGCTGAGTATGCGCCTGCTGAAAAGCCGCTGACGGCGATACGGGTGAAGTCGATGGTGGTAGACTCTGGTAGAATGTTGTTGAAATGCGTGCTGGTAATAAATTGGAATAAATTCCTTGCGTCCTCAATTTGATCGAGAGCTGTGGTAGGGTGGCAGAGACGGTAATCTGCCGAGATGAAGATGTAGCCTTTCTCCTGGCAGTGGGCTTTTTTTCAGCGTTCAAAAATCGATTAGCTAGGTGGATGATTCACTATCTCTGGTGTTGCATTCATTCGATTACTCACCAAATAGCCAGTGAGGGAGACCTCCCCCACGACGTGAACCTGCCGTCATGCCGCCGCCATGGTAGTAGATCACCGCAGGTAAAGCCCCATTAGCACGAGGAAGGTAATAGTCAAGCTTAATCTCATGGTCGCCGACGGTGGAGTAGACCAAAGTTTGGCCTCCTTCTGGCAATTGTCGGTTCATGGTGGGAATGATATTCGAGATCGAGGGTTGAGGGGAATGTTGGATGTCCCTCGGTCTGCTGGAGGGGTTGACATGGCTGGATAAAGTCATTTCCGACCAACTCGTTGTTAAGGCTTCCCCACAAAATGTTGGCGTATATTAAACGCCAGTACTGCCAGTGTTTCTTGTTTTTCCAATGAGGGTCGACAACTTGAATGGGAAAAGAACCCTTCCACATGCATCAATAACTACTACCTACTAATAGGGCTGATGTGGTGAAGTATGGAAATGGGACTGAATGATAGAACGTAGTATTATATTAAACAATCTTACTCCGGAAGATAAATGAAAAAGAAATGCGTCATCTCGATTGCAACCAGACCAGAGATAGCCACGAGGTAAAAAGCAACCTTAAGCACATCTAATCAGTTCCCCGGGGCGACCGTGGGGCGTTAAAGTTATCAGATCTCCTATTTTCAGAAATACAAAAAATAAAAGGGAAGCTTCGAGCTTTCCAATTGGATAGATGTATGCTTGAATAGTCTGACTACCTTTCTCTTTTCTCTCCGGCAAATCTTGAATTATTTCACATGTTCCAAGGTTCACACCACACCACCATTGGAAAGGACAGGGAACCCTAACCCTGCTCACCTATCTACTATTCTGCCTGATACAAGCAGTCCGGATTTAAGATCGGAGCTCATGACTTTAGAGGTACGGATCCGAGAGGTCAGCCCAAAATTGTGTGCTCCAGTTCGCCAACCCCTACTTTTTGGGGTTAGACCCAATACGAAGATCGTGCTCGGCGTTAGCTTGACGCGAGGCCGAGGGTCCGCGATGATCTTGTACATCAAACTACTTTTACCCTGACTATATGACCAGCATTTCCCCAAGTCTCTTCAGGTAGTTATTTGTTCATGACTCAAAACTCTAGCATTTTCCCGGCTTTTAATGTTTAGAGTTCCAGTCGATTTTTGTTGCCGTGGAACAATCCGAAAGTCTTTCTTCATCTCTCCTACTCTCTGGATTCGAGAACATCCCTGAATTTTAATTTGATTCTCCGTCCCCTGTTTTCATACCCCGCCTTCTCTTCTCACCTGCTTCTTCTGCTCAAATTCGATACGCCGATCTGCCTTCCCCTGGGGTTTCTTACATTCACACCCGCTTAGTATACACCCGCCATCAACACCACCTCCACCACACTACTTGCTTGTCGCACAAGTTCCCAGTGATTACCGTCTTGTGATTTCAGGCCAAGCGATACCAAATATTTCAACCAGATCGAGAGCCGTGTTCGAAATCAGGAGACGGTGGTGGGTATGGCCGCCTCAATTCGTGATCAGGACCTCCCATCCATCGCCAGTGCGACCACCAACGCCATATCTTCGGAACACTCCACCCCCGCCATGAGCGTGCAGCTTGATGATGACTTGGAGAAGGGAACACACCCGTCAGATCAGAAGAGGGGAACAGAATTCGTCGCCTCGGAATCTCCAGATACCATTCCCAAAGCCTCGGAGAAAACTATCCAAGCCTCAGACTCACAAGGACCTCCACCTCCAGGTCCCCCACCAGATGGAGGTTTTCAGGCATGGATGACCGTACTGGGAGCTTTCTGTGGTTTATTCGTCAGCTTTGGGTGGATTAACTGTAAGTACCAGTTTATATCATCGGGATGTGGACAAACAACAGCCCTACTCACATTGCCATAGGTATCGGTGTTTTCCAAGCATACTATGAAAGAAACCAATTAAGTCATCTCACTCCTAGCACGGTGGCCTGGATCCCGTCTCTCGAAACTTTTGTCATGTTCTTTGCTGGTCCACTATTTGGTACCCTCTTTGACAATTATGGACCACGATGGATCTTGCTGGCGGGGACTTTCCTCCATGTCTTCGGTCTCATGATGGCCTCCCTGTCAACAGAGTACTATCAATTCATTCTCGCCCAGGGCATCTGCAGCCCTCTCGGTGCTAGCGCTGTCTTTAATGCATCAATCAACTCTGTCAGTGGCTGGTTCGCGAAGCGCCGAGCCTTCGCGCTCGGCGTCACGGCCTCTGGGATCTAGTTTGGGAGGCGTGATCTTCCCAATCATGGTATCAAAACTGATTCCGCAAGTCGGTTTCGGCTGGGCAATGCGTATCTGCGCATTTCTAGTCCTCTTTATGTTGGTTATTGCCAATGTCACCCTAAAATCAAGATTGAAACCGCAGAAGAAAGGATTCGACGTGATGAACTTCATTCGCCCACTGCACGATATTAAATTCGTATTGACTGTTGCCGCGGCTTTTTGCTTCTTCTGGGGCATGTTCTTGCCCTTTACGTTTGTTATTACCTCCGGAGAACGGTATGGCATGTCACAGAACATGTCTCAATATCTCATTCCGATTCTGAACGCAGCTAGGTAAGCCAAATCCCCATCTCCAGGTCTATTGGCTCTTCTTGCATGATCAATCTCTAATAACCACTAGTATTTTCGGCCGTACTCTTCCAGGATATCTGGCAGACCGTGTAGGTCGGTACAACGTAATGATCGTCTTCAGCTATCTCTCCGGAATCCTCGTGCTGGCCCTATGGCTTCCGGCTCGCGCCAATGCCCCCATAATAGTATTCAGCGCACTGTATGGCTTCGGCTCTGGAGCGTTCGTCTCTCTTGCACCCGCACTAATTGCTCAAATCTCCGACCTCCGCGAAGTTGGCATTCGCAACGGAACTTGCTTCTCGATTATTTCGATAGCCGCACTGACTGGCTCCCCGATTGGTGGAGCATTGGTCCCGGATATGCTGCATGGTTCATATGAAAAGCTGCAGATTTTCAGCGGCGTGGTTATGATAGCCGGTGCAACGCTGTTCATTGCTGCGCGGATCGTTGTTGGAGGTGTTAATTTGAAGAAAGTTTGATATGTGTCTTGTCTTGTGAGTCGGGAAATAATAAGGCCGATGCATTGAAAGTGCCTTAGTGGAAAAGGCCAATATCAGACACGGCAAATACAACCTTTACTATAGATTTTCACTTGAAATGCAGAAAGTATTTCGGAACTTGTATTTCATTTCATTCTCCTAGTAGATAACTCCAAGCCTGCATGCAGCTGGCCATAACAAAACGCCCCAGCACCGTCGCTGAAGGAAGATGCATATATCAAAAAAAGGTCCCCAGATGCCCGAGTTTAAAATGCCAAAGGCCAAAAGATGCAAACATAAATAGCAATCAGACAAACACCCCACTGCGCATGCTCTCAACGGTACGAACACCCACCCCCTTCAATGTACTCAATTCCGCCAGGCTGCTCAGTTGGAACTGAGGCTGGTCGGAGACCATCTCCATATCATCGGTGCTCACCGATGACTGGTCCATCTCGCAGAGACAGTCAACGATAGCTTCCGCCTTCTTCATACCGACTCCCTTCAATAGCTGGATCTGGCTCACATCGCGCGAGTTGATGATCGACAGTAGGTGGATCGTCTTAGGCGAGACGGTGGGGTCAAAGTCGTCGAGAGCATCAAGATCGAGATCGTTTTGATGAAGAGACTCCGTGTTACGCTTCTTCTTAGGACGAGGCCCATCCATGAAGCTGCTTTCGTCATCCGAAATGGCATCCACAGTCTGATCCATATAGGACTCATCTTCTGCCTGACGCTTTCCAAGAGTGAGGGTAGGCTCCTTCTTCAGGGAGAGCATGCTTCCGAATCTGCCCTTGGGAGGAGGGGAAGCGGCTGTGACGGAAGGCCGAGCTGAAGGCTTCCCTTGCATACGCTCTTTCAGAGCAGCAATCTTGGAGACCAGCTTCTCGTTGTGAGGGAAATGAGGTAATGCGAGTTGATACATTTTGAGAGCGGAACTGTTCTCGCCGCGGGCCTGGTGCTGCTTGGCCATGAGAAGATAGGATAGCCCCTCTGCGCGTGCATCTTCGGTTCCTTCGATGCGCTGTTCTAACTGGGCCAGACGGCGTTGAAGCTGGTCGTTCAGCTCCTGTACCTGATTATGGCGCGACTGCTCGCTGACGGCTCGGACCGCGAGCATCTCTTCAACTTTCTTCTCCACCATCTCCTCAATTTTAGCGGCAGAAAGGTCACAAAAGCTAGGCTCGGACGGGATGGGGGCCAGTGTCTGGCGCGGCGGCTTGATTGAGCGCATCGTGGGCCCATCGGCGTAAAAAGACGTTCTCTTAAGCGGCTCAGGCTTCCGGATCTGGGTGAGAGGTTTATGTTGTGGTCGGTCAGAGAACACACTGAAAGCCTTCAGCGGCTTTTCCTCGTCTTTCTTGGCCGAATCCTTTGCGACAGGAGCAGGCATGTTCACATTGACTGTTGCAGTAAGAGGGCGCAACGGCTGGCGAGAGGCTGCCAAAGAAGGACGCATGGATGGCCTGGCAGGTCCTTTGAAGATCGGATCATTCTCAATTTCGCGCACTTCGATCTTCCTGGTACGGTTGGCGACACTCAGGGAACTGATTGTGTCTAAATGGTACGATCGCACTGGAGCCAGGTTGAGAATCATCACGGTGAGGCCGTTGTTCTGTCCGAGTGACAGGATTCGGGTCATCTTTGATTCGCGGTACGGAATGCGGTGCTGCTTTTTGGTGATTGCCTCGACACACTGGGCAAGGACGAAAAGACTCTTGTTGATACTGGCCGATTCCACCATGCGCTCCTTGTCATTCTCCGTCCGGCGATTGTCTTCCGAGCCTGCAAGATCAATGGCAGAGGCTTTGCTGACGATGGTCTTGTCCGAGGAGGTGATAGCGATCTTCACGCCCAGGATTGCATGCGAACGAGAGGAGTGGGCGTTCAACTAGAAAGACATTGTGTTAGTCATTGCAGTCGCGCTCTTGGAATTGAATGAGACATACCTTAGTTGCGGAGGTCGACCGGTTGTTGTTCGCTTGGTCGTAAAGTCCTTCGAACTCCTTCAGATTTGTGCAAGGCTTCTCGGTCAGCCCGCAAACCACTGTCTTGCCGCCGTTGTCCCGGAGTGGCAAGCCGGCCAGGGTACGCTTCTCTGGTGGTTCAAACAAATCGTACACCTTGTCATTGTAAATCTCGTAGTAGCTCAGCAACACCTTCACCGTTGTTTCGCCGTTAGTATCCTTTTCAATTTTCCGACTGCGCCTGTAGATACCGCTCAGGAGACGCGGGATCACACCTCTGTCTGCAAGGCTTTTACCGCCGCGCATGGTATGTGTTTTCCCGGTTCCAGTAACCCCGTAGGCGAAGAGAGTGACATCGAAACCATTGAAGAGGTGTTTGATGGTGGGCGCCACTGTGACAAACGATCAGTATCCTTTCCCTCAATGTTGATTGCCAGTCTCCAGGCGAAGGTGTATCAGGAGCCTACCTTCCGCGTCAAAAAGCTCCTGCTGCACCACGTCGGAATCGTACACGGCATTGAAATTGAAGGTGTATTCCTCGCCCTCGTTTTTGGGGTTGGGGATCCGCACGACGTTATCCCGGTCTCTCAACGCGGCCAGCTTTCGGTCGCCATTCTCGGTCTCTCGCAGTTTGGCCTCGGTGGTGGTGGCAGATGTACCGGTGCGAACAATGACATCGAGTTCCCGCTCGGACTTGAGAAGAGGTCGGACACGCGCAACGACTCGGACGCTCATGATGGCAGCTCGAACATTCACGTTTCTTGAAACAGGGTATCGCGAAGGAAAAGAAGGCGTCGAAATGCGAGAACGCGATGCGAACAAATAAGAAAAGACAAGAGAAACCCAACAAGTCCTCCAACAAGAAAAAGAACTACCTACCTATGGGGTGAAAGTCGAGGGGTCGTGCAGTGGAGTGGAGGTGTTTGCTGCGGTTCGCAGCGTTTGTCGATGGGCCACGGGCGAGTCGGAGAGGGTTGGCACGACAACCGATGGTATTCTCCAAACGCTTGTCATTTTAGTTGTGCGGTGTAGTTAGTATATGGGCGACTAGTTCCATGTGGAATTTAAATTATGTCTTTTATTTATTTTATTTAATATATTTATTATATTTATTTTATACTATAAATTCAAACGTTCCAGCTTTGCATATATTGAGTTCCAAGGTTGGCCGAGGTACTACTAGTGCTACTCCTCTAGTAGTATCTCGGCTGTTGATATATTTCTCGATCTAGTACCTACCTAGGTAGCTACCTCACCACGGTAGTGCTTGAATACTGTATACCTAGTACTAAACATGCAATCACACTAGATAACTGCAATAAAAGTACTTTCAAATGAATCCCAAATATTTAATATCTAATTCCTACATGACAATAGTCCTACTACCACTGTAGGCAGCCCTCTCAGATGCGGCCCCATGATTGGCTGATGAGCCACAGCTTTAGTGTGAGGTTGTGGCCACCTTCCATCACCGCCTCTCTGTGCCAGTGCTAAACCCCCCTCGTGGTGTTCTCGAGGTACGCAACTCCCTCTCATTACTAGAAGTGTTTTCATTTGGATCTCCTGCTCATCGCGGATTTCATCTCCCCGCTTCTACCTTCCCTGGCCATTGCTTACGCTGATTGTGGGGTTCTAGCGAAGCTGTCAACCCGCGCCTGTACCCCCCCAATCCCCCATTATCAACTCTCACCACCCGCCATATTCTTCCCCCCAAGGAACTCCATTCCGGTGACCTTCGACCGCCGTACATCTCCATGTCCGCTCCACAGGGGGACTACCCTCCCCAGGAAGGGTATGCCCAGCCGGCTTATGGCTCTCCGGATCCCGCACAGTCACCCGTCCCCCCGCAAGGAGCGCCCCTAGCCCAGGCCGGCAAGAAGAAGAGAACGTACGCTGGTGAGGCATTCGAGTTTGGATCTGGTGCCAATGCTGCACTCGGGGGACAGCCCACCGCGGGCGGTGCTTATGGCGCATACCCTCAACAAGCGCAGCCTGTCGCATATCAGCAACCAGCACCAGCCTATGGAGGAGCTGACCCCAGCCAGATGCAACAGGCCCCGCCAGCACCAGCATATGGCCACCAGGCTTCTGGTAGCATTTCGGGGATGACCCAGCAATTCGGCGCAATGGGAATGTCGGAGCCGCACCATGTTCTTCCTCCTCAACAGCAACAGCCCGCCGCTGCGGCTCAGCGCCCAGTTCAACTGAACACCCTCTACCCGACAGATCTCATTTCGCAGCCATTCAATGTCGCCGAGCTGGACTACCCTCCTCCTCCTATTCTCTTGCCCCCGGGTGTATGTTGATGACCTTTGACCCACCTCGCATCGATGAATAAGATACTAATGGCCCTCCCAACAGACCAGTGTTTTCCCCTCCCCCGAAGCCAATTGCCCGACCAAATACATGCGCTCCACCCTGAATGCGGTCCCAACCACCAATTCTTTGCTCAAGAAATCAAAGCTCCCATTCGCTTTAGTAATTCAGCCATACGCTTCGTTGCACGACGCCGAGGACCCTATCCCTGTGATAAGCGACCAAGTTATTTCCCGATGCCGCCGCTGTCGTTCTTATATCAACCCTTTCGTGACATTCCTCGACCATGGCCACCGCTGGCGTTGTAACATGTGCAATTTGACCAATGATGTACCCCAGGCATTCGACTGGGATTCGACTCTGCAAAAGCCGGCTGATCGGTCATTGCGCTCGGACCTGAACCACAGCATGGTGGAATTTATTGCCCCCCAGGAGTACATGGTGCGCCCGCCGCAGCCCCTCGTCTACACTTTCTTGATCGATGTGAGCTATGCATCCGTCACTAGCGGTCTCTTGGCTACCACTGCCCGTACCATCAAGGAAAGCCTTGACCGCATCCCTAATGCGGACCGACGGACTAGATTGGGCTTTATTGCGGTGGACTCCAGCTTGCACTTCTTCAGTATTCCCCGCGATAACTCTGGAAGCTCTGAGCCTAGGATGCTTGTGATTAGCGACCTTGATGAGCCTTTCCTGCCTACTCCCAATGACCTCCTGGTGACCTTGAGCGAAAGTCGGGAGAACATTGAGATCTTCCTTGACAAATTGCAGGATATGTACCAGGATACCCAGAACAGTGGCTGTGCCATGGGATCGGCTCTGCAGGCTGGCTATAAGTTGATTTCTCCCGTCGGTGGAAAGATGACCGTCCTCAGTGCGACACTACCCAACCTTGGAACGGGTGCTCTGACTATGCGTGAGGATAAGAAGGTTTTGGGCACAAGCAAGGAATCGAGCCTTTTGCAAACCGCCAGCGCTTTCTACAAGAGCTTCGCCGTGGAATGCTCCAAGGCTCAGGTGTCTGTCGACATGTTCCTCTTCTCATCCCAGTATCAAGACGTGGCATCTCTCAGTTGTTTACCAAGGTACACTGGAGGTCAAACTTACTTCGAACCTGGGTGGTCAGCGACTCGCCCGGAGGATGCCATGAAGTTCGCACGCCAGTTTTCCGACTATCTTTCCTCTGAAATCGGTCTGGAGGCTGTTCTCCGTGTTCGTGCTACCACAGGTCTGCGGATGAACACTTTCTACGGAAATTTCTTCAACCGTAGTTCTGATCTGTGCGCCTTCCCTGCTTTCCCTCGCGACCAAGCATACGTTGTCGAGGTGGCGATCGACGAGACCGTGACCAAGCCTGTCGTCTGTCTGCAGGCTGCCGTCCTCCACACTACTTGTAACGGCGAACGCAGGATCAGAGTCCTTACTCTTGCTTTGCCAAGCACTAACAACCTTGCCGACATCTATGCTTCTGCTGACCAGCAGGCCGTGGCCACCTTCTTCAGCCACAAGGCCGTCGAGCGTGTCCTGAGCAGCGGTCTCGAGCCAGCTCGCGAGGCCTTGCAAGCCAAGATGATCGAGCTCTTGACAACTTATCGCAAGGAGCTTGCTGGCGGCAGCGTCAGCGGCGGTGGTCTTCAATTCCCGGCCAACCTGCGTGGCTTGCCTGTCCTGTTTCTGGCGTTGATCAAAAACGTAGGTTTTCTCTTTCTCTTCCTATCCCCGGCCCTCTGATCCACCTCCCTTGGATGCTAATTCCTTTCTAGCTTGGACTTCGCAAGTCTGCCCAAATCCCCACGGATATGCGGTCCGCCTCTTTGTGCCTTCTGTCTACGCTACCCCTCCCATTGCTCATCCAATACATCTACCCCAAGCTTTACTCGCTGCATGATATGCCTGACAACGCCGGTTTTTCGGACCCGCAAACTGGCGAGATTGTGTTGCCGCCGGCCACCAACCTGTCCTCTGGTCGTCTGGTTTCGTACGGTCTCTACTTGATTGACGACGGACAAACTCAGTTCCTGTGGGTCGGTCACCAGGCGGTCCCGCAGCTGATCGAGGATGTCTTTGGCGTGCCGGACAAGAGCCAACTGCGCGTGGGCAAATCTACGCTGCCAGAAGTGGAGAATGAGTACAACCAACGGGTGCGGGCTGTGATTGAGAAGAGCCGGGACCACAAATCCAAGGGTGCCGGGTCCATCATCGTCCCCCATCTGTATGTGGTGCGTGAGGATGGTGAACCAGGACTGCGTCTCTGGGCCCAAACGATGTTGGTGGAGGACCGCGCCGACCAGAGTGTCAGCCTGGAGCAGTGGATGACGACACTGCGGGAGAAGGTATGAGCTGTTTTCATTCTCGATTTCTTTTCCTGGAGATGAAGTGAGTCTGTATCTGACACCATGCAGGTCGTGCAGTGATTCTGGTCACGTCCATGGGGGTGTATTTCGATTGAACTCGATCTAGCTATCTCCCTTGTACCAAATAGAGCTTGGACCTCGAGGGTGAAGGGGGGCAGATGACAGATATTTGGGAATGTGAATGGAGTAGAGGGGGAAGTATAACATTTACGAATAGCTTGTTCCCGAAAATGATATTATTTCTTTTCTTTTGCTGTATGATTTGACATGGTTTAATATTACATACTCGTAGTAGTAGACCCAGCAGGATGGGCCCAAGAACCACAGGGCAGAGAGGGAAAGCCAATAGCCCAAAGATAGCACGCCAATAGCGCGCCCGTATTGAGTGGTGAAACCAGGATGGTTGGCGGGTGCCAATCAGGGCTTCCTCAGGTTCACGACGGAGTACGCAGTGGAGCCGGCGAGTCACTGTGATAGTGACCAGCTCCGACAGTAGCGTCGTGTTTCGAGCATTTGGCGCTGGTGGCTTCAGCGATGTCGATCTAACCTACTCACATACTGTACACAGTACGGAGTACGGAGTACTGAAAGTATCTCTATACTAGTTATCTATTGTAACTATACCTATACTACAGAGTATACAGTACTGTATACTCATACTATACTATACTGTACTCTCCTACCACGGCACCTGGTGGAGCCGAACCTTGTAAACAACCACACCTCCCCCCAGACTCCCAAACTCTCCAAACTCCCAAACTTCCAGTCTTCCAGACTTCCAGCCCCAACCTGAAACCACAAATCACAAATCACTGGTCTGATCCTACTGCCCGATCGTCAATCTTTACGACACAGTAGCGCTCCACCGACTCTCCCTGCCCCTGATCGCAACCAAACAGCTTACTGCCCCACCTTCCTGCGGTGGCTGAGTCCCATTTGCTCTTCTCCCCACCTTCTCGCCAGCCGTGAACCTCATCCTGAACCTGGAACCTCTTGGATTTTTGGATACATCTTTCACTGAACATCTCCCACCTCTCTCTTTCATCCTTTGATCCAGTCTCTCGTGAGTTCACCCACCATCTGCTATCTGCTTCCCGCCTCGGCTCTGTTGACCTTGTCTAACCCGCCCAGACTTCCCGAAACCCCTCCATCTCCGCCGTTCCCCTCCTATCCGATACTGGCGCAGAGCTCGGTCTCTTCTTTCTCCTTCTTTCGTCCGAACCCTGCCCCTGACTCGCATCGCTCAATTATTTCTCAACTTTCGAGCCTGGCGCCCGAATTCTTCGACCATCGTCAACAGTCCGCGACTGCCAAAGGATTAAAACTACACCCATTCACCCCCGCGCAAACAAAAAGGTAAGCTCTGCTCCAGGCCTCCCTCATGATGGAAATCCCGCACCGTTTGAATTCCATCTAGTGGCGCTGGAGCTGTCTCTGGAACACTTTCGCTCGGAAGCTCCATGTCTCTTCAGATAAATGGCTGCGGATCGACCCATCAGGCCCATCTCTAGGACCACTGTAGTACGCTGCAGTACCCTTCATGACACCGGATGGATCGACTCAAGGCCACTCGTCTCTCGCGCATTCTTTTTTGGTTAGCAAAATTAGTTCAAAAAGCTAACAATCGCAAACAGCATCTCAGAGTCGGCGTCATGGGTCAACAGAACCCCCCAGCGGGAGGATCGCGGAAGATTTCCTTCAACGTGTCCGACCAGTATGAAATTCAGGATGTGATTGGTGAGGGTGCTTACGGCGTGGTCTGGTAAGTAGTCGACCTTTTTCTCTGGTCGATGGAGATTCCCCCCAAGCTCATATCATCTCAGCTCCGCCATCCACAAGCCGTCTGGCCAGAAGGTCGCCATCAAGAAGATTACCCCGTTCGACCACTCCATGTTTTGTCTGCGCACACTCCGTGAAATGAAGCTGCTGCGCTATTTCAACCACGAAAACATTATCTCCATCCTGGATATCCAACGACCCCGCAATTACGAGGGCTTCAACGAAGTGTATTTGATTCAGGTGCGCATGTGCAATGGCAGAGTAGCCATGAAGGCTATTTGATGGAGATGTCACTAACCCGATCTTAGGAACTCATGGAGACTGATATGCATCGAGTCATTCGCACACAAGATCTGTCGGACGACCACTGTCAATACTTTATTTACCAAACCCTGCGGGCGCTCAAGGCCATGCACTCAGCCAACGTTCTCCACCGTGATCTGAAACCATCCAACCTCCTGCTCAACGCCAATTGCGACCTGAAAGTCTGCGACTTCGGTCTGGCGCGATCCGCCGCGTCCACCGACGACAACTCCGGATTCATGACGGAATACGTTGCCACTCGTTGGTACCGTGCCCCGGAGATTATGTTGACATTCAAGGAGTACACCAAGGCCATTGATGTATGGAGTGTTGGCTGTATCCTGGCCGAGATGCTGAGCGGCAAGCCTCTGTTCCCCGGAAAGGACTGTACGGAAGCATATAACTCCCCCGGTCACTTGCATTCTAGCTAACACATGATTCAGACCACCACCAGCTGACCCTGATTCTGGACGTCCTCGGTACCCCCACGATGGAAGATTACTACGGCATCAAGTCCCGAAGAGCACGCGAGTACATTCGCTCCCTCCCCTTTAAGAAGAAGATTCCCTTCCGGGCTCTCTTCCCCAAGAGCAACGACCTGGCCTTGGATCTGCTTGAAAAGCTGCTGGCCTTCAACCCGGCCAAGCGTATCTCCGTCGAGGACGCCCTGCGCCACCCATATCTGGAGCCGTACCACGACCCTGAGGATGAGCCAACGGCGCCGCCCATTCCTGAGGGATTCTTCGATTTCGACAAGAACAAGGATGCTCTGAGCAAGGAGCAATTGAAAGGTATGGCATCCCGCGTGTACCCAGTAGAATCCTTCCCCGACTAACGACTTACCTTTCAGTGCTTATTTATGAGGAAATCATGCGGTAAACAAAGCAGGTGTCAATATGGGAGTGATTTTCAAGCATGCAATCCAATCAAATCCAATGCAATCAAATTCAGTCAGCGATCGCCATAGTTAGATAGGCCTGGATAGCAATTCACGAGCGATCAGCAATGTTCATCAGACACAACGTAGTATTCGCTCGGACCTATATATACATACAGTCTATAATAGATACTATCATGAAAGTAGCAGTAAATACTAGTAAGTATAAAGCAGAAGGGGTCACAATCAGAGAGTACTATACAGTCTAGCATGGATCAATTATTCAATCCCGCCATAAACCTCCGAATTCCCTCCGCGACACCCTCAGGATTTGGCTTCTCCGCACAAACATCCGGCTCAAAACCAAACTTATTCCTTAAATGGTCTCGCGTCGTAGGCCCAATAGTCGCAACAAAGACCTTCCTCTTCGACCCATCTTCTGCCGCAGTCGCATTCGCAGTCGCAGTCGCAGCAAACGGACCAAGTTGTAGTACCCTCAACATTGCCTCGCATCCCGACGGCGAAAATACCACAACCCACATACCTTCTTCCCCGTTATACCCTTGCACATGTGTCTTGAAATCCGTCTCGAATGAATCCATTTCACCAGTCTCATAGACGACGATTTCTTGGACATCAATGCGCTTTGACTCCGGGAGCATAGGATTCATGAGTGTCTTTGGAATAATATCCCTACGCTGTTCACCAACTAGGAAGAGTAACCCCGGTTTTGGCGGAGGATGCGACGAAGTGGAGGAAGTCGCAGAAGTGCCCGTTTTCTGGAGATCATTATAGTGGTCCAGCATCATATATGCCAAATTCTCGCCCGTGCCGGTATCTGCGCCGTGAATCGTGCTGGTGGGGAGATACTTGTCGCGGAGAGTGGTGAGGGTTCGGGCTGTTGCGGGACCGACGGTATAGAGGGGGATTGAGGGGATGGATGGGACTGTTTATGAATGAAGAGATCTGGTTAGCTTCTTTCCTAGCTGCGATTTGAAGCTAATTCTTTCTCGTGTGTGAAACATACGTCCGTGTTCTTCAATCATATGCGCGAATCCCTCCACCGCGCGCTGGCTGGTGAATATCATGCCTCCATAATGCTTTGATGGGACCACTGTGTGTTCATAGGTATTTATTTGTGTGGATTTGGTATTCTCTGCCTCTGGGTTGAATGCGCCGGACGCGAAGAGTTCGCGGACTTCGGCGAGGTTGGAGGTGTGGAATCGGTGTTCGAGGACGGGCACGAAGGTTGGAGTATAATTGTTTGCGGAGAAGTAATCGTCATAACCGTCGTTTGGGGAAGATCTGGTCTTCAAGAGGAGGATTGAGGGTGCCATTGTGATGTGCAATGAGGTTGAGGTGGGAGGTTCAAATGGTGGAAATGTCCCACTGCGGGATTGCGGGGCGGAGCTCCATTGGAAGCTTGAAGTTATGCCGAATGTCCGAGTCCTCACCTGCATTGCAGAGTTGACTCACTCGCAATTGCAGTGATAGGTAGCTAATAATTATTACAAGGGAAGCTCGATTTGAGTAAAAAGAAACACAAGGAAATTGACTTCTAGGATGGCTTATGTACATATTGAAACAAACTACTGGTCGTCCAGCACGTGGAGATACTTCTTCTCTTCCCGGCGCTCCTTCTCGGTCATAGGAGGCAGGTCGTAGTAGGCGGACTTACGGTAGCCTTTCTGTAGGGCTGTTAGATTTCCATGCCATACGGTTGAGCTCTGAAGTTGAGGAGGCACTTACCAGATACTCGAAAATCATGTCGGTGACCTCAGGAGTCTTTTCAATGCCCAGATCCTTGAAGGTCTTGGCCGTAGGGTCAATGACCTGGTCGTGGAACTCGCGCTCAATCTCATCGGCGGACACGGTGGGCCACCAGAGAGCCTTGTTAAGGTAGTAGGCGGCGGGCTTGGCGATGAACTTGGGGATGTTGAGGGGGGTACGGTTCTTAACGATCTCCCGCTCAACAAGCTCGGAAAGTTCGGCCATGGAGTAGTTGGTAGGGCCGTAGAGCTCAAAAGTCTGGCCAACGGTGCTCTCGTCGTGCAGCATCAGCTCAAGGGCGTGTCCGACCTGGGGGGCCTGGAGGGGGTGGGTTAGTAAAATTCACATTGAAGTCATATTTGACAACTTACGTGGACGGGCCAGAAGCGCTCCTGCATGCTGTTGGCAGTGAAGACATGAGTGAAGCGAGCGAGCTTGTGAAGGAGGTTGTCCTCGAATCCGAACATCGGGGCGGGGCGAACAATGGTCGTCTCGGGGTAGATGTTGCGGACAACTTCCTCACCCCAGGCCTAGAAGATGGTAAGTGACCGCGCAAGAAACGCAAGACGAATCAACCAACCTTGGTGGCCCAGTACTCAGAGGGCGAGTCGCGGCTGGCGTTGTAGGATGAAACGTGGATGAATCGATCCACATCGTATTTGGCGACAGCTTCGGCGATGCGCTCCGCACCATCAACGTGAACGTCAGTGTAGGAGAAGTTCCTGATCTGCGGTCAATATATTGCTACCACCTCACAGATTTCGCATTGACACTCACTTTGTGGGGTGTTGGCGACCGACAAGGTTGTAGACAACGTCGGAGTGACGAACACTCTCTTCGATGGACTGGGTGTTACGCAGGTCGTATTCCTATATGCAATCAGAACAGGTCCCGCTTTTCCGTATAAATTTGGCAGGCGAATCGCATACAAGGAAGGTAACACGTCCGAGATCACCGGTGACCTTCAAGTGACGCTTGGCCATCTCCTCTCGGTAAGGAATCACGACATTGCATCCCTGGGAAGCTGCGGGATGTTAGCTGACCATCCATTGAACTCCAAATTTTGGCGCTTCTGGACGTACCAAGGCGGTTGACGATGTAGCGACCGAGCATGCCAGTGGCACCGAAGACAGTCGCAGTGTGACCTGGAATTGAATGAGCATTGTGGACGAAAGGTAGGATCGAAGCGCAAGGGTTAGGTACCTCCGAGGGAAGAGCTGTGGAGAGCAAGCGGTTAGCATACAATCGTTTTCACATCGGAAGAGAAGCGCCATTGAGTACTTACCGGCCACCCTGGACCTTCAGGATAGGTCGACCGGTGCGGGAAATGGCAACGTCCTGGATGTTGCGGCGCTGGAACTGAACCTGCACGCGCGGGATGGGGGCAAAAGCCCGCGACCCAAGGGCCGACTGAATGGTCCGAGACTTCTGCATGGTCTCTGACCGGGGGTATCTCGCAAGACCTGCGTATGTATTGAGGGGAGAGTAGTGAGGGGAGGGCAGCGAGGTTTCGTGAGTGAGGATGTCGGGAAGATGCACGGGACCACGCGCTAGCCGCATTGGGAACCCACACTGGCACGGAGAAGCTGGAGAAGCTGTCTTGGAGAGTTATTGGAATTCTAACAAAATCAATTGCTTATGGTGTTCAATTACTAATTCCAATCGGATTCCTAGCCAGCAGATACAATAGCGTGGCACGGTACAGAGGTACTGCCCTTTGACGCCCTCGAAGAGTCTGACAATGTGCAGGTTATGATTGGCTGCGCACCCAACCAGCGTCATCTAGGGTATCATGTACATAACTTGATAACTCGTAGAATGCTACCATGGAAGTCTCGCTTTGAAATTGTCCTCTTCTACAGGCTAAACAACTTTCTATTTTTAATCTTCAATTATCAATTTATATTCAATTTTGAGGGCAAAAACCGCACGTCTGAGCTTGCGAAGTATGGTTTGCTCACCCTGGAATCTCACCTTGGGTTTTGCCAAGCTGACTTGAGAATAATTGACTGGTATATTTAATAGAGCCTTGAAGTGTTCTAATGTGTTGCTTCCGTTACTTGGAATTGTATTCTATCGACCACTAGTATACTTCGTAATCAGTGCCCGGCGGAAATCAGCAATCAACTTGAATGGCAGGCGTCCAAAAGAAATACGTCGATATATTATTGAGATACAGATCCATAGTAAGAGAAATTACGTATAAATATTCAATAGAAGATGACAAGATTGATTCTAGACACTCACAAACCAAACTGCAATAGTGGGATCGAGGCTTGTACCTAGTAACTAGTTAGTACTCCGTAGGTGTCCGGGTTCTGCGCCTGTGTATGTACACGCCCCGGCGGAATCTACGTACACGGCCTCCAAAATCAAGACAGCCAACAAACCATACTCAAGCACAGAAATTTGGCTTAAAATTCAAGATATAAATTCAATTCACTGAGAGAAATCAAAATCGACCAAAAAAAACCAAAATACAAACGACGGCTATGTCGTAGCGTGGATATCCAAAGATTGAGAAGAGGAGTATTGTGGGCAAACCACGGCCATCTCTGGTAAAAGGCAAGAAATGGGTTCTGTACTAGCTTGTCCCACTCCTCGGGTGTGCTTCCCAATTGTGTTATATAACCCTGCTCTTGCCTTCCTTGCTTCCCTGGAGCGCACCCCCGGCCCCTCCCGTTCAATTCCCGCCGGCCGCACCTTTCTGTTTTCCTTTTCTCAGGAATTATTCCCCCCCACCCCGCATATGACTTCAGCTCGATTCAAGTTGCCCAGCTACCCCAAGTCGTCCTGCAACACTTCTTCAATTGCCCCGACCTTAACTTCCACCTCCACCTACAAAAAAAAAGAATTAACTGTCTTCCACCTCTACTATGTCTTCCGCTGCCTGCATCTTTTGCAAGATTATCAAGGGTATGTTATAGCTGTATTTGCTGCACCACATTTCCCCCTCAACCCCTCCTCCCGACCGATTCCGTCGCCGAGAATATCGCTGACACTACCGTCCAGGTGATATCCCTTCCTTCAAGCTCTTCGAGAGTGACAAGGTCTTTGCCTTCCTCGATATTCAGCCCCTCAGCCGTGGCCACGCTGTACGTCTCTTTTGTGTACCCTTCCCCGCACGGGCGCGTGTACCTAAATTCGATGCTGCGCTTCTTTGCACATCAACCTTCTTACATCGATTCCATCTCGTCCTCAGAATATGGTGGCAAGCAATAGTTTGGTGGAAAGCAAAGGCTAACCGCGTGATGAACAGCTCGTTATCCCCAAGTTCCACGGCGAGAAGCTGACCGATATCCCCGACGAGGACCTGCTTGAGATCCTGGTGAGTGACCAATTATCCAATCGATTTATTATAGATGGGATGGGAGTTTGGTGAAATCGTCACAGGAGGGTAGTTGATGCAGTTGGGAGCTCCTGGGGTCAGCGACTTGACCTGGGTCGCCAACCCCCAAGGTCCCTAGCTGCACGACAGGGGCTGCTGTGCGGAGATGCTGGCACTGCAAGATCATATGGCTAACTTGATGTTTATGATAGCCCGTTGCAAAGAAGATTGCCAAGGCTAGTGGTGCCACCGACTTCAACATCCTGCAGAACAATGGCCGTATTGCTCACCAGGTCGTTGACCACGTAAGTAGAATGTTCGCCGACACTGATCAATCATTATGCTAACAATCTTGGATCAGGTTCACTTTCACATGGTATGTGACTTCAAAATACATGGTCGACCGCATTCGATCAGTTTCCCGATCCTGTCCTGGTATCCCATTTCCGAAGATATTTACTGACAGGTCACAGATCCCCAAACCCAACGAGAAGGAAGGCATGAGCATCGGCTGGCCCACTCAGGCCACGGACATGGACAAGTTGAAGGCCCTCCACGAGGAGCTCAAGGCTAAGATGTAAAAAAACCCAATAGGTTGCCGTTCATTTAGCCCCAAAGATATAGGAGGAGCATACTAGTAGGAAAAAGCTACTCTATTCAAAGCAGACACCATTAACCCAACAAGATCCATTCAATTGGCTCTGTTAATTTTATGATCCTCCACAATACTTTGTATTTGATCTATAGTGTCTCACATAGAACCAGAACCCGTACAGGTATATACTACAAATCCATGCAATGTGCACACCTCTCAAGCCAGACAGAGACTAGCACATGCTCACCAAAACCCGAGCATTGCCGAAATCAAACAGCTGAAATATTTGCTTATGCAGTTGCCTCACTGACAGGAGTTTGTTCTTCGGTCTCGGTCTTCTTCTTCTCCGAGCCGGGATAGAAATCGATCTTGCCGTTCCCTTGAACAATGTTAAGTCTGTCATAAAGCGAGCGAGTTCGAATATATGGGTCGAGCTCCCAATACTGTTTGCGAAGATGCTCAATCTGACCATCACGCTTTTCTTTAGCGGCAGAAGCAGCCTCGTTCTCCTGCTTGAAGCTAGCTTGGATCCACTCAATCGTGGACTTTTGAATGTCCTTGGCAAGTTCCTGACGCTCGGAGGTCAGCTTATCGCGAGTCTCCGTATCTTCCATCTTGCTGTTTTCGCCTGCCTCAGGCTCGACATATTTGTATTCCCAGTCCTCTCCGCCCTCTAGCTCTTTCATAATTTGGCTGGGCGGGATAAAGGCTTCTAAGTCTTCGCGGTTCTTGGTGAAGTGGATCTTTGCAGCCACAACGGGATCTAGCCAGCCCTTGATGATGCTCCAGATACTGGAGAAAACCCAAGGAGCCTTGTGAATGAGTACGGATCCCAGGGACTCGGGGTAATTGGCTTCAAAGCACTTGATCATGAATTTCACGGGGGTATAGTCCTGGAGGAATTGGTTAGCAATCGTGGTGTTCGTCAGATCGGCAAGGCAGGACGCTCACCATATTGGCCATTCCAAAGTCGGTCATATCAAAAATAATGGTCTATGTATCGTCAGCTATCTTTCTCATCGAGACGTGCGGTATTACTTACAGCAGTTTCAACAGGAGGCGCCAGCAGTAGACGGGCAGTTTCAATGGTATAGACGGTAAAGCGTTCCAAGGTATCGACCTCTTGATCCGAAGCATGGTGCAGGCGAACACGAACAACGCAAATAGGACGACCAAATTTGTCCACACCGTGCAAGAAACTCTTACCCTTGCGCATCTGGAACAAGAACTCCTCGCCCTTCTTCTTCTCCGTCGCGTCCGAGCTTTGCGACAACTTCACAGCTGTGGCTTCTCCATTGGCCATAATATCATCATCCACGTGAACATCCTGTAAGCGCCAGCGCATGGTGGAAATCATCATGACCAATGCCTTCTTGACATCCCATTTGCGCGCGCGCAGGAACCGGAGTAGCAATCCATCCGGGTGATCCTGCTTGACCATATTCCAGAAAGCTGTGCGGATCTCCTCGGGTGACATGTCGACTAGGGCCTGTTGGAATTCCTTGGATTGACCATACTTGTCATCGCTGCTGTCGGAGACGTTGATCGAGGCAAGGCTAGCGGTGATTCCGCTCGCGGAGGAGACACTCTTCGAATCGTCGTCGCCATCGTCGTTGCTACGACCCCAGATTCCCCATCGACGTTTTGAGGGCTTTTCTTTCTTAGACGCGTTGGCTGCAGCAACGTCCGCGCTCTCCTTGTCCTTGGCCTCAGTTTCAAGGGCCTGGATGTCGACGCCGAAGACCTTCAACGTCATGACCCAGAGTTCTTGGAGTTTGGCCTCCTGCTCCGGGGTCAGGGTCCCGACGGTGCCTGGAGCTGGTTCGACGGGCATGGTTTTGAGGGTATCGATAACACCGAGGAAGGGTTCTTGCGGCGGGGACCGGGTATGTGCGGATGATGATAAGTCGTTGGACGTGAAGTAATTATGGGCCCAGGCACCTCCACCAACAGCAAGCAGGGAGATTGAGATCCAAAGGGACGAAGCGGTTCTCTGTTCGTGCTGCGCGGGTAGGAGGGAACGAGATGGGATCGGGGAAGATGGCCGTATGAGCGAACGATCTGTGCGCGTCCGGGGGAGGCGAGGGATTTCGCCGAGGGTTGGATGCGCCGGCGCAGAATGGAGCTGGCGCGCATGTGGCGAGAACCGGGAAGGCTTGCAGAAAAAAAAAAAAGGAAAACCTGAAACCCAATCTGAAGCCTGGAGGTGAGTGTGGGTGGAAATGGAAAAAGACGAGTGAGACAAGCAGGGCTATGCGATGACGGAGGAGCGTTGCGGGTGGATTCGCCTACAAACGTACATTACTACAATAACACAACTACGAGTTCGACTACGAGTATTGTACATCTAGGATTGCTGATGGAAAACAATACAATTGAGAAGAATTGAACTCATAAGACATAGATTCTGTCAGTTCTACTAGTAGATCTAACAGTACGCTATACGAGTATAAACCCTCCCCACCTCTTTAAAATGCAACTGCAACTACCGTTAGACCGGTGAAGTCATCCCATCCCGCAGTGGCTCCTTTTTTCGCGATGCGGCGGGGGGAAGATCTTCATCCACTTTGCACTCAACTCGAACCGAATCGCCCCTAAAAATCCACTCCTATTGCCCTCTTCCTCGTTGGCCCAATACACCCTGTGTCAAAATCCCCTTCCCCCCCCACTCTACCGCCTTGTGAAGCCTCGGAATTTCCTCGCAAACACTCCATCGCGACCCTCACCCACAACATAAACAATGGACGGCGCACCTGTACCATCGTCCTCGCGACCACGGCCCTCCTCGCGCCCTACGACACCGCTACGTCCTAGCTCACGCTCATCACTACGAGAAGCTCACGGATATGGCCACAGCATCAGTGCCTCGGGATACAACCAACCTGCCATTAATGCCCTGGAGCCTCAGTTTGCGGAGCTCGCCGACTCCATGGCAGACCTGGAGGCCAATTTCATGCACCTACAGCTGATGCACGAGAGTTTGACTCGGTTCAGTGAGAGCTTCGCCAGCTTCCTGTACGGATTGAATATGAACGCTTTCTGCGTGGATTTCCCCGAGGTACGGCCAGAGAGACACACACGATGATTGAAGATGCAACCCGCGAGCTTTGGATAAAATGCTGATGGGAAGAACTTTATAGGCTCCGATTTCCGATTCATTCAAGAGAGCTAAGCAGGCGGAGGCACAAAAAGGTAATGAGGGTGTTGGATGGTGATGGAATCTTCGAGGACCGATCGCTAATTTCAGAAGCAGAAGCAGAAGAGTCCGAAGCTGCCCGACCAGCCGATGACGGCGAGATGACTTTCTTGTGAGTGGTGACTGGTCACTAAATTAGCTACCGGTTAAACATGTCCATTAACGAGCTGGTCATCAGAACTACGGACACATCTTTTGTCGAGCACCCGCCTAGCACCATCTCCTCTAAACCAACATCGAAATACTCAACGCGAGGCACAACACGGGGCACAACGCGAGGCACCACCAGAGGCGCGGCTCGTGGTACAACGCGCGGCTCGACGACAGGTCGATATGCAACACGAGGGTCATCTACGCGCAGTCGGGAGAGTGCGCTGCCGCGGGGACGAGGCGTGCGATGAAGGGGAACGGGCTCATATTGAGGTGATAAGGATGGTGAGGGGCATTGGAGATTGGTTACAATAGAGTTATTTTGGCCAATCAGTTGTAAATTGCGAACCTGATCGTGTTGGTAGAGTTGCTGTGATATGCTGTACGAGCTGGACTCGGAGGCCAAGAGCCGCATGGGCAAGGGCAAGGGCATGTTGCGACGAGATGAGTTCAATGAATATATGCTAGTCACAAAGTCAAATGAAATGAAATAAAATAAACTATAGTGATCACACCGAGTACTCTTAGTATCTGGTATATAGTATATATCTAGTCTATAATTAATATATTACTTCTACTACTCCTCCTAATATCGGTGGCAACTCCGGTCTCCCGGCGGTAAATCGGGCGAAAAAAAAGGCCCGCCAACCTCTCCGCCCCCCCCGAGCATCGAAGTCAAGCAGTGGCCCATCCCGATCAAAGCTCCGCAACTTCGCATAACGCCATTGGTCTTATCTCTGTTCATTCTGTATTCGGGTATGGTGAAAGTGTCGCCCTGTGAAGGCTGCGGCAACCCTTGCGAGAGAGCCATATAGCTCCTTTGTCTTTGTCTTGCACATTCTTGGACATTCTTAGACGACCTCCACCTTTCCCACCGGTGGGCGCTCCCCTATATCCCGATCTCCGATCTATGTGATCTTCCCTCCCCGCGCTCGGTTATTGACTCCTCCTTGATAGCCTGAGTGCAATGCTGGCTTTCCCCGGGCAAGTCCGTGAGGCTCATCTGCTTTTTCATCTCGTTGCTCCCCGCGGCCATCATCTGCCGAGTTGCGCGCGTGGGTCATATTGGTGTCGGTCTACCCGCGTATTCCATCCATCTTCTTTCCAAGTTGCATAGAGGTCTGGGACCTTGTATCGGCGTGTCTTCTTTGCATTATATCAGACTCGGTTGATCCCCAAGACCCTTGGGTGCTCGCTATCCCTTTTTTCTTCTTCTTGACGTGCATCCAATCTCTGGCACGGGATTCATCATGGCAGCAGCAAACCTTGACTCTATCCAGATCCTTTCTGAGGCGGCCTATGGCTGTGGTATGTACCAGCTCTACCCGGCTGAACTGACTACTCCCCGGATGGCCGGGCTATCAGTTCATTCAGCTGATCTCATTAGAACACCTCGCGGCTGTCCTCCGGGACCAACAGACTGCTGGCCAGTTCAAAAGCGGTTTCCGAAAACACCATGACTCCCTGGCTCCATTTACAAAACCGGAGGCAGTGGCAGTTCAAGCTTCGGGTCTTCGGACCGTGGCAACTTTGAAACCAAAATACCACTGTTTGACATGCTCAGAGACGTGTTTGAACTCCGAGCGGAAAGCACACACAAAAAAGACCGGACATGTGTTTTGTATGTGCCCTCCCGCTGCAGGCACTGCCTATTTAGTGTATATGCTAATTAATTCTAGACATGGAATCCCGCAATCGCTTCATATTCTGCGAGACATGCGTGGATTTTGTCTACGACCATGGTCTGGAAAAGCTCTGTGGCCCTGTCATCAAGCCTGAAAACGCAGGTTAGTAAAGCTGCACTCTGCTTGGAGACTTATCAAAATCCCTAGCTGCACATACTGACATAATTAAGATGAAAAAGGCAAGTGGGTGGAGGACTCTGCATCAGAGCTCTACGTCAAGAATAATGCCTACAAAAACCCATGCTCCCGCCGTGGTGCTCGGGGCGTGTGGAATATGGGACAGACATGCTACCAATCAGTCATTCTACAGGCCTTACTCCATGATCCAACCTTGAACGCCTACTTCCTAGCGGGTGGTCATGACGTACATACTTGCAAAAGGAGCTTCTGTATGGCCTGTGCCGCTGCCGAGGTGTTTATGGATTTTAACAGCGGTGAAAAAACCGACGCCGTTTCAGCTGCAACTCTCCTCTACCATGGATGGGACGCGTCAAGGGTATGTGTAGATTCCCGTTTACTACTTACTGCATGCGGCTAACTTGCCATACAGGAAATGGCAGGCTACCGACAACAGGATGCCCACGAATACTTTCAATTTCTGGTCAATTCTCTTCACTCTTGTACGCCAGGGCACTCAGAGAGCTATGGCACCAAGTGCGAATGCTTCTTCCACCAAACATTCTATGGCGAACTTCGCAGCAGCGTCATGTGCCACAAATGCGGCAAAACAACCCACACCTATGACCCAATGGCAGATTTGAGTCTCGACGTGCAACTTCAAAACAAGAAGCGTAAGCTGGGCCGATCGACTGCTTCCTCCACCGCAACCTTGACTGGCTGCCTTGACAGTTATACGGCTGTCGAGGACCTTCACGCAGATGCCGCATATCATTGTGAAAAATGCGGAAATACACCCCAGCGCGCGTCCAAGCGACTCCAGATTCGCAAACTGCCTGTAATACTTTGCATGCAACTAAAGGTTTGTGAATCAGATATCTTCCCCCCTCCCATTTACCATTTTGTACTGTACTAATATGCCGACTAGCGCTATGAGCATACCTCGTCCTCTTCCGAGAAAATGGATGGACATATCGACTTCCCTATAACCCTCAACATGCTCCCTTATACCGTCAAAAAAGACAAAGAGCGCGTCGACACCTCAAAGTACATTTACGACCTCTCTACAGTCATCGTTCATCAAGGAACGATGGATACTGGCCATTACTATGCCTACACCCGCTTGGGAGCTGATAAGGTATGTATTCAAACCACTTATCAATCACTTAAGTGCTATGCTGACCATGTTGTAGTGGGCTCTGATGGACGACAACAAGGTCACGGTTGCTAGTGTCGCAGATGTTCTGCGACAGAATGCATACCTGCTGTTCTATAGCATTCGATCTATAGACACGGCAAATAATAATCCTAAATAGAGACAGGGCACTGCCCCTATAAGATTGAATTAGAGATTGACAGGTGTTTTATCGTTAATGTATATAGCGGAGAAAACGCTGCGAACAACTGATTTTACAAGACTTGGACCAAATGCTGTAGATATGGGAGGGCCTGGACGAAAGACCTTGGGACCATGATAATTCCCGAGGCCCTAATCGTGATGGCCACCCTGCTACTCTGGGCGGCTTCCCCAGTGAGGCTAGGCTTAGATAGCTCCGTACCTGAATCCAAATAAGGTTGACCATAAAATCGATTGTTGCATGACAAACGATCAATCGAGAAGGCTTCTCAATCCAACAGAAAACATCAGATTCAAATCTACGACCATTCCGAGGGTGCAAAGAAGGCATCCTTCTCTGACGCTATCTCACTCGTGACAGCTACGAAGAAACTGGTATGAGTCCGGACGAATATGCCAGGCTCGGAGCATTTCCGAAAGCCGAAAAATCTCCCGAAATCGTACACGTGCAGAGCATTAAGGAACCAGAAAATCCGTCATTGATATTGGATAAAGGAGAAAAAAGGATGTAGGTTCAATCCATCCTCGTTCAAAAACTCTTCACTCAACAACCCCATTCCCCGTCTCGTCCATCGATTTCACACCCGAGACACCAAGCAACAAAAAATAGTAAAGAGAAAGATTTTTTGGGAGCCGTCATGCGAAAAAACGGAGCGCGGGCGCAGTCGTTTCCCCGGCGCTTCGAAACATTTCTCCCACCCCGCACCTCAGTCGAGTGCCAGGGTACGTTGAACGGATTGTGGAACGCGAATGGATCGAGAGGGCGTTAAAGGTGGACATTGGTTTCGTATTTTGTTTAACGGTACTGTAGAGGCCGAGGTTAGATTCTGCTATTGATGGGGTGGCCGACAAGTTCCTCATGAAGGAAGGGTATTTTCCAATTCCAGAATTCGTTCGAGGTCGGCGAGTGAGGATGTAGACGAAACGAACCTTGTTGAAACCGATGTCGGCGGACTTCTCACGGAAGCACTGACGGCAGATGTTCATCTGTAAGACGGAGCCGGGTTAGCCAAATGGTTCCCCAAGCACATAACCTGCACGCACTGCGCGCGCTCGATATCTCAAAGAGAGGTTTCACATACACCGTACTTGCGGATCAGACCGGCGCGGTGAGCGCAGACACGGCTAAAGTTCGATCCAAATTAGCAAGTCGTCCAAGACCAAAATGACTCCTCCAATATTTCAAGATCATTGTGTATCGTCCACCACCCGTGTTCGAGGATATTTCCGATTCTTATGATGTCTTGTCGAGCGAGAGAGGGTCGGGGGAGATAATTATTTCAGGGGAGTACACACCAAGAACGGGCACCCTTGCCGTACCTGTGTAGAGAAGTCCAGTCAGTCATTTGTTCGATGTGTGCATTTCGGCAATTCGCAATTCGTGCAGCGCTCGTGGTTCAACTTACTTGCGGGGCCGGCTGAACCAAACGGACTCGTGAGTCATCTTGAGATGTCGTAGGGGGTGAGTTGACCGGGGGGTTGTTGACGTGAACGAGGGGCGTGGGCGGCGGTTGAAGAGGGCGAAGTCGAAGTCGAAGGTTAGGGTTGAAAATCGTTGTGTGCTGTGCCCCAATTGGTGATCACGCACGGACCAACTCCTCGCTTGACCTAAACTAGTCCACTTTAGGAAATATTGGTGCCTGAGGCGGGTACAGAGGGCTGGGGTCACGTTTGATTAGTCATTTTAGATCTATGGGAAAGATTCGTAGAACAACTCAATTCACTAAGTTTAAGTGGACATTGGAGGTCATGAACTATAAATGTCTTAATCTAAGGGGGATAGAAATACATGGAATGAAAGAAAATTCTCGTTGCAGTTGCTATAGCACTTGGCTACAGGTGCTCATTTTGAATAACCTACACGTATGAGGTCCTGGGCTCCGGCTTCGCTTTGCTGTTGCACACTGTTTTTTAATCTTTCTATTTTACTCCTGCGGATGCAAAGGGTTTAGGAAGTGCAGATAATGTAACTTTGTAAGCCCACGCTTAATTTAATCACTTGCCATGTGCAATAGCAGGCAGCAATCGCCCCTCATTCTCAACAACAAATGTTCACGATTTAACTACTGAACATAGTGTTCACACTCTAAAAGCATGCATGATGCATATTTGAGAAATACTAAAAGGGCTCCATCACACTCTAGGTAGGGCTCTCCTTGTAATTAGTCTTGGGGGAACTCGAGCCTGCCACACGCTCTAGCCAGACACCCCTGCCGAGACTCTAAGCGCAAGGCCGGTGTTTCCAACCAAAGCCATCAGTTCGGGGAAGATAACGGGGACAAAATTAGAAGGACCTAGAGTGTGCGTGTCGTTTCGTCTTCAGTCACACCGTTGTAGGATGGTTTATTCATCTCTCTACGCTCTTTCGATTTGGCTTGCATGAAACTTCTAATTTTGAGACATCTGAAAGATTATCGTCGACTGAATAGATTATCTTATTTTTACTTTGAGCTGCTTAGATTTAATTGCCGCATCGAACATCAAGAGAAAGTCCCGACCTTCTTGCGAGAATCAAGTCCGCCCCAACAAGAGGATAGAAGGGAGAGGGTGGAATAGGTCACGACAACCCATTGATGACTACCATCCGTATAATCAAATCCAATATATCCACAAGCCAAGCTTGCACTGGTGCTCCTCCTCTCTAATACTAGTCAACATGATTACTCGAAGTGTGTGGGCAGGTGACTAGCGCTAAGTGCCAATCCAACAACAGTGCAAAGCATATGATTTAGCACAATTTATGCACACTCTTCTCTGCGTACATATGAGAGACTCACTCCAAATCCCATTTGGAGAAGAGCCATGTAGATCGCACGGGAGACACCCCGGCGAATGAATGCACCACCTATTGGGTTCGTAGGTGGTGCCTGGGGACGGATAGCGCGGTGCCGGGGATCCGACCATTTCCACAGGGCTGTCTTGCTCGAATTGGCAATATGCATCGATTGGGGGATGTAGATGTAGATGTAGATGGCTCAATGCAGTGTGGTTTAATGGGGACTTTACAGAGTACCGTAGTGCAGGATTCGCTGATTACTGTAGGTTATGAGTATGTATTTGAGTTTTGGATTTAAAGATGGGTAGACTTAAAGCCTCTGGGGTTTACTAGATGGCTAGACCACAGCATTTCCAGTCAATATTGTGCATTATGTAGTGCGCGCATAAATCACATGTATGTGTTGGGCACCACGAGTGCAACAGAGCACAAACATCCAAATAAAGGCGCTGGGAAAGCACCGACGCTTTAGCCATTGTCACACCGTACGATCGTGTAGCACCCAGCGGTCCCCATAGCCCGGGGTAGGCGGAAACACAAGCATAAGAAGGTGGCGTTCTTTGACTCGTCTAGTACTTCGAAGTGGGGGGGATGGACAAGTCACGCAAAAGTGTATCATATGACCAGTTTCGATGAGATCAGAAAAAGTTGCCGGATTTTGTATTCCGTTTAAGAGAATGGATAGAATAAGTCAAAAATGGAATTAAGAAAAAACATGCCAAAAAGACCGGGCCGTGCGTGTACGGTGCGTGTGCAGAGTCGCAGTACCGGAAGGCCGCGGATGTCCCGCGGATGCCGATTCAATTGTGCCCAATCAATACGGCGCGAAGATCGTCAGGTCGACGGAGACGTGTCCGGTTCGGTCCCGCTTGTGCGGATCTTGACTCGTTCAATTGCCTGTATTTGTATAGGGGTTTTTCGTCTGGCCTTGTGACAGTCTCGGGCACTTTTAGCAATGATGATCATGACTCTCAGATGCGGAGATGGATCTTATAGAAGGTACTACTACAAGTACTATGTATATTGCCATATCCGAGCCCGACATTGGGACCGGGTACCTCCATATATATATAGCTAAATCCAGCATTGGACGCACCACGCAACGATTCTTGGGTGAAACAACTTCGTAAATTCCATCTCCGCTTTTCAGAGATTTCTTGGCGCCAGAGGAGGAATCAGTGGGTCTCCAGGCGGTGATAGACTATAGTCTTGGAACATTCTAATATCTTCCGCCGTCCAGGAACCAGGCACGCCCGGGCCAAGCCATTCAGTGCTAGATGACCGCCTTGCTGGGTCATCCCATTTCGAGCGAGACCCGCTCCTCGACCAGGGTGAGTTCGGATAACTCGGTTGACGAGGTTGCCGGTTTCTTCCTAGCGCTTAGGAGACTATACGCTGCAGAGTCTTGGCGACATACACTCACGTATTGCAATCGTCGTACTTCTTCGTCATTGGGGTCTTGGTTGAATGGGCTACACCAGAGCGTCTCTTCGATCTCAATTGCTTTGGCGACGAGAGTGGAGCCCTGACTGACCATGTTAAAGCCCTGTGCAGAAGGACATCGTTTCAAAAGAGAAAGCGCCTTGTGTCGAAGATCAGATTGTCGGCATTTCAGTGCTGTTATGAGAAAGGAATTCCGACCCCAACCAAAGATGTAGCAATCAGCAAGTAAAGGGCATGATAGATCATGATAAGTGTGGGCATGACACCCAGTTCTGAATTCGGGACTAGCTGTGCCTGGTCACGCCGCATTTAATTTGCCTGTTTCCATTGCTGGTTCTTTTCTTCCAGATTCTGCCTTCGAGATTGAAAAGTCTCATCTAGCTAAGAATGTCCGAACTGTTTTTGATGTTGCGCAACGCCGCTTTCATAAGACAAACATAGAGCGACCTGGTGGGTGAGAGTATGTCGTGTCGTATCTGACGTCCAATGTCGTGCTGATTGGTCGGGCGTTGGTAGTGATAGTTCGAATGGTATCCCTAATGTTATGTATGCAACTGATCCCTGTAGCTCGCGTGGCGGCGTTTCATACAAAGAGCTTGCGGTCATTGCCGCGTCCCAGACTGCGGGCTCAGTTCGGCTGTGACTCCTTTCCAAACGCCCACATCGAGTACCCCCGCAATCGAGGGGCCAGCATGATATAAGTAGAACTCAAAGCTGCGTCTTTCACTGGAGCTATGAGAGGGAGAGAAGGGGGATGATTGGATAACTGCACCACGGTGGGACAGATCTGTTCGATGTGAGGGGTTCAAGTACCTAGTCACATCGTCGGCCCGTGCTTAAGCACCATAGACAGGATGGTCTCTGTTCATCGCATTCGACACGACGAATCCTATGCCACTTAGTATTTTGCTCGAACTATAAAAGTATCAGCGGACAGACATACTTGCAGGTTGGACACCCGGTTTTGCCCTTGGGACCATTCCTTCGTGCGAGGACTTTGGGTCCTCTGGTGGAGGCATCCGAGCCTGAATATTGAGTATGGTGTTTGCTGCTCAAGAAACTGTAGCTCTAGGCCACATTAGGCTTTCTGCATGGGATTGGGATTGACATGGATTGATGTGGGGAGAGCGGATCCCAATTAGGCTATCGTTAGCAAATCTTACTCAGCAGGACTGCCCAAGAACTGATGGACTTGGAGTCATTTCCATGATTACTCAATCAAAAGAAACCAGTTCTGCAAACATTTTTGATCGCTTTCCGTACGTGGTTTGGTTACATTTGTGACCGCTTGTCAGTCATGCTGCATGGCTCATCACAAAAGGAGGGGGGGATCACCGGTTTGCAGGTTCAAGTCAACGCACCAGTATATTTCTAATCATTCTAAACCTTAAACGGTACCCGATTTTGCTTACGGAGTAGATATATCTTTATTCATCATTTACAAATCTCACGTATGATTATCCAAGTTGCGTAATTTCCAATTTGAGTGTTTAATTCCACCAACCTGAAGGCGACCATCGGGACACATGCTGGTGAGTATACTTCGAATCGGGGGCAATGTTCATCGAACGCCCCTGGCGGCTATACGGAGTGCGGATATAGGATGACCGGCACTGGGGATTCTTACCAAACTATGGCAGTTCAGTATTCTAGGACGTCGGGTCACAGTGTGGTCTTTGCACGACTTTTGAAAGGTCATGATGCTCGGCCCAGGAAGGCCGAGCGCCTTCACTCGGGGCCAGGCGGAGCTAGGGCTATTAGCTCGGGGATAACATCATCCTGCATCTGCAGGCTAGAATAATTCACGCCTTGTCACAATTAGGTGTGGATCTGGTCGTGAATGTAAGTAGTACATACTTTGACGAGGTGGCTGGGGGCCAGATCAAGGTCTTACTCCACATGGTCGGACCACGAGTCGTCTCAGTCATGCCATGAAATGATGATGGCGCTCGATAAGAATATAAACAAAAGCAGTAAGAGAGCCTAGAGTAAGAAATTGCGTGGAGGTCTGATACAAAAATCAGGATTCAGCGGCAGGCCGACCGAGGGAGGATCAGACCCTGCCAACGAACAACTCAAAATAGTGCGGCTCGGAAGCTCGCAATCAGCGAGGCCGAGAGGGATACGAAAGGAAGAGTACGATGCCGGGGGTCCGAAGCTGACCGAGTGGATCTGTGCGTATACGATTGTGGGCACTTGAGTGGCACCGTCCTCGGACTCTCCCGTAGTATGAAAATACTAGGTTATGGTACTCCGTATATTGATGATACTCGTATGGACCCTCCCAAGCAAGAAATGAGTCTTTTGGGCTATGTGGTCAATCCAGATAGTATTGGAACCGGTATGACCTAATTAGGGGGGGTGTCCACTATGATGACCAACCGCTACAGGGCTGAATCATGGAGCCCAGCAAAAGCAAAAGCAAAAGCAAAAGTAAATGTAAATGCATACGAGTATGTGCTGGGGTCAGGCAGCATCTTCTGATCTCCTGGCGGTGTATCCATGTCCAATGAGGCAAAGATCGACTTCATCATGAGGAACGCGCTTGTAGCATTACTACAGGAAAATGCTGTCAAGTACAAAGAATGTCGCTGGGACTATACCGCCAAAACCCGCAAATGCAGATGCAAATGCAGATGCGGAACAAGGGACCTTGGTTCTTGGCAAGCCCAATTTCTGGGTAACTGAGGTCACTTGCCTCAACGCCGAGTTCGACCTGCATTTCGGCCTCCCGGCTGTTCCGAGAGAAAATGAAGAGAAAGTAAAATTCCCTGATTGGATAGTTCTTTCAAATGTAAGAACCATTGCCAAGGCTGGATGGAGCCTTTCGATTTTTCCCTTTTCAGTGTTGATACAAAGTGAGCGTTGGACGTGGTGCAAGACAAAGAAGTTCTAATGGGGTAGGACAATCTGGTGTACATCGTATCTGTATAGGAGGGGGAGAACACACCGACCCAATGGAATATTATCCATCCCTACCACAAGCACCAGGTGTAAATGCTCTAGATGATGCACGGAGCTCTGAGCTAGTTACTGAAACGGCAATTCGGGCCAGCCTCTCTGCGTGAATCATTCTAGCCAGGGAAAAAAAAAGGAAAAAAGAGGGAGAGAACGGCTCCTCGGAAGCGCGGCTTGTTGCCACGCACTCCCTTTCTATCCCCCGCCCTCGGAGTATTGGAAATCAGCGATCCTTTTCACTGAGGTCAGAAAATCCCCAAAAAAAGGACATTAATTATTATTGCACCTTTCTTCACCTTCAAGGAAATCGGCACCTTATTCCAGAATTATTAATTCTCTGTCCCACTGACCTCTTATATACTGGGCCGACCTCCCCCGCTGCCTATACTTCCCTTTCAGCCCTATTACTCGATCTCTCCCCTATTACCCCCCAGCCCGCTCTAGACTCATCGGATGGTCTCTCAAATTCACTCAATTGATGAGTCATTTAGTTCAGACCGGTTTCTGGCAAAGCAAATGAAATTGGGAGAACCACGAAAATAAGGAAGCTTGCATTCACTGAGGAGTCTGGAAGCATCGTTACGTCACGATTCGACAGAGCTTCAATCTCACGCCTGATTGAAGCTCTACCTTCCTCACTCTTTCCCTTTTTCTTCCTTCGTACATGGTATACGCTCCTCACAATAGTTATACCTCAGCTTTACGACCGACTTCACGCCTATGCGGCAAATAGCTACTCGCGCCGCCCTTGCGGCAGTTTTCCTCGCGGCCTCGGTGCTCGCGCATGATGATGAATCGACGAATACGAATATGAATATGGACATGAACATGAACATGAAGACACCGGCCTCGGCGGACCCTGTACATCCAAATAGTGAAGGACCGATGAGCTACTTCGCCTACGATAAACACAGAGGCGCCATTTTGGCGCATATCGGTTTGATGGTCGCGGCCTGGTGCTTCTTGCTTCCTATATGTAAGTATCAGCACGGACAGATCGGAACCACGCGGAGAGGAATGGAAACTAACTGACGGCTTTAGCGGTCATGCTTAGCATTGCGCACTCACGATTTGCGCTACCGTCGCAATTCGTGTTTATGCTGTGCAACGCCTTCGGCTTGCTTCTCGGCATTATTTATAATGAGCAGACACCCGACCTATACGAGAATAACGCACACCACAAGATCGGATGGATTATCACCTGGGTGGTCAGCACTCAACTCATCTTGAGCTTGATCTTTGTCTATGCCGGCCGCGGCGAGTCGAAGACTGAGTCTAGATCTTTTGAGCGTGCTACTTTCCTCCCCGTCGCAACCGATGGCAATGAGCATGTCCGCGTTTTCCCTACTGCTCCAATGCACGAATATAGGTGGTCTCAGGGACAGTGGACAGGGCACTGAACCTAACTCGCCCAGCGACAGCCCTGCCTCTCCATCTTTCGAGCCTCCGGAATACGACGGATTCGAGAAACCCGAGGATGATATACCCAGCGAGACTACTGGACCGCGCCGTTGGATCAAGAGCACCTTTGTGGATCGTTTCCTGTCGAGACTCGTGCCTGGGATGGTTTCCAACCACGTCTTGCGCGTTTTCTACGTGGTATATAAGGTGATCGACCGGATAATTCTTCCCTTCGGCTTCGTTGCTATGGCCTCTGGTGCGGTCACGTATGGCGGTATAATGCGCAAGACGGATATTTTCAATGGCCTGGCGCACTTTATCAAGGGTGGGATCTTCTTCTGGTATGGTGTGCTCACCCTCGGCCGCTATATCGGCTGCTGGGCGGATCTAGGCTGGGCTTGGAACAAGAAGCCCTCCGCTTCCATCGTCGGCAACTGGAAGTCCAAGGTCCCGTCGGCAGAATGGACTGAGTCCTTTGTCATCTTTTTCTATGGCATCACTAACGTCTTCCTGGAACACCTTTCCAATGCGGGCAAGGGGTGGTCGACAACGGATTTGGAACATGTCTCCATCACAGTCCTCTTCTTCGGTGGTGGCCTGGCCGGCATGCTCTTTGAATCTTCGCGTATCCGTGATGCCCTTAACAGCACAATTCTTCGCTACCCAGGACACGGTACTCGCGATGAAGGCTGGCAGCTTCCAAGATCACAGACCGTGTCTCTAAATCCTATGCCGGCTTTGGTCATCCTACTCCTTGGTATGATGATGGGTTCGCACCACCAAATGAGCATGACCTCGACAATGATACACAAGCAATGGGGTAACATGCTGGTTGGTTTTGCACTAGCTCGCTGCATGACCTATGTCCTACTATACATTCGCCAACCCACTTCATACCTACCTGCTCGTCCGCCGACTGAGATCGTCGCTGCATTCTGCCTCATGTCTGGAGGTCTTATCTTTATGATGAGTGTAAGTACACACTGAGTCTATAGATGGGAACCCTGGCGATATGATATACTAACTCGAACCAGACTCGCAACGTCATCGAGGCCATGGAATATTACGAAGTCGATGCGATGTTCACCTTCACCGTGGGCCTGGGCTTCACAGCCTTCATTATGGCTCTGGAGATTCTGGCCATTGCACTCAAGGCATGGGCCGTGAAGCGCGAGCAGCCTCCACAGCTGACTTACCGCTTCCCATGAATCATTTCCCATATTATGTTTCTGTTTGATAACGATACCCCTTACAATTATGTGACTTTTTTTTCCCCTTGCGGTCATTTGCATTTATTCTTATCTATTCTTATTTATTTCTCCTCCGTCGGTGCAAAGTTGATTGTCAAATGTTACCAAGGACGCTCAATCTCCGCTCTGCAAAATCTGGGGTTTTTAAAATGTGTGATGTTAAGATGAGTAACGGATTAATGTGGTGGTAGTATTCTTTATTTTTACGTGTGGGTGATCATCCAGGATTTAGAGACAGAATGTCTGATCGTCTACATTTTCATACAGTATGTAACTACTATTTACTCTATTTAACCTTAAAACGGCGCCACTCTAATAACTTAATAAGCCTTTAGCCGGGTCGGGGATAAGAGGATTAACGCCGGGGGTTTTCCGTGCCGAGTACCGAGTCGGCAGTTGAGCTTTCTTGTGCTTCCCTGAGGTCATCACAACATCGATTAGTGAAAATGTTCAATGGTTAGAATCTTATAGTTAGAATTGGACATTTTTTTATCTGATCCAGCGATACACATATTATCGTAGGTGAAAGATCCATCAAGTATAGCTGTAGAAGCGTTGAGCAACAGTACATTAATAATCGAACACAGGCAGGTTGTGACCACGAGGGGTAACGGCAGAGTGGGTCAGTGATGGATGCACAGAAGCTCGACATTGTGCGAGCCTAGCGGCACATCTGGCAGTTGATTGGGCCAGTTGTGAAGAATTGGAGGCCTGGAGGATTGGAGGTGGGAGTAGGAACGGGTCCCGATGATGGAAGGAGGGGCTATGATTTAATCAGAGCTCCCCTCGGATACTTTTCTGCAATCCAACCCTCCCCTCTCTCAATTTCTCTCTCCAACCTCTGTCCCTCCTATTCATCATACCCACTCACATATTTCCCCTATTTCCTCCATTTCTTTGAACACAATGGCCTCCAACCCTCCCGCTGCCTGCTGCGCCTCTGGCTTCAAGCATGAGGGTACCCCTCTCGGCGAGGTCAAGAACGTTGACGGAGGTGAGTGACAGCTAGAGTTTACATCGGAAAATCCCCCAGCTAATCAATCAATCCACACTAGTCAACACTTACATCACCTCCCCCAAGGACAAGAGTGATAAGGCTGTGCTCTTCCTTACCGACATCTTCGGAATCTTCCCCAACGCGCAGCTCCTCGCCGACGAGTTCGCCAACAATGGCTTCCTGACCGTTATCCCCGATCTGTTCGATGGCGACCAGATCTCTGTTAAGGACATGGAATCTGGCAAGGCCGACCTCCCCGCTTGGCTCCCCAAGCACCAGCCTGGCAACATCGACCCCATCATCGAGAAGACCATCAAGTATATGCGTGAGACTCTTAACGTGAAGAAGATCGCCGCCGTCGGCTACTGCTTCGGTGGCAAGTACGTCACTCGTTACCTCAAGCCCGGCCAGATCGACGTTGGCTACAGCGCGCACCCTTCTTTCATTACCCACGAGGAACTGGGCGCGATCAAGGGTCCTTTCTCCATCGCCGCTGCCGGTATGTAACACTTACCTACTCCACACGACTTCAAGATTGAGAATTCTTCTAACACAAAGCAGAGACCGACAGCATCTTCACCACCCAGCTCCGCCACGAGTCCGAGGAGACTCTGATCAAGGCTGGTCAGCCTTGGCAGATCAACCTGTTCAGCGGCGTGGCTCACGGCTTCGCCGTCCGCGGTGACCTGAACGACAAGACCCAGAAGTGGGCCAAGGAGCAGGCTTTCTGCCAAGCCGTTGTTTGGTTCAACCAGCATCTGTAAGAGTGGGTTGCTATTGAAGCAATGCCGGAATGAATGGCACAGTGCTTGGCTGGCTCATGGTGAAGACATTGCTGATGATGTGTAGAGTTAGTGACGATACACAGACGGCCAAGTTATGAGGAATGAAAAGCTCCAAATAAAGCTGTGATGAAAGAATATCCAATGAACAATTTGAATTTAAATGAAGTGTGCTACTAGTAGTAGTAGTAGTAGTAGTAGTAGTAGTTTATCAATATCTCCAAGTCCCAATTTCTCATATTTTCCCATTTGAATTTTCAATTATAACAAAACAAAACAAAACCAGGTACAATTGCGATCCGGTTGAATTACTAGTAGAAGAAGCAAACGAAATCCGCCTGATTCTATACACAACTTGAATGTACTTCTGCGACCCTGGCCAATCATGGATAAACGATGATTATGTCATCCGACATGAATGGTCGTTGTGGATCGCCCTAACCCCCGTTGAGGGAAAGTGCGAAAGTGGGAAAGAAGGAAAGAGCTTGGGCGAGACCCAAAACATAACAAAAGTCGGCGCTAACTCTCACCAGTCAAATTTCAATGTGATGATTCATTTTTGATTTCTCTCATTCCCAATGATTTCCACCTACATGAGTTCCGCTCGCCACGATGGAGATGACTCGGGTATTACCCTCGAATTTGAACTTTACCGCCTGTCGAGAAGACTTGAAACTACCGAGTCTCGAGGACATGCGTGTTTACTGGCACACTAAAATGCTGGCTGCACAACGATACATGGCTGTCATGAACGAAGGCTTCAGTCTGGCCCTCCATTTAAACAATGAACGATATACGGATGAGCTAGAAGCAAACATCAGGAAGGATTTCAGCACTCAACGGCCGCGTGTTATTGACAGCTTAGAGGATCCTGATTTGAGTTGGACCGATCTTATCAGAGAGACCAATGAAGCTTCTTTTACCCAGGTCGATAAAGGGGTCTTTTCGTGTTCTGTTCGCCGCAAACATACCGTCCAAATGACCGCCGAGGATCGCAAACAAGTCAGCCATTACCACTCTATCTCAGTTGTGCATCAAATACCGCAACAAAAACATGTTCACATCGAGAGAGATACCATTTCTGAGCTCCGCACTTTTATTTCAGCTTGCAAAAAAGATCGGGAAGAGGGTGCGTCTCTTGGCAACACGCTATTTGTTCGAATTGAAGACTAACCTGAGTAGCGGCCAAATTCGAGGAGAAATTGGATGATCTTCTGAGGGAACGTGATTACGAACTACGCGAATTACAAGAGACTTGGATAACTTCGTCGCGATCGATATCGTCTCCGCGCAATCTCCCTTCGGAGTCTACGAATATCTCGACCGGAGGTTTACCAGGTGCACTACCGTCTCCCCAACCGCATGAACCACTTGTACCTCCAGGGGTGTTTGACAGGCCTGTTCCTCGGTGGTCTCGAGAGCCATCACCCGCCGACTCTGTGATAATTATAGATTCCGATGATGACCCCCAACAAGCCACCACGTCTCACCAGCCAAGAACAGAAACTCGAATTTCAACTCGAACACCAACCCAATTAGCCCCAAATTTCAATCCGGATAAGACACAAGAAGCCCCATTGTCGTATTCTGCAACCGATCAGCAGCTAACATTGAGAACTCAAGACGGAGGTCAGATTACGAGAGCTCCGATTATGAGAGCTCCGATAGGGCCCCGGGGTCGATCCCAAGAACCCCAGAAGAAAAGTTACACGATTCTCATTTTATCGCCTTTCAACACGATCGCAAGATTCCTTGGTCTCGAATACGAGAAAACTACGAACAAAGATTTAAGGTTGCTAGAACTCAAGGAACCTTGACTGTGAAATATTTTCGCCTACCAAAGGAGGAGCGAGTGTCGAGCGGATGCGTGGCGTTGAAGCTTCACTCAAGACCGCGTTTGAAAGAACTGGTGGAAAGACTATGGCCTGGATGATACTGTAACACTGTATCTATGGAACTGCGCATTTTGGCGCTGGGACTATTATCATTTTTTCTTGTTCTTGCTATGAATATCGGGCGTCATGGTTCAAAGAAGGTGTTTGTTATGTGCTGAGGATTGCAAATATCTTTCTGTATCTGTCATTAATATACCCACTCATTCAATCCTCGTTACATGTGCACAATGTGAGGATTATTACAGTTATGCGAGTCTGCCAAACACAATTTGAACCCTTCCGAGGCCTGGGCCTAAAAAAGGGGTTGAAATGTCCCTGATGACCACTGAGGATTAGGGCTCCTAGCCTCGGAATGGAGAACTACAAAGAGAAAGGGGAACTGGCTACACAGAGACCTCCTGCGTGTGCTTCGAGGATGAAAATAACTTGAACCAACAAAGAAATGACCGGATTTCTGGCACATGTACTGGTAGAAAAGCAAAATTGAAAGAACTTGAACTTGAAGCATATTCAATGCGGCCGCTTTGACAGTCGCCGTGGCATTGAGTCGGAGTCTTTCAACAGCAAGGCTGCCCAGGCGGTTGCTTTCTTTCACACCCGGACTTTGAAAGAACTCACATCGACAACCTGAACATGAATATGTTGTATTTGCGGCGAGTAAGACTATTTAATCAGTGTACTACCTTCATCCAGGTGATTTAGGCGAAGGAATTGATCAATCATTCTCGTCTGACGTATACTTCTCCGAATTTGAGTTCTATTTAGATACTTTCTGAACAATGCCACGCAAGCGCAAGGCGGAGACTTCTACCGCTAGACCAGGTCCCTCGCGGCCTGGTAAACGGTGGAAAACAGAGATGATCGAGCTCGAAGAGAGAGACATATTTCTCAAAGCCGAGGATGAGAGCATGAAAAACAAGGAGTTGAAAAAGGTAATCGACTCTAGATATACTGGAATATACCCTCCCACAGCCCCACAAAGGCCCAAAAGACAACACAGATGGCGATGGACAGGTCTGGAACCTCTCACAGACCCCAAGAAGCTGCCTCAGCTGTGGAACTGCGCTGAGCCTGATCTTGACGACAATGACATTGAGGGCCAGATCCAGAGGTGCCATGAGAGAATCGAGGAAAACATAATGCCCGATATATTTCGCAAAAGACTCGCTCGATATCAAGCCCTGAAGAAAGAGAAAGATGATCTAATGGCTTCGGAGCCGGGTCTTGAGTGGGGAGTTGTGCAGCGCGTGAAGGAGCTGATCCAGATTGGACAGGAGCTGGAGAGAGGTGGCGACCCGGAGCAAGAAATACCAAATCTTCTGGCAATTATCGATGCCTATAGAACTAAGAAGCTGGAATGGGAGTGGGGAAAGGTTACATACTGGGTCCACGGAAAGCAGGTCAATGAAGAGCCACAGGAATTTTCGTGGGACGATTTTGAGCGCAAAGCTGACACTGCTGGGGGCAGGGGGTTTTGGGCAGAGGGGGTAAGTTCGTAGTATTCTATCAACATGTATTCAATACATTAACGAGGCTTGGACGAACCAGATTTTCAGCGGGCCAGGACCCTATGACGATGAGTGGACACTTGGAGCTTTAACAGCTGTTCCAGGTATACATCGATGGGGCCATGTTAAAAGGGTACGTTGCTCCTAGAAAATGATGCGATGATTGAAGTGAACGAGATCAATTTTAGAAGCAAAAGCCCTTCTAACCGAGTTGCTTTCTTTAGGTACCCTGTCTCTTGGATATACCTGGCTCTAATAGCATGTTTCCAGTCGAATTTATGGACGATACTGGAGCCTTCATTACAATAATTGATCAGCGCGACCTAGACGATATGGAAAGTCAGAGCGGAGTAAAAGCAACAGTAGCAGGGTACAAAACAGGGGCCGGTGTCACCGGTAGCTTAGCACTAAAAATAATAGAACTGATGATCACCCTTCCTCATCCCACTGATCATCCGGAACAAACTCGCCTGCCTTTTTTCAAGATATTCTGCGGTGTCAGAAATATACCACCAGGAGCTTCGCGTCATAGACTTCTGGGGCCTTGGCTAAGACATGTGATATATACTGCAACATCCCCCGATGGACAACACGGTCTATATTTGCTTGATACAAAGGATGATTTCAAAAATGTTCCTAAGTCGACAATTCCTCTAAATCGCAGGTGGATCCACGATCCTAGTTTCAAAGATACTCTTCTGGCGACGAATCAAGCAGCGGTAGCGGCGGCAGCAGCAGCAGGAACAGCAGCAACAGGACCGGCACCGCCACCACCGACAGCAGCGGCAGCAGCAGCAGGAAGGGCAGGGGGGATCGCGGTTTGCCCCAAATCCAATGGCGCCGAATTTCCATCCAAGTGGGGGAGGTGGCGGCTCTAGAGGTCCTTGAGCATCGTGATGCGTATTCAATCCATATTGCCCCATTATGCTGCTTCCGAAGAAGCTCAAGCTTGGTGGTTATAAGGCTTCTCAACCCAAGCCAATATGGACTAGAGGAAACTCTGACTCTTTCGTTTTCGCTTGCCTTCCTTCGCCTTGGATAACTTAGCTTTTTTAATCTTTTTCTTTTCTGTCATTCAATCATTCAATCATTCAATCATTCAATTTTTGTATATTGTTCGCCAGGTGTGTACTGTAGTACTTATAGTGTAGTCTGTAGTAGTAAATTTTGGATGGGCGCGGATGGCCATGACTTTTGCCCTAACCCCAAGACGGACTAGCGCGATCGCCACTTTCGAAACGTCCACGCCCGAACGGCCAGTCGACACTCCGCGCGAACACCTCTTCACCATCCTCCTTGGCACTGTCGTGGTGCGAGTCTCTCGCTTTGTCGGCAAATACTATCGCCTTCTGCTCTGGAACCCCCTCATTGTGTTGTATCTCGCCCATACTTCTACCGAATCGAGATCGCGTGCGCCTCGTGAGTTATCCCTGGAACGAATACGAAGTTTGTATCCCTCATCATCCGCGAAGCCTCGGTGATGCTAACTACAATCTTCTTGTATTAGACGTCTGCCTTGCCCTAATTCCTCCGATTCTTCCGTCTTCCGTGGAATAGACCAGTTTACGCGAGTTCTTACTTGTCGCGTCCCAAAAAGCCAGCCTGGTCCACTTACCCCATCGACGTCTTCACACGAGACCGAGTGGACTATTGAATCCATCGCCGCCTCCATACTATCTTGAGAGCTAGAATCGCCTGGTTTGACGTGTTAGAACGGTTGAGACGACTATACTTCCATCTGATCGTTTTCGCCGCATACAAAATAAACATGGCGACCCCAGCTGCTCTCCCCCCTTGCCTTTCAATCCCTCCCGAGTCCGATCATACTTGGTGCGGTTACCGCTTTTCACCCGCCTTGTGCTCTTGGTGATCCTTGCTTTTTGGTTGTTGGAACTGCAAACAATGTGGAGTGTCGTACAATGGGGAGCTCTGATCCCAGACGAAATTAACCTCGGAACGAGTATGTCGTCGCCCCAACTTACCACACTGCCTTGGGTTCGGCCTGGATTAAGGGAGCCTTACTGACTGGCGGAATCTAGTGTATCGACTGAATACCTATCCTTTGATCCACACTGGCTTTTTCCACGCGCTTTTGAATGCCCTGGCCCTGACGCCGCTTTTGGAGCGATTTGAAGCGGAACATGGCACGCTCACATCCATTGCCTTGTTTGTTGGTCGTAAGTATTGCACCGAACTCTGCAAGTTCAAAATGGAGGATAGAGTCTTAAGTTTTGAGTGTCGCTGACGAGGCATCTTCTTCCCAGCTCTTTCCACCTTCCCCGCCGGTATCTACCTCCTGATCGAGAAGGTTATCCTGCACAGCAACACGTCTGTGGTCGGATCAAGGTGCGTACTTTCCCCGAAGATGGGTGGTTGACCATGTGCTCATACCGTCTCTAGCATTTGGGTTTTCTTGCTCCTCGGATCCGAAGCCATCCGAACCTATAAATCGAACCCCCACTTTAGGTATGTGAAAGCTATGCGACAGTATTGGTTTCAATGAGATTGTGGCTGACCGTTTCATTAGCCTCGGCCCGTACAAGATCCCTACGTGGACATCGCCTTTGTTTGCGTGTGTGGTTCTTTCTATTCTAGTCTCCAACGTGAGCTTCCTTGGCCACCTCTGCGCCATTCTTATCGGCTATCTCTGTAAGTTTCTTCTTGAAAATCTCCATCCACGGGCCATGGACTAATTTTCCCAGTCGGCCTCGGATACTTGAAGTTCCTGGTGCCGCCCGAGAAGATTCTGCGATGGATCGAGGGTAAGCTGAACCTCCTCGGCCGGCTGCCGCACTATATCTCTGTCGACCAAAAGACCTTCGGACGCTATGGGGTTCTTCCCTCCTCTAACAATGCGGCCAACGGCAACAACGGCACCCCCATGAACTTCCTGGGCACCAACCAGCGTCTAGGTGCATGAGGAATGGGAGAAAAGAAGAAAGAGAGAACCGCCACCATTTATCTTAATATTCGTGTGTATAGTTTGACATAGTGTTTTATTACGTTGACGAGGGTGTAAAGGGGGCATTGGGTTATTAGCATAGCGAGTGCATCTATAATTCTGCGCATTTGGTCCTTCTCGTGTGACGTAAATTCCCGTAAACATCTCCGAGCTCCGCAACTCCACCCCCAGCTGGCCTCTGCGACAATCGTCTACCAATTCGATTCAGTTGACCGGAATTTTGTTGCCAAGTGGGAAGATAATTCCTCATGATTCCCTCGAAATGGCCCTGAAATGTGAGTGTTTGGACGCGAGCTACCCTGGACGCATCTCTCCCTCTCTCTCCCCTCCCCAGACACCTGGGGACAACGAGACCCTGACAGCTTTCAAATGACAGCCGCAATCCGCAACCTGCGGGAAAACCCTCGCTTCCTCTTCACGCGTCTTCCGAATATCCTATCGTTTCTCTGCATCGTCGTCGGCGTCGCTTGGCTACTCCTCCTACCCCTGAGATGACAATTCGCGACGGACCTACATCTCCGAGAATGCGCTCCTGCCCGGCCAGGTCCACGCCTATTTCACTGGCAGTGAACAGAACATCTTTCGGGGCTATAAGCAGGAGCTGCAAACTTTATTGAACGAAGGTCGTAAGGCCGAGGACCAAGAAGCCGAGGTGGAGGTAACTCCGGCGTAAGTGGCATGAATACAAATGGGCAGATGCAAGCAGGACGCGCCCTAATGGTATAGCAGGGCCTCGAACAAAGTTCATTCAATTCTACAAGCCGCAGGACTGAAGGTCGCAACGCAGAAATACGAGTACACCTCGGCTGGCATTACCCACCAAGGCGAGAACATTTACGGCATCATTCACGCACCGCGGGGTGACGCAACAGAGGCAATTGTATTGGTGGCAGCATGGAAGACAGCAGATGATGAACTCAACCTGAAAGGCGTCACACTAGCTCTCACTCTGGCTAGATACTTTAAACGTGAGTTTCCACTTAGAATAGGCATCCCCGGTCAAGATACTAAGACGCTCAAATAGGATGGTCCCTCTGGTCTAAGGACATCATCTTTTTGTTCACCCCGGATAGCAAAACAGGAACTCAAGCCTGGATCGACGCCTACCATGACCTTCACCCAGAGTCTGTTCAACCTCTGCCATTGAAGAGTGGAGCTTTGCAAGGTGCCGTGGTCATCGAGTACCCCTTTGAACACCACTTCCAGAAGCTTCACATCGTCTATGATGGCGTCAACGGCCAATTGCCTAACTTGGACCTGTTCAACACGGCTGTTGCCATTGCAGGCGGCCAGATGGGTATTGGTGCTAACCTCCAGGAGATGTGGGAGCACAATGATAGCTATGAAGCACGTCTTCAAACGATGATGCGTGGAATGACGAAGCAAGGCCTCGGATATGCAACGGGAGCCCATAGCAGCTTCATGCCCTATCACATCGACGCCATCACTTTGCAGCCTAAGGGTGAAGGATGGGAAGACGAAATGGCGTTGGGTCGGACCATCGAGAGCATGTGCCGCAGCTTGAACAACCTGTTGGAGCACTTGCATCAGAGCTTCTTCTTTTATCTGCTCATGCATAGCAACCGTTTCGTCAGTATTGGAACTTATCTCCCTAGTGCCATGCTCATTGCCGGAAACTTCACCATCATGGCCATCGCATTGTGGATGCGCACTGGCTATTACCCGGAATCGAAGCCGGACACCCCAGCGGGCGAAAAATCCAAGAGTGAAAAGACGTCAAAGACGGGAGCCCAGAAGATCGAAAAGGCAGTTAAAGTGAATGAGACTGCCCTTCCAGAGCGTCTCATGGCTTTGCCATTGACCCTTGTTACCGGTCTACACCTACTCGGTCTGGTCCCCCTCTGGACCTTCAACAATATCTTCCACCAGGTGAGTTTAATTGATACAAACCAACAATCATACTTTCGTTGCTAACAGAATCGTAGTATTTTACAACTGCGACGTACATCTTTGTCGTCGTGGATATCGTTTTGCCATTATTTTTGGCGGCACTTCTCTCCAACGGCCTGGGCGTCTCGAAACCCATAATACCACAGCAATACCATTTGATCAAATCCTTTGCTCTTCTGCTACTCGGCCTCTCGCTTTCCACGCTTGCGACCCTCAACTTCTCTCTCTCCTTTATGATCGGCCTGCTCTGCGCACCGCTCAGCTTCATCGGCCGCCTCCAAGGCCCTGCCGCCCTACGATATGGCGTTTCTAGCCTGGGACTTGTGCTATTGAATCTTCTTTCGCCACCAATCGTCCTTCTGGGCGTGTGTTGGTATACCGGCGTTTCCGTGGAGACAGTGCTAACCCAAGCTGCGTTCGGCTGGGATGTATGGGGCATGTGGACTCAAGTCGTGGTGTGGTGCGTGTGGTGGCCAGCCTGGCTGATTGGATGTGTCCAACTGGGCTCATCGATCTTCTAATATACACTCTTAACGCCCTCTGGGTCGCATATATGGTCAAGGCTATACAGTACTCTCAATTTCTTACAAATAAACAAACCACGATTCATACAAGCAGAACCATCTTATTCATTATTGATAAAAAGTGGCTAGGGAAATATAAAACCATCTATGCAGCCCAGACATCCTTGCCAACGCCCTCGATCCAGTGACCAAGCTGATTAACACCGGCATCCCAGTCTTTCAAACGGTTCCGCATGCCATCAATCTGCTTGAGATCCAGTACCTTGGGCTGAACCCAATGGATTTGTGCCACCTGCGCCACCTGATCAATGGAACCCTTCAACAATCCTAGGGACAAAGCCTTCATGACCAGGTGCTCGATCTCATCAGGTTGCACCTTCGTCTCAGAGGCGATAGCATCAAAGGAAAGGGAACGGTCATGGGGCGGGCGGTGGAAGACCATCTCCGTCAGCGCGGAGAGAGAGATCTTCTGGTACAGGAAGACGCGGTGCGATTCGAGTAGCTTGTTCTTGCTGATATTTCCGGCGAGCACGTCGTAGGCGCCCAGGTCGCCGCGGTTGAAAGCGAAGAGTAGCTCACGCAACCAGTTGTGCGGTGTTGGGGTCAGCGTATCCAGAATCGGGTGCAGGAGAAGCTCTCCGAAGTTGTAGATGGAGTCGGAGACCAGAGCGGCGACGCTGAGGTTATAGGCGCGGGAGACGCGCTCCGTTTCAGGGAGATCTTCGAGGTCGATACAGGCCAGGTAGAGAAGGGCATTTTTGTAGAAAGAGGCGAATTCTTGCTTAGCCTAGAATTGAATTTGTTAGTATACCAACAACTCTTTTTGCTCCCCTTGTGTTCGTAATCTTTGGTTTTTTTGGTTGGAAGGTAAACGTACGTGGTAGTAATCCGCGTTCACTTTGTAGAATGACGCATGCACCACGGTCTCGACTGAGTCGAACGAGTCCAGTGCCTTTTGGCAGGATGCTAGGTCCTTCTGTGCCCCCTCTAGATCCTCCAGCTTCAGCTTGACATTGGCAACGTCGGCGAGCGCATAAACGTGTGCATCTTGTGATTCGGGCTTGTCGACCTTGTCGGCGAGGGATGTGAGGAAAGCGAGGCGTTCTTTATCATCTGTTGTGTCCCGTACGTAAGCAATTGTTCATGTATCCAGGTACGAGGTACGAGGATAATCATGACAAGGCTCTAGGGGCTTTCAACTTACCGGCACACTCCGTCGCGGCCATCAAACCCAGCGCAACGAACTTGAGCTGGTTGATCCGGTCGGCGAAGCTAAGGACGAAGGTCTTGAAGAAGGCTAAACGATGCGGGGCACTATCTGGCAGTTTGAAGAATTCCACCAGTGCGTCTGTCAACTGATGCCACAGCTTGCGCTCCCAGAAGTCTTCAAAGGTGAGGAGATAGGTCTGGGTCTTGGGGGTGCCATTTGCTTGCTGCTCGGCCAGGAAATCGGGGATCTTGGACTCCATGGCGGCGAGCGGGAGAGTGAGTGATGGGGGGGTCGTAGATGAGATCACTTGTAGGAAGAGATGGCGATGATGGATAATGAAGAGGGTAGGAAGGAGGAGAGTCGTCAAGAGATGTGGGGATTGGAGGGAGACACCGGCCGGAGCTGATGATGTCTTTCCATTTTGGAGCTCCCGGGCGGTGAGCAGCTATTACTAGTGGTGGTATACATCCAGTTTACAAGATAACAGCAACCCTGCAGAAATGGTCAAATGAGTATATATCTCGGTCATTCATAGTTGTATATTATCATATCAATAGGCTTGAAGGTGTTAGGCTTGAACCCATTATGTTTATCATCTATATAAAGTGAAATAGTTTCTTAGGAGTACCAGTAACTGAATCCAGACCGTGCAGATCACAAATCCACCCTAGCTACTATAGAAGTGATATTCTAAATTCAAACTTCGGACACATTTAGTCTTTCCGCTCATCCCATATCTCTCCGGCCTCCCCATTAAACATGGTGGATTGACGTGGGGTGGTGAAGGAGGAAGTTTCCGAGAAAGTCTGAATGTCTCCGAGCGGGCCAAGTCAAACACTTCCCAAGGTCAAATACCTTTGGATAGACCTGCCCGCTACGGAAGGTTCCCCTCTTTACAACATCCTCTCCCCTTTTTTATATAAACATTCAGTCTTATCTTGGAGGATTTTTCTATCTTCTCACCGTGATACTTATTCAAGAAGCTTATTTCAATTGAAATCACCTTCACCATGACTGACTTCACCGAGGCAAATCGCAAGTACTTCGAGTAAGACATGCTACCTGAGACACATCCATTTGATAGACAGCTGACTGGCCCTTCTATAGCCAAATGGCGACCAACTACAAAGATCGCTTTGCCAGTGCGATGAAGACGCTATCCGACCAGACATTGGAGCACCGACTCTGGCTGAGCGATCGATGGACAGATACTGAGGCTGGCCAAGACAACGAAGTTAAAATGCTTGAATACGCCTGTGGACCAGGTGTGATCTCAATGGTGAGTTGAATTGTCAATATAGAACCTTTGTGAAATTCTTTTTTTCATTCCCTCTTTTTCTTCTTTCACCGAAGCGGCCACCAGACTAATACTTCACTTTATGGCAGACGCTTGCACCATATCTGTCCAAGGTCGTCGGCATCGACGTGTCTGATAACATGATTGACGAATTCAATCGCAACGCCAAATTGATTGATATAGCCGATAAGATGGTTGGATATAAAGCGGATCTACTCAGCGATTCTGTTCCGGCCGAGTTTTCGGGTCCTCATTTTACAGAGTTCGACATGGTGACAATCAGCATGGCCTTGCACCATTTTGAATACCCGCAGATGGCCCTTCAGCGACTAGGAAGCCGACTGAAGAAGGATGGTGTGTGTATGATCATTGATATATTGTCTCGCTCCGGACATGATCATGGGCACGGCGATGGCCACGGTCACGGCCACGGTCACGGTCACGGTGAGGAAACGCATGGTCATAACTTCGGTGATGCCGCCCACACGGTCAAGACCCACGGATTCTCCCGAGAGGACATGCAGAAACTGTTCGAAGGAGCTGGGCTAGGTCGTGCATTCAAATATGAGGTAATTCCCGAGGAATTGGTTTTCAATAAGGGCGAGAAGACGCACAACGTGACCGTGTTCATTGCTCGTGCCCAGCGCTCCTGAAACACGAGATCGATTGCTAGTAACCGTGGCACCACCATCTTTGAGATCTTGAATACATGTGAATTTAAAGAATGAATGCGAGTGTTTCCATACAAATAGTAGTGATGGGGTACGTTGTAGACCAGGATGATCCATGTCATTCCAGCCTCTTCGCAGTGGGTCTCTTGAGGACCCACCGGAGGACCCTTTGGATGAAAATACAAACTTGAACCAGCCTGAGGCGTCTTGAAATATAAGAGACCGACGGAAGCTCGATCGTTTACTCCGTAGTTCATGTTGGCTATGAATTATTTGCTTCGAGCCTGAATTGTATATGGCATAAACTTTGGCCTACCAGTACTATTTATCTTGTTATTATTCCGCAGTAGTTCCACGGTCACACATTATACTCGTACTGTACATTGTTTTGGATGGAATGGAAGAATCCTAAAATAGCTCCGGGTCGGAGGTCGGCATTTACCACCAAGGGGCGAGCGGCCCTAAACTTTCCCAACGCCATCTCAAATTTCCTTTGAGATTGGGGGCCACGAATCGAATCACTAGGGGACCGGACTGCGAATAGTTCACTTCGAAGGCTTGTCTGCCAGTTAGCGATCCAATGGCATCTCAAAACCAGCGCCACTCGGCTCTTGGCAGGGACCAGGTTGCCCTTTGCTCGATTTTCAAGGACCAGATGCATCGGTTCCTCCGAACGAAAGTTTGATGCTAGCGCCAATGGGGAGTACAGGCCCGGAGAATTGCTTTGGATTGCTTTGGCATATAAGCAACGCCTGGGAACTTGGCTTGGAGTTCTGCACCTTCGATCTTACTGCCAACCGTCTCTCGTTAATCTCTGGCAAGACACTCTTTCTAAACCCACTCGAACGGTCTCAGACTTAATATCTCACAAAATGAAGACATTCACCGCAACCCTCCTTTTTGGCCTTGCAAGTATCGCATTGGCCCGCACCGATCTCGCTGGTTGCACCTCGTCGCAAACCACCAACCAGTGGCACGAAGCCAGTATGATTTGGTGGGTGCCTGAGAGCGGCGAAATTTGCGAGTTTGTCGACTGCGGCGGTGGTCGCGCTCCTCCCAAGACTACCCAGCCTGGCTGCCCACTTTACTCTGGTACGGCCACGCTCACACCCAACTACATGCCTGGATGGGGTCCCAACGGCAAGATCGCCGCGTCGACTACCACCGTCGCCGAAACCACTTCTTCTTCTACTTCTTCTTCCAAGACAAAGACAACCGGTGATTCAACTGAGTCTGCGACCACTACAACAGACTCTATGGTCACCCCTGCGCCTACTTCTTCCCCTGCTGTGTCTATGACTACTGTGACCTCGCCTACCTCGAAGTCTGGAAACGCCACTTCTTCCGCGGCAACCTCAACCAAGACAGGAAATGCTGCCGGTGCATCGTCCGCGAACATGGGAGGCATTATGGTCATTGCTGCTGCTGTTATGGGTGGCATGGCGCTGTAACCTACAGCACGCGTTTAGTGATGTTCAATATCCGCTGTTTCAATTTACAGAGTCTTTTCCATAGAGTTGAGACAAACTCAATCTATAACTAATTCAAATCAAAGCTACGAACATCCAGAAAGCCAAAAGCTAGTTCCAGCTCCCTGCCAGCCAAATCTCTTCTGCCTTTTTTGGATCCAAAAGCTCATCAATAGTCCACGGGGTGTGCACATAGCCGCGTGGAACATTGGTATTCTGGAATGTAGTGCCATCTTGCAAATGAGCCAACGCCTTGTCATAATTGTCGATGGCGTACTGTTCTGGGTCATGATTCCATAACCAGGCACCCAATAATCCGACAAGGGTTCCCTGAGGGTTGTCTTCATCAACCGGGCGGCTTCGAGCTACTCCGTTGATCATCCCTATTTTCTGCAGACAAGAGACACGGTCAAATCTGATTTTAATGCATAGTTAGCATTGCACCGCACTGAACCATATTGACCAACGAACCGTAGTGTGTTATGAACCCGGGTAGCCCACGGTATGCTGTCCTTCATTGAGACCTGAAGGCAAGTTGCCAAAGAGACGGCGTCTTCCAATCCCTGAGTTGCCCCATTTCCAGATGATGGAAGAAAAGTATGTGCTGCATCGCCAATCTGAGCAACCCGCCCAGCTGGCGATACCCAGCAAGGTTGAGACTCTCTTAACACCAATTTAAAATCGTGAATACGGTCCTTAGGGGTCGCTCGGATTGCCCGATCCCCAATCTCAGGCCATCCTTCGATCTGTGAGGTTTTGCGGAGTACGTCCCGGAGGTCTGCCGTTTTAGTCCAGGACTCTGTTTCGTCACTCTGGTTCTAATAATTTTGTTAGAATTGGAAAATTCACCTAAGGATCTATTCTTACTGGATATAACAAAAGCCCAAGACAGATAATCGGGTGTTCTTTCCCACAGGCAGTGATATTCCGGATGTCTATATGGTGATTAGATGAATTCTCTCCCGAGAAAGGAATCACATACCCCTGCCAAAGCTCCACAACAGCTATCCCATTTTCCACACCAGAAAATCTCTCAGACATGAGAGGGTCGGCCTGAACTACCTCGATAGGGATAGTCCCTCCATAAATCGAGCTCCCGGATGACCTGGCTCGAACCTCTTTGCCCATCGTAATGATCGAAGACTTACTTCCGATTCCATCGGCAGCGATGATTAAATCGGCTTCAATTCTTTCCTCATTCTCGAGGACCACACCGGCCTTTTGACCTGCAGCATCTTCATAATATTCAACTGTGCGTTTTCCGTACTCGACAAAGATACCGATTCTCTCCGCTTGATCGGACATCATCTTGTGAAATCTAAGCCGATTATGTCGATAGACCTTATTTGGACGCGTAATACCATTGAACGTGGTTTCCTCATCATCACTATTATTTAACTCAACCGGGAAAGGGCCGGCAACCTTCTCTCCATTTATCTGATGCCACGAAGTCCAAATCGTATATGAAATGCGTTCATTTTCCTCCGCCATTTCTGGCCACTTTTGCAAAGCACGAATCGCAGCCGGCCCAATACTGAATCCGTCACCTGAGATCTGAATTAGTTAACTTAGAATGTCTGAGTATCGGACAGAGGCTCCTACCTGATCGAAGACGCATAAGGCTTTTTTCGATAATTCGAACATTGTGCCCTTTACGCCAACATTCCAGGGCTGCGAGAAGCCCGGATACTCCGGCTCCAACAACAAGAACAGAAATCCCTGTAGGTGGTGACCGTTCAGGGAGTCGTCTTGCTGACTGGTCAAAGTCTTCTGTCATTTGGGGCGCAGATGATACATTCATGATGAAGCAAAGTAGTAAAGTCGGTTATTACTAGTTCGTAAAATTTGGCTATTAATCGCGAGAATCGCTATTCTATTCTACGCAGATTGGCGAATTATTGTCTTCTTATATAGTAGAGCTTCTCGCAGCTTTTGGCCCCCGGTGCTTTGGAGACGGAGGCGGAATTCCGTTCGACCGGGGAATGGTCGGACAACCCCATAAAGCTATAAGTCTGAACAGCTGATGTCTTTCTTATCCACATCCGTATGTATTATTAGTTTTATCTTAGCCTATGAGGATATGTGGCGTGGCCAATTGATTCATCCGTATACATTGTAACCGGCGCCCTTCACGAGCCAATAATATTGCGTTCTATATGCATGAAGTATTCTTCTACAAATTCTGTGGGATTTCCACACCATCGCCGAGCGCCAGAAAATCGTCAAACGAAAAGTATGGGTCAAATGACATATTGAACAGGAAGTCAAAATCGACCGGGTCTTGTACTTCTTGGAACCGGGATTTGTCTAAGGCTTCCTTCCTTTGGCGATGGCATTCTTTCATGAGGCGCATCCTATTTGGAAGTCTGCCAAAGGCCTCTGGTAATTGAGCCGTGGGCCGTGGGCCGGCTTCTCGCTCGATAAGTTGTCGAGCATCTTCGAGTTTGAGCATTATTCGGTCGATCGTTTGATCGAAGTCAATTGTATCCTGCACATATTGAAGATCCCAACCGGTTTCGCTCTGGAACAGACTTAAACGGGAAAGGGCGACGACCGCGTGGCCAAACTGGCACCAGATAGTGAAAGGTAAATAAATAAAACAATGAGCCGAGAGGGAATTGAAACCATTGAAAAATGATTTTGTCGCTTGAAGGCAGCGGAAGAGAATGCCCAACCGTGTAAGAGTATAGCCACTACACTCAGCATCTGAAAGATCTTCGCTGAGAGCAGCTTGATACAATAGTATTTCCAATGTATCGTAATGGAGATTTAGTATGTCTGCGTTGAATATATGAGGTGATATTCGAAACAAAAGATGACTAGAAGTCTTACTTGAATAAGGTGACTCGCAGGAGAATGAGGTCTTCATCTTTCGGAGGTCAGGTTCGAAGCCTCGTATACTCAAGCCCAGTGGACCTGAGAGTCCCGGGTAATCGAACTCATCGAAGCAAATTGTGTGAACAATCCTATCGGCAAGATGCATAGTACGAACCAAATGCACAAGAAAGGCATCGGTGGGAGATTCTAATTCCACCTCTATTATCTTGCAGCATTCGTCTGTATATTTCTTGAACCGAAGTGGTTCCGTGTCCCTGACACAGGAGGACAACCTGTAATTTTGTCAACGTTTTGCTCGCCTCTCAAGGAGAGTGTACGACCGGCGTACATAACACTCAAATAATAGCATCCTAAATAGGCGCGTCGCTCTTCTAGAGTGCGTAAAGGCTTTGAGTTGGCCAAGACATCCAATTTCCTTACATAGCCCATTGGCTTGGACAATCTATTAGGGGAGCTTAACCCCACAGCCAAATGCAAGCTTACTAGCTGGCCCAAAGCTAATTGCATAAATGCATCTAGTTGGGCGGGGCCCTGAGTAAAGTGCTGTGGGGTCAATCCTGGTAGTACTTCTCCAGTCTGTCCAGGAGCAGGTGAGTGTCCAATGAACCATGCTAAGAAAACAAGGAGACCTTGTAAAAGATCGAGACTTTGCTCACTCCGTAAAACAATATGCTCGGCTACATATTCTTTGACGGTCTTGGAGAGCTCTCGTTGACGCGATGCATTCTGGCATGCGACCATTGCGAGATTAAGGAAGAGAAATGGCTTTTCTTGGCGTAATTGCTCTGCTGTGAGGCCGGTTGGAATCACGATAAATGGGAATAAATGCACCATTTTCGTGGAAAAATGTTCCAAGAGAAGTTCGCCTTCTTTCTCGCTTGGGCTCTCTTGGTCTTCATCAGGAAAGACGGTAGACGACTTTGTAGCCGATGGATTAGAGTCAGATGATTGCGTAACCGATGGTTTTGAGGCCGCTAGCAAAGCGACCATCCGGTCTAACTTTGCCTCGAGGGCAGAGACTTCACTGCTTGTTTGTTAATCAAGCTATTCTGAGGCACATGCGGTGTCACTCACACGCTGTTTTTGGTTGGCTTTTGGCGTCGATGTGCCCCAGGGGCTTGACCACCGCACTCCTTGCCTAGGCGATGGCATCTGAAGATCTTTAGCCTAGTTTGGAACCATGCAAGTATGTATTATCCATTCTACCCAACTCACCGTTTACATGTCTCGTCGCTTTCCCGGTCACACCGTGCCTTTGCCTTGGCGCACGCTCTACAGGCTTTCGGCATCCGCACTCCACTAGAATCGGCCATGATGTAGCAACGCTTTCTGCAAAATCTCGAGACTTTGGCTTTAAACCATGGAGGGGCAGGTAGCCGGTCTTGAACACGTTGCTTTGATGGTCCTTACTGGTTGAGGTTAGGGAGAACATGTTGTCGTGTCTTTGGGGCTGAGAAGGACCCCGGGCGGTCTGGACTCTGAAATGGGCTTGAACAAATCCAATTGGCATCTACCAACTAACTACTAGTATTTGTAGTCGCAATTGATATGGACATCTTTAAGGCTCGACAGAACCGGCTGATTTAGTTGAAAATCATGGTAAACGTTCATATAAAATGAAGATAATAGAAATGACGGAAGAATAGAGCGAGCCGGGGCCTTTCCTATCGAGCCCAGGAAACCCCACTAGAGGGCAAGGGATCATTCAAATGATTGGACATGGTTTAACTGCTAATTTGTGAACTGGAATTTCTTAAGCGGGGACAGAGTTCCGTCCCTCTTCCACCATCTAGTTGCTTGGACTGGACAGCAGATCCCGTTATGAGCACTTCTGCGAGCTCAGTTAGGTGGGGCTTACAAAAAAGGAATGGCCACCTGTCCCACTTCCGAGTCCCAGATATGCTAGTATCTATGTGTCCGAGTCCGAGTCCGGGTCCGAGTCGGATATAACTAGTACTAAGGCACGTGCGGGACGACCCCTCGTGGGACCTATGTTTATTTGTGGGGTACGGGGAACCTTAGAAGATCTTAAGACCAAGGCTCATCAAACTTGATAAAACTAAGCAGAACTATTCAAATACTTGGAAATCATTCTAAAACACCTGCAATCCTGTGTTCCGCAGTTTTACATTCGTCTGAATCTAACACAAAATGGCTATCGCGAACCATGGGGCATCGGTTCCAGACCTAATCGCCGTTGGCAGCGAGCAGGAGAATGTAGAGGAATGGAGAAAAAGATGCAATATCGATCAGAGCTCACAGATACGCCTGGTGAAATTGGCCCATATGCGGTATCAACATCCAAACTTGGATCAAATCACGACTTTCCTCCAAGGTATGTCTCATTCAATTCTTGTTTGTGATTTAATCAGCTAGTTAATCACTATACAGACTTTGGTATGACCGTGGCCAAGAAGACAGATCGGGAAATCTGGTATCGTGGATATGGTGACGATCAATACGTCTATTATGCTCGAAAAGGACCCAAGGAATTTCTTGGGGGCACTTTCACTGTTGAGTCCTACGAGGACTTGGAGAAGTAGGTTTACTGTTAATTTCATACTCCACTTAGATCTGACCAAGACTCAGGGCCTCAAAGCTACCGACAGCTAGTGGTATCGAAAAGCTGTCTGACTCCCCCGGCGGTGGGTTCATCGTCAAGTTGACTGACCCCGAAGGGTTCCCACTCAATTTGATGTATGGGCAAGCCCCAGCAGAGAAAGGGGAGTACCCGGAGAAACTTACTATCAATTATGAGCAAGACAAGCCTCGCACTCGCAGGTTTCAGCGTTTCGAACCAGGCCCCGCAGCTGTGCACAAGGTGAGTAACCCTTATTTCCTTGCGCCTCTGTCTAGTCCAATATTAAATCATTGATTTTCCCAACTAGCTGGGACATTTTGGTCTATGTACCCAGGACTTCGAGAAGATGGTTAATTTCTATACCATGACATTCAATATTGTTCCGACAGACTTTCTATATGTCGAAAAGGAGGGAAAGAAGCACAATGTCGCATTATTCGCACATATCGATCGCGGAGCCGATTACGTGGACCATCACAGCTTTTTCATAAGCACCAATGCCACAACTCATGTTCATCACTGCTCATTCGAAGTCCATGATTTCGATACTCAGAAGCTTGGACATCAGTGGCTTGCTGAAAAGAAGTATGAATCTGTGTGGGGTGTCGGTCGCCATATTCTTGGATCTCAAATCTTCGATTACTGGTGGGACACCACTGGAAACATGATCGAGCACTATGCAGATGGAGACCTTGTGAATAACCAAACTCCGATTGGTTATGGTCCCGCAGGAGACGAGTCGCTGGCAGTGTGGGGTCCCGAGGTACCTGCCTGGTTTTTGAAATAGAATCTTCATCTTTGAATGTAACTCAAATTACAATTTTCGTATTCATTTTATTTGTTTTAAAGCTTTATACTTTTATTCCAGAGGTTGGAACTTACCAAATTGCCTTGCTAGATTGATTAATTTGCCAACAAATAATGCTCATTGGCAGCTGACTCTGGGGGTGCAAAACTTTGAACTTTCGAGGTCATATGCCTAGAATCAAGCCTTCAAATATATGATAAATGGTCTTGCATGGAAATTCAGATAAAAAATCCGATCAATCTAAGTTAGAAGCTGCAAATAGTCTATACTTAAAGATTCGGTCTGCATCATAAACAGTCAATTATGAATGCAAGCTTCTCAACAATTTTTTGTATAGGATTTATAACTTGAAATAATGGATCAGACTCAAAAGAAAAGTGTAGTACCATCTAAAGTCTTTCAAATCCATTCTAGAAAGCTAATTATGAAACAGATAGCCAGGCTCAGTGACTCTCGTAGCGCACTCGATTGACCAAAGTTCCGATCTGCTCTATCTGGACCGAGATCTCATCGCCATCTCTGAGGACGACTCTAGGATCCCGGAAATAACCAATACCAGCTGGTGTGCCGGTCAGGAAAATAGTACCTGCCTCCAGGGTTGTGCCTTGAGACAGATAAGAGATCTGCTTCTTTATCGAGAATATCATATCCTTCGTGTGTCCGTCTTGAACAGTATTTCCGTTATGAATTGCCTTAATAGACAGGCCCTGGGGATCTTGAATCACAGAGGGAGCAACAAGGACAGGTCCTGAACGATTTATTCATTAGTAAATTGAAATCGAAAAAAAATCCCTTTAAGTCGGCAGCTTACCAATAGGGCAGCTTCCATCAAGTCCCTTAGAGAAGGACCACTGAGTGGTAATCATTTGCATGGTACGAGCAGATACGTCGTTGGATGCAGTGTATCCCAAAACATAGTCAAGCGCGTCCTCCTCAGGAATATCGCGGCCTGTTTTCCCAATAACCAGGCACAGCTCTGCTTCATAATCGCTTGTCTCATCCTGGGCACACTTGGGAATGTTGATTGCCGCGGGGTATGGTCCTATCAGTGCACTTCGAGGTTTGGTGAAAAGAATGGGTGCTTTAGGTAGTGCCATATTCGCTTCCTAGGAGCGTTCAGCAATTGGTTTTCATCAACACATTCTAAAATACGAACCTGTGCGTGATCCATATAGTTCAGCCCGAGACAACGAATATAGTTGCATTCTTCCCGAGCAACCGGCGAAAGTAACTTGGATTATGTTAGTGTGGTCTTGGTCGTAGGGAAATTAAGACACTTGCCTGCTTAACGTGCATGATTTCTCCGGTAACACGACCATCATAGATGGTTCCCTGAATCACATATGCTGCAATTTGAACTCCATTTGTACTATCCTTGCCGATATCGCGAGAGGTATCGACTAACTGCCCGAGGTGGACCAGACTGTCCTCCACGGCAATGAACCGAATGAGATGTGTCCAGAAAGGCATTTTGCAGAGTTTTCTTTTTTCTGAACGAATTGACTCCGGATTGATCGAGATCGCAAGAGTGACAAAATTGATGTACAGTCACGTACTATATACCGGGGTGGTAAAAGCCTCCACTTGAACTACGGGGTACAGTCGGTGGGACCGAAAGCCCCAGATCGGATATACGATACCTACTCCGTACGGATATAGACCACAGGCATAAGTTACCAGAAGAAGTGATGATGTGTCCAACCGGATAACGAGAGAAGTTGGAAGCGTCCCGTCCCTCTTTCCACTTCTGGATTCTAGCTGTGGCCTTGCTGCTTGATCGTCTCTTCCCCGGCCGATCGTAATGTGGGACCCAAGAGATGCGGGACCTCACCGTTTCCAAATGAATTGTGGAGCGGCTCATCAGACCGACCTAAAATCAATAGTCTTTAAAACCCGATATCAATTTGATGTTAACCTGGGAAATAACTAAAGCGAAACTGTGTCTTCAAGTTTTATGGTTATGTCGGAACTCGATTGTGAAGCAACAGATGTGGTGATTTGTGGCTGTGGTCCAACGGGGGCTATGTTGTCGGCATATCTGGGCCAGATGAATATCCGGAACATTGTATTGGAACGAGGGACAGAGATCACAACCGATCCTCGTGGAATTGCTCTCGATGAAGACGGTATTCGGCTCTTACAAGGTCTTGGTCTGTATGCGTCGATATATACACAAATTGGAACCTGTAAGTCAATATTTGAGTGCCCATGCAAACAAAATGATCGATTTCGTCAGCTAGCGCCTTGAAACACAAACTTGGAAACTCATAGAAGTTTAGGTATGAATATGTTCAAATTCATCGGAGGAACGACACCAATTCTGGATAAACCTGCTTTTATCGAGATGGACTATGGAACAGTGAGCAATTTACCCATGCGTTTGTGTAAGCGACAATATGGAATTCCTTACACCGTCTACAGACTGAGGGTGGTACTGGCCATGTCGGATTTATCTGTCACAAACAACCAGTACTGGAGAAGAAGCTACGAGAAAGAATGTCAGCACTGGAAGAATGCGAACTTCGCTCCGGCTGTGAAGTCACGGCCCTATCCGAAGACGAAGATGGAACCTTGTGTATCTATCGTGATTCAGAAGGTAAAGAGCGAAGGATAAAATCGCTTTTTTTCGTAGGGGCCGATGGAAAGACTGGATTCACTCGAAAACGATACCTAGAGTCCAAAGGAATCGTCATGGAGCAGGCTCACCGGTATGTCGCAACAACCTTTCCACATATAACGATAGCTGAATATTCAATGATAGGGCATTTTATGAGGAAACCTGGGTGGCATTGAACTGGCAGATTGAACTTCCCAATGAGAAGACACATTCTGATTTTCCACTGTGGAAATTAGGTTATACGCCAGAACAAGTCTACGATCTATTCTTTCCTGTCAATTTCCGGTTTATCTGTAACCCGGATAGACCTTCTGTTTGTGGCCGCTTTGGCCTACCACTGGACCGACTATGGAGATTTGAATTTGTCGTTAGGAAAGACGAAGATGGCAATGAGATGTCGAAGCCTGAAATGATCCAAAAGGTTGTCTATCCTTATATCACTCACGCAGGTAGTCGGTACGGGTGAGTAACTCTCTCGCTGGATGTTGTTTTATTTCCAGCTAACATAGTAGAAAGTCTACTTCAAGATGTCACGTTCCCTGAAGATTGCATCAAGGTTCTTCGCTCCCGGCCTTTCCGGTTTTCGGCTCGCAGCTGCAACAGATGGTCTGATGGCCGAGTCGTCCTATGCGGCGATGCGGCTCATGTATTTCCGCCATGTATGTGTGCAATTCCCAGGGACTCAAAATCCCAATGAATGCTAACTCGCTGGGTAATAGTTGGTGGTCAGGGTATTGCGTCTGGGTTTTGGGACGCTGTTTCTTTGGCATGGCGTCTTGCCATTCTCTGTCGCAAGAAGACAAGTAGCCCAAATTCCGAAAAGGTTCTCAAAGCGTGGTACGAAGAACGCAAGCAGCAACTAGAGAAATCTTTGGCATCAACTATCGAAAACGGAAAGTTTGTCACTGAAAGAAATCCTCTCAAGATTACGCTCCGAGGGATTTACCTGTGGTTGATTCAATTGATACCATCCTGGCGCCATGAGCTTCGACTTGGACGCCGAAAAGAAGGAATGGTCCGATACAATTACTCTGAAGGAATGCCATTCCTTCAGAAATTCAAAGGCGGACTCTGTCTTCCGCAAGTCTACTGCAAATCAATTGGAAGTGACAGAAATGAAATTTTCTTCACAGATGATGTGATATTTTCACAAGAGAAAAAGGGCCTATTTCAGCTTTTGATTATTGTCAAAAGTGTCAAAGAGGCATTCTCAGCTCTGGACGCTGTGTCCAATATTGGAGAAATATCGAATGGAGAGATGGATCTCCATGAGACAACAATACTAGTTGAGGATGCAGCATGCGGTACTCGTGAAAATGCACCACATATTTTCCGAGTAGTAACCGGGAAAGAATTCGCAAGTTCGCCTTTATGCGAGAAGCGACCAAGTCCCGAGTTCTACGACCCGTTCATTATTGGAAAACACTTGGAAGGTATGAAGTTTGTTCTATTGCGCCCGGACAGGTTCATTTTTGCGGCTTGTGGCACCAAGGATGACTTGCAAAGTGCTGTGCAAAGTGCTGTATCGTATATAAAAGGATAATAAGAGGGCAAACAGGGTCTACAGCAGTCTCATTGAAATGTATACTCAAATGATATTCTATTTGCAGGGATCTCAGAGTCAGATAATGGAATAGCTCGAGCTGTAGGTTCGAAAGCATTCTGTAAGATATCGTGAGAATATAGGCGTATTGGGGATTTATGAGTTTTACATCTGCCTCGATGAAGAAATCAGGATTGACTTTCTTGCTAGAAGAAACTGGGAATAAACTTCCACCCCAACCAGGCAACACCTCCAACTGCAGACCACCCAAGTAGCCCCTTAGCAATTAAAATCGCTTTAATAACCCTAAAGGTCCTTCTTTCGTTCACCTTAGGGAATTCTGAATCAGGAACGGCCTTGTTCAAGAACTCGCAAAGAGGCTTCCATCCATCCTCTGCCTTGAATTCTAAAACCTCACGGCCTCGCTCCTTAGCAATCGTCCTCACCATATCATTATGCCTTCCGTACATGGTTTCATTGAAAGGGTCGTTTGAGCCATACTTCTCCTTGCACCAATCGAGAATATGCATATTCATGTTGTACCACAACCTATCCGACTTCCACAAAAAGCCAATCAAATAGAATGGCCGAGTGAAGAAAAAGCCCAAACTAGAATAGCAGCTTTTCGCCCATGCCGTAGCATCTGGGCGAGTGCTGAGAATTATCTTCGCCTCCGGATACATTTCCAATAGTTCAGGGAGAAAGAATACAGCAGGCATATCACAAACAGTTTCGTAGCCGTCCACGAGTTGGCGAATGAGCTTTTGGCGTCGTTGATGGTCTTTTTCTTTGGCGGCCTCAATAAGGGTCTCCATTCTGTCTGGGTGTGGAATAATCTGTGCCATATGGAGACATGGTTCAAATCCTAGTTCCTCAAGAGCTGCTTGCAATGAAGAAGTTGCCGTTCGGGGCAGGCCAGCCCCGATAACAAGCAAAGGTGACTTTTTTGTCGGCCGGACGCGCGAGTCAGTGACAAAACGGACCATGGTAAATATGATAGTAATCTTCAAGTGCTATTGGGACCGAGGAGACATTTGAAAATAATGTGTTCTTAAGGATGTGCCAAGTGAAATTAAGGCGTCCAATCTGATGTCAGCAAAACAAAGAGTCCCAGGTTATCTATTTCAGCCCAGCTCTTGTCTGGTTTACATGCAGACGCGCGGGACACAAGAACAAGAATCTTTGTGAAAATTAATAAGAGGATACCCCAAGGAGCGTACTGAATTTAGGTTGGAGCTTAGCGGTACATTAGGGGCATCCCTGAGAATTGTTGGAAATGTCCTCTTGGAAAAATATCGCGAATTCTATTCCATCTCAAGTATATATAGTACAAGGTGCACAATTGATCTTCGAGACCAACCATTTGAGAAAGAAGTGTATCAGGGTCCGACTCATGAAGTATTTCCAAGCCCAGTGGCAGCCATGCGGAAGGTAGTATTGGTGAGTCATGGTGACCTCGTTTAAATATCTCGTTTAACTCCCGCAAGAACCCCCGAAAATTTCCCCACTTCAATTCAATCCCGAAAATCATCACAATGGCTACCGAAGAACCTGAATACCGACTCATTGGACTTCATACCCGATACTCCAGTCAGTGATATATTCACAATGGCATAACACAACTAATCCGTCTAGGTTGGACGTCGCGGGTGGAAGCTGTTTTGGAGTACTTTCAAATTCCTTACAACCCAGTGTTTGTGAAGCTTCCTGATGTACAGTACACCTCTGCGAACTATAATAATCCGCTGTGATGTTTTACTTACATGTGCTGACGGGGTACTAGGTCAAAGCTGTGTCTCCAACAGGATTCGTCCCCGTCCTCGAATGTCGTTCACTAGGCTCCACCCCAATCGGCGACTCACTTGCAATCTGCGAATTCCTCGCCGAATCTCACCCTGAAATCCCACTATGGCCTCGAGATCGTCAGCTTAGAGCTCTTGCTAGAAGTGTTGCGTCACAGATGCACTCTGGATTCTCTGCTCTCCGGAGCACGTTCCATACCAACTTCATCGCTAGGTATACCGGAAACGTCCCAGTCTCAGCGGAGGCGCGAAAGGATGTACAGCGCATTCTATCCATTTGGGGCGAGGCTCGTAAAACGACTAGAGAGCGCCTCCTAGCGCTGGGTCAGGCTGATGAAGGGTTTTTGTTTGGAGGGTTCAGTATTGCCGACGCATTTTTCTGGCCAGTACTTTGGGTAAACACCTTCGAAAGAACGCAACATTGCATAAATTGAGATACTGATAGCTGGTAGCGATTTCGAACGTATGATCTTCCCTTGGACACCGCGAGCGAAGATGCTCTTATCTGGATGGCTCAAATGTGGAACGATCCCGTCCTTCGAGGACTGGCGGATAAGTACTACGAGCAGTCGGAAGATCCGGAGACAGTGATTGCACATTATGATGATATATACCGGGGCCAGCAAGACATCCAGTATAGCCAGTTTCCCAGAGATTGGACCTTCTCAGCGACTTAATACTGGACTGGCGCCTCTTTTCTATACGCCACTCACATTCAGCGTCGGGGGGGTTAAGACTTAACATGGGATTAAAGAGTATGTATTCAATTTAATAAATTGATTAAGAGTGCGAGTTCCCAGTATGATACACTTCGATACATACTAGTATACAACAAAGCAAACTAGGTATCGTAATGTGGATCCTACTAGTATACTGTAAACTACTAGTTAGCTCATGCTCACACCATATGACGTCAATACTCAGCCGGCTGTCCTTGGTCACGGAAGCCAAGTTCGACAAACCTCAAATTCGACAAACCTCAAATTTCTGTACCGCCGTGACTCTATTGTTCTTCTCGCCCATTGAACCTCACCTTCAAGTTGATACTATATCACAATATGTCTCAATCGCTTGCGCTTCTCCGCCGGCAACGCACGGATGATCTCACCAAGCTCGCTGATCAGCACATGCAGCATGATTTGCAATTCGAGGACCGCGATGCACTCAAATCTGCAGCCTCGACTGTCTCTCTGTGGACAACAGTTGGATCTGCTGTAGGTATTGGACTTGGACTCTATGCGGCTGTTCGCTTGAGAAGCACCCGCAAGGCGTTTTTTGCTGCTGTTCGGGCGCAAGAGAGGCCGACCAAGGTCGTCTTCGCGGATGGGCGTACTGGTATGTAACTGACGGGCAATTCGACTATGATTGAAACCTAGATTTACTAATTTTTTGAATTTTAGAGCCAATTCCCGACCTTACACCTTTGCTTAAACCGACTACCCTCGGTGATTTTGCGACGTACTTCTTTGCCTCAGCCGGCGGGCTATTTCTAGGCGGAGAGCTTGGTAAGAACGTTCCATTGATGAATTAAATAAAACGATGATCTGTAGGCTCTAACATAAATGAATCAGGCTTCGCTGCTGGAGCGGCCAGTGCGAGCAGCAGCATCTCTGCTGACCCCGAAAGACGAAAGAGAATCGAAACCGCATTTCGGAGATTCCGAGCCGATGTGCTCCGGCGTGAGGCGGATGAGCTGGACAAGGGGGCAAATGTGTCTGAACTGATGTTGTAAAATAAGAGTCTAGCCAAATATCACATATCGTCCTTAAATACTAGTAGCCTCGGAGATTCCAATGGAGAGAGATTGTTTTCGAGCTTGTAACTTTCATGTTCAGCTAGTCCAAGGAGAGGAGCAGGGTCCAAGCGCCCAGATATGGAGTACTACTCTTTACCCCAACCTATCTATTGGAGCAGATGCGGGGGCTGCAGTATATCGGCAGTGGCACACTGCGGACTTTGTGCCGCTCAGCGTTCCCCGCTCCTATCAATTGGCCCATTATCTTTCATGAATGCCAATGGAACACCGAGAATTCTATCGTATAAGAGTAGTTTGATTTCACCATGGCTAACGCATCTTTACTTCGTGCGACTTGGGCTAGGCCATCGTTGAAACTGCTTCCTTGCTGGAGATCAATCTCTTATCAAGGCCTTCGAAAATCATTCTCCACTACAATCTATCGCAACATGCTGAGCAGTGAATTGTCCGAAGCCGATGTCTCGGCTCTGCGAGTGAATAAAGAGAGACTGGCAAGAGATCTTCACCACTCATGTCAGTGGGGGTTTGGTATTCGATGGGGCGAGTAGGTATCACTCTGAATAGACATTTACAAGCGGGAGAGGCTAATTATGGTCTATCTTTTGCGTAGTGAGTCAACAGATACGGGAATGCAGCGTCTTGCATTATCAGAGGAGGATAAGAGTGTTCGGAATTGGTTTATACAGACCATGAAGGATCTCAAGTGCGACATTACGGTCGATGAAATGGGTAATATCTTCGCCGTTCGCGCAGGTAGAAGAAAGGACGTACCCGCTACATTCATCGGCAGCCATCTTGATACACAGCCAACTGGAGGAAGATATGACGGCATCTTGGGTGTTCTTTCTGGAGTTGAAGCCCTGAAGCGGATGGATGAGATGGGGCTCGAGACAGAGGGGGGGTGTGGGTGTCGTAAATTGGACAAAGTAAGAGGCATGGCTACCGCCTCTCTCCAAACCTTGCTGACTTATGATCTTATAGTGAGGAAGGGGCTAGATTCCCGGTGAGCATGATATCGTCTGGCGTATGGGCAGAGTGCATTCCTCTATCCAAGGCACACGATCTCAAAGAAGTGCCAACAGTAGCATCATTGCCTACTGCGGCCTCAGCCCCAGAGACGATGAAGTCGGCATTGCAGAAGATAGGCTACCTAGGCAGCGTGCCTTGCTCATACAAGTCCACTCCGATGGCAGCACACTTTGAGCTCCACATCGAGCAAGGTCCCCATCTCGTTTCTGCAGGCCAACGGGTCGGAGTTGTCACGGCAGTGCAGGCCTATCGTTGGTTCCGATTGAATGTCATCGGGCGAGATACACACACAGGTACAACCGCTTTTGAACACCGTGCCGATGCTCTATATGCATTTGCGCGTATGATGGTTCGAGCAAGAGAGGTCGCTGCAGGACGAGGATGCCTTGCTAGCGTTGGGATCATCGAAGCGAAGCCGGGCAGTGTCAACACTGTTCCCGGACAGGTCAGCTTCAGCTTGGATATCCGTGGACCAGAGACGGAACTGGTCGCTGAGGTTGAGAAAGAACTTCGTCGTGATTTTGACGAAATCGCCGCTGCAGAGGGCGCTGGGATCGGCAAGCCCTGCCGGGTTGAGTGGACGCTTGACTTTGATTCTCCTGCTGTGAAATTCCACGACGAATGCATTGAATGCGTACAGCAATCGGCTCATGCTGTTGTAGCAGATGCGTCGGTTGCAGATCCCAAGTCACTGGTTCGGCCCATCATGAGTGGTGCTGGCCATGACAGTGTCTTCACTTCGAAGCGTGTTCCCACGAGTATGATATTTGTGCCCTGTAAAGATGGACTCAGTCATCATCCGGAGGAGTTTTGCTCAGCAGACGACTGCGCGACCGGAGCATCCGTCATATTGCAAGCCGTTGTGCGGTACGATCGGAGGAGATTCGCATAGAGCTGATGAAGATTAGTATGTTAGAGCAGGCCCTAAATTTACATCAGATCAAATATTGGTAAAAATCCGATCAAGTCGCATCGAGAGCTAAGCATCATCAGTGAATCTGAGATCTAGAACATCGAACTACAATGGTGAGCAATTTGTGCACTGATCATGAATTTGCCATTAAAACTAGCTACATCATTAAAGCCAGTGACATCGTTTCAACTTTTTTGATTTTTTCCCGTACCCGCAAGTATCAGAAACGAGGGGCCGTTTGGTGATGTGTTGAGAACCAGCCTGTTTCGAGGCCACCATTTCTGGGACCCTATTCCAGACCAAGCCCTCTGACAACATCATTCCCCAGGATGACCGAGCAGTGGATGACAGGATGACCAAGGCCTCAACCCTTACTGGGGAGCGGCACCACCGCGGCCACGGCCGAAGCCACCACGGAAAGAGGGAGCGAACTCGCCGGGGGCACCGCCCTCCTTGCCGCCCTCCTCGCGGCGGCGGTAGCCACCCTCACGGGGAGCACGGGGACGACGCTGCTCACGGTCCTCACCGCCCATCATGCCGCGGGGAGGAGCGTGGGAGCGCTGCTGCTTGATGTGGGTGGCGGGAACAACCTCAGCGGGGGAGGTGGAGCCACTCGCGGAGGTAGTCAAGACCCTCGGGGGTGAGGGTGTAGTAGTAGTACTAGTTTAATTAGCAACCTGGACATACAATTACCACATGGAGAATGGAATCAAAGACTCACCTGCCACGAGAACTGGGTCTTGAGGAAACCGCGGGAGGTCAGAGACTGGCAAGCCTTGATGACATAGAGGTTCTTGGTATCAATGTCACCGTGCTTGGGAAGGTTGAAGTCCTTCTTGGCCACGAGCACACCCTCTACAAATTCAGTCAGTCAATTGTTCATATCCATATCCATCTCGGTCTCGGTTTGTATCAGCGCGATTGCGGCGTGTCGAACCGAGGGAGATCGTAGCGTCGGCGAGGGTGGTGGTTACATACCGCGGAAGAGGTACTCGTGGATCTTCTTGCGGTCGTCCTTGGGGATAAGCCTGGCGCATTGTCAGTATAATAGCATGAAATCGAGAGAAAACAGTAATTCTTACATTGTCGCGAGTTCCTGGTGCAATTTGGGGAATCGCTTTGACAATCCAGAAAATTGATGGGTGATTTAAAGAATCAGGACGAGTGGAGCCGCGCGAAGTGGTGCGAATATGATATTCCTCTTCGGGCACTCTCTTTAGGGTTGGGGCTCTAGCTAGTCACGTTACCTCAACAAAGCCTGGGTACCATTGGGAGGTCACATGACTTTATATATTGCTGACTGATCTACCATATCACATGACTGTGGCTGGGCGGTCCTATGCCCCGTGACCTCCCATCTTATCGCCGTCACGCCTACCTTGAAGTCGCAGATCATCATAAACATATTCTTTGCTCGCACGTCCGGTCGAAGAGATCGTCCTACCTTACCTCAAGATGGCATTGCCAAATGTGAACATTCTGCTATCGTCCTTCCCTGGACTTTCGCTACCGACGACCGTCTCGTTTTCGCTGGCATCAACCTCAACAATCTCAGATCTGACCGACAAGGTCGCCTCATATCTCCCGTCTTCGCTTTCTCTACAGTCACTTATTCTTACTACGACAAACAACAAACAAATCACCCCATCGTCTGATCCCCTGCGGTCTCTCTTTTTCACCCGCGATGGCACCACCTCAGACACCTCAGCCCTTCTTCCAGTCCGCCTATCTGTTCCCCTATGCGGTGGTAAAGGTGGATTCGGCTCACAGCTTCGTGCTGCCGGTGGTCGTATGTCCAGCAAACGCAAGCGCAATCAAGGCGACAACAACAGCTCCAGTCGCAACCTCGATGGCCGCCGCCTGCGTACCGTGAATGAGGCCAAGGCCCTCGCTGAATATCTCGCCGTCAAACCCGAAATGGATAAGAAGGAAAAAGAAGAAAGACGCCGACGATGGCAGGCAGTTGTGGATATGTCCGAGAAGCGACAGGATGAAATCAAGAATGGTGATGGGAAACAAAAGGTCGACGGGCAGTGGATGGAAGACAAGGAAGAATCCATTGAGAAAGCCCATGAAGCGGTTTTACAAGCCATGAAGGATGGCGCATGGACTGACAACCTACGAGACGTGATCCTTGGCGGCTCTAGCACAAGTGCCAGTGAAGGCAGTGAGCACGCGACTTCCTCTAGTTCAGACGAAGAAGAAGAGCAAGGTCCATCGTCCAGTTCTGCGGGTCCCTCTGTCCCAGCGCCGAAGCCTGCTGCTCGAAGTTTCATTGGTTTCGATGACGATGATGAGTTTATGAGCGACTCTGAAGAGGAAGAAGAGGCAGAGCCCGAGGGCAAGGGCAAGGGCAAGGCCCGCGCCTAAATGTATAAAACCAAGATCTGGGTTATGGGTTACGACGGCGTTTATGCGTTATCCTAGTAGGATATCTTCTTTGCTTTGGGGTTTATAGCGAGTTTGAATGTCAATATTTAGTCCTTACAGTCTCAATCTGGAGCAATAATCAAGCAGCCAACTGAATGCTCGCGCCACACATGTTAGTCTCAGTAATTGAAGACCTTGTAGAAAATACATACGTCATAAGCTCGTGAATGTGACTTTTGACTACCTGGAATTTCACTTAAAACCAAAGAATTCCAAGAATAAATCCATGTCTCCATGTCTAGTCCCAAAGGTGTCCGCCCCGGAGCAGCCCCGGCCTCCTCGTCGACGGCGGAAGTCTTATCGATAACACTTTTTTCCGGCAGAAAATGGAAAAAGCGTGGCACCGCGCGAACTTCGTCTTGCGACAACATCCACCATGTCGGCCTGCTCTCGGGGCGCGCTGTCTAGGAACCTACGGCTTGGTGTTCTGCGACTTAATCCAAGATATCCTCGTCAACCAGCGCTCACAATACCCTCGTTTCGCATCACACCCCCAACCGCAAACTCCATCACGCGCCACGGCCTACACACCCTCGCCTCTTTTCTACTACGCGCTTTCAACGACAAGCTGCTATCGAAAACTTGACGGATGTTCTACCAGTATGCTGCCCAGGGTGTGGCGCTTTTTCACAAACCGTTGAGCCAGATGAACCGGGCTACTATGGTGCGAGCCGGAAGCAAACTCGGAAACTCCTCGCCTCTAGACAACAAGCAATTGAAGAACGGAGTACAGAGCTAGGATTCGAAGGAATATCGACTATTCAAGATAGTGTTTCTGTGGATGATTCCCATGGGAAGGAGGAGATGGTGGCCCCTCGGCCTATCCAAGGTATTTGACCAAGCTAACGTCACTCTCACTGTCCCCGGGCTAATCCAGAATTAAAGAAGGTGCTCTATTGGAGGAGGCCGAAAATCCGGACACGCCGTCTCTAGAATCGCCAACCCGAACTACCCATGTTTGTGATCGATGCCATGATCTCATCCACCATAATAAAGCAATTGCCGCGCCCAAACCAGATACTCTTGCGATACGAGAATACTTGAAGGAATCCCCCTATAAAGACAATCGTGTCTACCATGTCATCGATGCCGCCGACTTCCCCATGTCCCTGATTCCACGAGTTCACGACGCACTGTCAGTTAAGGGCCAGCGCTCATTAAACCGACGTGCCTCACACGAAAAGTACCACGGTGGTCAAAAACTGCCTAGTCTCAGTTTTATAATCACACGCTCGGACTTGCTAGCAGCAACAAAAGAGCAGGTGGATTCGAAGATGGAGTATGTCCGCAATCAACTTCGTACTGCTCTTGGAAGAGCAGGGAGGGATGTTCGATTAGGCAATATCCACATGGTTAGTGCGCATCGCGGATGGTGGACAAAGCAGGTTAAGGAAGAAATTCGACAACATGGCGGTGGCATTTGGGTTGTTGGAAAGGCAAATGTAGGAAAGAGCAGCTTCATTGAAGCTTGTTTTCCCAAGGACCAGCGAACCATGGAAAACATGGCCCAATGGATTGAAGAGCAACGAGAGAGCGCCGAAGTCCCGAACCAGCGACAGGCATATCTACACGATCCAAACAGCATTTTACCCCCTGCGCCCCGTGAAGACCAATTCCCTGTCCTTCCGGTCGTGTCTTCTATGCCAGGAACAACGGTCTCGCCTATTCGCATTCCATTCGGCCGTGGGAAAGGCGAGGTTATTGACCTCCCAGGTATGCAGCGTGGCCAGCTCGAGGACTTCGTTCGAGATGAACATAAACGTGATTTGATCATGACCAAGCGAGTAAAACCTCAACGCTGTACGGTCAAACCCGGTCAATCACTTCTGCTTGGTGGTGGGCTCATACGACTCACCCCCGTGAACCCGGATCACACACTTCTTGCTGCTTGTTTCATTCCCATTGAAACCCATCTTACGAAGACTGAGAAGGCAATTGAGATTCAAACCGAGCAACGAGCGTACCCCGGTACAGTTCTGATGAGTGAAGGAACTGGTAGCACCATGAAATCAGCTGGGAAATTCGATTTGAAGTGGGATATTACTCGTTCAAATCTTCCCACGTCCGTTGCCAAGGCAGTAAAGGATCGCAAAATTCCTATTCCCCAGCTGCCATATCAGGTTTTGTCTGCCGATATCCTGGTGGAGGGCTGTGGTTGGATCGAGGTCAGCGTGCAGGTTCGCGCCAAACGCAATGCCGAAGAGCCGCCCATTTATCCCCAAGTCGAGGTATTTACCCCGAATGGCAAACATATCGGATCTCGCGAACCAATGGAATGTTGGAACTTCATCGACGAGAAGCTTAAAGCAGACCGACGGAAAAGACCGCGCATGAGATACCGTTATAGTTAGACCTGATCGGTAAACCACACAACTGTACACTACAACCTAGCATAGCGACTGGTGTTTTATTGTCTATGGTTACTGTAATTATACATCAATCTCTGTCATTATATAGTTTTCTAGCAATTTTTGTCCCAGTATGTGCTCTCGTATCCCCAAGGTATTGGGTCGCAGCAAGGGGTCCCCACTGCAGTGGAGACCTTCCAATGGTTCTCCCGACTGCCAAAGCTCTTTGTTTCTTCCACCCCCGACGATCCGGCCCTGGTGAAGAATCTCCAATTCGAAATCTTTTCATTCATCTACAGGATTATAAAGGCAAAGAATTCTTTTCCTGGTCATGAACTCTATTTAATTTGCGACTTCGGACGAGCCAGAAACCCCAAATTCAACAAGCAAGTTGCGTCACCGCCTCTTTCGACACGTACTTTCTAACCAGGAGAATGAGGGAAACAGAAGAAAATATCTCTTGGTGCAAGATGCTATCCTCTCGTGCTCTCAAGAATGTTCAGCAACTGGAGCGTCCATTTCGGTTCACTCCTACCCCGGATTATGACCCTCAGATAAATCCTCAAGGTCTTATTTCATTTGGCATGGCAGAGAATGTGAGTGTGCCTGTCAACAAAAGCATTGGAGATTGTTCTACTAACCATTTATCAGAGACCAATGAGGTCTGAAATTGTGAAGTATATCAACGAGAAGGTAATCACTCGTATTTTCCGAACATGCCATTTCTTCCATGATGATCTCGGGGGTATCTAACATACTTCTAGGTCACGTTCACATTAGACTCAGTCAGCTACCGCTCGAGCGCAACTATAAATTCTCGTCTTCCGGGTATTGCCGCAGCCCATTTAGACAAGGTCTTGAGCACACACTCTCCAATCAATCCGGATCATGTTTTTGTCGCGGATTCTCCGACGTCTCTAGGTAACATGCTCGGCTTCAACCTCGCAGAGCGGGGGGAAGGCATTATAGTTAATCGCCCCGTATATGGCCGCTTTGAGCTAGACTATGGTGTCGAGGCTGGTGTTGAAATTGTATATGCGGATACCGCAACTGACGAAGCTTTTACGCCAAACTCGGTTGCCAAGTACGAGCAAGCTTTGATTGAAGCCGAGAAGCGAGGCATCAAAATTCGTGCGGTACTCATAGTGAATCCGCACAACCCTGTCGGTATGTACATTCTATCACAAAACATTATATTCCGGGGTTTTAATATATTAATCGAAATCGAATCAGGTCGTTGCTATCCCTCTGACACCCTGAGACATATTGCAAGGTTCTGCGATAGAAACAGCCTTCATCTTATTAGTGATGAGGTATACGCATCCTGCGTTTTTGACTCGGGTGATCCTGATTCTGTGCCATTCAACTCGATTTTATCGTTGAATTTGCAGGGTTTGATTGACCCAAATCTTGTCCACGTTCTATATGGCTTCAGCAAGGTGAGTCTGATTTCAACAAAGGGGTTTGATAAGCATCGGCTGAGATTCATTCTATGTTAGGACTTTGCATCTGGGGGTTTGCATCTCGGTTTCTTGGTAACTGCAAACGAGCAACTTCGCAAGGCATGTAAAATGGTTCTGTAAGTCTCAGGATAGACGTTGCAAAATGATTCGTACTTTCAACGATTGATCAAGACACGCTAATAAAAGTCATGCACTAGACGGCTCCATGGCGCTTCCCAGGCTGCAATTACAATCGGGACTGCTATCTTAGAGGATCAAGTTTTTGTCCAGGGCTTTCTAGCCAAATCTCAAGCTAGCCTTGCAGCAGGCTATCGCCTAGTCACTTCTACACTTCGAGAAGCCGGCATCAATTACATGAAAGGAGGGTGGGTCTTTTTGCATATCGGGAATCTTTGTGTCAGCTCTAATTTGGCAAACTAGTAACGCGGGTTTCTTTATTTATGTCGATCTGTCCCCTTTCCTCCCCGACATCAACTGCTCGGTTCAAGAACGCGAATTTGCCCTAGCACAGCGGCTCCTTGATGAAGGTATCTTCTTACATCCTGGGGAGGAACACTCTAAGGATGCAGGCTGGTTTAGGTTGGTGTTTTCCAATGACGAGCCCGCTTTGAAGGAAGGGCTGAGGAGGTAAGATTGGTCATCTATTTTCGCATTTTGCACTGCCATCCAAGGCTTTAGCTGACCCCGCAATATAGGATGTTGCGTGCTTTAAAACTATAAGCTTTGTAGTTGCTTGTACAGATACAGTCGAGCTAATGCTGGCTTAAGGAGAGGCGATAGATCAAAGCCTGGGGTTCTATCGAGGCCGGCAAGGGACGCCCTTACCCCATAGTGCACAGATAGGATTCACCAACCGTTCCTAAAATAACTTGAAACATTATATGCCCATCAAAAGGTTGGGATTACAAAACGTAACAGCTATTGCGGAAATAATCAATATCATGGCTCCGATGGCGTGGAAAGCTGTATTTCGAACATACTAATTGGTTATTTTAAAAGAATACTTGGGGCTGTCAATGTTGCTAGGCTTATGGATGACCCTGAAGATGAATGTTATCTGAAGTTGACCAACATCATGCATCTGAATCCTAACTTGACTATTTTCTCGATGGCAAATGTAAATCTGACCTTTAACTTTGTTATTCGCCCGGTTAGTAGAAGCTGGTTGTACCCTCACTGGCTTTGAGTGCCGTCAAGTAATTCCCTTCTGACTCTGGGACCCGGAATTCCCCTTTGTTTATGATTTTTTTTATCTTCTTTCCAGATTCTCACTTACCGGTGAATATTTCGCTTTATTAGAATATAATATTCAAATTTTGTTCAAAAAAATGCGGTCTTTATTTTGTACGCACTTGGAAATAGCCAGTACGCAAGAATATGTCAGTTTCCAAGGTTTACATTTCTCGAAATCGATAGTTACGAGCTCTGATTATTCAGACCCAGCCCGCGAGATTCAAGTTTCCCATTGTAAACAGTTATATGTTTTGCTGAATTCCGGGGCGGGCAGCTATGAATTACTTAGTACCCCAAGCTCTCAATATTGGTTCCTCATACTCGGCTGTATGCGGCGAATTCCCGAGGTAATCATCGGAGATCTAAATAACGATAAACCAATCAATGTTTTGGAGATGTATTGTCATGTTCTTTGTATCGACATTTCATGCACCTCTTGCCAAGATTGTAACACTTAAGACCAAAGTACCTCGTCCATTTTGATTACCCCTCATTATCACCCATCGCAACCTCGGAAATTCCAAAATAATTTGTTCATCGAAATTGTCTTACTTCAAAAAATGACTACCATGTCGAATTTGCTAGCATCGGCTGCGGTTCCAGCCTTCAAATGCCCAAAAGGAACCAAGATGCATATCCTAGATCTCGGTATGCTGGAAGCAGATGAATCATGGTTAGCCAAAATTTAAGATGGGTCATTATCAATTCTCACGATGCTGTTAGGATTCTCCGTGGTGCAAATACCAGCAAGTTGAGTAACCTTAACCCAACGAACAAACGGCGCGAGCTAGTGCTGCTTTCGGCTCTTATCGAGCACCCCGATGTCGGTCTTATTCTTTATGACGCAGGCTGTGCAGAAGACCTTAATGTAGTATGTGATAGCTTTACCCGTGAACATCCAGATAGCCACTGATAACATTCTTAGGCATGGCCGGCTCCTTTAACCGATGTTTTCCCACGAATTCAGTACTCAGAAGCGCAAAGGCTTCCCAACGCAATTAAAGCAACCGGTAACGATATAAAAGATGTTAAAGCAGTGATCATTAGTCACCTTCATCTCGATCATGCAGGTGGACTTGAACATTTTGTCGGCACTGATGTACCGATCTATGTTCACGAGGAAGAGTTCAAACATGCCTGCTGGGCTATTGCGACCCAGGCTGATCATGGCGTCTATCAAGGACATTATATGCATTTGGAAAAACTGAAATGGGAAACCTTTACTGAGTCCGAACTGGAACTTTTCCAGGGCATTACCCTTCTTCATGCACCAGGTCACGCGCCTGGACTTTGTATGATGCAGGTCAACCTTGACAGTGACGGTACTTTTATTTGGACGACTGATCAATTTCATGTGTCGGACAATTATGAGCTCGGCCACCCGCATGGCGGTCTAGCAAGGGATCACAACGCATGGTACCGCAGCCTCAACATGACCCGACGGTTACAGAGGTTGTACAATGCTAGACTCATATATGGCCATGACAAGCCAACTACTCTCAAGCTTCTAGGTGAGAAGAAGTATTTTGAGTAAATGCGATCACATTTAGATAGTATCTTGAAACTTCTTCGAATAATGAATGGCATCTGAACTATTTCAAGATCCTCGTATTTGCATAGATTCGAATACATTAATTTACTCACTATATTCCTTCATAACAGTTGGTATCACCAGCTTGAGTCGTGCCAAATCCTGTATTGCTTCAAAGGCAGTTTCAAATGAATCTGCAGTTCCGAAGAAGCCTAGTTTTCTAGCCTTTCGCATGCTCAAGGAAAGTGGCCAGTCCCCGAGAAGAGCCGAATCTGACATTCCAAAGATCTGAGCACGCTTTTGCTCATCAAATGGATCGAGGACAAGTGCATAATCCTCCGACAACTTTTTCCATGCCTGTTGAACTTCTGCCTTCCCAGACCACTCCAGGAGACTGAACGTAGAACGAGTTGTTCCAGCGGGCCCATATCTACCAAAATGTCAGACAAATGGTGAAAACCGGTTCAAAAAGTCACATACCCTCTGGGGGTATCCACATGTCGACATGTAGTCACCCTGAATTTTGAAGAATCTGCCTCGGGGGGGATTCCACGCTATGCCGAACCAGCTTGCAAGGTATGGCCAGAAGCGCCCCCAAGTAAATGACTGTCCGTCCTGTATGTTGAATGCCTCGTTGGCTGCTTTATCAGTCAAGACGGCCCATTCTTCGAAGTGGGCATTTAGTAAGGCAGTGCTTTGACAGAATTCGCGATCCCAGGCAGCATAGTCGCCAGGAAAATCCAGAGGCTTTTTCAAGTAGCTCTGAATGGCCCCGTAGATAGCAAGCCCAATCATAAAATTCAATGCGCCATCACGAACAGCGCCGATAATATATGACGGGCGGACTACATTCCATGCAGCACCAGTCTCCTCGCAATACTTTGCCAAGGCATCTTCCTGTGGATAATAGAAATTCTCTTCCAGTGTAACTCTTGGATCGGACTCAAACGAAGGGTTAGTGGCTGGGCCCATGTGAAAGCCATAATTTTTAGCTCCTGTCTGAAGCAGGAACCGTTTAGGCTGGAGACTTGTCAGTCTAAGGCCACCGAGGAAGTTGCTCAAAAGATTGGCTTAGCATTGAGTCAATAAAGAGCTTTCATCATCACAGGATAATCATTCTTGTAACATACAGTTAACTTCGGCCAAAGCACTAGCATCCGACCACATCTCCAGAACACTACCCTTTTGTTGTGTCTGCATATAAGAGAAAAAAAACACATGGTCACTATAGAAATATTAGTAAAAGTTCTCGGTCGTAGTCGTAAAAGCATATGCGGCACTGACATTTTCTGTACGTTTGCTTTCAGTCGCTCTGCAATCTGCGCTGGCTCGGAAAGAAAGTCGACTGCGATGTGTTTGACTCGTTTCGCCCCCTCGCCCAAATCCTCGAAGAAATTATCAGGCGGAGGTCGTCTAGATAGGCAAAATATTTGACTCCATCGTTTGGGATTAGCAGCCAGAACACGGACCAGATGGTAACCTGAGATTCCGTTTGCTCCAGTCACCAGCGCAGTCAAATTTGTGAGCTTCGACTCATCTGGAAAGCTGGGTAACCCATGCAGTGAGCCTTCGGAATACACAACACCGTGAGCAGTCATATAGGATGCTTTCGTCGGCAACTAAAGAAAGTGCTATGTTGTTTACAAAACAAATAGCCGTCTCATAATTCTGGACCACCAGACTGCTATCCGGGTCATAAGATAATAAACAGCCCCTCTTTTCTATCCCCGCACTTCTTGGGAGATTCGAATCCTTAGGCGCTCTCTGATTTCTTCGGCTTTCCTCCGCCAGCTGATGCATTGCTGCGGGGGTGGCGCGCTCAAATTTCGATTGCATGAAGAGACCAATGCAGTTACACAAATACGTCAGTATTACATACTGTTATTAATTACGAGAAATCTACCTTCTTTCTATTTCTTTCGGGGTTGAGAGAATACGTGAGCGATGGGTAGTCCAGAATACCGAGCCGATAGCCCGGGAGGATTAGTATTGAATTCAAGCCGCGCAGCCTCATCGCATTTTGGAGCTTATTCCAGATGCTGATGGCTTGATATAATTTGATTTCCGCAAGGAAATCTTTTTCGCAGACCAATATTTGAGTCAAGAAATTATGAGGAGCACGCGCCAGTTATCCACCTGGTAATATTCTGATAGCTGTCCCCCGGATTGTTTAAATGCGTATTCCTGCTTTTTAAAGATGGGAGAAGAAAAGAATTGATGTGTAGATAGAAAGACTGCCGCGACAAATCGCTTATTTGCAAGGCAATTCAAGCCGAGGGTTATATCGCCTCTATCGCCTTCTGTATGTGGCTGGCTGAACGACGCCGCAACCTGAAGAAGCAGAGCCTTGAGTGAGAAGAAAATGGCCTCGAGCCCGCAAGTCGGGCTGCTGAAGCCCCATAATTGTTGTACTGGTGTATTATATATATGCATTTGACGAAAAATTCCATGTTATGAGTTTAAAATATGATTCTCTTCGCTGTTCAATTCATAATGGGCCATATCACCAAACAAGTTCTCTGAGTTTCCACAATACTTCAGCTCAGCCACTCGCTGGTCTTATAAACTAAAGATTATGTGGCGTTTCTTTGCGAATCGTTTAGATTATAGGAATTGGTGGTTCGTCGAGGTATAAGTAGCATTGATTCCCGGCGAGCTTTTTAATCTTTCCACCGTGACAACCTATTTCTTCAATCTCTCGAATTATTTTGATACTTCCATTATTTCCAAATTTTATATCAGTTTTCCATCTTGACAAAATGTCGAATACCAACGAGAAATACGTCTTCGGTAGAAGTAAAATGGAATCACAACGGTATCAACCCTTGGAAGGCGAATCAGACCCATTCCAAATCAAGTTTATACCTAATGGAAGGGACCAATATCTAGACTCGATGCGCAGCACAGCTTGCTGGTAAAAGCAACACAAAACACTCTGGTTCACCCATCTATCCCAAAGGAAAATGTCATCTCAGTTGCGGATATAGCAACCGGGACCGGGTGAGTCTCCTACTTCGCTACTGCCACAAAAGTCGACCTCGCTAATTCCTGGAAGGGTATGGCTCCGAGATACTGCAAAGCTCCTAGGAAAAGTTAATACAACCCAACGTTACTATCATGGATTTGATATATCGCCTGATCAGTTCCCTGATGACATGGGCGACATCGAATTTTCTGTTCACGATATAACAGCACCCTTCCCGAAAGAACATTGGAATCGCTACGACTTGGTCCATGTACGATTGTTGGTTGCCGCTATTGACGAAGTTGAATACAAAGCTGCGGTCGCCAACATTCATCAAATTTTAAGTAAGCAATTCGGAAGCATTACTTATATTTCTTCATTTACTGTTTTTCTTTCTGGACGCTAATCTATGTAGAACCTGGTGGGTTCCTCCAATGGGAGGAAATCGACGAAGTAACGTACAAACTAGAAAACAACACCGTCTTTGAGGAAATTTGGCGATGCTTTGACTCTTCGTTCAAGGCGGAAGGGAAATGCTTCCAAGCATCAGCAAAGGTTCTTGAGGAGTGCATGGCGGCTGGTTACTCAAACGTCGAGCGGCTAGCTTACAGTTCAGACTGGGACAATAACCTTCGTCCGGATACCGAAGCAAGATTTGTTGCAATTATCGAAACGTTGTATGCAAGCCTTTTGTTGCGGTCCGGGCAGGTGGATGATGAGCTAGCAGCATCAAAGCAGGCTGGGGAGCTGATCAAGAAATATCAACAACTTTGTGGGAATGGAAACTCCCCGCCGGTGAAACTTATGAGGGTTGTTGCTCAAAAGCAAACCGCTTGACCAATACTTGAAGGCAGAATATTATCAGTGCTGGTTATCACATGGTCTTTTCTAGTTTCAGTAGTGTATGCCTTCCAATGATATAACGAAAAGAGAAAGAACCCATTTATATTGCAATACCATCATCAAGTGCAACAATCCTATAATGAAAATACAAATGCAGCTCCAAGAGCCAGCATAGCCCCCGAAAGTCCCAGAACAGCACCAAGTCCTTCTCGGCTCGACTTCCGTAGACTCGGATTTCCCGCGGCATTCGAAGTGGGCGTAATAAACGAAGCAATGGGTCCAGAGGCATCTGTGCCAGTAGTAGTTTGAGCACTCATAGCTGTAGCCTGACGATCCAGATCAGATTGGTGGTGAATAAGGGTGACCTGAGGAACAACAGAGATTGGAGTAAACATATCCTCGAATGCGAGATCATCATAGGTCTGCCAATCAGTCGTACGGGTGATATCAGTTTCCGTAGGAAATCGGACAGCCCCTGTTGTGATCTCAAGGCCTAATGTGTATGGCATCGTTGTCGTCTCATATTCGTAGCTTGTTTGGTCCCAGGCTCGGCAGCCGATAGTTGGTGTATAAGATGGGACGATCGAGAAGCAATTGCCCGCTATATCTGCTGTCATATGACTGAATTCAGAAGCAATTAGCGAAGAGCTTTTTTTAGGTCACGAGCCGCAAATCACAGGCATATCATGCAAATGAGTTGACCTACCTCGGACAACAGAGCGCCAGCGTTTGACTCGGCTCCAGAAGGTCTGCCAACAAAGTCGGTGCGTAATCTTCCCATCCCCATGGATACCCATAGCCAGTCTCAACCGTTACTGCGCCAGACATTGTGAGATCTTTTTTCTCGTCGCGTGCGGCCATGCCTACTGTTTTCCAGCCGGAGGGGCAGTATAATCCCGGAGAGTAGTATGCGCCGACGCCGCCACCGTATTTCTTCGTGCTAGTGGTGACTGTCACCGTGGCGGTCGGGACGCATTCTGGAAAGTCTTCTTTCGTACATTGGACAGTATAGGCATGGTATGGAACATCGCGGTCCATCCAGCCTATTTCAGTCCTTTGGTTTGCGCTGCAGCTTGGGGGCTGCGTAAATGTTGTTGTGAGTGAGCCATAGTTGAAAAACTGCCAACCCGCGTTATAGAGATAGAGTGAGGTCGTCATGGCCAGTATATTTGCTTGCTTGCTCTGTTTATCACGCGAAATATAGACGGGAGAGTTTGCCTTGTTTATTATGTTGGTAGGCAACGAATGAAAGTAGTTTGCAAATCGATTAAGGGGCTACGGAGAGATGTGGGAAATATGAGTAAAGTCTTAGCAGTTTAAATGGGATTGGGAGTTCATTCAATAAGCCTCCGGGAAGTACTAAATTGACTTAGTTTGCTGGGCATGGTTGAATGAGGCTTATAAAGTCCCTCGCTTGTGGACTTGCAATCTCCTCCACCCGCCTCGCTATCGGCTTGGCAGGGACCAACCGAGTTCAAAGGCGTGGCCTAGTGCTGAACTCGGTTAGTGATGTCTCTCAAGGTCACATAAACAGGTTCAACGCTAAACAAACATTATTTCAGCCCCCATCTCCGATGTCGTGGGGGTGAGTTGTCAACTGCTGGCTACTATCGAAGACGCTAGTCCGGCCCCCTAACTACTCGTATACCGTCAAACAATTTCCATCTGTCGGCACGTCCCGGATCGACACAATATCGAGATCACTTTCCAATCTAGAACCATGAAATGCATTTGTTTTGAATTTTTTAGCATAAGCTCATAAAACATGACTCTTTAGAAGAACAAGAACATTTATATCTCAACTTGAACAAAAGCATATCTACTCAACGTTAGAGAAGATGAAGGTAGGCTGGCCAGGCACAGCATTCTCGGCCTGAAGACCCTCACGCTTCTCGCCAGTACCAACAACCTCGCCAGTCTTGCCACCCTCGTCAACGGCAATAACCTCGACCAGCTTGTAGCCCGAGGTACGCTTCAGACCGTCAAGCATCTCAGCAAGAACGGCGAATTCGTCGAAGGGCAGCTTGCGCTCAAAGACGTTCTCGGGGGACTCGCGGCCATTCACCAGGCGGCGCTTGAGGGTTTGAACGAAAGGCATGGCCTTCTTCATCTCACCAAGCTTGCCGACCTTGGCGTTGAGTTCCTTGTCGTTGAACGAAATGTTCAGGGTATCGAAAGCATCGCGGACGAGGTCAATGTACTTCTCTTGCCAGGCGGGATACTTCTTGGCGGCGAAGATGGTGAGCTTCTTGGGCTTGCGCGGGTCAAAGGCTGAGGCCTTGCCCTTGGACAACTTCTTAGCGAAGCTACCCTCGGAAGACAGGATGTTGGATGCAGTGCCGCGGACGTAAGCCTGGGCAGCGGAGAGTTCGTGAGAGGGCTCGGGCACAACAGGGAACCTGGCAAAGTGAATAGTCTCGGGCTGTTATTTAGTTAGTGTTGGGGGTCCGAAATATATAGTTTTATGTAGATAGCTGACCTTCTTGAGAACCTCAAGCCAGATGTACTCGGACCAGTGCGGGGCAATTGGGGCCAACATGAGCGCTTGGAGGGTCACACATCTTTAGGACTATATCCCTGTTCATACCAATGCCGGCGGCAATGGCTGCCTCACGATAGGAGTCACGAGCGCTGGTGAAGTCATACAGACCAGACTTCAGGGCGAGCTTGAAATCAGTGCTGGTATATAGGTTAGCTGTGAATCACAGTGGGAATTTCAAAGAGAAGCTTACTTTTGGTAGTGCTTCTCTGTCTCACGGACCAGGCTGTTCAGCTCGTTGTCAAAGAGCTTGTCAGCGAAGGCATCGGCCGGGCCGGTACGCAGGGACTCGTCGTTGACAACCTCCTGAATCCAGTCCTTCAGAGTGTGCAGACGCAGAATGTTGCTGTTGGCAACACTCTCCTCAAAATTAGCATCTTCGATGGAATCTCCGGCGTCTGCAAAGGCTATGCGCGTTGCAATAGCACCATATTTCTCCACAGAATCCTTCAGAGTCAGGAAGTTACCAGTGCTCTTGCTCATCTTCTCACCGTTGAGTAGAAGATGTCCATTAGCCCTCACACCTCTTGGCCAGACTTCGGGCGGGAATAGAGCAACGTGAATGTAAAGGAAGAAAGTCAAGTGGTTTTGGATGAGATCCTTGCCAGAGACACGGACGTCAAGAGGGTACCAGTACTCGAACTCGCGGCGCATCTTTTGCAGAGCCTCCTTGGAAATGCCACATTTGGAGATGAGATCGTCGCTAATCTCACGACGAGTAAAGATATAGTCCCACACCTCGTCGATCATCTGGTCAGCAGTAACGCCCAGGGGACCAGTAGTCTTGCCGTACCGGTCACCGTGCAGAAGCTGAGCGATAGTGTAGTAAGCCATGTAGACGGTACTATCACTCAAACTCTCGACCAGGAATTGTTGATCCCAAGGCAGCTTGGAACCGAGACCGTAAGTTCGGGCACAGGCCCAGCGGTTCAGCCACGACAGGTTCTTCTCGAAACCATTCTTTGTCTCGTTGGAGTAGGTGTTCAAGTTGTGCAGGACGTGATTTAATGTCTCCTTCTGCCACTCGGCATCGTTCTCACCGTAGTTCAGGAACCACTGGCCGAGGTAAGCAACAACACAGTCGTCGCCACTGCGGCTGACAACCTTGCCCATGGGGTCGGCGAAGGGGAAGGCATCACCACTCTCAATGAGAGACTTGCGGATCTTGTCCTTAACAGCGCTGACAGGCTCACCCTTGAACTCGCCAACAATCATGGTTCCCTTATAGAAACCCTCCATGTAGGCAAGCTCCTTGGCCTGAGCCAGCTGGGTAACATCCTTGGGGGAGTTGATCTTCAGCTGCTTAACGAGAGTGGGGGCAGTCAGGTTACCGTAGGTAGGGGTCTCGATAAGGGGGTGGATCTCCTTCTCGGCCCACTCCTTCTTGATGCCGTAGAAGTCAGCCTTCTTGATCAGGTCCATGAGAGTGGCATAGTCGTCAGGGCTGTCAGAGGGAACGGAAGTCACAACACCGGTACCCTTGGTAGCAGAGACGCCATCCATGGGCAGAATGTATACACCCTCAGTGTGGAAGGACAGGGGAGCATTAATCAGGGTACCGACAAAGTCGGAACCGGGGGCCTCGAAGACAAGAGGCAGCTCGTCCTGGGACTTGGGGAACTCGCTGAAAAAGTGGCCCTGGAAAGCCATGTTCCAAGCAGCACGCTTAGTCACGACGATATATTCCTTCTCCTTCAGTTTGAACAGGCCGTAAGTAACCTTAGGGCCAACAAAACAATTTGTCTGACCATACATGGTCTCAGGGCGAAGAGTTGCGGGCACGAAGTATACCTTCGCGTCATCTTCGACGTTGCTAGCCTTGACAAGTTCAGCAACCTTGGGTGACCACTCCTTGACCTGAAGCTTCAGAGCAGTGTATTCCTGGGGACCAATACCCTCACCCTCAGTTCGATCATGGTCCATACAAGGCTGGCCATCCTTGGGGGAGTAGATGGTGTATCTTTGGCCGTACATAATCTTGTTGAGCTCGTGCAGGCGGTTCATCTGCCATCTCACAAAAGCGTCGTAGTACGGGTTGGCATCGGTAGTGACGAATTGACGGCGCCAGTCGACTCGAGCGCCCATGCTGTCGAGATCACGGATGGCAAGGGGCGGGAAGTGTTGCAGCCAGTGGTTGGCATCGGCAAACTTGTGAATATCCTCCAGTGGAACACCAATGGCCAGCATGATCTGGAACTGGTACTTCATCTTGACGGTCTTGGCAGCGGCCTTGCTCTTCTTGCCGGAGAACTTCTCGGCTTGCTCCTTAGCCTCTGGCTTAGACTCCTGAGTGGGAGCGGCGGGAGCGGCGGCCTCCTCCTCGCTGTATCCTTCGAAATTTTGGCCAAAGAGCTTGACCTCGTCGCGCAGCTTATCCGCACAAGCCTTGATGGGCATACCAGTGCAGTGGAATCCAAGAGGGAACAGGGCACGCTTGCCCTCCATGCGGGCAAAACCAGTCATGAACTCGACCTTGCTGGCAGTGAAGGCGTGACCGGCGTGAAGAGTTCCATTCATATAAGGATAGGCCATTGTTCCGAAAAACTTGGGGTGCTTCTCGCGCATCTCGGCGGGGGTCATGGAGCCTTGGGGCACCTCATCGAAGGAGGGGGCGTCGACTTCGAAAACCTTGTTGGCCTTCCATTGTGCCTGGTACTTCTTCTCAATTGCGATCAAGTTGTCACGCTTCTCGGTCTAGAGTCATGTTGGGTTAGCAACGGCCAGGAACAAAAAAAAAACCGGGTGCATGCGATGGAGAGGGAGGGGCAAGTCAACATTTTCGAGCTTGAGGGTGTTCTTCGAGCTGTTGCTCGGGTTGAGCTCAGCGGATGCAGCGGCGGCCGCCATGATTGTAATTCAGCAGGAAATGCCCTAATTGCAAGAGTCCTGAGGGGCAGGGAACAAATATCGCGGGGTCCACTGATATAAAATCGATTGTGACTCAGGACGGTAAGGCGGCCGTATTGTAACACTACAGCGGTAATCAAAGGCACGTGCCATATGTAATAGTAGTACAAAAATAAGATTGACGAAAAGAAATAATAGAAATTATGAATGAGAAAGTGAAAATTAATCTATTTTGACCCAATATGACAAGTCAGAACTTCAACCAATGCCCAAAAAGTCCAACTTCTTCCAAAGAAACCTTCCGTACGGCTGTACTTGCCAACTATATCACGTGACAAATATGCCGGAGCAACTTCGCGGCGCCAGAGTTTCCGCAACAAATTTCCCCAGATCTCCGACAAGCGCTACCAGCTCCTCCCAGGCCAAAAATCATAGGGGTCTGTCTATCGACACTCTCTTTAATACCCGCCAGTCTCGACATTCTCCTCGCAGCGGAGCCAATCCCTTTGCGCCACATTTGCCAACATGGTCAACCTATTCAAGCGGATCCGGAAGCTGAAGACTGTAAGTGCAACTGACGACGGTCTGCTCCTTCCAATTGCTTTCAATGCAATTATTACCTTAAATAGCAACTGACTAACCATTTCTTCTCATCACAGAGGGTAAATTACCCCCATATATCCTTGTTGATTGTTTCTCCAAGCCTTCAATTCCGATATCCAACCCAACCCATTAAACTCGTTCAACCCACTGGGCCCAACCTGAATCAACAATTCTAACGTCAATTTCACACAGATCCTCGATATCCGAGTCGGAACCGGTGCCGCCATCCTCCCCAGTGTCGCCAATGCCTCCAAAGAATTCCCAGCAGTGACCCGGCTACACCTCACATACGCGCAAAAGATCTACGGCGGTCACCAAGGCGCGCGGCATTTCTGGCGCAACTGCCTCCCACGACTGAAGTACTACAACCCGGGCATCCCCATGACAGTAAAACAGACAACGGACCAAGACATCCCAGCCACACTCTCAATCTACTTCGCCGACCGGGTCGGCAGCACCGCGACATCCATCGCAGGCTCAAAGCAAATCACCGACAAACATGCGCCGGCCCCCGGCACCGGCGAGAAGATGGCTACCGTCAACGTGAAAGATCTCACCTACCAGGAGATCTGGAACCGCGTGCAGGCATCCACAAATGCAAGCGAGGTCCCGGCCTCAGAAGAGGATGTGGCAGAGGCGAAGAAGTTCGCGGCTATCGATGAGAAGGCTATTCACGATCGGGAGCGCATACGGGCTAAGCGGCAAGCGAAGAAGGATCAGGAGCGTATGCTTGCTGAGGCTCGTGGCGAAGTTGAGAAGTCGCAGACTGCTTAAGAGATGCAGCGTCGCCGTTCTTGTTATCGTTCTCCCTGATTCGGAGTTGGTTGTGAATCTTTCTGGTCCTCCTTTTCCCTGGTACGCCCGTCGAGGGTGTGGAGAGGAGACCACTTGTAGCATAGCATCGTTGTTTTCCTTATGACTATGTACTATTTTTGGGAATAATTATTCTCGTGTCTAGGACAGATGCGGATTGTAAAACTGATCTTGCAAAACTTTCATTTATAAGAGGTATCAAGTTAGACTGTAGAGCTAAGAAAGGTCCTGCGCTTATACAACGACTTGGACAACTCGACCATGACCATGACGCTGGCTGGTACCATCCTCAATTGACTAGCAGCTTGCTCGTAATTGGAGGTCGTTATAAAATCACAAGGTAGAGGTAGTAAATATCCAATCTCAAAGGTCAGTGTTCAAGAATTGGAGAAATAGCCTTATATACATCGCAGTAGTAAGACAAAGAGCAACCGTCGCGAGTCGTAGAGCCATCCCAAATGAAGTGGCTTAATGCAAGGCGCTTGAAAAAAAAAAGAAGAAAAGAATCCGACATAGTTTCTATGCATTATCGGGATTGTAGCTGGTCTCTCCCAGCATGCCCCCATTGGTCGCAGAAGGGGTGGGCGATATCGAGTTCGCTCGACCTCCGGGTTCAGCCAGTGTTGATGGTCCTGCCTGTGAGTGTCCTCCCGTAGCTGCTTGCAGTCTTTGGTCCAAAGCCTTGAGGGCCAGAGCCCTTCGGCGCTCCGCCTCTTCACGCTTGCCTGCGCCCCTCGATGCTGCGCGCTGGTTACCCAGGAGAGTCGGTAGGCCGGCCTCGCCTCTTGCCAGTACTTGCTGGTTACCCGAGGCGATATCATCATCGGAGAATGGTCGGAGAACCTTGACTGCTACCAACAGAGCGTAGATCTGGTCGGTGATAAAGCCGATCGGGGGTTGCATTATGTCGGGGAAGAGACAGGCGAAGGCGAAGGTCTCGCTGGCGTCGCCCTTGATACCGAGACCGGTGGTCGACATGCCGGTGAGATCAGGCTGGCGTTTATAGAATCGCAAGTACGTCCAGCTGGTGAGGAGGCCGAGCCAAGCCAAAACAAGAGCGGTGTCGGTTCCGATGATGAAACCACTCAGGGTGTTGAGGAGAAGGAACAAAGCCGGGAAATGCTTAACACGCATCCTAACCATGCCCTTAAGGATTGCGACGGTGTGTTCAGGGACGAGTTGCTTGAAAGCGACGAGGAAGGCGCCTTGAATGGAGACGCCACCGCAGATCTGGGTCAGACTGTGGCGGAAGGGGTTAGGATCTCAGATCGGGAAGCATGTGGAGATGGAATCTGGGATAGGACGAACGATCGGCTAGAGGATCCTCCAGCGGCACCCCATATCAGGTAGATAGGGATTATCACGGCATTCGGAATCAGCGTGACAGCGGCGACAAACTTGCTAAACTCGCGAGAGCCCCAGGCGCGCTCGAGGTATTTCCCTCCGTAGAAGATGGTAGCGGCATTGAGGAGAACGGTGAAGATGTTCTGTTCGACGAAGGTGGAAGTGATGAGAGTCCAGGGGTAGTAGAAGAAGTGAGAAGGGACCAGGGTGAGGTAGGGAATGATTGGAGTGGTTTGGAGGCTGCCGGCGGAGGTGTCAAGTTGGCGCCAGCGGGCGATATTGTAGAGGAGGGAAAGGGTGAGCAGGCTGACGAGGCAGATGCGCGTGGCCGGGGGATATTGACACGGAGCGGCATGTTGGGACGCGGCGACCGCGGCGGGGGGGGAATGAGAACCAGTACGCTTGGGGACTTTGTGAGATCGGGGGAATCGTTGTTGGGGGGTTCTCAGCTGAGGCGGTCAGATGTATACAGCGGGCGTGGTTGGCCGTGGTTAGTACTACCAGTAGTATAAGTATGTATGGAGGACATAATTATCGAGGATATTACCCTTAGATAACATCTATTTGATAGTTGGCTTATACTAGCTAGTATTACTATTAGCATACATATACACTACTGGGCTAGGAGTGTGGTGATTTGATCACCATAGGACTCCAGGGCTGGTCCTAGCCTGGTGCCTGCTTAAAGCGGCACTTGGCGTACACTATGTATGCACTCGACCCGGGAGTAGAGTTATGAGGCTGGCTACTAACTATATACTACCTCAACACTACCGTAGTAACCGTACTAGTAGTAGTAGTATTAGCAAAGACACCTCTCAGGCTCAAGTATAATACTAGTACTTCTACCTTTATACCGTGACATATAACTAAAACATATATCCTACTAGCCAGTAGCCACTTAATATAGTTGGGACTACTATATGTAATATACTCTTAGTGGAACCCGACTCGCTAGGCGCCCCGACCACCAGATTTGCCGCCCTGCAGAGTGACCCCGGGTGCGTGCAGACACGAGTAGACAAGTACCTACCCGCGGGCATGCTTAGCAGACAATCCTCCCTACTCCCTACTCCCTACCTAGGTACTCCATACTACTTGCGGTCTCCCAAGATCCCAAGATCGGCAGCCCAGCCACAGTACCACCCTAACTAGCCACTAGCCACACTCTGCGGCTGAGCCAAGCGAGTGATTTGCCTCTGGCTCTGGCCTCTCTCTGGCCGGCCTCTGTCAGGCTTTAGGCTAGTCTCCAGAATTGGTCTTGCTCCTACTGGTCCTGGTTCGTGGCTGGTGCGCTTAAGCTCTTGTCACTGGGAACTTGAATGTTCAACCCTTCTTCCCTTTCTTCCCTTCTTCTTCCCATATTCTGATGTTCATGTTCCACGATCTCGGTCCCTACCCCGATCTCCCGTCTACATCTTTAATCTTCATCCTGCCAACATCACCACTTCCCTTCTCTTCCATCTCTCTCCTCCAACCCTCCAACCCCCCCCTTTTCTGCCGGACTCGGCTTCCGCCCGCGTTCCTGAAGCTCATCTCCACGCCTCCACTTTCGATTTTCCCTTCAGGCGTTTGACCTTCCAGCTTCCCTTCGCCCCTGGCATGGTCGGCGCTTTGAATGGTCGCACATGTAGTCATGGCACAACCCGACCTTACCTCCCATCACGTCAACTACTTAATATGGCGGTATGTCTTCCCTTTTCCATCCCCCGATTCTCCGATTCCTCCGATGCGCCTCCCGCAGATCTAACCCGCTTCCCCGTAGGTATCTTCAAGAATCAGGTTCGTAGCGCGGCCACCCTGGGATCACCACCACCACATCCCATCATCCCATCCCATTCCATTTCTGACCAACCCTCTTTTTCTTTCTTTCAAACAGGTCATGGTGATGCTGCTGTTTCTCTGCAGCGCGCATGGTTCCCGGATCCGCAGAGTCTTCCCTTTGCGCGCCACATCAAAACCCATGCCCTCGTCTCGCTGGTCCAAAAGGGCCTGCAGTACCACGAACTGGAGTCCTCGCTTGACAAGGTATGTGCGCGCGACACGACACTTTGGAGCCGCCTTCTCTGGTGCAACTTCGTCCTTTTTCCTCTCGCATATCTAGGCGGCTCTATCAATTACGCAGACCTAATTTGGATTTCTACAGGAGGGAAACCCTATTACTTTCACACCCACTGACTATTTTTTCGGGCCGGAGCCGTTCGAGGCCAATGCCTTGAAGCGCCAGGATGACGCTGGCACAGACCATCCGGCGGAGCCCGCGCGTGACCGCGCAACCAATGGACACTCACTTGATGCCAGGCCGCGCAAGGAGACGAATGGTGATGAGTCTATGGAAGTGGACGATGAGAGCAAGGGCTCTGTGGATGGCGATGGAGATGTGAGCATGGGGGCCGAGGAGCAGGCCCCGGAACCCACCCTTTCAACCGGCAGCAGCGCCGGCGTCCAGATCTCCCCCGCCAAGGCCGCCGATTTGGCGCCCGACACCGCCCTCCTGCACGGCGATGATCACGTGATGACCACTCGCTGGCGCCCCCGGGATTCGACCCTACTCGTCGCTGCTGGCGAAACCTCCTGCAGCTTATGGAAGCTATCATTATCCTCGCCCCCCGAACAGAATCGTTTCCTTGACCTGAAAGGCAGCAGTGCCTATGTATCCGGCGTGGCCTGGGATGCCGTGGGCTCCAAATTGGCCGTGGCCACCATCCGCGATATGGAGAAGGGAGCGATTACCATGTATAATTCCGAAGGTAATGTTGTCGATCTTCTTCCTGATCTCCCGCGTTTGATCAGTGGTCTGCATTGGTCCGACGATAGTCCACAGTTGGTCGTCGTTGCGTCTGACGAACGATCTTCGGAATTGGCTCTTTGGGATGACAGCCGCGGCCGGATGTGTACCCTCCCCCGCAGGCCATCGACAGTCACGTCTACGACTTGGCCTGGTGCGGACGCAATATGGTTTTCGCTTGCGGAGATGGTGCTGTCTACCAATGTGAAGTGGACGGTAACATCCGCCTAACAAAAACCTACAACTCTCGGGACACCGACACCGCTTGGGCTTTCGTTCGTTCTGCCCACACATCATCATACTCTGTTGCAGTTGCCGCAAGCTCTACAAATTCCTCTATTTGGATTCCGACACATGATATTTTGATTGAAAATGCCCACCAAGATGCAATCACCGCAATTGATATTCGACCTGCAGAACCACATTCACAACAAAATTCCACAATCACAATCGCCTCTTACTCGATCGATACCTTTGTCCATGTCTGGGAAGTGGACCTCGACTCGAAACAACATAAACGCATCCACCGCCTGCGTTTAGGTTCATCAACCCCTGCTTTAGCTGGCAGCTTCTCGCCGGACGGATATGCTCTCTGTGCAGTTAGCCAGGAGAAGCTATTCATTTGGAATGCCGAGCGTGGCGGGGAGCCCATGGCCACATGGACGGCTCCCAGCTCAGAACAAGTTAAGGAAGACCCCGATCACCCCACGAATGGACAGAACGGTCACGCAGCACCGGTCCCCGATCGAGATCTATCTTGGGATCACGACGGCAAAAAGCTCGCGTTTGGCTTTGGCGATCAGGTAAATACGCACTACTATCAGGAAATTTTTGCGGATGCTAACCCTTTTAGATGGCCATCGTCAATCTTCAGCGGTGACTAGGGTAGCTGGCTCTCCCATTTGAACGGTTGGCTCACGTGCCACTACACAAATTTCAAGCTGTTCCCTTCCCTCCTTTCACCAGCAGCAATATGTTGCTATTTCTTTGTTCTTACGGGTGCGGCGAAGGGTCATAAAACCGAACTAATTGATATCTTACCTCCAATCCTCGAGCGGTGTTGATACGGGATTTTCCGCCATGCCTTTGCTACTAAAGTGATTGCTGGCGAATCACTCGACAGGGGCCAACAGCATTCTGTTTGACGCCTGGCAGAGTCATCCAATCCCATCATATCCCACCGAAGCTTTAATGGGGTCCCTTCTTCACCTTTCTTACATACTTTCTCTGGACATACATTCGTCAATTTAGAAAATGCATTATGGCATGCATTGTTTGGGAATAGGCTTGGGTATGGCGAACGATACGGGTTTCTGGCGAGTGTGGTCTTTTTTCTTGTTATTCTTGGGAGGTTGGGGGTGTGGATTGAATCTCACTGTTTCTCGTGAATTTTGAATCTCAAAAATGCATTATGAACTTGATTGGATCTTGTCTTTTATCTCTTGTCTCTCGTAACGTCATAACAGTAAGTACTAGTATACACAAAACAGTCCCAGACTCAACCGGCCCAGGATCTCCGGGACATCTCCTGTAGCTTTTCTCTCGGCCGCAAGTGCTGCTCCTGTCTTTTTTCTCTCCTCATCTGCCGTGCCCGTGATCGAACCTGGAATCCCTCTTCAACATCCCGCCAACCGCGCATCCAGGCCGTGAGGCCGTCCAAAACAATCTCTGCATCCGTTTCCGTGCCGACATCTAGGCTAGTTCTCCGGATCGCCCATCGTCGCCGAGCCTCTTGCTGCGACCGATCACGCGCTAAACGACTCATCTTTTGCGTTTCGCGCAACCGGTCGATCCAATCTTGCAGTCCGCGCACAGTGCCTTGTATCCCCTCTAGCTCGATCGAATCTTCTACCAGATCCCCTTGTCTGAGAGAAAGTATGGGCATCAGCACTGCATATTTCGTTTCTCGCGCGATTCAGATGAAACTCACAATTCTAGTACCTCGTCTTCTAATTCTGCCACTGTGCGCGTCAATCCGCGACACCTCTCTTCAAAGAGGTCTCTTATTTCGTATGATTCCTTGCGCCGCTTATTTCCCTCCTCATTCAAGGTAGTAACCTCGCTCATGAGTCCCTGCAATTGGGATAGTATTTCCTCCTTATTTATACCACCATGATCGCTCTGATCCGGCGCAGTCGGTATTGACTCTTCCGGCTGTGATATGATATCAGATGCAACTGATCCCGAACGCCCACTTTGACTCCGACTCCGACCCCGCACGATCTCATGCATCGGCTCCTGCGGTAAATCGCCGAGAATGCGCTCCAGCGCGTCCAGATGGTGGTGCATACTTTGCGCGCTCTCCTCATCCAGACTGGAAGTTGATGATGTGCCTGTGCGGCGGACGAGTTCTTCAAGGCGCTTTGGCCATGGCGTCTGCAGAGTTTCTGTAGTGGAACGAGGCTCGATACACTCAAGACCATGGGCTGCAGTCTCCAATCCCGATTGATCGCGGTCATCGAGCGCATCGAGCAGGGCGGGCTGCTTTTCGTGGGAGTCGGCATCGCGACGGATGGCTCTTTGGCTGTAGGATATCATCTTGTGTTGAACGAGGGGCTTTATATGTGCAGATCAGGTTACCAGCACCACACTCCATTCCTATGAAATTGATGTAAACCACCGGGAGCTGGAGTTAAGAACGGTATGGTATGGTACGGTTCTCATTCAGCTCTTTCAACTCAGCCAGCCATTCCCATTCACCTTGAGGCAGCCTAGGAAGCAGGGCTATCGATAAGCGATTCTGCGATAACCATCGCCCCGCGCTAGCCCATTTCGGTACTTCTATATGGTATGGAGTTGCTCCCTGCATTTCGGGGATTTTCTCGTAAGAAAAAGTAAGAAATGTCCAAAGGTTGTCTAGTAATTTGCATCTTTCATTGAGGGTATCCTTCCCTACGGAGCACTACCCACCACGCCTAGTCAGCATTAAAGTTGCTAAGATTGCCGTACACTGGAAGTCTGCGGCACCCGGCGCCAGAGCCCCACACTCATTGGACTCATCCCATCTTCATTTTCCCACCGCCAATTCCCTCTGTCACGCGGCTCTATCTGCTCCTCCAGTCACTCCACGGGGATTACAGCTGATCATGGCACCTCCGGTAAGACTCATCCTCACACTGCGACTTCCACTGGGGTCATTCCAGGACAAATTGGCTAATGCGCACCCGGATGACTCAGATCGCCAATATCCCGTCGCTTGAGACGGCGCAAGAGGTCATCTCGAAGTCGAGAAACTCCCAATTTCCCCCGAACCTACTGCCTATTACTGCCTCTATCCCGGCGGATCTTTTGACCCCTACCTTGGCATACCTGAAGATTGCGGAGAAGTGAGTAGTGACAGTCCCTTGCGCCCACCTGCGGGGAGCCGCGGGGAAATTCTGAGCTACGACCAATTAACGAGATAATACAGTTCGCGACTATCATTCTTGTACGAGAGTGCCGCTACCACCGAGACGATTGGGCGATACAGTTTCGTTGGTGCTGGTGGGTGATCTCTCGCGCAGTCCTTTTTTACTCTGTATCCATTGACATTGACAATTGACTCACTCCTCGGTTTCTGCAGATCCCAGAAAGGTACTTAAGACTGGTCCTGGCCATGGCCCCGAGGCCGACCCTCTCCCCTATCTCGAGGAGGAACTCTCCCAATACCGCGTTGCCTCAGTACCCGGTCTGGTACTTCCACCTTTGACCGGTGGTGCCATTGGATATGTGGGCTACGACTGTGTCCGATACTTTGAGCCGAAGACCGCCCGACCCATGAAGGATGTTTTGGGAGTGCCGGAGTCATTCTTTATGCTGTTCGACACGATTGTTGCCTTTGATCATTTCTTCCAGACGGTCAAGGTTGTCAGCTATGTCCCCATCCCCGCCAACGACGCCGATATCGAGACCGAATATCGCAAGGGCCAGGCGGCTATCCAGAAGACCATCGAAACCCTGTTGCAAGACCGAACACCCCTACCCCCGCAGGGCCCTATCAAGCAGAACCAGGAGTACACATCCAACATTGGTCAAGAGGGCTACGAGAACCACGTCAAGAAGCTGAAGGAGCACATCGGCAAGGGCGATATCTTCCAGACTGTCCCCTCACAACGGCTATCCCGTCCCACCACCCTTCACCCTTACAACCTCTTCCGCCATCTCCGCACCGTCAATCCCTCACCATACCTTTTCTACATCGATTGCCAGGATTTCCAGCTCGTAGGCGCCAGCCCCGAGCTGCTTGTCAAGGAAGACCGAGGCCGCATCATCACTCACCCAATTGCGGGCACTGTGAAGCGCGGCAAGACCATGGAGGAGGACACGGCGTTGGCTGACGAGCTACGTGGCAGTCTGAAAGACCGTGCCGAGCACGTCATGCTTGTCGATTTAGCCCGCAACGACGTAAACCGAGTTTGCGACCCGAACACCACACAAGTGGACCGATTGATGGTTGTCGAGAAGTTTTCCCACGTCCAGCATCTCGTCTCGCAGGTTTCCGGTGTACTACGGCCAGAAAAAACTCGTTTCGACGCATTCCGGTCCATTTTCCCCGCTGGTACGGTCTCCGGTGCGCCAAAGGTGCGGGCCATGCAACTCATTGCCGAGCTGGAGGGTGAGAAGCGTGGTGTCTACGCCGGTGCTGTCGGATACTTTGGATACAATATTTCCAACACCGACGGCTCGAGCGAGGAACCCGGTGCGATGGATACTTGCATCGCGCTCCGAACCATGATGGTCAAGGACGGCGTTGCCTATCTCCAGGCTGGTGGTGGTATTGTTTTTGACTCGGACCCATATGACGAGTATATGGAGACGATTAACAAGCTCGGCGCTAACATTGCTTGTATCCGTGGTGCTGAAGAAAAGTATCTGAGCATGGAGGGTAGCCAGTGAGCATCTGGACAGGAGAAATCCTATGATACAAATTATTTCTAGATTTCAGGGATATTTTTCGGGCATTCTAGCATGATGTTATGGTCAACCGATTTTTGACGATCCACGTATTGTTTTTCTCATTTGAATTTCGGCTGACGCCTTCGTACATGAGTAGAGAATCATCAAGTAACACTAACAGCTTGGCCGCGGGGCTCTCTATTCAGATCTATCTAGACCTGGGATGCATAGAAATTCAAACGGAGGGAATGATTAGATCCAAAGCAGCCACAACATCCCCAGTAACTCCTACACCTAGGTCCTCCTCCTCAAGTTCCCAAGGCACACACCCGGATGCTTCTTTGCCAATCCGAATCAATCGAAATGTTTTGTTCGGAGACTCGGAGACTAAGTTCTCGTTTGGCCATCGCAATACACCAGGCGTATTCAGGCCAACGCCAAGTTCAAGCACAACGACCTTTTTAGGTGGATGTGATGGATTCTCATCTTTCTCGTTCTCCAGCCCCCGCAAAAACTTCTTCCAAGCGAGCTCTTGGTCTCGAAAGGGTTTAGAGTTGAAATACGTCCCCCCACGAACACACAGAGTCATGTCCCCACCGCAAAGCCGACATTTCGGAATCTTAGACTCATCCATCAAAACCTGAGACTTGGAGTCGATAAACGGCAACGCGGCATCAACAAGGGGATCCGAAAGAACATATGCATCAGGCTGGCATTTATCAAAGCATTGCAAAAAACGATATTGACCCTGCGGCGTCGCAACAAGATCTCCATCAAACCCATTCTTCACGAAGAGACCATCTGCATTCGAAGTGCGTATGAAATGTTTCTTTGGAAATCTCGCCGTGAGGCCACGAAGTTTCTCATAGATAGGCGATACCGGCCATTTTCGCACCGTGTCTAGATGTAAGAAGTAGTAGCCCCATTTCTCGGAGTCGCTGCTCCAGCCGTTGTATCCCATCACGTCGTATAATCGGCGTAGACCCTTTGAGCGAAATGCAGGGAAGTGCTTTGTGAAGAGGTCGTGGGAGTTGTAGTCCAGCCCTGCTGCGGCGGAGAGTCCGGCTCCTGCTGAGATTATCAGGGCGTCGGCGTCTTCTATCCAGGCGCGAGATTTGATGGTTCCGGTTGTGTGTAGCGACGGTAGAAGGAGTGGAGGCATTGGAGTTATTGTTGATGTTGAGCTTAGAGAGCCATTATCCTCATCAGATTGAGTGTTTTGTAGTGATTGTAACAGATTTTGGTAGATCTTTTGATCTTTCTCCAAGTACGTATTGAATATGACATCTGTAATGCTGGTCATCGGGTGCTCGAGATGCCATGCCTTGACCGTATCCACAGCAATTCGTGCCGCCATGTCAGAAGGAAAAGCAAATAGACCGGTGGATATGCAGCAGAATGCGACCACTTTGCGTTGATCTGGGAGAGGATGCAGCATTTCTGCCGCATCCAGACAGGAACGATAGCACGAGGCTAGCTGATTCTTATGATGGGGCTGGGGCGTCTCGCGGTGACGCAGTTGAGGTCCGACAGTATGAAGAACCCCCGCGGCTGGAAGATGGAATCCCGGTGTGATTCTGGCTAGTCCTGCAGGCTCGGGGTCTGTCTGCCAATCCATGATAAGGCGACACGCCTGGCGAAGGTGTGGACCGGCAGCCGAATGAATCACATTGTCAATGCAGCGGTGCTCGGGGTTGAAGCAACCCAGGAGCCCAGAATTCGCTGCGTTGACGATAGCCGTGACGTCTGTCAACGTAGTGATATCTCCGTTCCAGGAGGATAGTCTGAATGGATTTGCATCCTCGATGACTGGATGTTGGAGAGTTACACTTGGAGGAATGGAGGTCGTGGACGTCAATAGAGTGTGGCTGTTTCGATAGGCGATCACTTCATCAATATCCTCATCTATCTCAGGCGGGATCTCGTTGTCTGGACACAGTTCGCAGAGTATACGACGGAGAGCTTCAAGCTGGTCCCAAGTGTCTGAGTTAAGAAGATGTTGCCCCCGTCGTTTGTGTGAGTGTCCACCCTGGCAATGACTGCAAGCAGTGTCCTCTTCTTTTTGGAGCGAGATGAGATGGAGCAGAGCTCTTTTTAGCTTTACCGATGCGTGTTCGGTGGCCATGATTGATCTGGTAAAAGAAAACGTTCTATCATGAGAGAAAACCTCATATTGTGACCAGTCCGAGTCTACTATTTATATGACATGCCCTAAAGCAATGTAAACTTGCAAACATGAATGCTTTTATGCTATCTGCGCGGTGATAGGTCAATGGTTTGTTTGTCGAATTTGCAACTTAGACAAACAGCTCTTCGCAGCCAATCAGAATCCCACAATAATTGGGTGATGACGGAGGACGGAAAGGCTCCGCTGGGCATAGCTAAGCAGCACTTCCACATCACAGCCCCTCATAATTCATACTAGCATACTACTAGTATTTGTTCGAACTTGACTCACTCACATACTACATTCCTCTCTACAGCACCTAACATGGCTATTTCTCGACCGGTCGTCGCCATTGCAGGAGCTACGGGGCATCTGGGAAGACATGTCGCCTCTGCCTTTCTCTCTCCTTTCTTCCGCAGCAAATTCTCCGACATCATTCTTCTTTCTCGGAAAGAAGCCTCCAGTATTGATGGATTTGAATCAACTACGAACTATACTGTTCGCACATACGACGAGCAAAATCTTGCCAAGGCTCTCGAGGGCGTTCAAGTCCTCGTGAACACGGTCGGGCCGTCAGGTCATTCCTTCAAGGAGAAGCTTCTGCAAGCTCTGCCACAAACAGAGGTGCAAATCTATTTCCCCTCTGAATTCGGAGTCGATCATTATGTCCACGACTTTGCGCATCTCGAATGGGACCAGAAGAAACAACATTTTGCTATGTGCCAACAATTGATTCCGGACATGAAGGTCTGCCGTCTCTTTTGCGGCCTCTTCTTAGAAGACAGTATCGGCCCTTGGTTCGGATTCGACACCAGAAATGGCAAGTACGAAAGTATTGGGCCACCCGATCGTTTGATCTCGTTTACCTCGCTTGGCGATGTCGGAAAAGCAGTCGCTGCGTTGGCTACACTCCCCAGCGACCTAGCTCCGAGCACTATCCATGTCGGTGGTGACACGCGCTCTATCTCGGAGATTGCTTCCATCATGGGAGCTGCAGGGGCTGGAGAGATTGAAGTGACGGAAATAGCGCTTGCTGAATACAAAAAAGAAAAGACAGCCAAGCTGTCATCCGACCCGGCAGATTACTTGCGGTTCCTGGCGGGAGAGGACAAAATCGACCATACGGATGCAGGGCTTGGTGACGACAACGAGCTGGTCAATCCTCAGCAGTTGCTATGGGAATGGACCACTCTGACTGATCTGGCTAAGAGTACAAATGGAAAGCCATGGGGAGATTATGATTGGCCGCCACAATGATCTCAACTTGAACACGAGTTTAGTGATCTTGCCGAGTTCAGCTCTACAATAAACACTCAATTATATTTAGGATATTTAGGATATTTAGGAAAAGACTTCAGTTTATATTAAGTTTCATGTCACCTTGGCACTTCCGGCCACGTAATAGTATATCAAATGAAAACACTCCGTTTTTGTTGATCGGCCACGCTGATCATCGATCTGGCAGGGGAGTGAGTATACTCCAGGGCTACTAGTAAATCCACGAACAGAAGAACCATGAATGATGACATCAGTGTAGTTACACCAATTCCATGTGTATTGTCAATAATATGATGTATTTAGTATGTATTTAAAATTTAAAACCTAGAATTTAAGCATAAAACTTTTTGGATTGTTGATGTCGGCTTGTAGTATAATTGTTGTTACTGTTACATCTAGATGTAACCTCCCGCCTGCTAGTAAGCCCCGCTAGCCGGGCCGATCAAAAGTCATCAAAATCGACCACGACCTGTGTCGAACGGGCGTCGGGGCTACAATGGCAAGGACCGTGACCGATCCAGCGCTACAGGCCTTCCTTAAGCCTCTGAAGAACGATATCGAAAGGCTGTACAGCCTGTCTGCACGTCTCTCACTCACCTATCGCGAGCTAGCCGCAAGTTCCTCGGAGCTCTTCTCGCCGACAGCCACGACACGCCTGCCCACTGGCCGTGAGAAAGGTCGTTATCTGGCTGTGTATCTGGGTCTGCATTATCTGCGGGTGGCCTTTATCGAGCTACTCGGGGAAGAGCAAGTGGGAAAACACTCACATGTCCGCCGCACACTTGAGAAGGCCTGGCCTATTGAAGACCGTCTGCGCCGAGACCAAGCCACCTCGCTCTTTTCGTGGATTGGAGATTGCATCGCCGAGGTGATTCACGATGACCTGGCGAATTCCAAGGTCGATGCGCCGTCTGAGGTGGCTATGGGCATCTCCTTTTGTTTTCCCATTAAGTATCGCATCCATCTGCCCCACCATGGCTCATGTCATCATCTATTAACCCATCCACCAGGCAAAAATTCCACAATGAAGCTATTCTCCTACCAACCGGGAAGGGCTTTGCGCTCGGCGCCTCTCTCAATCTACAGCAGGCCCTGTTAGATGGCTACGAGTGCCACACGCGGCGCTCAGACGAGGACCCTGCTGAGATGCCTGCCAAACGACAAAAGAAATACTGTCTGCCCAAATTGAAAATCACAGTCATGACTAACGATACTATTGCGACTCTTGCATCGCTGGCATATTCCATCCGCGCTTTGCCGAACACGCGGGTGGTTATGGGTCTGATTTGCGGTGCAGGCTGCAACTCCGCTGTGCCCATGAAGCTGGCGGACCTACAAGAGGAAAAGACCCGACATATCCGGGAAAAGGCTCCCGAGGCGGTTGACACAGTCGTTTCAACGGAATGGACTCTTCGGGGTGCAACGGCGCCATTGGAAGAACTTGGGATCGTGACTGGCTGGGATAAAGAACTAGACGTTCATTCTGATCGCCCGGGATTCCAGCCACTAGAGTACCTTATTGGAGGGCGGTACATGGGGGAGCTTGTGCGGATAATATGCTACGAATGGTTCCATGAAACTAAAGCGGTACCGCGGGAGTCATTGCCATTACAGCTGGTAGAGAGGTTTAAGCTTACGACCGACTTCCTCTCCCTCGTCGTAGCAACAAGCTATTCTGACGACAAACTAGCGAGGGAGCTATCGGAACGAATCCCACCTCCTGAGTCGAGCGATTGGGCATGGACACCCGAGTATGCAGGTCATATTCGTTCAGTAGCCGCCGCAGTGCAGGACCGCTCGGCTGCCCTGGTAGCAGCAGCGACACTTGGACTTCTGGCCTGCACGCGGGAAATTCGACTGCAGAATACGGAACTGCTAGACCCACCAACAAAAGCCGAATCGGATGAAGAGGAAGAGTCGTCCGTCACGGCCACTCAACTCCCTGAGAAAGGCACCTCGATACCGGGTTGGAAGAACGGTCCCGAAGAATTGGTCGTGGCCGTGTCTGGGGGTGTGATTCGACATTATCCACACTACAAAGAGACAATACAACGATATATCGACCGCCTTTTGATCAGCGCTGGGCCTCAGAGTGGTGGGAAGAGCATCTTCCTCAGGGAAGCCAATGATGGCGGCATCATCGGTGTAGGCGTTCTAGCCGGAACCGTGGCCGGCGAGATTAACGGCATCATCAGCTCACCTCAAGACGAAGCGGCTAGTCAAATGGGTGCACCTGATATTCCATCGTTTGCTACGAAGAAGTGAGAAGGCGAAGATATGAGAGATATACTAGTGCATCGATAGAATTTGTAAATACATAAGTCCTCTCAAAAAACATGATACGAACAAGACCCTTAAAAGGGAATTCATTTCAACCAGTAAAGCTATCGTACAAATCAACCCATCAATAGGAGCTTCCATCGTATAAAATGGATAGATCAATCTCCGATCTAAACAAAAAAAGGGAATCATCAATTATCCTGCAAAGGCCTAGCTGGATAACATTCCAGGCGAGGGAATGGGTTCTGCGCAGCCACCCTCCACGGGGTTCAGTCGGTGCATTGACTAGACATCCATCAACATAGAACAGCCATATTATGCATTCCTTTCCCCTCCAGTGTTCATCATATGTTCATGGCAGCATTTACTGCTGAGTCGCCTGCCACTGCTCGGGGGTATAGCACTTGGGAGTCCAAGCGTGGATAGCAGCAATTTCCTCCTTGAGCGTGGCGTTTACAAGACGGTGACGGGCGAGCATAGTCTTTCCTGCGAATTTCTGCGAAACAATCACGGCCTGGAATGCTTGGCCACAGCCACCTATCGAATTGAAAACGGGTTAGTTTGCTTTCACTCTGTTGTTATTGCCATTACTACTTCTTCTCCAGCAATGGATCCAAAGAGGTAGGTTCTTCATACCTGACAGATCCTCAATCTCGACGTGATCAGCCTGTAGCTCGGAGATCAGCTTCGCCTGCAACGAGTCTGCGGTAATGCCCGAGGTATCGGCCATAGCGGCGTGGACGGCGGAAAATGCACGCGCGGAGAGCGAGGACAGCCGGATAGCGGTATTGGTTGGGCGGAAGAGGTATCGTGTGCCTCTGCTCAGGACAGTGAGGGAGGAGGCGCGGGGAAACATGAAGTGAGGGTGGGGTGTTCGGGGTAGGAAGAGAGGTTTGGCTGGGTCCCGGGCGGTTTCTCAATGAGGTTGCTAATCGCGGCGCATTACAAATTCAGGGCTCGGCTGTGGCTGGTGGGCACGTGTGACGCACTGCGGTGGTGGATTTGGGGGTAACGTGACTATTCCGGACTCCACTCTACTGTATCAATCAATCAGATATCAAATTACCGTAGGGAGTAGTACATATGTATACAGAATCGATGATTAATTGGGGGGATTGAAGCTCTGTTCTCTGTTTACCAATGTTGCATGCCCGCTAGCGATATACAAATATAGGCGGATTTACAAAGAACCCACAGTTATCACCACAAGGTCAATTCCTACAATATTTTAACAAGAAAATAAACATCTTAAAGGACCATTTGAGAAGTGAGAAGGATATCCTAACGACAAGAACAAGTAGACAAATGAGAAGAGAAAGCGGGGAGAAAGGGAATGAGAGATCGACAAATGGGGGATCGGGGTAGACAGAGAAGGTTCAAGAAGTCCAAGTATAAGCGCTGGACCAAGGGGTGGGGAGAAAATGAAAAAGTAAGAGGAGTGTGACAGGGTACTCGTCTTAGTTTGACTTCCCAATGCAACTAACAGCATGAACTATCCTGGGCGGGTGCAGAGAGAAGACAGAATGAAGGGATTGGGGTAAGGGCAAGAATACTTGGAGATTAAGCCATAGGAAACCGATGTGTAGATTTCCGGACTAGGTATGCTCCTAAATAAACCAATGAGAATAAACACGTGGGGTGTGCCAGATCACAGATTTACAGGTCGATCAAGCTGCCGCCATGCTGCTGCTGCTGTTGTTGTTGCTGCTGCTGAGGAGCACCCCACGGGTTACTGTTAGGCTGCTGCGCCATATAACCTGTCTGCTGAGGCATGCCTGTAAACTGCTGCCCAAAGAAAGGGTTGGTGCCGGTTTGGTTCGCGTGCAGGCGGTCCAGACCTTGACCGGCAGAATTGACAAATGTGCCAGGTGCTGTATGCTGTGCCGGAATACGGAGTTCTCCAACGTTGCCAAAGGTATCTTGGCCCTCGCCGGTTGAGAGAAGAGCGTTCAAACGAGCGTGATGAGGGTCTGAGGACTGGGGAGGGGTGCTCTTTGGAGGCTGCGGGGCTTGGAAGTTGGCGATAGGGTTGGATTGGGTGGGCTGCTGCATAAGCGGACTGCTTGTTTGATTGAATTGGCTGTACTGGTTGTACTGGTTTGTTGCCCGATCCTCCGCCAGGGTATTGAGAGATGGAGGTCCAGCCTGTTGCGGTTTGTTGAACTGAGATTGCTGGGATTGTTGTGTACGCATGGCAAAGGGATTGTTAGAGCCCGTAGCCATCGGCTTGAGGGTGTCAGTTGATTGATTAGACGACCAAGGGTTGTTGCTGCCGGCCGACTGGTAGTTCTCCTGAGGCTGTTGCGGCTGCTGCTGCTGCTGTTGCGCGAACATATCTCCCGGCCCACCATAGGGGTTGTTGGTGTTGAATGCCGTATGCTGCGGCTGGAGGGTCGCCTGGGGTTGCAAAAAGTTGTTCTGGGGTTGTCCGTACTGATTCTGATCGAAGCCGGTGGGCTGTTGGTAACCATTGCCGTAGGGGTTCATGCCTGTAGGCTGATTCTGGAATCCAGTCGGCTGCGCATATTGATTGTTGAGGAAACCCGTCGTCATAGGCTGCTGAGCGTTGATGGGGTTGCCGAACCAGTCCACGGCGCCCTGCTGCTGATAGCCTTGATTGAAGCCAGTCGGCTGCACCTGAGTGGGAGTGTCGTCAAAGAGCGCGTGCGCGTTATTGTCCTCCAATTCGCGCTTCCGCAATTCCTCTTCTTCTTGGCTGAGCTTGATGGCCTTGGCGAGGTCTTCATCATTGTCGATACCAGCTTCCTTGGCGCGTCGCCTCCGTTCCTCCTCGGCTTCCGCCTTGCTGGCCTCGATTGCAAGTCGGTATTCGGTATCGTCCTCATCATCGGGGTTACGTCTCCGTCGCTCCCGGCGCGGCGGCTCGTTACCAAATCCCCCTCCGCTTCCTCCTTGTTCATCGAGACCACTAACCCGGGTCTTCCAAAGCTTGCGATCGGATCGTTCGCTACGGAGTCGGTCTTCGTCCAGAACCAACGCAGTGAGTTCCTTTGCGGCGACACGAACTTCAGTTGAATTAGCATCTAAGCCTGTAGGTTGGTTCGTGTAGTATTACTTACCATTCTGACCCACGTCACGTCCTTCCTCGTCAACGTATTGGAACTCGCGCAGTGTCTTGATGATGTACACATTCTTGCGCGCCCAGGTAACGACCAACTCCGAGCCTTCGTGCAGACAATAATCCAAGACCTTCAACGATTTGAGAACGTGTCGCCAGTTCTTGCCTTTGTCATTGAGACGCTTGTCGATCATGTCCATAATCTCGTAGAACTCGTTCGGGCTGTAAGTCAAGTTAGACACGATGTCCCCCCCTAGGACAGATTGCAAGTCGTTTCTTACCTCCCAAAGGTCATGGCGGCGATCTCGGACATGTCGGTACCCGTCGGTCCCCATGGATCATTGCTGGTTGCTAGAAGACCATTGCCGTTAGCTTATCTCTTGCGATTGCCCGTTGCGCAGCCATTGTCATAGATCCATGACATGGTCAACAGGCGCCGCTGACCCGTTCAAATGACGGCGACAAGAAGCGACTGTCAGGGCGACACCGGCTGCGGTGTTTTTTGGCCTTTGGTCTCAAGCAGAGAGGATCCTAAACGTACCATTTCGGACCTTCACCTGGACTGATGAATAGCCCTTTGTAACATTTTTGACACTGCGTACTACCTTCGACATGGTGGCAGGATAGTCGCAATCTTCGCAGAAGGTAAGGGAGGGAGGGGTCGGAGTCGCGATAGGAGAGCCGATCAGATGGTTCCGGGGGCTATAACTGGGAGGGCCCTTGATTGCCAAGCTCTTACAGCCCACTCTGTCACCTTACACCGGATGGTGGCCCAAGGCAATAGTCGTGGAACGTGTCTTCACAGACGGAGTGTGAGGCCTGTAGAAATGATAATTCGGCGGACCAGCCACTGCGAGGGGAAGATGAAAGAATTGGGCGCTTGGGTGGAAATGGCAAAAGAGAGAGATGGGGAGAGTTGAGGAGAGGGGACTGTGGCTGGAACGGGGGGACACACAGCCTTGGCAATGACGAGGCGGGTGAGCGCCGATCTGAGGGTCCAACAGGAAACATGCCTGCACAGCACACAGAACGGTGGTTACTGGCGATATGCTACCTTTGGTAAAGCGGACTAATAATCGCTCTTAAATGAGCTATATCATGATGGACTTGGGGGATATTTATTATGATATTCATGATGCTATCGATCCATGCCCGGGTTTTCCGGCTGTCACAATACATAGCGAAAACGATACTAACGGTAGTCTACCTAGTAGTAAAATATAAAACCTTGAAATGGAATATTCCAAAAGGAACTACGAGTAGTGCCAGTAGTATTAGCACCCTGCCATTGCCGTGCCTCTGCCAGAATTACTACTAGCTAGTACTATTGTTCTGTGTAGAACAGTGCCAGGTGGATCTAAAGGGTCCCTTCCTCTCGAACCCGTTCGGGCAATGGAAGACCACCGCCACAGTTGTGGCAATGGGCCGCGTCAGACTTATAGGCAGCCGCCAAATTTGCTTGGGTGATTATTTAATTGCATAAGACAGCTACATGGGTTTTAAACAACTTCTGCTCCGTGTCCGTTCCATCTCTAGTGAGACTCTAGTGAGAGCAGCTTTCAAGGTCGAAGCATAAGATACCTCATAGCCAGGCAAATATGATTCTATTGCATAGTGGTAGTACATCTCTTCTGTATATACTTCGTATGCAACGGATAGTGGTATATACTAGTTCGACAGGCTGGGTCCAATATACTAAGTACCATTGGCAGTACCAACAAGGTCCTTTACAATACTAATGCGCCGAGGACAGTCGGTTCCGTAGTTAAGCATTATGTTAGACCCTTTGTAAACCTCAAGTGCTCTAAACGAGCACCTTCTCGGCGGCGGAGACTAATTCTTGTTAGTGACAAGCTTCCACATCGGAGAGAAGAAACCCTACCGTTCAGACCGATGTTGTCGGGTTCCACGAAAGCCTCCTTCACCTTGCCGTTCTCCACCAGCAATGCATAACGCTTGCTGCGGTTGTTACCGAAGATGGCGGCGCTGTCGAAGCTCAGGTCAAGCGCCTCGGTGAACTGGCCGGAGGGGTCGCCCAGGAAGCGGACCTAAAAAGAATGCTAGTGAGCGATAATTATTAGAGGTGATTGAAGGGAAATGATCACATACACCAGACTTGGCCTGGGGATCAAGGGAGTCGGCCCACGCCTTGGTTCTATAGAGTTTGCGAATCAGTGTGCCATCCGCGGGGAATGTCATCCGGTGCAGGGCGGCGCGTCTCCGGTGCTTACACAAAGGGGTCGTTCACGGCCACCACAAAGACCGGGCCGGCTTCCTTGAGCTTGGGGTGATTGATGTAGCCGGGGATGTGGCTGGCCGAGCAGGCGGGGCCTGGTCGCGCGAAGGTGGTTAACACGAGGTCCCAAGCTTTCCAAACGGAGTGATTCTTTTCAATTCCGGTGTGACCTACTGAATGCTGCTGGGACACCGACGATGACACCCTTGCCTGAAAGCTCCTTGGCGAGGTTGACCTTGTTACCGGGGGAGTTCTCGACTAGGTCAATGTTGGGGATGGCGTCGCCCTTTTGAACGAAGGCGGGCGCGGTGCTGTGGAAGGGCGCGACACCGGCGCGAGGGACACGAGGGACACGAGTAGCGAGACGACGAGCAGCGAACATGGCGAATGAATTGGATTGTCAATTAAAAGAGGGAAAGAGGTGTAGAGTAGAGGAGGAGGGGGGGGGAGGAGGGAGCAAAAGAGGTGAGGTTTGAGCTTTGAGGTTGAATTGAGCTCTTCAGCGATTTCGTCATGGGCGGAAGGAGCGACGATCGTCATTTACCGTGGAGGGGCCCTTCGGCTTTCCATCTTTCTTCGACAATCCACAACCCCAGAGGATCCCCCAGAGATCTCCAGAGTTCAACTTCCTTCAAATCATGCTTTTTTTTTGGCTCTTGGATGTTTCGCCAATTCAATCGTTCTCCTGGGTACACCTGGGTACTCTAGTATCTACCTTTACCATTCTCACTTATGGAGTCGGCTGAAAAAAAGACCGAGACACTCCGGATGGTTCGAATTCCTCAGTCTGGGATACCAACGGGTCCCTGTTTCACACCACCTGGTGTACGAGTATGTCTAAATGGGTGATGATGATTTTGATGATTACAGTATGGCGACGATAATCTCTGAATACACTCGTATACCGCCCAAAATGCATTTCCACCGCCAACTACTACCTGCCAACTCAGCGGTGGACCTGAACACGCCGGATGGTAAACGCACACCCACGAGGAGGCCCACCGATCCCAGCGCGGTGGAGCCGTTGTGCTCCCCTCAAACCATGTCTTAACGCTTCTCTTGGCGAGAAACATTTTTTTCCCTATTCCACCACACCTACGGAGTACGAGTGTACATGCGAATCCGAGAGCTAGCCATGCAGGCTTCCCTCCTCTCCCCCCCCTCCACTTCAGTGCGCACTGACATATTAAGCACGTCTGGACTTTCTTTGATGATTGTGGTGCAGACTGCAGACTATCTGCGTCTGCGTATCTGGGGAATGTAGGAGTCCAGCCCTGCATTCAGCATGCAAGTAGAGGAGGAGGTGGAGGTGGAGGAGAATATGATATAATGTTGGCATAATCGAAGAGAAACGGTCCCAAGCAGTCTCCATGGATCTAATTAAATATATCAAAAATTAAAATAAAATCAAAAATCAAATATTACAATATTACAACAATAATAGTAATGCAGTGAATACAACTCGAATTGCCCATGGAAGGGTACCTCCCTATACCGCGCAGGGCCATTCCCACTAGTAGGTAACTTTGGTACACCCGCTGTACTCGAGTCGACCGCCCCCCCTCCCACTTCCCCCAATTCTCTTTTACATAGAGAAACTTCTTCTTCTCAGCCCACCTTGCCCCAGCGACCTGCTGTTTTTTCTTTCTTTTTTTTTGGCTTCGATCCCGGTCATCTTCCTCCCGCCGAATCGCACTTCTGCATCGCAGCCCGGCCCCCGGGTTCTGCCTGACCTGCTTTGCCCGGCCTGCCGACTTTCGTTCAATCGACCCTTCTAGGCCATGGAGGGTCAACAGCCTCAGCCCCCAGCGAGTGGGAACTCCTCCGACTTTGTGAGTCTCAAGATCCCTAACCCTGTCGTTCAGGCTAACAGTATGTGTAGGTGCGCAAGCTATACAAGTGAGTGCTCTATTCGCCTCCCTCGCCGACTTTTCATCCGCGCACCTTCCCTCCCCACCGCGCGACCGTTGAGAGTTGAGATCTGGACTAGATGTTGACTCTTCTTATAGGATGTTGGAGGATCCCTCCTACGCGTCGATCGTACGCTGGGGTGATGAGGGGGACAGTTTTGTCGTCTTGGAGGTAATGCGCCTATCTTGTCGTACGGTCGCACCGGTTAAACTGACTTGGGCATCCAGTGCGAGAAATTCACCAAGACCATCCTGCCCAAGCACTTCAAGCATAGCAACTTTGCCAGCTTCGTGCGCCAGCTGAACAAATACGATTTCCACAAAGTTCGCCAGAATAACGAAGAGAACGGCCAGTCTCCGTACGGCCAAAATGTATGGTGTCTCTCCTCAAGATCTTTCGCGCCCTGCGCACTTCCGCTGGCTCGCCTCAAAGTGGTTCTTACGTTGGCTCACACACACTTTCTCTTCTAGGCCTGGGAATTCAAACATCCCGAGTTTCGCGCCAACAGCAAGGACTCCCTCGACAACATCCGTCGTAAAGCCCCGGCTCCTCGCAAGCAAACCCAGAACAATGACGATTCCGCTCCGACTCAACAGATTGACCTGCTCAACCAACAGATTCTCGCACAGCAACAACAGATCCAACATCTTTCAGATCGCTACGCGCAGCTTACGGTGGACCATCAACTGATGCTACAGGAGGTCATGCGTGTACAGAAAACAGTGTTGAACCACGAGAACGTTATTCACCAAGTGATGAACTACTTGCTTACCGTGGATGCGCGTCAACGACGGGATAGCAAAGCTGTTACATTCCAAGCACAGGGTTCAACAATGAGTCCGTCTCAAGTTGGTGCTGTGGACGACGAGCCCTCTTCGCCCCTCCAACAAGCCTCGAAACTCTTGAGTGATATGAACGCGGAAATCCAATTCAACCTTTCTGGCGTGGATGCGAATGATCCCCAGAAAGCCGCTGCCGCAGCAGCTGCCGCTGTCGCCGCCGGTGTCGCACCAGTAGCCACCCCGACAATGGATGCCGCCCGTAATGGTGCCGTTCGCCCACCCACGACCGGGGCCCCTACTCCCATGGTATACCAAAATAAGATTGGTGGTGATTTGGAGCAGGTGGTTTATCCTGTTGGTGCAACGAATGGAATCGACCCTATGTACAGTGAGCATGTCAATAATGTGCCATATCCTATGCCGACAACCAAAGCCGAAGAGACCGAAGTCCGCAGGCAATACCCCGACAACCGGAAAAAGAGCACCAATGTCGATCCTGGTTGGGTTCGTAGCCCCCAGATTCTTCTGGTCGAAGATGATGCAACTTGCCGGCAAATTGGTGGAAAGTTCCTTTTCTCTTTCAACTGTGTTATTGACACTGCGGTATGTTACGCTTATCTTGCTCCCAGCTAGGATATTTGGAACTAATAGCAAGCAGCTGGATGGTTTGGAGGCCGTCAACAAGATTCAGGATGGCCAGAAGTACGATCTCATCCTGATGGATATAATCATGCCTAATTTGGATGGTGTCTCGGCTTGCCACCTCATCCGCCAATTCGACAGGACCCCTATTATCGCCATGACCTCCAATATCCGGAGTGATGATATCCAGCTTTACTTCCAACATGGTAAGCACATTGATGCTTTCCTTCTCATCTCTCTCCTTGTTTCTAACATGAGTTTACTATAGGTATGGATGATGTTCTACCGAAACCCTTCACCCGAAAAAGCTTGCTCGGTATGCTCGAGAAGCATCTCGTGCATCTCAAGACCATGGCCCAGGGGGTTGAAGCACCCCAGCCTCCTACGGTTACCATGCCCCCCCAACCTTCCGCCACTCAGTCAATCAAGGAGGATAGCTCCCCTGGTCAATCCCCTGCCGGCTCTATAAACAACTGGCAATCACCGGGACAATTCCAGGGCATGCAGACTGTTCCACCAACCATGCCAACGGTGCAAGGGCAGTATGTGGCTGCAGCGGGCGCTGCGCCACCAGCCGCCGCATATACTGTTGATCAAAACGGAGTTCAATACCCTGCACCTGCAGTCGCGGTACCTTCATCTGGACCTCCAACTCGCCCACCCCATCGAAGACAAATGTCCGACATGTCTAGTGCCGCCGACGGCCAAAACATGGCTAAACGCCAACGCATGTACGCCCCGCCGCAACAACCTATGATGGCCGTGCAAACCGGACGGCCTGGCTAAGACACAATTGTTTTTCGTATCCTTCCCGCACCTCACACCTCCTCCGCCTGTCTATTACCTCACGATTCCCACTGTCTATAACGAGATTTCAATCGTATATCTCCCACATCCTCACTTTTTTTTGGCTGTATTGTCTTGGTTACGGTCTTCCCCTTACAGATCATGGCGTTTCTTTTGAATTCCCTTGTTAAGTTGCCGGCAGAGTGGGTGGCGAATTTTGTGCGTTTTCACGCGTCAGCTCTTTGATATACCTTACGGGCGAAATTGTGTTGTCAGGTACATATTCTTTACAACCTGGTTTTTTTTCTTTCAATTTTTTGCCGCTCTGGGCCATGTCCTTGGGGGCCAAATTGCATGGATGTTTTCGCTCCCGTTCCTTGGGTAGAATGGGGGCTAGGACAGGGAATTGTCTGGATGTACTCATCATCACTTTGAACAATCCAACTGTTTCGCGTCTCAATTGTAACCCAATGAAATGGAACCCCACTAGAACCAAACAGCGGACAAACCGGCGGATCGTCCCCTCTGTAGTGTATATCATTTTTAGCGCGAGAATCCAAACCGGTGGTGGTCTAGACCATCGATCGAATTGTCTCCTTGATGCGCAGCTTTCGCGCGAAATCGCGTCGTCTCCCTGGATAACCCAGAAAAAGTAATAGAGAATTCGACATCCAATAGGGTTCTTTCCGGTCTAGGGATTATGTAGCAACGAAAAACAAGAAACTGCCACGAATTCCTTGTTGAACCGGTTCAACTGCTTGATTTTCTCTTGACGGATCCGAATGGTTCCTGCGCATGGGGAGGGTCTAGACCGCGTCGACCCCCCACATCCCTTTAACCTGCGGCAGCTGAATATTATTAGCAGCTCCAGAGTAGGTTATAGGCATGGGTTGTCCTTTAGCCTGATCTGCTGATGATCGGCCTACCCTAAGTATGTACCTATGCATGTAATGAATCTGCGCTATCCTGGAATGCAGCCCTCTACGAGTATGTACGTAGTCCGAATGCCAAGCTTATTTAGTAGGAGTCGACCGTGAGAGGTGTATCCTTCCTGGCGTTATAATAAAATTGAAACAATGAATATTATTCTTTTTCTCACTCATACGCGAGACTTGTGTGGACTCGGATGATACAGCCACACTCTATGTACCTAGTACTACCATAGGACACAGCTAAGGAACAATACAGGGGTTGCGGTAATCAGGGCGAAGACCGCAAAACAAGTAGATATATTGAAACTTCAAACCTGCTTAGAAAATCCAATCCTACTCTCTTCACTTCGTTTCCTACTCGGTATCTCTAAAAGATTCGAATTTTATGGGTTATCAGCCAAGTTGGTCTATTTGCTGCGGCTTGCAGGCTCTCAGTCTCAGGGCGGTCAGCCAGGTCCCGTGACCCAGTTGAATAAAAACAGTGCAAACCATGCAAACACATCAAGGTGGGAGTCATTCCGCGGCTGGCGGGGGTTTTTTGTGCCCTTCTTTGTTAGCGACAGTATTGCTTGTACGTCTTCATCGCGAGCTCTTTCGGTGCCGTTAAGATCATATCCACTGACCAGCTTCAGAATCCTTGAAAAATGGGTCCGAAACAAAAGGGAGGCGGCTCCAAATCGCGGGGCAATGCGACAGAGGAAGTCGAAGAGACCCTGCAGGCTGTGGTAGGTCTTCTCGCTGGGCAAGATGGGAGGGTAGCTACCTGTTTGCTGCCTTGTTACTCACGTCCGATCGAAACATGAATGGTTGCTAATAGTTTATGGTCGAATAGGTCCTCGCAGATACCTTCGAAACTCGATTCGAGCCCTTCACTCTTGACAAGCCCCGGGTATGTGGCCCTTGCCTGCAGCATATTGAAATCGCATGCGCTGACGAAGTTGAATGAAATAGTGTCTCCTACCGCTGGCCAATACTCCCTTAATCGAATATACCCTGGAATTCCTCGCCAACGCCGGCGTGGAGGATGTCTTCCTCTACGCAGGCGCTCATTCCGATCAATTAGAGAAATACATCAAGTACGATGACTCGAGTTTGGATTGGAGCTTGAAGAAAGGGACTAACTATATGATTCTAGTGCATCGAAATGGAAAGCTTCGTCCTCGCCCTTCAAGCAATTATCCTTTCTCAAATCCGTGTCGAGCTCGGTTGGAGAAGTAATGCGAGACTTGGATTCCAAGCACCTCATCACAGGAGATTTCCTCGTCGTCAGCGGCGATGTCATCAGCAACCTGCCCATCGAAGCCGCCCTGACAAAGCACCGGGCTCGCCGCGAAGCCGACAAAAACGCGATCATGACTATGGTTCTACGGGAGGCCGGTCGAAACCATCGCACCAAGTCCACCTCAATCTCTCCAGTCTTTGTGATCGACCCGACCAAAGACCGTTGCCTCCACTACGAAGAGATCGACCACCACTCCGAGGAGAGCCATGCTCGTTTGAACATCGATGCCGAGATTCTTCTGACACATGCGGAGCTTGATATCCGACAAGACTTGATCGACTGCAGTATTGATATCTGCACACCCGACGTTCTGGGCCTCTGGTCTGATAGCTTCGACTACCAAAGTCCGCGGAAGCATTACCTGTTTGGTGTGTTGAAGGACTATGAGCTGAACGGCAAAACAATCCACACACACATCATCAAGGATGCCTATGCTGGTCGAGTCCGTAACTTAAAAGCATATGATTCTATCAGCAAGGACATCATATCCCGTTGGACTTATCCTCTGTGCCCCGACACCAACTTGCTTCCCGGGCACACTTATGATCTGCGTAAGGGCAGTTTGTACCAAGAGCAGGGCGTGTTTCTTGCCCGATCCTGCGTTATTGGGCGTCGCACGGTCATTGGACGCGGCACCAGCATCGGTGACCGAACAACAGTTCATTCTACTACATTGGGCCGCAACTGTAAGATCGGACGAAATGTTAAGCTCGAAGGAGCCTATATCTGGGATAACGTCGTTGTCGGCGACGGCTCTGATATCCGCGGCGCGATCATCGCAGATGGTGTCGTCATTGGCAAGAATTGTACCGTCCAGGCCGGCGCTCTACTTTCGTACAACGTGAAGATTGCAGACAGCGTTAATGTGAGCAGCGGGAAACGAATCTCCAGGTCCAAGCGTGATGGCAGCGTTGCTCCCACCGAGGTGGATGTGGTCGGCGAAGGCGGAGAGGGATATGAGTTCATCCAAGGCGAGGATGAAGATGACGATCCGGATGACGTTAGTGTCGCATCCTCTGGACTCGGTATGTTCGAATTCTTTCCAGGTAACTGTTATAGAGACGGTGCTAACAATTTCCTAGTGTATCGCATGCCAGGACTTTCGCTCTCCTCTGCCTCAATCTCCACATTGTCATCCGAATTGTCGGAAGGCTCCTGGGGACGGTCTGCCCGAAGCAGTTTCTCTGATAGCGCGGAGCGAGACGACAATTTCAACGCGGATGCAACGGGCAGTGTCCTTGAGAGTCTGCGTGAGGGTGTCTCTGCCGACGTGGTACAGCTGGAGCTGGTTAGTTTGCGTATGACTGCCAATGCCTCGGACATTCAGGTTCGCCGGGCGATCGTCACTTCATTCATGCAATACATTGAGGAGCTCATGGCCAAGGGCAAGGGCGCCAGTCAAGCCATCCACCAGGTCTTCTCGCAGTACACCGAGGTGGTGGACCGAACTTTGTTCGATCGGAATAAGGACGACAAGAAAGATCAGGTTGATCTACTACTTCAGCTCCAGCAGGACTTGATCAGCAGGGAGAAGGGTGATACTGTCCTTCTGTTTACGGCGAAGGAGCTATATGAGCTTGAGTTGGTAGACGAAGAAGCATACGAGCAGTGGTGGAATGATGAGCGGTCTAGCGAGAGTGAGGAGATGAAGAAGGTGCGCGGTCAGGCGCAACAGTTTGTGCAGTGGTTGGCCGATGCAGAGGAAGAAGAAAGCAGTGAGGAGGAAGAGAGCGACGAGGAGTAGTCATGTATCATGTACTACTGGTATTTTCCGATCGATTGCCATATTTTATACCACGGCACAATCTCGCATTAGACCACCCAAAAGATTTCAGTTGACAACGAATTCCATGATTATGAGTGCAATATGAGTATGAGTATAGGATGGGTCGCCAGTGTGTGTCGTACGGTAGTAACTAACTGTAACTACTGTAACTACTGTATGTGGTGGACTGACGGGGGTACTCGTACGTGATGTTTCAGGCATCCAACGGGATCTCCCGCAGACCTTTGCGGATCACTTTGGCATCAACCACCAAAGGAACTGGCAACGGGCACAGACACCAACACCAACACCAACACCAACACTGGCAGATATGAACTAGACTGGTCCACCTGTGAGTGAATCAGTGAGTCAGAACAACTTGAATCAGGCTTCACCCTGTTGCCAGATAGTTCTGCCTGCATTATTTATCATCTCGCCCCCCCCTTCTTCCCCACTCCCCCTCCGAACCACCACTCGAACCGCCCAATTTTCCCGGTGACGTTGTGGCTCACCACCCTCTTTTCAACCCCCTTCACCCCGGCTACCTGCCACCCATTTCCATCACGCCTCCCTCTACGCGGAAGAGAAAGGCAGCCGAGGCGGCGATTACGGACGACCAGCCTCTCCCCGAATCCGCCACCAAGGCTGCCCATACCGGAAACGCCACCCTTGTCGGTCGCTCGCGCAAGCCTAAGCCTAAGCCCGCTTCGACGGGTCCCGCGACCACCTGCCCCCAGTCCACCGAGTCGGCCAGTTCTGCGAGTTCCACCTGTCAGAAGAAAAGAGAGCTCGCGACTCCCGCGACCACTGAAGCCAGTATGGACTCTGACGACGATTTCATGAGCGATGTCTCCAGTCAGGACGACTTCTTGGACATGCAGGGGAGTGATGATGAGAGTCTAGGCGAAGGTACGTATCTGACGGAGACTTGGTCTGAGGAACACTCCCCCCCTCGATCTAAGAGGGATCCCACCTTGATCCCATTCCTCTCGAATGTCAGGTCATCAACTAACTTCTTTTCTCCCAGCAATAGACTTTGGTGATTTAGATACCGGCTTCTCCGACGACAAGGACCTTCTCAAGCAGAAGCGGAAACCATATGAGGTCGAATTCAAAGTTCTCAACCCCCCAGAAATCGAACGCGAACAGCTTGTACAAATTAACGAGGTTTCCGCTATCCTTGGCCTACCCCCCAGAGTCGGCCGCGATCCTCATGCGGTTTGGTCGTTGGAAGCAGGAGAAACTCATCGAGGGGTACATGGAGCACCCAGAGGAGACATTAGAAGAAGCTGGGTTAGGAACCAACTTTGAAGGCACGGCGAAAACGGAGGTCGTTCCAGGTTTCAGCTGTGAGATTTGTTGTGAGGATGGCGATGACCTCGAGTCGTATGCGATGCGCTGCGGGCACCGTTTTTGTGTCGACTGCTACCGACACTATCTTGGACAAAAGATTAAGGAAGAAGGAGAAGCCGCGCGGATTCAATGTCCCGGAAACAAATGTCATCGCATCGTCGATTCGAGGTCACTTGATCTGCTTGTTACGGACGAGCTCAAGGGCCGGTAAGAGTCACCACCCTCCCGTTTCGAATAGAGGCATGATTAGCTAACATGCATCTCATCACTAGGTATCGCACACTCCTCACGCGAACCTATGTCGATGATAAAGATAACCTACGATGGTGCCCGGCACCAAACTGCGAATATGCGGTCGACTGCGCAGTGAAAACCCGCGACCTTCGACGCATAGTCCCAACCGTCCGGTGCATATGTAAACATGAATTCTGTTTCGGCTGCTCTGTCGCCGATCATCAGCCTACCCCATGTACACTGGTCAAGATGTGGCTCCAAAAATGCGAGGACGACTCCGAGACTGCCAACTGGATATCAGCCAACACCAAAGAGTGCCCCAGATGCGTATCTACGATTGAAAAGAATGGTGGTTGTAATCATATGACCTGCCGTAAGTGCAAGCACGAGTTCTGCTGGATGTGCATGGGTCTCTGGTCTGAACATGGCACCAGTTGGTACAACTGCAACCGCTTCGAAGAAAAGTCTGGACACGATGCCCGCAGTGCCCAGGCGAAGTCGCGTGCGTCTTTGGAGCGATATCTTCATTACTACAACCGCTATGCGAACCACGAGCAATCGGCAAAGCTGGATAAGGACCTTTACCTCAAGACCGAGAAGAAGATGACTAGCCTGCAATCACAATCTGGACTATCCTGGATCGAGGTTCAGTTCCTCGACACCGCATCTCAAGCATTGCAGCAGTGCCGCCAGACCTTGAAGTGGACATACGCTTTTGCGTTTTACCTCGCGCGGAATAACATTGCGACAATCTTTGAGGATAATCAGGCGGACCTGGAGATGGCCGTGGAGGGTCTCAGTGAGATGTTCGAGAAGCCTGTCTCGGAACTCGCTGAACTGAAGGTGGATATTCTGGATAAAACCGCCTATTGCAATAAGCGTCGGGTCATCCTATTGAGCGATACCGCAGAGAATTTAAAGAATGGTAAGTCATATATACGTCCTCGTCTTATCTCTTCATGATCATGGAAGAACTTGCGCTAATATTATTCAGGAGAATGGTCGTTCAATGTCGAGTGGTAGCGATACCTCCCCAGTCCTGATAGACGATCTCAGATGAGAATTTGACGACATGAACGAACTTCCTTCCGACTCTCCCTCTCCCATTCGTACCAATTACCTACCCACCTTTCACACATCTCCGCTTCCCAACACCATCCTTCCGACCAATCTTCGCATCCTTCAATTTTGCCCTCATGACGCATAAGCCCCAATGGAGTCGCGCAGTTCGAGCAAAGAGCGTATTGAACCCTTCTACCTTCCTGAAACCTATTGAAATGACCCAGCATGTTCTGACAGATGTTTTTGTGTTCCCATCTATTGATTGCTTCTCGAGGCTGCGGCGCCGAGGTGTTGAGACTTTTTTTTTGTAGGGATTACCATGGCCAACAAGCAGTGCTCTCTATATTTTCATAACGAAGTAGCGATTTTCTTCTAAACCCATTATTTTCTTTGGCATACTATCTCGCGAAACTACTACTACTACTACTACTACTACTACTACTACTACTACTACTACTACTACTACTACTACTACTACTACTACTACTACTACTACTACTGGTATCGACTGTAACTCTGATGTATCTTTCACGACGGCTATCTTCCTACTACTACTAGTAGCCCTGGAGTACATACATGCTCCCGAGGCCCTATAGGGAAATGTGTACAAAGACAATGCTTGACCCATTGCGTACCCTATTTTGCGAGATACTCTCCGTATTTGACCGCCTCGTTCTGATCCATCCACTGGTCCCAGAGCTCCTTCTGTTGCACAGGTGGAATCATGCCATTTACGCGCCAATTGTCTGCAGGGTGCTCGTAGATATTGTACTCCCACTTGACTCCCTTGGGTGCCAAAACCGGCTCCACGATCTTATTGACACTATCGATGAAAGCCAGGCGGGCCTCTTCGTTGGGAAAAGAGCGGGCTGCGTGATCGAGGACGAAGAAGACGGTATTTGGGGGTGTTTTTCCACCACTGTAAAAGTTGCCAATGCGGTTTTCGTGGAAGAAGACGTTGACTAGGAATGCGGGAATTCCTAATTTGACGTAATTGTCCGTAATGGCTTGGGCTAGTGTGTCTTTCTCTGCTTTGGAGAGTGTGTCTGGCGTTACTTCGAAGGTCCAGCGAGGCATTTTTTGGAAAGGTATCTGCTTTGGGCAAGAATGGGGTGATAAGACTTGGCTGTTTCAAGATTTAGTAGAATTGAAATTAGAAATTTAAACTGGCCTTTATATTCTCGCTGCTGAATTCTTTTGTGAGAACTATGATTACTTCTAGGCCGAGTCAGCCGAGGACCGATATCTTTCGAGTTGATTAATCAACAAAGCGTTTGTGTCGCAATGTGCTGGGTTGTTGACGCATCCATACATGTGGCCACTGTTGAACACAACACCTCGGCTGAAGATCTGGTACATTCAAAAAGACATAAAGGGCCAAGCATTATCCTCTTTACTCGCATCTCCTCACTTCCTTGCCGTCTTTCCTGCATCCAGCAAGTCAACATGTCTTCCATCCTCCAAGCCGACGTTTACGTCTCCTCGCGCCTTCCGATATCTATGAAGCGCATGGGGGAAACAAGTTACTTCTCTCCGATATCTTGCACACTAATCCACGGTGACTCCGAAGCCGTTTTGGTTGACACGCCCATATCGATTTCCCAAACCGAAGACCTAGCCGCCTGGATCAAGAAGACAGCACCAGGGAAAAGCCTACGCTATGTCTACATCACCCACGGACACGGAGATCACTGGTTCGGAATTTCCATCCTCCGCAACCACTGGCCTAATCTTTGTGCCATTGCTACACCGGGCACAGTCGAGCACATGAACGAGCAGATCAAGCCTGAGATATTGGAGGGAACATGGCATGCGCTGTTTCCGGGTGGACAAATTCCACAATCTCTGGAGCTAGCCAAACCAATGGACTCTCTAACATTCAGCGTCGAAGGCCACGAGCTTCGCGCCATCGAGGTCGGTCATACAGATACATACAACACGACTGTACTTCACGTGCCCAGCATTCGACTGGTCGTTGCGGGGGATGCTGTTTACGGTGATGTGCATCAGTTCTTCGGTGAAGCAAGCACAAAAGAAAAACGACAGGAGTGGCTGCGGGCTCTGGATAAGATTGAGGCGCTTGATCCGCATACAGTGATTGCCGGACATAAGCGGGAAGGAACAGTAGATGGCCTTTTCAATCTGCACAGAACGCGGCAGTATATTTTGGATTTTGAAGATGCGGTGGCAAAGGCGTCGAATTGGAAGGATTTAGCGGGGGATATCCAGAGGCGATATCCGAGACGGATTAATCCTCATGCGATTTTAAGGGGTGCCATGGCGGCGTTTCCCCCGGTGTCATCAAAGGTTTAATGCTTTGCCTAGCATGTGTAACTATCGAGCAAGAGGACTGTGGGCGATAACTTATAATACTACCTAGGTATCGGCCTCTGTACTGTGAAGAGGAAGCAACCTTGAAAGTGAACTCGAAGATAAATAGTCGATTTTCTCCTTAATTCGTGGCCTTACAGTACTTACTAGTAGTTAGGTACTCATCATCCAATTTGGCACGACGGGCAGAGTATACTATATAGCACCCCTTGCCTGCTCTTGACCCTTCTCTCTTACTATCACAATGTCTTTGGATCTTGTGAAGCACAATTACGAACTTGAACCGTCACGGTGTTCACCTCATTGTCGGAACCTACTATATTTCTATGCGCATGAATTCGTATGCGCCCAAGCATTAACTTCCAGCTGGATGACGGCAGGCAAAATCTCATAACGACGATCACATTCATATAATCATACAAAAACCCGATTTTCCAGTCACGTGAACAAATATTGGATGTTACGCCCAATTATGGTAGACTCGCCAGGGATATATGATGCCAAAGTTGGACCGCGGGTGATTGACTGGCTGATGAGTGATCATTCCGAGTGCCGAGATGTTGTAGTTCAGCTCCCGAGAGACCGAATCTCCCACCATCCTCCATTTCAATCATCCCACAGAATAACTCTACATGTGAAATGGATTCGTACAGAGACGATTCTTTTGCCAGCCATCGTCCGACCTCGTCTGCCGTTGATGAAATGCAGCCCTCCACAGAAAGGGTCGCCAAGCAGCGCAAACAGCGCAAGCGACCAAGTGCGCCTGAGCAGTCCGCGAGTCAGGAAGGCCTAGAGAAGAAAGAGGTAATCACTCTCATCAATTAATTTTGGTTGCTAGCCAAAAAAGACAGACAAATAGACAGATGGATAGACAAAGAAGAAAACAAAAACAGCAAGCTGACGCCTATACAGCGCCGTCGACGGCAGCTGTTGCTGGCGCAGCGGGCATATCGAGCACGCAACAGGGCTCACATTCAGGCACTTGAGAAACGTGTCGCGCGACTAGAGTCTGCTCTTGAACGAACAGGCCAGGCGATCATTTCGTTTACCGATACTCTTGTTGAGCCTCAAGCCCTTGCTTCGCATCAGAAGATTGCATACCACCTTCGCGACACTGTGAAGACATGCCTCGATATAGCGAATGACTACCTGGAGGATGTTGCTGGATCAAATCCACCCGAAACATCGCTGATCGGTCACACATCAATCGTTCCGCAAGCAAGTGCGAGAGATGAACAAGAGGAATGGCCTCTTTCGGAAGGCCATGCTGGCTTAAGCGTGCTGTCTCGTAATCTACTCCCCCCGTCTGCACTAAACGGTGCAAAGGTAATAGAAGCACCGGTCTTCATTGATAATTTGAGGATAGCATGTTTATACCAGGGCTTTCTTTTGCTTAATAACCCCTCTGTCCCCCTGGAAGCCTTAAGACGACCATTTCGACTCCTGTTATCACTCGTTACGCGAGAAACTATTACATCGTACTTTCATACTTGTCTATATGCCAGATTAAACAATAAACAGCCAGACGACGTCAACTGCATTCCCTCCTTCAGGCTAGGCGGAGCCGGTACTCATTACCCTGAGGTTGTCGCATCAAACCAGGTGGGGTCGAGATCGGAGCAACATGATCCTTCTATGATCCACGATACTTTATCGTCATTTTCGCCGGAGGCTCAGAAAGACCTTGATGGACAGTGGTTTGATCTATTTGATCTAGTGGGTTTTCTACGAGCACAGGGAACTACTCTTTCAATGGTGCCACCAGTCGATGATACCACACATCGTGCAGTAAATGCCGTGGATTTCACAGCAGGTGAGCTTGCATTCTCTTATACTCTACTCCTGGAGCTTTGGTGCCATCTAACGATTTTTTAGCTTTGATCGGGAAGGGAATATGTCTAGGTGACACTCCTGGGTTCAAGCGGAGCGATGTCGAAATTGCAATCGACTCTTCGTTGTGGAAATAATGCATGGTCTCTTTGGCACAATATAATAGGCTCCAAATTATATACGCACGACTTTTTTTTTAAGACTGCATGGTTCATTCATAGTGTAGTAGTGTCATTGAGCCTAGTAGATACGTTGTCCACGGGTGTAAGTGATGTTAAAGCTGATATTTTTTCGTAAATGTTTCAAAGCACCCACAGACCCACACTAAAGTTATTTATTTGACATAGCTGTGCCATCATCCCCCTCAGTAGTACGAGTATTATACTAGCCAACGGCAAGATTCTTGAAATACTTGGTGTTCAAGTTTTTGAATGGATTATTGCTGCAGAGTCCGAGTCAAGCTTAGGATCTAGGCATGTTCCTTATCCGCTAGCCTACTAGTATGGATTATTGACAATGATAACCTTCGCCGCATAACGCTAGATAATTGAGTGAAAATGGCAAGTCTGCAGGAAACATCACGATGATGGGACTACTACATACTAGAACATAGGCATGGATTTATTTATGGCGATGCAAAAAGAACACCCCGATCGTTTCACGTTAGTCACAAATAGCCAAAATCGTGCCTTCTGCAGGGTCTATCTCCTCCTTAAGTATCTAGATGGTAGCTTGGGCAACCGCAAATGTCACTTGGATAAGCACTCAGGGGCCTTGCCTCCCCCAAATTGGAATTATGCATTTACCCTTGCCGAAACTCCAGTCAGGTGGGACATGGAAGTTGGTCCCAGGTGCCTTTTTACGTACTCGTACGAAGGCGACCAGCAGGGGTTAGTTCAGTCCACACGGGCTGACGCCCACCCGGACCTCGGCAGGCCGGCCGGCAGAGTCGCGTGGTCGGGCACAGCCAGCCCCTGGTTGAAGATGACCTCGTATTGCCTAGAAGAGACAATGAGACAATTCATTTCATTCCATTTCTTGGCTCCGGCTAAGTTCTATGCTTGAACAAAAGACCAGGGCATAGTAAAGATGGAAGTGAGTGATGGAGAGGGAATACGAGTAGGGAATATGACCATCAGATAAGGAGGAATCTTTTTGGCAACTGTTGCCTTCCCAATAGGGAACCCTGGGAACCATTGGATGTGTCTCCCTGCCTCTCCACTTTGTCAAAGATTTCCAACGGCCTTCTCGAAGCGATCGCTGGTTCCATGAGTAGATGTTGATGGAAATTGTTGGGTCCTTTGATCCACTTGGAAAGGGAGAAGACGACTAGTTTCTCCATGCTCAGCACACTAGTCCCAGATCGCAGACAAATTAAATGAAGGGGGCAGTCTTATCAGATTGATAAAAGTGACCAGTGCCGTTACGGGGAGGTACTTGACCATTGAGTGGGCCAGTCATAGTGCAGGGAGGTACCGGTCGGTACCGATGCAGGAGTGGGAAGGTACTGCCGATACCAATAATACCAATACGCACTTACCTAAGCTCCGTCATCGGATCTTGGATACTCACGGAGTCACGGGGGAGTCTGGCCGGGCATTCTGAATAATCCATCAGTCCCCCTTGACAAAAAAGAGAATTACAAGTTTAAGGGAGAAAGTACACGGGATCGCACGGAAGGTCCAAGTTAAATAGATCCAAATGGTCTAATCATGGTAGCCTATAGCGGAGTATTGGTGAATACATTGCTTGGTTGGTGTTAGTAGCAACTCGGAGATCGGGATATTCAAAGGAATTGGGGGGGCCTCGGAGCCAGTGGAATCCGGCGAAGGTCGGCCTTGCAATAATTTATTTCCCTTTAGTGCCGCGGAGCCTGTAAGTTACTAGTACTAGTACTACGAGACTCTTAGTCTGATCTCCCAAGAATTTCCTTCCCCTTCTTCTCCGTGGATCCAAAAGCAAAAACACTACACTCTACACACTACACACTACACACTACACACTACACACTACACAAAAAAGCAACCCAAAGGCTCAGGGTCAAAGAGCAAACGAACACGTTGCGACCTAATATTAATCTCGGTGTGGTGTGAACTTGCTCCCCCCCTGGTTCCTCCCGTTGTGGGCATCCCGGGCCTGTTTTGCTCCACGGAGAACCCGTTTACCTCATCATCCTTCACACTTCTCAACTTCACTTCCCTGCGCACCCTCAACCCTCCTCTCACGCCATCCGTACGACCCTCTCCCCTCTCCGACGCATACCTCCCCCCGACTCGCGCCAGCTGCGCTTTGAGCTAGCGGAGCTTCATGGCGGCTACCGACCAGATCCCCGAGCAGGAGTTTGAGTAGGTGCTTCTCCATGAAATTTCCTCGGGCGGCTTTGCAATGGCATCGCGGATCACGACCATGTCGGTCGGCTTCCTCTCTACGAATTGACCTTCCGACCGGTCATTCAGTGTGATTTTCTGCTTGCTGGCTCTGTCCGCTATGTAACCTCGGCTTTTCGTGGCTACTGCGACTTCTCTCCCTTTCCCTTCGCCCTGGGTCATCTAATGGAAACTAATCGGATTCTTCACTAGCTATGAAGCTCTTCCCTCCAACTATGGCCTAGGCCGTAATATGCTCGCGGGTGCTTTCGCGGGAATCGCGGTATGTTGGTTAAAAAAATTCTGGGACACGGGGATATTATTGGAGCTGACAATCTCTTTCAAAGGAACACTCGGTTATGTACCCGGTTGATCTGCTTAAGGTGAGTTCTGCGTCGCAGGATCCTCAAGTCCTCAATGGAGAGCTCGGATGGGCACTGACGCAAATTTTTGCAACTCCTAGACCCGCATGCAAATCCTGAACCCCTCTACTGGTGGCTTGTACACCGGTTTGACGAACGCCGTCTCGACAATTTACCGCATCGAGGGCTGGCGGACACTTTGGAAGGGTGTCTCAAGTGTGATTGTTGGCGCTGGTACGTTGTTTTTCGGGTTCTGGGCTTCTGATGGCCGAGTAGGAATTAGTAACTAATAATTTTTGGCGACTGTAGGTCCGGCACACGCGGTTTACTTCGGCACATACGAGATCGTGAAGGATCTAGCGGGCGGAAATGTCGACGATGGTCATCACCCGTTAGCAGCTGGTATGTGGTTTGGTTCTTGGACTTAGACCGGGATAGGCATGACTGACACATTGGCTCTGAATAGCACTGAGTGGTGCCTCGGCCACAATCGCAAGCGATGCGTTGATGAACCCATTCGATGGTGAGTAATTCGCCGTTACAGACATTCACAGAACGCTGGATCTAACCCCTTCTCGAAAACAGTCATCAAGCAGCGAATGCAAGTCCACGGCTCCGTTCACAAGACCATGGTGCAATGTGCCAAAACCCTTTACCGAACTGAGGGTCTTCAAGCCTTCTACCTCTCCTACCCTACAACTCTCTGCATGACCGTGCCTTTCACTGCGACCCAATTCGTTGCCTACGAGTCGATCTCCAAGATTATGAACCCCAAGGGAGACTACGATCCCTTCACCCACTGCATGGCAGGTGGTCTTGCTGGTGCCTTCGCGGCCGGTATCACCACTCCTCTCGACGTGGTGAAGACCCTTCTCCAAACTCGTGGTCTGGCCGAAAGTGAAGAAATCCGCTCGGCACGCGGCCTGTGGAACGCGGCCTCCATCATCAAGAACCGCTTCGGCTGGGGCGGTTTCCTGCGCGGCATGCGCCCTCGCATTATCTCCACCATGCCTAGTACCGCCATCTGCTGGACATCTTATGAGATGGCCAAGGCGTACTTCAAGGACCAAGGCCTTGACTAGGATAATTCCCGACCTGATCGCCGCCTGTCGATTTAAATGCCATCTCCCAGTTCGGCAAATCGCCTCGACTCGCTTCTCGCCTTGGGCGTTGTGCATACACCACGCGACCCCTTCTTCAATTTTTTTAACTCCATTTTCCCTATCTCTTTTTATTTCTCTGATATCTTGAGGCGACATGAGTCTTTTTTTGGCATCTGGCCAGGTCCTTGGGATGCGGGCAGAGCCTGCCATACCCTGGGGGTGTTGCATCTTGGGCCTGAAGAGCCCGACTCGATCTTCTTGCATGTTTGGAGCTTCTGTTGACCAAAAAGCGATTCTAGCACTGTATAGTTTGGAACCAAAGGGGTTTGGAACGGCATCAGTAAGCCGGCCTGGGGGTATCGGATCTCTTTTCTTCATTTTTCTAAACTCTCTCCATCTTCCCCCCCCCTTCTCTCCCCGTCCGATGTATCCTCTATCCTTACCGGCGTTGGAACGTGGAACCTCGGGTTTTGATTATCTTATGCGGGCTGGGTTCTGTTGCATCGATATGTGTTTTAGTGACTGGTTCTTTGTTTTTCCGTTATTTTTCTTGCATGTACCCATAGACGTGCCACCACGAGGAATCTAGATGTGATCAGATGTTTATTGCTTTGATATAGTATTAAAAACCTCCTGCTATCAGTAGTACTAGCAACATTGATAAATACTACGAGTAGTAAGTGTATAGTACAGTCATAATGTCGGCTGTGTCCGCATGCAGCAATTCGGCGGACTGACGACGTCACGCGAAAACTCCTCCGCTCCGGGAGATCACCGCTGCCCTTTCTCCCCGCCAACAACCTGCAGTGACATGGGTGCGGGCCTTCCTTTTCCCAATGATGCGCCCACGGCCCGCGTCTTCCCTACAGAAGACGTACGATGAATGCTACTTGCTCTGTTCGACTGCGGTCTACTTTGAAGGCCAGGTAGGTGCCCCGTGACCCTTTCCCTCGGCTTCAATTGCTCATGACATCAGAACAACGAAGAGGAAGCATTGAGATCCTGGCGGTCCGCTCTCGATACGATTTACCATCACAATGCTCGTCGGGTCCCGTCGAATTATACCCCCAAATCCGAAACGGAGAAGGCCCTCCAAGATTCTATTCGTGCACTAGAGACCCAATGCCGTGAGCGAGTCGATCTGCTATCGGCCCTTCGCGAGAGTCGGAAAGAAAGTGCCGAGGCCAACGGCGGAAAAGAACCAGCAACTCTTACCAAGGGTAAATCTCCTGCAACTATGTCCGCTCCGCCATCTTCCAACCATCCCGGCTGGATTGGAGATGGCACCATCCCAGCAGTTGGCTATACAGATCTCTCGAAACCAGCCGCCATACCTGGGAGACCTCCACCTCCGTCGATGGGGAGACACAGTTCTGATACTCTACAACCCTACGATGACTCCCTCCCATCTGGCTTGTCGCCGGCCGGCTCGCCTGCGTTACGAATGAACTCAAACTCGTCCGACAAGACTAAATCCCGCGGGTCAAGCCCTGAGCGACGAAAGATCATGCTGACGACGCTGCGCAACAAGGATGGGAAGAAGAAAGATAAAACGGCCAAATCGAGTTCTAAGCGCAAGGAAACCCGACCGGTCGCCTCAAAAGCAGCTGGTCTTGCATGGGGCAACCTCTACCGATCATCGTCGATCGACAAGCCCTCGAATGATGCGGCGGTGGCTTCGTCTCGAAGTCTTGCCAATGATGCAAACGCTCGCCGAGATGCTGATCCAAAATCAAGCTCCGGCGAAGAGCCTGTATTGGCGCGGCCACGTCCGCAAAAGACAAATTCTTCCACGGATCGGATTCCACCTGCAAATTGGCGGGAGCCTAAACATGCACCTGTTCCACGATCTTCGCCCCGGCCAACTTCTCGAACAACCCCGCGTCAACTTCAAGCGGGCTCCGATCCTCGTCGGTCCCAGCCTTCGGAACTGGCACCGGCACCAGTCATCATGCCCGACCCGAAAGATTACGCAACCCCGTCATCGCCCGGCCCAAAGCCATCTATCAAACCCAAGCCTGTGGCGCTGAGGTCGTCACTTCAGCCTCCACCACGCGTGACACAAATGACCAAGTCAGAGGGTAATTCCCGGTCAGCAACTCCTCGAAAGGACTCCGAGGCAACTACTCCGAGCAGCAAGCCGCGGACAAAATCTGCGCCGAGGACAACACAAAGTGGACAAACATCCTATATATCGCCATCATCCGGTAGTGATGATATTCAGCGTGGAATGAACCGAATGGCAATCTCGGGGGCGAACGGCAGCAGCAACAGTGCGGTTCGGCGAAAGCCACCACCTGGTAAGCGCCGCGAGACACCACCATCGAGCGACGAAGAATCCTGGGAACAGCATTCGTCAGAAGACGAAGACCAAGAAGCCCAAGATATTGTGGAAATTATGAACAAACTACCCAAGGGTGTTGATCCCCAGTCAGCCCGTCAAATCCTCAATGATATCGTCGTTCGTGGCGACGAGGTACATTGGGAGGATATTGCGGGACTGGAGCCGGCCAAAAAAGCTCTCAAAGAAGCTGTTGTCTATCCATTTCTCCGGCCAGATCTATTCTCTGGCTTACGCGAACCAGCTCGCGGCATGCTTCTTTTCGGTCCTCCGGGTACTGGCAAGACCATGCTTGCAAGAGCAGTGGCTACGGAATCAAAATCAACATTTTTCTCTGTTTCTGCTTCAAGCCTAACATCCAAATGGCATGGTGAAAGTGAAAAGCTTGTTCGTGCTCTATTTGGACTGGCCAAGGCTCTAGCGCCATCTATCATCTTTGTCGACGAGATTGACTCCCTTCTATCTGCGCGGTCATCGGGCTCTGAACACGAAGCCTCGCGCCGGTCCAAGACTGAATTTTTGGTACAATGGTCAGACCTGCAGCGTGCCGCTGCTGGTCGCGAACAATCGGCCCGGGACAAAAAGGAGGGTGATGCCAGTCGAGTACTTGTATTAGCAGCTACCAACATGCCCTGGGATATCGACGAAGCAGCGCGTCGCCGCTTTGTCCGTCGACAATATATCCCATTACCTGAACACCAGGTCCGCGAACAACAACTGCGCACATTGCTCAGTCACCAACACCACGAGCTGAGCGCCGAGGATATACAGGTTCTAGTCCATGTAACAGAAGGTAGGCTCTTTCCCACTCACTCTCTTGTAAAATCTAGAAATCTCTCTCTGACTTGACTTCGACAGGCTTCTCTGGCTCAGATATAACAGCACTTGCCAAAGATGCCGCCATGGGCCCACTTCGCAACCTCGGCGAGGCTCTCCTCCACACGCCTATGGACCAGATCCGCCCAATCAAGTTCCAGGACTTTGAATCTAGTCTGTACTCCATTCGACCTAGTGTCTCATCTGATGGGCTACGCAAGTACGAAGACTGGGCTAAAGAATTCGGCGAGAGGGGCGGCTAGTCGGCCCTTACCAGTCTTTCATGTCAACTGCAGCCTCGTCTCTTGTAGAGACATTCTTGGGTTTTGCGGAATGAAAAGCAAAGTATGGAATCAGCGATTATGACGTTACGTTTCTGTGTTTTCTTGTGGCATATGCGATACTCTGCGCACAATACTCGGCCGGTCCGATTCTGGTCATGATTGTGTTTTCTCCTGGTGTTTCTATTTGATTTTCCTTCTCCTTCCTCGGAATGTGGTATCTCACTGTTGGGCATTTGATACCAGGTTAGGCTGGGCTTGTTGGGCCATGGTGCATGGGAATTCTTGGTATGCTCTTTTCATAGAGATCCTGGGTTACTCTGGAGGGCTTGGTGGTACTAGTTTATGAGCATGGAGTTTAGTGCGATATTGAATAACTTGAATGATGAAACGCCAGGCGACTCCTAAACGATCCGGGATTCCCACTCCGGCAACAAATAGATACCGGCAAGAAATCCAAAAAGAATTCTCTAAGCAGGCCTTTCCCTGGAGCAGCTGAGGAGACTCAAAGGCGCACATCTCAATTTAAACTCAGTAGAGTACATTGCATCAATACTCAAGCATTTGATATTCTCGGCACTAAAAAAAGCAATTCAGGAAACAATCCAGAAGAGACTTCAAATGAATTCTGATAATAAGTCTTGGATTAATCTAGTCTAAATTGCCATGTCCTTCGGCTGCCGTTCTTTCTCCCAGCTTAGAAGTGATGCGAGCCCGTCCACAAGGCCCCACGTCATGACTCCGCGTCTTCCACCGCCACGTCAGTCTGAGTACTCATCCACCAAAGGCGGGATATCACTCGGAAACTTCCGTAGGCATTCTAAGCATTTTCTTTTTTTTTCTCAGCCCACTACCAGAGATTGGAATTTCATGGGTCATGCTTAGCAATGCTATTCTTCGATTCTATTTTACGAGTCTATAATAGTGTTATCAGCCCGCCCATAACACCGAGGAAGAGGGACGATGCTATCCGCATCGGCCTCATTGGGGCAAGTACCATAGCGTATGTATAGCCAAGCAGCTTTCTTAATCGGTTCCCTCTTATATTGACCTACCTTGCTAATTCGTCGTTGTGCTTCAGACCGTTCGCAGTGATCACACCAGCAAAATCACATCCCGATGTCATCGTGGCCGCTGTGGCTGCGCGCGATATAAATCGTGCTGAAGCATATGCTCGAAGATATGACATTCCGGTTGTTCATTCTACGTATCAGGGTAAGCTATCTCACTACCCCCGGTTCGTGGGGTTGATCCTTGCTAATACTACGACATGCCCCCAGCTCTACTCGAAGATCCGTCCATTGATGCCGTTTACATTGCATTGCCAAACAGCTACCACTATGAATGGTCACTTCGCTCAGTGCAAGCCGGCAAGCATGTCTTGCTAGAAAAGCCCTCTTGCTCTAATGCTACCGAAGCTAAGAAGCTATTCAAACACCCACTAATAACCGCCCCGAATGCACCGGTACTTTTAGAAGCATTTCACTATCAGTTCCACCCTGCATGGCAAACTTTCTTAACTCAAGTACACCAGTCCCCCGGCTCTATTGAAAGTGTTTCCTCTCAGTTTTACCTACCCCGTCTACTGTTGGGGAAAGACGACATTCGCTTCAAATACTCACTTGCGGGAGGTTGCTTGATGGATGTTGCAACCTATTGCGTGTCTAGTGTACGCCAAATAGTGGGACGACAAATCAGATTGACCCCAGTCAATATTGATCATCGTCCTTTGTCTATATCGTCCAATGAAGAGCCACAAATCGACGAAGCCGTGACGGCAACATTCCTCACGCCTAACTCCCAAATCGTTCGAATTCAAGGAGACCTGGCCTCGGCAGGAGGTTGGTTCTCTTTATTGCCCGCTTCTTGGACAAAGGCTCTACCTACTTTGCGATGGCCCATGAGTGAGGCCGTGTTCGAGCCGGTGCTGGTTGAGTCTATCGTGCAGGAAGATGGCGTCCCACTTCAACATGTATTCAAGCGAACCGTCAGGATCTGGAACCATATGATTCCTTATATCTACCACCGAATCGATACATCGGACCAGCATACCCTTCAACGAGGCGAAGAGGTTATCAGATCCTGGAACGAAACCAGCTATAAAAAGGCGTACAACTGGCCGAGCGGAGACAAGCGTGCTGCAGTATACAAGGACTGGTGGTCTACCTATCGGTGTCAGTTGGAGGAGTTTGTAAACAAGATCAAGGGTCGCCAAGGATCTGGGGTTTGGATCGATGGAGAAGAGAGTATTGCGCAAATGGAGACTATCGATAGAGCTTATGAAAAAGCGGGACTTGGACCTCGTCCTACTAGTAATTTCGAGATTTAACTTGTGCCATGCTGGCATATGCGATGCAAAAAAAAACAGTCAACAGAAGTCACGTTTCTAGAGAGATCTATCATAGGACAGTAAGTTAGCAACATAGACTTCAAGTCAATCACCTTAGACCAAGTAGAAACTGCCAAACTATGAGCCGAATCTGGCAGCCTTACACTAAGCCCAATCGGGATCCCAGCCACCACAGCCACATCTTGGCATTCAGTCATCTAAACGTCATTGCTACAGTGGCGTCTGTCAACAGCCCCGACGTCATCGGGAAAGTATACCTCCGCGTTGTACAGCACGCTGATTTGCGGACCAACAGATTGTCAACCAAGGTTTCAAGATAATTGGCAGCCGAGGCAGTTCGTAGTTAATTGTTTGTACATTGTATTTGTATAGTTTGGCCAGAAACTTGGTCATTATCGCAAACAATATGTAGACGACGTCATTCAAGTTCTCTTTGGAGTCACTGGATTCTGGTCTATATAATGGCCCTGCCTGGACATCAACTCTCTTCCTTCTTCAACACTCCACATTCCAACACATCTTCTACTACTCTTCAAGTTCTCAAACAAATCAAATCTATCTACCATCAACCAACATGTCTGACACCGGTCGCAAGGATTTCTCTACCAGTATGTGACATGCAGCTAGCTAGCTACCCACTCTCAACCAGTCTTCCTATCATATGTATTGGACCATACTAACAGCTCCTCTCTCAGAGGCCAAGGAGGAGATCACTCCTGACTCCACCAAGTCCACCCAGGACAAGGTCAAGGAGACTTTCACCGACACCACCGACCGTGTTGCTCGCGGATTCCAGACCGATGACAGCAAGGGTGGTGCCCAGGAGGCCTTCGACAAGACCCAGCGTGCCAGTGACAACAATGTTCACGGCGGTGCCAGCAACTCCATGTAAGACAACCCCTCCATACCTATCCAATATAAGTACCAAAGTATAGATACTGATCTGCTTTCCTTTCACAGTGGCGACAAGGTCAAGAACGCCCTCGGTATGAACCACTAGGCACATCGTTCTTTGTGACACACTGTGGCCGTGGCTATGATCTGCCTACAGATGTGATCGCCATGATGATTCAGTAATGCGTCGACGATACCATTTGCTTTTCTCGCTTTAGTTACCTTCCGGTTTAATACAATACCCATATCAGAATCGTGAAAAAAACAGCTATTTCCTCTGTAAAAAGAAAGTAGATAATATCATCGTTTATTTACAAGTCTTCCGAACATGGTCTCTCGTTGCCGCATGAGTTGGTCCAGCTCACGTTCAAGCTCTTTGTATCTGGCTCGTGCTCTTGGGACATCCCTAGGCAGGTCATGGAAAGCTTTGACACGCCCTTCCAGAGCTTTGACCGTTTCCCGTAACTGGACCACGTTTTGTTCTTCCGTCATAAGCTCCTGAATGGTAGGACCACGAGGCTGATTCCTTTCGAGTGATGCAATGCGATCCTGGTATTCTCCAACTTTCGTAGTAAGAGTTTTTGTCCCTCGCGTCCACTCCGCTGTCAAGCTTTGCGTATCGGCTGGTGTTTCGTATGCCTTGTTGGTTTTGAGCTCCTCCAGATCGGCCTGCAATCGCGAAAGCTCTTTCTGGAGATAGCGGTGCAACGTTTCGACCTTATCCAGTTGATCTTGAGTATCGAAGTCTTCGGCGGTGAGCTCGACGATGGATAAACTTAGATCTTCGGGCTCGAGATTTAATGTGTTTCCCAGGACAACCGCTGAGTCGGCAAGGTCATCCAAGTCTCGCTTTCCCGGGTCATCTAGACAAATTTCCACTTCATCTAGGATCTCGTTCTTTTGCCGTTCGTGTGGATCTTTGCGTTCTGCTTCTTCTCTTGTTTTGAAGGCACGGACTGCTTCTTCGCGTGCACGATGTTGTAGTGATGCTTCCTCATCAGCGGCCTCGTTGGCTGCCGCCATAGTCAAGAGAACGCGTAAAGTATCTTCATTGCGCTCGAATTGTGGTACAGGCTTTGGAGCGTATTGTCGGCCGAGCCAGGAGTTCACATATGCCCAGTCCTTGGCCTGAATTGCGGCCTGTCGTGCTTTGGTGGGCGAGACGAGTGGGCTGCCATCGAAGGCGTCCATCGTATGATCCACGAGCAATTGCTAACAGCTCGAATGATTGCCTGGTATGTTATGGAAGTCGTTGAAAATCAGCTCATCCGTGGATCCATACTAGTCCATCGGAATGGAATGTTGGACGCGATAAGAGAAGGGGAAGGCGGTCTGCTCTCGCAACGTGGAAACAGTGTGGAGTCTACGAGAGTACGGGAAGTGGCTGGCTTTCACTTCCTCCCCGCCATCGCCTCGCTGGCTACTCCACGCCAACAATGACCAGCTATTTCCCCGCTGGTCCCAGCAATGGCAATGGGCCTTCTCCGGCCTCGTCGCCCTTGTCGCCACCAACCTCACAGCGCTCGACTGCTCTATCCAATCGCCTGACCTCTGTTCTGTCTGCGTCCTACGCCGACTCCGACATTCGAGATTCGCTCGAAACCCTGAGCTTACGCGGAATCCACAACACCGCAGGGACACGACGACAAATACGACTCGATGTACAGAAAGAAGTGGTGGACTCCAACGCGGAGATTGTGCGAGACTTTGGAAAAGTGGCAGAGGTGAGACTACGGCGGAGGTGGAAACAACGAACGAGAACGAAGCTAACAATCGCTTGCGATGCAGCAATTGAAACGAATCGGGTCTGTCATATCGACCTTGAATCAGACATGCGATGAAATGCGTAAGCATATCGGTCAGGCGAAGCAAGATACTACACCCGTGCTGGAGGAAGCTGGTGCCCTGATGGCCCAAAGGAAGGAAACCGAAACGAAACAGCAGTTGCTAGATGCCTTTTCGAAACATTTCCTGGTACCGGAGGAGGACTTACTTATATTGACCTCGGTAGAGGAGCCTGTCGACGATCGCTTCTTCGATATTCTTGCCCGCGTGAAGCAAGTACACCATGATTGTGAGGTTCTGCTCGGCGGCGAGAACCAGCGATTGGGTCTCGAGATCATGGAAATGAGCACTCGAAATCTCAACTCTGCATACCAGAAGCTTTATCGGTGGATCCAAAAAGAGTTCCAGTCATTAAACTTGGAAGACCCTCGCATCAGCAGCTCGATCCGCCGGGCTCTACGAGTCCTGGCCGAGCGGCCAACCTTGTTTCACAGCTGCTTGGACTTTTTTGCGGAAGCTCGAGACTACGTTTTATCTGATGCTTTCCATTATGCTCTCACTGATGCTATTTCTGGTGGTAATGGCGGCGGTGTGGGAGCCGACCGCACTGTCAAACCTATCGAATTCTCTGCCCATGATCCCCTTCGGTACATTGGAGATATGCTCGCATGGGTGCACTCCACGACAGTATCCGAACGAGAAGCCCTAGAAGCGCTTTTCGTTGCCGACGGTGAGGAGCTTGCCCGGGGCATTCAGGCCGGGCTGAGCAGTGAGCCTTGGTCGCGGCTGGACGAAGACCAAGAAGTCAGTTTTGACGGCCACCGGGCCCTCAGTGATCTGGTCAATCGGGACCTCACGGGCGTTTCTCGCTCCCTGCGGCAGAGAGTTGAACTAGTCATTCAGGGCCACGACGACCCCGTTACCTGCTACAAGGTGGTGAACCTGTTGTCATTTTACCGTACCACGTTCTCCAAGCTCCTGGGAACACAATCAAACCTCGTGGATTTGATGCAAGTTCTCGAGAAGTTTACTCTCCGTCACTTCACAAATTTGATGCGTGACGAAGTCAGCATCCTTTCAGCTGATCCTGCTGTTCTCATCCCGCCAGAGGACCTGTCACCTCCTGAGTTCTTGTTAGATGCGCTGGAAGGTCTAATATCGCTCATGAAGACGCACGAGGGCTCGGTCGGACCAGATGATTCGCCTGCAGAGTCGAACGAGAATCGATTCACCCCTGTGCTACATGCTGCGTTCGACCCTTTCTTGACACTGGCCCGAACATCGTCTAGTGAGGTGGAGGATATAACCGCGCAGACCATCTACCGTACAAATATCCTTCTCGCAGCGCGAGCAACTATCTCCCCATTTGAGTTTGCCAGTGCTACGCATTTGGCCCCCTTATCCACCGCTTTATCTACTCTTCGCACAAATCTCCTGGATGTCCAGCATCAATTCCTCCTCGAGACATCCGGGCTTCAGGGTCTTTTGGATGCCTTAGAACCGTTCTCGAAGTCCGGCAAAGAATCTGAGCCCGACACGGAATCTAATGAGAGTTCTGAAAAGCCTGAGTCACAAAAGCCCCATCTCACCGATCTCACGAGTATTTCTGCTTTCCAGCCGTCGTCGCTGGTTACATCCAGCCAGCAGCTGGATGACTTCCTTCCGTCCGCTCTCATGGATGCAACTGACAACCTCAAGCGTGTACAAAGCGCATCTCTTGTCCATAGTGTCACTGAAGATGCCGTTGAAGCATTCTGTCGCGACTTCGAGTTCGTCGAGGGTATGATCATTGCGGCAGATGAGGCTAGAGGAATGACGCAGGCTACTCTAGGAACCGGCGGAAGTGTCATCAGTGGCAGGAGCGGCAGATCGGGGCGCAAGCCTGGTACCGATGGGGACACCGATGGAGATGCGGATGGAGATGGCAAGGGGCAATGGAGTTTGCGTTCATTGTTCCCCCGGACTACAGGGGAGATCCGGGTGTTGTTAAGCTAGTTTGAATACTAGTCGTCATACCACGAGGACTGGATGTTTCAGACACCGTTTTGCGAGTCTAAATCCGGGATTCACGTTACGAATAACATCTTCCTGTAGATAATTGATAACTTCGTGTACCTAGGTATGGGATGTAGAAGAAAAATTAATGTGCGATTCAAGACAATCTCCCACATGCATGAGCCGTGAATGGCTAGTTCTCCTTCCAATGTTTCTTCTCTAAATTTGCACCAAGATATAAGTCACAGTATATGATCACAGTGTTTCCTCGGGTAGATCATCCTCGTTCGCCTCACTATACCAACTCGAAGTCTGCGGCTGTGCGTGACGAGTCCGATCGTTCATGATATTCGATTGGTCGATGGCTTCATCCTCATCTTGAGCAGATAGAACTCAGCGTCTAATCACGCAAACCGCAGAAAGAATACGTACCAAGTTGTTGGCTTGAATTTGCAAATTCATCATCGACTTCTTCGAAACCCTCGGCATCCTCGTCGTCGACAACTTCAATAGGCTCCTGGGCGGGCATTTTCAATGACTGGTCTTGGAAGTTTGAAAGCGTGGTTTCCAGGAGATATGATGGGAGAGTTTCAATTGTTTGAAATCCGACAATGGGTTAAATCAGTGAAGGGGATCGTTGCATTTATGCTAGGAATTCTACCAATACTCTCAATAACGCAGACCTCTGCCGGTTCGTCATCATTGCGATACACTTACGATATGCCAGGAGATTGTCAAGGGTGATTACCCCAAAATGAACAAGGGAAACAGAGGTAGGTCTCGGTCTGGCTGCATATAGAAATACTAGAAAGCATCTCATGATCTATTTGGTGATTCAATGATCGAGAACAACTCTAATCGAGAATCATTCGATTCCCGCATTGGGGAGCCGTCACCTTGTCCCAATAGCCGGTCAATGATTCCCCGAACAAATACGGCCTAAAATACACAATGCTTCATCACTTTGTCTCAAGGGGTAGTTAAGTGTGAGACGTCTATATCATTTGGCTCTACCATGTTGCTTTTCAGTTGAAGTTATGACAGATTTGGTAAGCCTGATAATCAAGCCGCCGCCGCTATATTTGGGCTGTTATGAATGATTGGACAGAATTAATTTGCGATCCTATCTTTTCCTTATTATAAATCGGAATAAGGTTATTCGTAAAGTCTGTTTTTCTGGTCCACATTGATCGGGGTGACCTTCTATCGGCGACGTAATCGGGCTGGACCGAGTGAGTTCTTCCGAGCTGCTTATGTACCAACTAGAGGACGAACACAATAACTAGTATATGACGACCTGGTCTGACAAGCTTAAAACGACAAATACTCCATAGTGATAAAATATCAAGCTGTGACTAAGAACCCAAGCTTCTGGTCACGTTCTTTGAGCTATTTGTCTCTAGGGGAGTGTCACGAAGCAGGATAGCTATGGATAGCTATAGATCAACATGTAAACACCACGGATGACTACACCATTATCGGACAGATGAATCATAATAACTTGAAGTAACAGATATACTTAGATTTATGGGAACCTTAATATCAGCCCTAGGTACCTCTTTAGGTATGCTTGAACCTCTCTATTGTCGGTTTTTCTCGGATCATTGACTATTCCGGCTACTACGAAATTCCCAAGGTCAACCTATCAACGGGCATCAATCATATAATAGTATATTTGTAACGAGACATATTTGTAACGAGACATATTTGTAACGAGACATATTAAGATACCAGGACTGCCGCGCCGCCAAGCCATCTGTATCCTACAGTCTCAGACGATAATCTCTAAAGAACTCGAAGATATACTCAGTGGCATTAAATGCAGATTTACCGGCAGGACACTGTAAAGGATGTTCTTCGTAGTCATCATTACCCACCGTGCTAGGCCAGCAGTGGCCATTCCCACTCTCGCGGTAATGCTGAACAATACCACGTTTGCCAGCACAGTCCCAGCTAGCATGCCTGAGTAGCGGGTCCTCCATGACAGTCTCATTCCTTGCCCACTTGGCATTCTTCACACATCCATTTCGTTCGGCCCAACCTTCGAGGAAATCGATCACAGGTAGCTTTGGGTTGCTGTTCGTATTGCCATCAATGGGTGCTGTTGTATCTCCAGTGCCATGAAACTCAATAAAAGGGTAGCCCTCCTTGCGTTTGGCAGGTTTGCAAGGCCCAACTCCAGGGATGTTGTCAGTATCGTAATAGGCGCCGCTGACGGATGCGAAAGCAGCGAACCGGCTGCCAACCGTGGCATTGCAGGCAACGACAGCGGTGAAACCGCCCCCATTTGACTTGCCAGCCGAGTAAACTCGGCTTGAGTCGATGCAGAGTAAATTCTCCATATGCGTTAGGAGGTCATTGGTGAAATCAAGGTCGTTCGGCAAGGAAATATTGGCGCTGGGATTGGAAAGCCAATAACCATTCTTGCTGTTTGGGTAGACGGCAATTCCATCTTTGTTAAAAAAAGGGTTGGAGAATTGCGACAGTTCCTCTTCCTCGTTCATGTCCCGAGTAGCTCCATGGAAGGAGAAGTACAGTGGAGTGGGTTGGTTTTTGTCGTATGTGAGTGGAATGTATAATCGATACTCGCGATCGGTTCCTGGAAGATGCAGTATTGCACTCTTTCCAGCGGAAGGAAACTTGGAAGGGATTTCTCTGCCACAGCCTAGGGACCGAGCAGCACCTGTAGTGGCCAGAGCAAGGGGTAGAAGAAGTGACGTGAGCATTTTTCTTTCTTCTTTTCTCTCCTTTTCGGTGAGTCCAAGTTGTGTCACAAGGGAAGAATGCGCAGGGTTATGAGTGACTACGAAAAAATCATCCTTTCATGATTTGAGGAGCTAAGTGCGAATTAAAACCGGCAGGTCCTGCATCCTCGCAGCGGGGGATTAAGGCGAACCCCAAGCACGACCATGTACTGAGCAAGGAGATATCCAGTTACTACTCTCGGACATATCCAAACCCCGCAAACTAACATGCCCTTACGCACGACTGGCTCCACTTTCGATCCTTTGTGCAGGCTTAGCTTAGTTAGCTATTGTTTGATTGGTTGCCAGTACCAGGATGGGAAAGTGCTGCGATAGGTCTCATCTGGTCTCCGGCCAGTGCTCAGTCAAGCGTGGCTGGGATTCGTGCAGGCCAGGGCCGGAGATACTTCAAAGGGAAGCTGCCAAGTACATTTGCGCCCCCAATATCCTGCAGGTTGCTCAGCATGCCATACACCAAGGACGGTGGCTACGAGAGGAATTCCGCCTCAGAAGGGTAGACTGAAAAGCTGTTCATTGAAATATGGTGACCGGAAATAAATGGTGGCTTCATATCCTTCAATTTCCAGCTCGGCGATGGCAACTATGTTTCAATAATGTTGCTAAATTTGCAGCCCCATAGCGTGATTGCCGTGGGCGTTGTACTTCCAACAATTGCATCAGCTGCCGTAGCGCTAAGATTTTTCACTCGATGCAAACTTGGGATTCCACTGAGAGAAGACGACTGGATAATTTTTGTCTCTACTATCCTAGTATGGGGACTAGGAATCACTAATATTGCCGGTAGGCTTTTCTCTCTCCCTGGCTGCCTGCAAGCCACCCAGATCAGCTCTAACTTAAAATTGAAAAGGCACTGCGCTTGGGTCCTTAGGGGCTCATTCGAATCCAGCTGGTCCTAATGCGCCACATCACAACACAATCTCTCGAGGTCGGGCAGATGATATTGCAGAGAAGGTATGTCGGGTCTAGATCAGGAAAAAATCAAACATTCACATTCATTATGCTGAACAATCCCAGATTGTCCTTGGCTATAGCATTATCGAGAAGATTACATTTGGTGTCATCAAAATAAGCGTGCTCCTAGCATATCGAAGGATATTTCGGGGCAAAATCTTCAATATCGTGTCTTTAGGCATGATCATTGTTTGTACAATGCTTGCGCTTGCATTTCTTGTCACATCTGCTTTTCAATGCAATGTACGAAATTGGAGTCTGCAATACCAGACATGGTCACATCGACGCCACTGCATCCAGGCGGAGATATCTTGGTCTGGTTATGCTATCGCAGACGTTATCACGGATTTCACCCTGCTTCTTTTCCCAGTACCACTGGTTTGGCAGCTGCAGCTTACACTGTCTAAGAAAATTAGTGTTCTATTGGTTTTTCTTCTTGGATCATTGTCAACTGCAGTTGCAATTGTGAGGATGGTGGTGATCTTGTTTTTCACTTATGGTAGGTCATTCCCCAGCGTCGAAATATGAAGATTGGCCTCTGACAATTCAGGCACTTCTGATGGATATAGAGATCTGTTGGATACAATGTCCACAGCCCTAGTTTGGAGCTTGGTTGAGGCATCAGTGGCAATAGTTGCCTCGTGTCTGCCTTCTATACGCCCACTAATTCATCGATCATCTACCAGTATCGGCTTAAGCAAGCCGTCGTCATCCAGTCGGCCCATATCAAATCCAACAGGTTTGCGATTGGCAGTACAGCCTACATTATATGAGCTCGAAAACATCAATATTTGGCGAGAATTGTCGGAGGAACTTGAAGAAAATGAAAAATAAAATAGCCCTTCTGTTTACTTATTCGAATTATGTTCAAAACAAGAACTATATGGATCTCGGCATCTATAAGTTCCCGTCATAGTCTATTGAGGTCGATTCATGCTAATTGGCGGTGAGGTAAGGACCCCCAAAAAATCGGAACAAAACTTAAAACTTAAAAGCAGCAACAGAATATATATATTTGTCTAGTTTACTCAATCCCGACCATGCTACTACCAAGCTCCTATAGTAAATACCAATAAGCCTGTCCGATCTTAACGCGGACCCGCTTGCTAAATATAGACTAGTGCTGCTTCACAGGGCGGTCTAGTGGGCAGAACCTCACCGCCTTACTTTGCCACCAGTCACCTCCGCCTCCGCCTCTGGACCTTTGATGCCCCATATCTACCTGACTCACTCTCATCATGCTCATCCACTCTCTTCACGAACTCTCACGACATGTTCTGTGACTCTTTCTTACGTCGATCTCGTTCTGCAGTTTATTGCGTTCTACCCTTTACTTCAAATCACCCTATCCTGATCTCTTTCTCTCTTGATACCTGATCTAAGTTACGACCTTGTCAATGCCCGTTACAGATCCCACAGAGCCGGCCTCGAATTGGGACTTCACCCCGGTTTTCGACCTTCTCCGCTCTTCCACTCATAATGGAAGCTCTGATACCCATGGGCATAATCACTCTGGCGCCGTACCGTCACCCTCAGAGAGTCGCCAACAGCCCGATGTTCAGACTTTCTCTCAGAGCTCAAGAGGTCTATCCAGGCCCCAACCTGACCCCCACGGACTCGGAGACTTTGGGTCGCTATGGGACATCATCAACCGAGACTCAAACTCCTTCCGGACTCTAGAGTCGAGGCAGCCGACAATCCCCGTTCCTACTGGTCATCAACCATATGTTCAGCTTCGTCCGCCCATAACAATTCTCAAGCGTGGCCATACCGATCCCAATAAATCACACACTTCCTCTGCACCCATACCTGTTCCGGGTACCTCGAAATGCAACCTTACTTCAAGGGCTGCCACCGGGACTTCTTTATCCTCGTCTCGCGATCCCGCCTCCAAAGGTTCAAAGCAGTCTTCGAGTACGATTAAAAGTTATGATACCGCGCCACAAGCTACCCCAGAGACCTCTTTGGAAGAGGTGAACGGCATAAAGAATGCGCCTAGGACCCCCGAGGCGAGAGGGTCCAATATGTATGAGGGTAGCAAACCCAAAGAGACACTCGAAACAATTTCTTCAGAAGGCAGCGACGAAGTTGATTCCGATTCGCACCCAACTGTCTTTGACCGACCTTATTCTTGGAGGCCCAACCACCTAGCGTTTACGCCAGGCCAACTGGGTACTCCCGACGCCCGACATGGTCGCTATGAGACACCTCCATCATCTTTCGACGAGAAAGAGTCAACCTTGAAGTCAGAGAATGTGAAAAACTTTATCACAACTTCCGCGGGTATACGTGTGCTACCTGTTGACTACAAATCCGCGACAGAGCGCAGAATCGGGTTAATGACCAAGCTCCTCAAGGACTTCCCTGAATACGCCCAGCTCGTATCACGAGTAGGACACTCTCCGAAGCCAACTCAAAACAATGTCCAGTCACGTCCGATCCATGTCTTCGTCGATATGTCGAATGTGAGTTTTGATTCCAGGGCTCATCTCTTCTCTCAGATGAACTAACGCGCCACAGATCATGGTAGGATTCCACGATTCGGTGAAAGTTTCGCGGAATATTCCGATATCAACTCGCATTCGCCGCCTCCATATGTCTTTCGCCAACTTCTCCTTGATCATGGAGCGAGGCCGTCCCGCCTCGAAGAGGGTTCTTGTTGGGTCAGACCAGCTTCCTTCAATCAACGAAGCTAAAACCCTTGGATACGAAGCCAATATCCTAGAGCGTGTACACAAAGCTAAGCACGCCACACCTCGCCACACCAAGTTCCGAAAGGCTCCCGGGAACACAACTCAGCATGGAAATGGCGGACCTGAAACGGTCAACGCCTCCAACGAGCGATGGGTCGAGCAGGGCGTGGACGAAATTCTGCACCTGAAAATCCTCGAGAGCCTGGTGGACACGGATGAACCGGCGACTATCGTTTTAGCCACTGGAGATGCGGCAGTGGCAGAGTATTCTGAGGGTTTCATGCGCATGGTTGAACGTGCGTTGCAGCGCGGCTGGACTGTGGAACTGGTGAGCTTTTCGCAGGTCACTAGCTATTCGTATCGGAAGAAAGAATTCCGAGATAAGTGGCAGGATAGCTTTCAGTTGGTTGAACTCGATTCATATGTGGAGGAACTGTTCGAGTAGGATTGCTCGAGCTCATCAGGTAGATAACGATAGCTATGGTTTCTTTTATTCTAGTCTATAACCATGGAATGTTCTAAACCTCGGACTGAGAGTCCGTATGGCCGTCTGCTCAACTAAGTGTCTGATCTTTTCTAGACAGTAGATTTATGGCATTGAATGACTTTCTTAATAGTCACCTAAAAAGGGAAGTATCGGGGTCATTCAACTCGTACGTAGAAGCAAGTGTATAGGTGCTGGAGTGATATCCCGGTTCTCCGTAAGTTCCTATTAAACTACTCCACACAGCGCAGTGAAAACAAGCAAGCAAATCTCCCAGATCAACAACTGAAATATTTACGCATAATAGTAACATGTTAATGATCTTTTTTTTCTAGAGGTATTGACCAAAAGAAGCAATGCGATGGCTGGCGGATTCGAACGGCGGCTTCCAAAGTAGTCTGAGCCGATTCTGGGGGAGGCAGAAGTTTATGACGGAGGACAACCACCCGCCAATTGCTGCCTTCCCCCAACTTGTAGCATAAAACCACCACCTGTGACCCTGTGACCTGCCCACCAACAATTCCATCCCTCATTTCTCCTCTACCTGAATTACCAAAGTCCAGGCTTTGGAAAAATAATACTTTGCCATCGGAGAAGACGACTTCTTTGAAAAAGGAAACAAAAAGAAAAGTGAACGACAAGCATCTACGCAAAGTCTGCATCTGCATCGGAGCTCCCTCATCCCCAAAGCTCCCCGGAAATATAAAATCGGAGTCGTACGACATCTCCTTCTCAACAAGCGTTATACAATTTGCCTTCCAGGGCTCCGATACAGCAAAAGGCGATATCTATCATGGCACCAACAACTGAGCAAGATTTCTTCGGCGGGGCAATCCGCGGAGTTGTGCCGCAACGCTGGATGGACGCAAGGTGAGCGAATCCCTCTTGATATAAGGCTATAACCCGTACCCCTTCCCTCGGTCCTACTTGAATCCGTCATATATCGGAGTTCAGATCTGGAACAAGACCATACATCCCACCTTCCATCCACTAAACCCATAACCCCCGCACACAAATATAGATAATCCCCCAAAAATGCACCATTTGGAAGCTAACAAGCCAAACAGCAACCTCCGCGAAATCCCAGATCACCAGGAACTCTTCCTCTCACCAGAGACCCTCTCCAACCTGATCATCGAGATTAACCAGCGCGTCTCGCAAGAAGACGCCCTCAGCACATTCGCCACTCTCAGCCACCAAAACCCCACCTTAGCAGCAGGAAGCGGCAGCGCAGCCGGCGCCTCACAGGAAACTATTGACCAGGCCGCTGCTCTGTATCACTTGAACGATCTCTGCGACGAGGGCGATGCCCTGCAAGTGATCACCCCGCCGCAACAGGCCGACCTTCCCCGGTTAACCGCCACCGCGCCGGCTGGGTCATCTATCAGTGCCTACAAGGGTGTTGTTCAGTTTCAAAATGCACCTAAGCAGGGCAGAGGCCAAGCTCCCGCTACGAATGGGACGTCGGCTGTTGCGGGCGCAACTACGAATGGTTCCGGTGCTGCGATGACGCAGTTGACATGCCATTATCTGCTTGTTCGTCTTGCGGCGCAGGAGACGGATCTACTGGTTTTCTTCAATGTGCCTCATGAGGAGTTTGACAAGGCCGGGGATGCGCAGGGTCTGTCTAGGGAGGAGACTATTGCGGAGGAGACTGTTGCTGCGTTGGTCGGTGGCTTGGAAATTCGGGATTGGAGCCTTTTTGTTTGAATTCGGGATTTGATATTGATATTGGCGGAGCATGATATTTTCTATATTGGTGGAGAAGGGGAATACGGAGTCTACAAATGTATGGGGCATTTGGAACCGGGCTTGGTCGGACTAGATAAAGTAGATAGCTTAGTTAAAATATTAGGTAGATGAATTATATGAAAGAACTTGAATATTCAATTCAAACTAAGCTCAGTAACTCCTGATATGCATAAACCCTGAAATGCTATGCTGCTGTCCAATACATGTACACCTTCTCGGCTCTATATGTTCACACTATCTGCATCAAAATGGCGGCGAGGTTACAAGGTAAATCCCCCAAGCTCCTTGGCAACATTGTCCATAACATTTCGTTGTGTCGCCGGCGTAACAGCGTTCTTCTTCGGCGATACATTCCGAGGCTTCGGTTTGATCTGTTCCAGTCGACCGCTGCAGCTCGGACTGCCACAGCGGCTTCGATTGGGGTCGATACTTTTCGAATGGCGACCATATGTCTGGTGACATCCCACGCAGGCCCAAACATACTTGTAGTCGATCTTATAAGAATGTTTTGTTGTAACATTGATCCTTCCGCCGTAGACGGGGTGATCTCTCAAGGCTTCTTTGCATTTGAGTCCCCATTGCTTGAAGCTTGCGCCGTGGGGTTGGTCGCGGATATTGGAGATCATGTAATTGGCAAGGTGACAGTATTCGTGGGCAAGGGTATTGATCAGGCGATATTCGTCGTCGATGATGCGCTCGGCTAGCTCGATAGAGGCATGATGTTTGTAGCTGACATGGCCGTCCTTGTCGCGAATTCGCTCCCCCTCCATTGAGCCCGGCCTGCGGTCTTCTGGAGCGTCTTCGACCAAGTGATTTTTACACCGCCAGTTACCATGGCCATCTGGCAGACCTTGCCCTCCGCAACTGCATTGTCGAGCGCAGTCAGGAAAGTCTGTGCGAAGTCATCCTTTTTGTTGTTGAATGACAAACGACGAGCCTTCACAGCTCTGTTCTTCTCTGCCTGTTCCTTTTTAAGGGCTGTCTTGCTAGGGGTCTTGGGCTGCTTTTGCTTCACTGCCGGTGTGGATCTTGGCTCAACGCTGGAAGTAGAGTCACGGCCAGTGTCATCGGTTTCGGAATCATCGAAATCCTGAAGCAGCTCTATCACTGTTCGCCCTAGAGGCTTCTCTGGTGAATGCTGATCGATCCATGCGACGGTCTCCTCTTGGCTCCAAAAGGCATCGACGCTCTCCCTGTGCGGGGTTGGTGGGATGCGCGTTTTCTGGTTCGTGGGGGTGCGCAGACGGTTTCGTGATGGTGTAGATGGTGGTGTGTGGGTGTTCTTCTTCACTCTATACATGTCTTCTGGTGGGGGGGCTCATTTCGATGACAGATCTATAGAACATAATGAGTATGGATAATTGGCCAGGGGAAGCGTGATATATAATAGCTCACTGTGTCAGATCTGTCTCTAGTTGAGAGGCAGGTCCATTGTCATCATCAAGTTCAAGTGTTTTAAAATGCGTTGATAGATCAAAGTCGCCTTGAGACAGTTTCTGAGTGTTGTGTCTAGACTTTGTTGGCGATTTTGTTGTCCCCGGATCTTTTGGTTTTAGGTTGAGTTCAGATTGAGGTTCTGGATTCTTCGCAGATTCCACTTCTGCTTCGGAGTTTGGTCTTCTTCCTCTCATGAGTTTCTTCCGCGCAGACTTTGGTGGCGCGGCTGGAGTTGGGGCTTTTTCCTCCTCTGTTTCAGGGTCGGATGTCTCATGGTAGCTGATTTCATCATTGTCACTGACTACAAATTCATCCAGTGATTCAAAGCCATTGTCCCCACAGCTGTCTTCATCTTTGTTTATATGTTCTCTGTGGCTCAAAGACCTATTGAGTTCTCGATTTCTCGCGGGAGTGCGTGTTGTGTTTCGTACTATTGTTGGTGATCGATACGGAACGGGACTTCTTTCAGGTGTATATGGCTCCGTTGCGTCTCCCGTTATATCATTTTCCTTGTCGTAGTCATCTTGTTCCACTTTCACATTTGGCCTTTGGCGTGGTCTTTGCTGCAGTGGGAGCAGGAGGGAGTTGACTTGTGAAGTTTTCAACGTTCGCTTCTTCTTCTGCTTTGTTGGAGATCCTGATGGGGTATATGGACTCTGGCTCGATGTCTTATCGCCTCGTATTTGGTCGTCGTCGTCTGGGAAAATGTCGAAGGGTAAACCCGGTCCGATCTTGGAACTCCGTGAGGAACCTTTGGTGCGAGTGGCGCTATCCTTGCGCGACAGTGCTGGGGTATTTCCGTTTGCCAGGAGATCAGATCCCAGCTGTTCATTTGCCATAGCTTTGTGCGGTCGGGGGGCGCTGCGAGCGGTCGGTGCATTTGTGTTGAGACGGGCCATCTTTAGTGCTGTCGGGTGACAGGATGAGTCTGTTTATCTGGCAGGTTATCTGGCAGGTTGCCGCCCGGTCACCCTCAGATGAAAGGATATATATCGCTTTGCTGTTAGTAGAACCGAAAACCTCTCTGGGCGCTGATGCTGAAGACGAAAAGCGGTTTGGTCTGTTGTGGGCTGTCAGCGGGTCGTTGTTGACCCGGCAACCACCCAAAGCTGAACTATACCTTCAAGGTTACTCGCCAAAGCTATCACATTGGCCATGCGATTAGCATAATATCTTACTATGTAGTGAAATATGCATAACGCCTTGCAGGATAATGGATGCCATCTTCATTAATATTTAATGGAATGAGTGGGCAGCAAAATGCAATATATATTTGTGCCCAGGTGTACAATCAGATGCAAACTTACTCTAAGTTCACCATGTCCAAAAATCCTAAGCCAAATTGAATCTAGGTCACAACTTGAAGTGTAGGTACTACTAGTAATATGTAGTAAATATTGATAGAGCTAGCATTTTACTTTACCAAGTACCTGAAGCCTCAGTAGTTTGGTGGGCAAAGAAGAGACAAATCTATGCGGGGATAATCCCTGCACGAACTACTCCTGGCATCCGAAACGATGACACTCTCGGCCCATCCCCGCACAACAATTTGCAGCAGAAGTTGACCATCGGACTTGAGTTCTCATTTAGCAAGGCTTCTTTGTCTCTTGTCGTCAATCAGGAAGTTCCACCCAGTTCCTCGGCCGACTGCGGCCGATCCGGATGTCGATCTATCAGTATTATCTTGCAAAAAGATTGGACCCATCGGGGTTCCCCGCATAGACACCTGGGCACATGAAATGACAGATTTATTAGGTGGTATCCGCTTTGCGAAGGACTTTTATTCTTTATAAATAAGCAGGCCGACAAGGTCTTCTAATCCGGTCACAACACCATATATCAAAATGCGGTTGGCTCATCTCTTCATCGTGTCCGCTGCTTATCTACCTGGGGTGCTAGCAACCACCCAGCTGCCACTTGCAGACGAGAAACTCATGATTAATGGAGTCACTTTTGAAACTCGAGCTCGATGGATGCGCCTGGCCAACCAGGCATTGGGCGAGTTGAGCGGATCGCCGTGTCCCTTCGCGGCCTTTGGAACCGTGATAGTGAACCATACAGCGTCCGATGAGGGAGAGCTTATCTGCATGGGTGTTAATGAGAATGGCAAAACAGGAAATCCGTCATCTCATGGTGAGCATGTCAATCTTTTAACTTCCAGTATTATGGACGGATACCTAAAATTCAATAGGAGAGATTGCTGCAATTACTAACTGCACAAAAATTCTAACCGATCCTACTGGCAAGTTCCGCCTCACTGCAACCGAGGCAGCAGCGGCATTTACGGATCTATCCTTATATACAAATGCCGAAAGCTGTCCAATGGTAAGATATTTTCCGTTCATCTACTATATTCTCCGATCCCGTACTGACTGTCTGCTTTCAGTGTGCTTCTGCGATTCGATGGGCGGGATTTCGCGAGTATATCTATGGAACCTCCATTGCAAGACTTATTGAGAAAGGCTGGGGCCAGATTCGCATTCCATCGGTTGATGTTTTTGAGGCCTCTTTTGATCTTCCGTATCCATCTCGATTGATGGCCAATGTTCTTACTAATGAGACAGATCCCTATTTCTTGTGGCAGTACGATCCGTCATATCCTTGCCCTCGGGGATGTTCTCGAACTCAGAGCGGAAAGAGCTGTCAAGCTGCTTCGAGTTGAGATGCTTATGTTTCTCATTTATGGTTGGCTGTATATGTAGCTCAGATAATCTATTCGATGTCCTCGATCTCAGGAATATGTCTGATTACGAGATCTATCATAGGCCTGCCTCGCATCCAAGCTTTGAAGCGACCTTGGGGTTTGTCAGTCATCTCATTATGGATGCATCCCACATGTATATATAGTACGAGTCTCATGTCCATAATTGACTGTTGGGAAACCTAGTACTGCATACTGCTAATCAACACACTGAAACGAACCTCACCAGAGATGATCATACGCTGGTGCAACGATTTATACAGTTTGATCCATGGCTACTTACTAGATAGACTGAAAAAGCAGACTACACAATGCGTTTGGCCTGCACTGCATATGTCATACAGGACTGAACCAAGATCATTGGAATACAGACCAGGTACGGGATATCCGCGTCGCATCACAATCTAAAGCTGCAGCAAGTTGACAAGCCACACACGTCAAAGAAGCAGCCATGACTCAGGCCACTCCCGTGCTCTTAAAAGAAACTTTATCATGTTCCGGATAGCCCTCACATATATGTATGTACAAAGAAAATCCGAAACGAACAGGTCCGACGCGAGGATGATGCATGGCCCTGCATCAACATCACAGAATGGCCACCGAAAAGACTAGAACAGAACAGACCAGACGCCAGATCCAGTAGTCCCGACCGGACGGCCCATGCAGAGCAAAGCGCATGGACAGAAAATGAGTTCCGAATCATGTCAATCCCACCGAAAAGCTTCGCGGGCAGAGCCCCCCCTAGTCTGTGGATCGACGTTCCTCGCCACTGCCGATTACGAGACTCCCAACGACCACTCCATTCCGCTGGTATACACCACCCCACCCACGACGACGATCAATCCCTTGCCTGCCAAGGGCTGGCCAACAATAGGAGAATTGAGTGAGGCTGGTCCAGAGGCGAGACCGTAGCTGCTGGACTGGGTACTTCTTCCATGCGATAGGAATTCCCCTGGCAGGGACGTGGTTGGACCAAAACAGTGTGGATGGGAGCACAGAGAGGATTCCTAGAACGCTCTACTCATAGTTATATATGTACTAGCACCGCTAAATTGCATCGCGCCCGGGCGAACCTTAAACCTTGAAGAGGAGTTTCACAATCAGATTCGGCCACGTTACAAGTTGGTGTCGCCTGCAAGCGATTCCCGAGCCGTGCGGGAGAACACGTAGAATGCGGAACATGGGAAAATGTGAGGTGTTCCACCACCCCTTCTTTTCCATTGTACTGTACATAACTACATACAACAGGTGCTCTGTACGGAGTACTCTGTACATACATACAACCCTGTTGCTAACAGGCACCACGCTACAACCATTGGTCTAAAATCACGTTTGAAGGAACATGGTGGAGGGTGGCAGGGCGGTCCGTTCGAGCACACAGCCCCCCCTGATTACTAAAGGGGGGTCGATACAGTATGAATGTGAATGTGAAAATGTGATGGCGAGGATCGATCGGATCAGCCTGTGTATGTACGGTATGGCATACGGAGTACTCCGTAAGGTAAGGATATCAGATATCATGGTGGCAATTTCGAACGGATCCATTCCCGTTGGGCGAACCAATTGCTATGTACGGAGTACAAAAGTACGGAGTACGGAGTACAGAATACAAACTAAGTGGATGCTTAAATTCGACACCAGTGAGGCCGGAGGCATCGCACCACGATAGCTCTATCCACAATTCCAGCCACCCAGGACCAAAAGTTGGCAAGAAATCAGCCTTCCCGAAATGAACATGCTCTAGCCACATCTATGCCCGAAATGGTGAAGAAGGATCGGGGTCGATACTGTACATACGTATATGTACTTATGTATGTATGGACAAGGAGTACTCGTAGGTATTGGAAGGAAGCGGGTCAATACCATAAACTTGCAACACTAGGGCGAGTCCACTGAGTAGACGGACCGCTGACTAGACCCTTTCGAAGGCCGATGGAAGACAGGTTATTTTTGGGGTGATCGCCTGTCTCCCCAGTAGATGGTGACTTTAAAAGGAGAGTCCCCAGGGGGAGAGTGAAAGCAAGACTACTCCGTACGGAGTACAATAATCAGGAGTAAAATATGGGGACGACCGGTAGGCCGAGAACCCCAGGCTCAGTTGAGATGAGACTCGGAGTTACCAAGTGGAGGATCTGCCAGTGCCGCTCCCATATTTGTGCAGTGGATGTATCTGTTCCTGCATCTTGCAGGATCACTCCGTTCGCATGTCAGCATTGACTGGCCACAGCATGTTTTGATTTGATTATAGAGAACAGAGTACAAAGTACTAATACGTGTCCAAGTGGTGGACACCGCAAAGGCGGGTAAGTACTCTTTGCAGTATCGACGCAGTGTTTGCGCAGGCCGTTGCGTATGCAGGCACTCGCACGACCCCCGGGTGATGGACGAGGCCAGTCGAGGCTCCAAATCAGAGAATAGAAGCAATCGGGCGATCCACAGAGTGGGACAAGACGAAAAGACTCGGTCTAACGGTGGAGATCAGCTGCGACAGTACCGAATTACCATTAGTCGATTACGGGTACCTAGGTATCGGCTGTGTACAGATTACTGCATGGGTATTTTCAGGTGAGTGAGATGGTGGAGATAAGGAGGTGTCCAGTCACGGTGTAGATAGTAGAGTCAAGGGCTGGTACTGTAGTATGATATGAGGTACTTCAAACTAAAGTTCCAAGGTTCAGTTCCAAGGTTGTTGAGTTTAGTTTTGGAGCGACCGTGAGAAATATATCCCCTGGAGAGTACCTATGTACCTAGGTATGTACTAGAGACTCGGAACAAAGATATATAACCTTGAAAGTTACTGATACAGCCACATCTTCACATGTACCACTACCTAATGCACATAAAAATGTGTATGTACTACATATATATTGTCCATACTATACTATAGTACTTGGACTGTGTATGTATAATTTCAAGTCGCTCAATGTACTGTGTACTTAAACCTACCATGAGTACGGAGTACAGTACCTAGGTATTCTATTTTTAAGACGACTCTAAGCGAAATTCAGCCAGCTAGCGATTGAGTTCAAGGTGAACAGCAAGTTTTGAGGGTCTCCACTCAGAGGGCGATGAGTGGGGAGAGGCACCGGAGAACCAGTGGCCGGCAGTACAAATGTTGAGACATCGAGGCCTTGCGGTGGCAAATTAAGTTGCTAGCGTGGAAAATCCATGCCCATCCACGAAGTCCCTGACACGATGGATGAAGGTCAGACCAGGAAAAGCAAAGGGATTCGACGATCTTTGCGAGACAGTAGAATTCAAATGAAAAGAGAGGGTGGGTGGTGGTTCTGTCGCTCGGGAGCCATGGAATCCAACCAATTATGGGCCCGGGTGGATAGGAGTTTCTCCGATCAGTACGGAGTACTCGTACTCCGTAGTAGCCGTAGTCGTAGTCGAGTACGAAATGCAGAGCAGGGTGGCCAGGCTAGAGTAGACTGAGTCTGTCTGTCTCCTCTGGGTACTCCGTACTCCGTCCAATGTACATAGAAACGAGGAATGAAAAACAAGTGAAGCCTATCCCTGCATACCAGGTAACAATAACAAGGCACGAACAAATCAGAAGGTCGGAGCAGCATGGTATCTGTGCTGGAGACCATCCGGGGATGTTATTCGTTACCTGCCATGCATAGTGGAGCGGGTCTCAGGGGCCGTCGTAATTCCCTTGGATTCCGGTGCAGACCAAGATGCCGTGATTGGGTGATAGGTGATGGGTGGTGGAGAGAGATCGTGTCCAGATGTGCCATGTATGGCTGTGTATACAAGTACATACACAGTGAGGTGAGTGAGTGAAAGAGAGTTGTGTGTAATTGTGTACAGTGTGTATTAGCATCCCCCCCTGAAAGTGCAGTAGCCCGGTGGAGTCACGATGACCCCGGTGAAAGCAGTGGAACCCAGCAATAGGACAAGTATCTGGTACCTGCATGGTATACGTGTACTCGTACTGTACGGTGACCGTAAATTGGCTGGGGCCACTGTTTAATTCCATTCCCAAAATAACCACAATATTTTCCCAGTCTCCCAGTTCCAGTCCCAGTCCCTACTGGTAATTCTCAAGCCTAAGCCTTGCCATCCTCTAATCTCATCCAGCCTCTTTCTCTCCCTCCCTTTCCTCTTGCTTCTTCCAACCTCCCCCCCCCTTCCCCTCTTTCTTGACTTTCGCTATCTCCATTTTCCTTGTTTGTGTCAAGGAAAAGTCCGGAGGGAAAGCGGTTTTTTTTTGGTGTTTTCCCCATTTCACTCGCTCTTTCCATCGGTGGTTTAACTAAGTCAATTGCTGGACGACCCCGATCCCCCCATTCGTTAAATTTCCCATCGAGTTTGAGACTCGCGGAATTCCGACCACGCGCTCGACTTCTCCCTGTTCAACGCCCCCTACGGACCTCGACACCCTTTCACTCTCTCTCGTCGATGCTTCAATAATTCTTCAACACTTTCCAATAGTAATAACGTGCATGGGTCGTCGTTGAGGTGAGCCCCCTCCCTCCCTTCTCCCTCCTTCCTTTCACACACAGAAAGAGAAACACCCCTCGCCTAAGCGCATGGGCTGACCTGGTGGATTAGAGCTCGATTCAAGTTTTCAATCGCGACCGCCGCATCATGTCTGGTTACCAACAAGGCCACTATGATGATGGCTATGGCCACCCGGCGGGCCACGGGGATTCCTACTACCAGGATGAACACGCCGGCCAGGGATACTACGATCATCAAGGTTATGATGATGGCTACTATGACCAAGGGTATGAAGACCCCCGCTGATGGGATCAAAATGAGATTGAGTCTATCACAGAACACAACTGACACAGTTTCTTTTCTTTCGTTTAGTGGCCACTACGCAGCGGATGGTGGACACCCTGCCGCTCATGGGAACCAAGGCTACGCTGATGGCGGATACTATGAAGGCGGTCATCAGGATGAGTACTACGGAGATCAGTACTACGACCAAGGAGGTCAGAACCGAGGCCATCGCGGAGACTCAGAGGAGGATTCGGAAACTTTCAGCGACTTCACTATGAGGTCCGAAACCGCTCGCGCTGCCGATATGGACTACTACGGCCGAGGTGATGAGCGTTACAACAGCTATGGCTACGCCGACAGCCAGTATGGTGGTCGTAGTGGCTACGGTGGCTACCGTCCACCCTCATCCCAGGTCTCCTACGGTGGAAACCGTTCCTCTGGAGCATCTACCCCCGTGTATGGCATGGACTATGGAAACGCGTTGCCGGCTGGCCAGCGTTCGCGGGAGCCCTATCCGGCCTGGACCACCGATGCTCAGATTCCTCTTTCTAAGGAAGAGCTCGAGGACATCTTTCTCGACCTTGTCAACAAGTTCGGTTTCCAGCGTGACAGTATGCGCAACATGTACGACCATATGATGACCCTGCTCGACTCTCGGGCTTCTCGCATGACCCCCAACCAGGCTCTGCTGTCGCTCCACGCCGACTACATTGGCGGACACAACGCCAACTACCGTCGTTGGTACTTCGCGGCCCACTTGGACTTGGATGATGCGGTCGGTTTCGCCAACATGAAACTTGGCAAAGCGGACCGTAAGACCCGGAAGGCTCGCAAGGCCGCCCAGAAAGCTGCCAAGCAGAATCCCGAGAACGAGGAGGAAACTCTAGATGCTCTAGAAGGTGACAACAGTCTTGAGGCTGCAGAATACCGCTGGAAATCTCGCATGAACCGCATGTCTCAGCACGACCGTGCGCGTCAGATCGCCCTGTATCTCCTCATTTGGGGTGAGGCTAACCAGGTTCGATTCTTGCCTGAGTGCATTTGCTTCATCTTCAAGTGTGCCGATGACTACTACTCCTCACCCGAGTGCCAAAACAAAGTTGAGCCTGTTGAAGAGTTCACCTACCTAAACGATATCATCACACCCCTCTACCAATACTGCCGTGATCAAGGTTATGAGATCGTGGATGGCAAATATGTGAGACGTGAACGCGATCACAACCAAGTCATCGGTTATGATGACATGAACCAGCTGTTCTGGTACCCCGAGGGTATTGAACGCATCCATTTCGAAGACAAGACGCGTCTGGTGGATATCCCTCCTGCGGAACGTTGGCCCAAACTGAAAGATGTCCTCTGGAATAAGGCCTTCTTCAAGACCTACAAGGAGGTTCGCTCCTGGTTCCACATGGTCACCAACTTCAACCGTATCTGGGTCATTCATTTGTGCTCCTTCTGGTTTTTCACCGCTTACAACTCCCCCTCTCTTTATGTCGGTAGATACCAACAGCAGGTCGACAACAAGCCGCCTAGCTACAAGTACCTCGCTGCTGTTGGTTTTGGTGGTGCTCTCGCGGCGTTCATCCAGATCTTCGCTACCATCTGTGAATGGCTATACGTGCCTCGTCGTTGGGCTGGCGCTCAGCATCTCCGCAAGCGCTTCATGTTCCTGCTCGCGGTCTTTGTCGTCAACCTCGTCCCTGGTGTCATCATTTTCGGCTTCCTTTCGCTGTTCCTGCAAACATGCAGAAGCCGATCGGTCTGGCACTCGGCATCGTCCACTTTGTCATTGCTCTGATCACTGCCATCTTCTTTGCCATCATGCCCCTCGGCGCGATGTTCGGCAATTACATGAAGAAGCACGGCCGACAGTATGTCGCCAGTCAGACCTTCACTGCTAGTTTCCCTCGACTGCACGGCAATGATATGTGGATGTCGTTTGGTCTCTGGGTTTGTGTATTTGGCGCTAAGCTGGCCGAGTCTTATTTCTTCTTGACTTTGTCTTTTAAGGATCCCATTCGTATCTTGTCCCCGATGCATATCCGCCAGTGTACTGGTGTCGTCTGGATCGGTAACACGCTCTGCCACAAACAGCCCCAGATCCTGCTGGGCCTGATGTTCTTCATGGATCTCACTCTGTTCTTCCTCGACAGCTACCTCTGGTACATTATTTGCAACACCATCTTCTCGGTGGCCCGTTCTTTCTACCTCGGTGTGTCGATCTGGTCTCCCTGGCGAAACATCTTCTCTCGTCTTCCGAAGCGTATCTACTCTAAGGTCCTGGCTACCACCGACATGGAAATCAAGTACAAACCGAAGGTTCTGATCTCTCAGGTGTGGAACGCCATCATTATCTCGATGTATCGCGAACACCTGTTGGCCATCGACCACGTCCAGAAGCTTCTTTATCATCAGGTGCCGTCCGAGCAAGAGGGAAAGCGTACCCTGCGTGCCCCGACGTTCTTCGTTTCTCAGGAGGATCAATCCTTCAAGACCGAGTTCTTCCCTGCTGGAAGCGAGGCCGAGCGTCGTATCTCTTTCTTCGCTCAGTCTCTGTCTACTCCCATGCCCGAGCCCCTGCCTGTCGACAACATGCCTACTTTCAGTGTCCTGATTCCTCACTACAGTGAGAAGATTCTTCTCTCTCTCCGTGAGATCATCCGTGAAGATGAGCCGTACTCTCGTGTTACCCTCCTGGAATATCTGAAGCAGCTTCACCCCCACGAGTGGGATTGCTTCGTCAAGGACACCAAGATCTTGGCCGATGAAACCTCCCAAATGAACGGCGACTACTCGGAGAAGGGCGAAAAGGATGCTGCCAAGAGCAAGATTGATGACTTGCCCTTCTACTGCATTGGTTTCAAGTCTGCTGCTCCTGAGTATACCCTGCGTACCCGTATTTGGGCTTCTCTCCGTTCTCAGACCCTGTACCGTACGGTATCTGGTTTCATGAACTACAGCCGAGCTATCAAATTGCTATACCGTGTCGAGAACCCTGAAGTTGTCCAAATGTTTGGTGGTAACTCTGAGAAGCTTGAGCGCGAGCTTGAACGCATGGCTCGCCGCAAGTTCCGCATCTGTGTCTCCATGCAGCGTTATGCCAAGTTCAACAAGGATGAGCGTGAGAACACCGAGTTCCTCCTCCGTGCCTACCCCGACCTCCAGATCGCCTACCTTGATGAAGAGCCCGCTATCGCCGAAGGCGAGGAGCCTCGTCTGTACTCCGCTCTCATCGATGGCCACTGTGAACTTCTCGAAAATGGTACTCGCAAACCCAAGTTCCGTATCCAACTCTCTGGTAACCCCATTCTCGGTGACGGAAAGTCCGACAATCAGAACCATGCTATCATCTTCTACCGTGGTGAATACATCCAGTTGATTGATGCCAACCAGGACAACTACTTGGAAGAGTGCCTTAAGATTCGCAGTGTCCTCTCAGAGTTCGAGGAGCTGACCACCGACAACGTTTCCCCCTACACCCCTGGTATTCCTTCTCCTGACAGCCACCCTGTCGCCATTCTCGGTGCCCGTGAATACATTTTCTCCGAGAGCATCGGTGTTCTTGGTGATGTTGCCGCTTCCAAGGAACAAACATTCGGTACTCTGTTCGCCCGTACTCTCGCTCAAATCGGTGGTAAGCTGCATTATGGTCACCCCGATTTCCTGAACGCTACCTTCATGTGTACGCGTGGTGGTGTGTCGAAGGCGCAAAAGGGTCTTCACCTCAACGAGGATATTTACGCCGGTATGAACGCTATTCTGCGTGGTGGTCGTATCAAGCACTGCGAGTACTTCCAGTGTGGTAAGGGTCGTGATCTGGGATTCGGTTCCATTCTTAACTTTACAACCAAGATCGGTACTGGTATGGGTGAGCAGATGCTGTCTCGCGAGTACTACTACCTCGGTACCCAACTGCCTCTTGATCGCTTCCTCTCGTTCTACTATGCCCATCCTGGTTTCCACTTGAACAATATGTTCATCATGTTGTCTGTACAAATGTTCATGCTTGTTCTGATCAACCTGGGTGCTCTGAAGCACGAAACCATCACCTGCCGATACAACTCTGACCTGCCCATCACCGATCCCCTGCGTCCTACTTACTGCGCCGACCTTCAGCCAATCATCAACTGGGTCAACCGTTGCGTCATCTCAATTTTCATCGTGTTCTTCATCTCCTTCGTGCCTCTTGCCGTTCAGGAATTGACCGAACGTGGTGTCTGGCGCATGGCTACCCGTCTGGCCAAGCACTTCGGCTCCTTCTCCTTCATGTTCGAGGTCTTCGTTTGTCAGATCTACTCGAACGCTGTTCACCAGAACTTGTCCTTTGGTGGTGCCCGTTACATTGGTACCGGTCGTGGTTTCGCTACCGCCCGCATCCCATTCGGTGTTCTATACTCCCGTTTCGCCGGTCCTTCGATCTACACTGGTTCTCGTCTCCTTCTGATGTTGCTGTTCTCCACTTCGACTGTGTGGACGCCTGCCCTCATCTGGTTCTGGGTTTCACTGTTGGCCATGATCATCTCGCCCTTCCTGTTCAACCCTCACCAGTTCGCATGGAACGATTTCTTCATTGATTATCGTGACTACATCCGTTGGCTCTCGCGTGGTAACTCCCGCTCTCACGCCTCGTCCTGGATTGGCTTCTGCCGTCTGTCACGTACCCGTATCACTGGTTACAAGCGAAAGGTCCTTGGTGTTCCCTCCGAGAAGGGATCGGGCGACATTCCCAGAGCTCGTATCACGAACATTTTCTTTAGCGAGATTGTCTCTCCTCTCGTTGTTCTTGCAGCCACTCTTGTGCCATATCTCTATATCAACTCGCGCACCATGTTCAGCGACAGTGACAAGTACGCCCCGAACGCCATCGCCCGAATTGTCATCGTCGCTCTCGCACCCGTTGGCATCAATGCTGGTGTTGCTGGAGTTTTCTTCGGTATGGCGTGCTGCATGGGCCCTCTCCTCAGCATGTGCTGTAAGAAATTCGGCGCCGTTCTTGCCGCCATTGCTCATGCCATCGCGGTCATTGTTCTCCTCATCTTCTTCGTCGTGCTCTTCCTTCTGGAGGGTTTCAACTGGGCCCGAACCGTCTCTGGCCTCATTGCCATGATGGCCATCCAACGGTTCCTTTACAAGTTCATCATTTCGCTTGCCCTGACCAGAGAATTCAAGCATGACCAGTCCAATATCGCTTGGTGGACCGGTAAATGGTACAACATGGGCTGGCACTCCCTCTCCCAGCCCGGCCGTGAATTCCTCTGCAAAATTACCGAGCTGGGATACTTCGCCGCCGACTTCGTGCTCGGCCATATCATCCTGTTCTTCATGCTGCCAGTCCTCGCCATCCCATATGTGGACAAGTTCCACTCCGTCATCCTGTTCTGGCTGCGCCCTAGGTATGTTAACCCGTCCTCATGATGCCCAATTGATCTAGTGCTAACACGATCCAGTCGTCAAATCCGCCCACCCATCTACTCCCTCAAGCAGTCCAAGCTTCGGAAGAGACGTGTCATCCGTTTCGCCATTCTCTACTTCGTCATGCTGGTCATCTTTATCGTCCTTCTTGCCGCTCCCTTGATTGTCAAGAGAATGGGTTACAACAAAGATATCAGCAAGGCGCTGTGGAGTACTATCGGCCTCGCGGACTCGAGCAAGAGCCCCACCATGTTCCTTCTCCAGCCCATCGACAGCGGTCTTAACGACACCGAGACCTACTACACTGGCACCAGCTTGCCCGCTGGCAAGCTCGCCGAATCTTCAATTGCCAACCCCACTGCCTCTGGTACCTACGTTCAATACAAGTTGATCTAATGGCACACTTGCCATGTGTATGAAAATGGCCTGTACAAAGTTTCTGTCGTTTCATTTTCCATTTTGTTTCTTTTAGTCAGACTCGCTGCATTCTTTTCAATTACCGGCGTACTTGTTGATTTTAATGGTTCGTGTGGAATGACTTGTATTTGAGTGGTTTCCGCCATTGCCCAGAGGGGCCTCTAGACCTTCGTTTGCCACTCTCATAGCTTGTTTCTTTTTCCTTTTGCCCTACATTTTAACGGAATACAATATATGCATTGCTTCATTTCAATAGTCTTTTATCCCCCGACCTTTTTTCACGGTATGTTTTGTAGTCTCCAAGAGGGTCGTTCTAGTCTCAACTCTGTATACTGTAGCACCCTAACACGTGACCCCGTGCCTGTTTCAAGCCACCCGCGGTCCCCCGAACCACCATCCGCCTGCCATCATCTCGAATTCGACCGTCCCAGTGCTTTTTTGATCCCTGTTGCCGCCAAAACCATTCTCTCTCCGGTGTGCTCGCGACAAAGGGGCACCGTACGACCTCCCATAATGGACTTCCAGGAGACACACCGTCTCCTGTCGGAGTACCTGCACGAACTCGCGAACCTCTTCCACCGTGTCCCCGGCTCCGCGATCTTCCTCCGATATGTCAAGTCTAGCTACCAGGATGATCCGATCCGATCTGCGGTCGAGCTATTTCTCTTTCTCTTTGCCGTGCGGTATCTCCTCGCCCCGAAGTACTCCACCAAACCGGGTGTTGTGCCATTGACCGAAGACGAGATCGATGACCTTGTGGACGAATGGGTTCCAGAGCCCCTGGTTGGCAAACCGACAACACTGGAGGAAATGGAGGTTGATAAGCGTACCGTGATCGTTGGGTAAGACTTGCCCCAAATTGGAGTTGTTGGATGAAGTTCTTGGGCTAATCGACATTCTTTTTTTTGCCATTGAACAGACCCGTCGGGCCTAAATCTAAGCTCGCCAACGGACGAACCGTCACAAACCTCAGCTCGCTCAACTTCTACAACTTCAACACCAACGAGGCTCTTAAGGAGAAGGCCATCCAAACACTCCGGAACTACGGCGTTGGACCCTGCGGCCCTCGTGGATTCTACGGTTCTCAGGACGTGCATATGAAGACCGAGGCCGATATCTCGTCATTCTTGGGTACTGCGGCGTGTATCATGTACTCCCAGGCGTTCTCGACGATCTCCAGTGTTATTCCTGCGTTTTCCAAGCGTGGTGATATCATTGTTGCGGATAAGGGTGTTAGCTTTGCTGTTCGGAAGGGTATCCAGATCTCGCGCAGTATTGTTCGTTGGTACGAGCATAATAATATGGAGGATCTGGAGCGAGTTCTGGCCAAGGTCACTAAAGAACAGGCTCGGAAGCCATTGACTCGGAGGTTCATTATTACCGAGGGCCTTTTCGAGTCCTATGGTGATATGGTGGATTTGCCCAAGATCGTGAGTTGCACCCAAAGAGGAGGGAACCAGAACTCTCATTATTAACAACTAAAATAGATCGAGCTGCGATTGAAGTACAAGTTCCGCCTTATCCTGGATGAGACATGGTCTTTCGGCGTCCTCGGCCGCACTGGCCGTGGTATCACTGAACATCAGAATGTCGATGCTGCTGAGGTCGACATGATTGTCGGTTCGCTAGCTGGCCCTCTTGTTGGAGGTGGGGGGTTCTGTGCTGGTTCCGAGGAAATTGTGCATCACCAGCGTATCTCAGCTGCTTCATACACTTTCTCTGCTGCTCTTCCCGCTTTGCTTTCCACCACCGCCAGTGAGACTATCAACCTTCTCCAGCACAACCCCGACACTGTATCGCAGCTTCGGGACACGGCCAAGACCATGCGTGCTCAGTTGGATCCTCGTAGCGACTGGGTTTATTGCACCAGTGCTGTCGAGAACCCCGTTCTCATCTTGGTCCTCAAGCCTGATGTTGTTGCTTCGAAGAAGCTTTCTTATACCGACCAGCAATTCCTGCTGCAGGATGTCGTTGATGAAGTGAGTATTTTACGAGACGATTGTGGTAATGACTTCACTAACGTGTTCCTCTAGTGCCTCGCCAATGGCGTTCTAATCACCCGTCTCAAGACCCTGGAGGACAACTTCGAGCCGAAGCAGGTTGTGCCCGCCGGCCTGAAGGTCTGCGTTACCCTCGGTCTGACCAAGAAAGAGGTCGAGAAGGCTGGAACCACAATTCGGCACGCCATCACAAAGGTCTTGAGCAAGCGAAAGTGAAGCCCTCTTATGCTTCCGCCTCTTTGACCTATTGCTTGAATTCGACCTCGGCATCGAATCACACCTCATGCTTTGATGACCCCGGCCCCTCTGCCTACCTCCCATCCTACGTACCTAATGCCTCTTCATCCTCTGTATTGTTAAGCTGCTTGTTGATATGCATCTCTATTGCTATACTGTACAGCACTGCACCCCTCTTACCTTTTTTTTTTTCGAGGGCGGTTTATTGACGTTACCGGTGCATGGCTCTAGATTGTTTAATACTATTTTTCACACTTGGCTAACAATAGCTGCACCAAGTGCCCTTTAAACTGCTTTCCTTTCTCCTACAAAGCTGTAGATGATCATTTAAGTTGTTCATGTTCTAGCTAGTCAATCGTTACCGCCCAGTGAAGGAACAGTCTCCAACAAGACCTTGATAGAAGAGTGGTTAGATCTGGAATGCTGACAGTCTTGGATCCGTCAAGCTTTGGTCTAGAACCGTCCATCAGCATCAAGTAGAGCTGATTGGGAGCACAAGCTGGCTTTTGTTCGCTTCTGAATCAAAATGTGACCTTAACTGCCAGAAGGGAGGGGCATTCTACATCGAAACGATCTCTACTCCGCCGTAAAAGCCCTTGTCTCCTAGCGACCTTCTCGGAATGAGCCAGCATTCCACACAACTGCCCTGGCCCTAGGAACATTCCCAACTCCTCTAGCCGGAGATTTTACCCATCCAGGAACTTCAACATTAGGATCCCTTCCCCAATGGAGCTCACATCCTCCCTAGCTCTGGGCACTCCCCGCCCAGCCTTCACCAAGGGAGAACACTGTAGACCTTGACCTGGACCCCATTCCCCAGATGGCCTCATATCGAATAGTTATGCTTGGGCATATCCCTTGTTTTCATCCTGATTTGCCAGACCCTCCTAGCCGATGCTCTTTCCTTTCAAGGGCGTCATAGATATAACCCATCTGATCTGCATTGATAATTTCTTCCCTCGTGCGAAGGAGAGGACAGCAAGGCTCACCGCAGTTGCTATGATTTACTAACCTTAGATTATCTCCACGATTCGGTCGATTCCGAACTTGAGCCTCGACGACAGCAATGAAACGTCTTTCTCAGGCGCTGCTGGCGTTTGCTCTTGCTGCTGGGATTCATGCAGAGGTACATAGTGAGTAGAACCAACCCGATTATCCATCCAACTCTAGATGCTTGAGCAAGGCTAATTAAAAAGCAGACCCGAACCCATGTAATGATCTCGATGGCCTTTCTCAGACCCATACTCCGTCTGAGGTTGTTGTTTGGGTGGATGAGGATGGAGACACTATTTGGACGGAGACCAACCGACTCCCTGCAACCACCCAGTTCCAAGACAATGTTCAAGTTAGTAACATAAAGTCCCAGAAAAGAGTTAATCTGGGCTATTGCTAAGAATTTATCAAGCCTCCGGTGACGGTTTCCCATGTCCCATTACCAACTCATGAACCCGAGACGGTTCGCATCCTCTTGACCAAGACCGAGACCCATATTGAAACAGTCACACAGGAATTACCTGCTGTGACAAAAAAGGTAGAGAAGAAGTTGAATGCTCAACTCGACGAACACCTTCCTCCACATCCACCTGGTGTACCTGCGCCTGCACCACCGCCTCCTCCTCCACCACCACCGCCATCTGAACCACTATTGTTATCTCCCAATCCTCAAACGGAACCTCATGATGCGCCTCGTCATCACCATAAGCCGCATCCACAGGCTGACACTCACCTCGAGAAACGCCGTTCTGGAATTTCTTATTCCCCCTACAAGGCGGACCGGAGTTGCAAGACCCAAGACGAAGTAAACAAGGATTTAGACCGATTATCAGACTATGCATTCGTACGCATCTACGGCACAGACTGCGGCCAAACCAGTACCGTAGCAACAGCAGCCCGTCGACACAAAATGCAAGTCTTTGCCGGTATCTACGATCTAACAGACTTTCCCAACAGTCTCGACGCATTCGAAGACGCCGCAACAACACCAGACGGCAAGAAAGACTGGTCCGTATTCCACACCATCACCGTCGGCAACGAGCTCGTCAACGGCGGACGCGAGGCCCCTGGAAAGGTTGCTGGCGCAGTCACGCAAGCTCGCACAATCTTGCGAGGAAAGGGTTACAAAGGACCAGTCGTTACGGTCGACACTTTCTCCGTTCATCTCAAACACCCGGAACTATGCAAAGCATCGGATTACTGCGCAGCGAACTGCCACGCTTTCTTCGACGCTACGCAGCAACCGCACAATACAGGACCATATGTTTTGGAACAAGCACACGCTGTCTCTGATGTTGCAGGTGGGAAACGAACAATTATCACAGAGTCTGGCTGGCCACATGCGGGCAAGTCCAATGGCGCGGCTGTCCCTTCGCAGTATAATCAGCGGGTGGCGATTGAGAGTTTGCGACGCAGTTTCGCGCACAGGAAGGATGATCTTGTTTATTTCACTGCGTTCGATGACCTTTGGAAGGATGATAATCGGTATACCTTCAGTGCGGAGCGGTTTTGGGGCATTTATGATAAGTAATTGAATCGGGTCGAATTGAAGTGGAGTGAAGTAAAATGTTTGCATTTGCGGGCTTGATGGTTTCTTTGGCCTTCCTTTCTATTCTGGTGCCAGTTGGTTATTTGCTCTGTTCTTGCATGGCGGTTAGATGTTGGTGTTATAGCGAGGGCTTCTCTTTGCTAGCTGTCTTTTCTGTGCTTGGCGGCAGTCTCTGGTTTCCATATGAGCTTTACTTTACAATGAATCAACATACGTAGCATTCGAGTCTCATATCAAGACTTTTGACACCACTTCATCAGTTCTTGAAAAAGGATCAGCATAGAGCCACTACTAAGACCCTGCAGTCGGCATGTTCAGTATGCTAGAACTCGGTCCAAGTTTAGTTTGACTTCATGATACAAGTTTCTTCGCTGGAAATCATTTCTATGCAGATATGCAGTGGGGTGGTATCTATTGCGCCATTACTATACACCTTCTTCAAATGCTATACAGGAGCGATCGGAACCCTCGGAGCCTAAACCATGCCTAAAAAAGCTTTCCACGTCGAGTGGTCACCGGCCTTTTAGTCTTCTTGTAGCTTTCCAGCCAGCCCCCCTTCCCACAAAGCTCACCAAGTGCCTTCTGGTTCGGTGGCAGATCCCAGAAAGGACTGCCACCCTGGCCGCTTTCGCAAGAATCTCCACTCGACCTCGAGCTCAGTCTCAAGTGAGATTTACCCTGTTGCTCAATACTCCGTAGCAATCCGAGAGTCTCTCGCGAAGGCTGAACCCCATGTAGATCCATGTCATGCAAAAATGACATAACAGCGGGAAGATCCCGGCAACCATTCCAGTAGAAATGAACGATCTCATGGTAGAGTTCCGGGGACGCACCCAGTAGTGCGGAAGCACGGCCTTGGGCTTTAATGTTTGCGCGGAATTGGCTGATGAGCTGTGATTCGGGGAAATGTGTGTTGAGGAGGCGGAAGGTCATCAACAGCGCACGCGGATATAATGTAGTAATGACCCGGCCGGCCGGGATCATCGGTGGAATTACGACGCTGTTGTCTGATGTTGCGGTGGTCGATGTCTCTGCGGAATCGGTCTGTCCTTCCATGTAGTGAAGCATAGAGAAGATGTGTGTCTTGCAGACCTCCCAAACTGCTATGTCGCCTTTGTTTCCTTCAATTGCCTCGAATAGCGCACGCTCGATGCGATACGTTTCTTGATGAACGACAAGGGCAACTGCTTCTCTCATGGAAATTTCTCGATCCACTCCACTGCGAGGGGTGGCAGACCGAGTTCTTCACGGGTGTATATGGCTTCGTTTATGGGCTCGATCTCGTCTGATTCGATTGGTGTCTCGGATTGCTGATTGTTGGAATCGAGTACATCGGGACTTTGTATATATTTCTCGACTTTTTCTGATACCGAAGGCTTTGCAGTATTGGTTTCCGGTTGCGCGTTGAGATTCACGATTCCCCCGAATAGTTTCATCAAATCTGCTACATCATTTTGCTTTGCATTCTGCCCGGTCGTGCTCGGAGTCGCCACGTCTTTTCCAGCGGAGTTGGAATTGGAGTCGTTATTCAATTGTGTCAAGAGTTTATTGAACGCTGCTCTCTCCCGCGAAGTCACTGATTTGAATTGGTCTGGCGAAGCCGAAGCCGAAGCCGAATGCCGCGGAGCGGAAGAGCCACGCTTGCGAAGGTGGCTTCTGTGGGGTTCAGGACTGGCGTTATCTTTGGCAACAGGTTCTTCGGTGGTTATGCTGGCGTCAGTCTCGTCATTGACATCAAGGCCATCAGTCCTCGCGGAGTATGTTCGTTGGAGCAGGGGAGTACACGGTCTCTGGAATGATCGCAATACCGGTCCGAGAGTTCGGGTTTGGTAAAGAAAGGGAGTAGCGGTGTTTGCAGTTGCTGACAGAAGCAATGCCCGGGAAATATTTGTCGCCATCGCTGTTTCAGAGGCACCCCGTGCAAATTAAGGGTTTTTGGTTTCTTCATTTTGTTGGCGCAACAAAAAGTTCGAGGCCAATTAGAGTCACGTGGTCTCGCGTTATGCTCGGCGCGTTTTGCCCGCGCTGTTTGCTACGCTGCTCCGCTCTACACCTGCAATTCATTCCACCCCAGTCTGCATTATGACAAAAGAGCTGTCGGATTTCGAGAAACAACGTCTTGCGAATATCGCAGAGCGCGATGCCTTATTAAAGAATTTAAAGTTGGAGGCGCAATCTGCGGGCTTCTACGCCGGCCCCAAAACACCCGGCAGCAATGCGCCCAGACCGAAGAAGAAGGCTGCACCGAGGCGAGTGAAGGAGGAGGATGAATCACCTGGACCTCGGCGCCAATCTTCTCGTATTCGCGGAATCGCAGCCGAAAGTGAGGTTGCGAAGCGCAAAGCAGATGACGACTATGAGCTTGCGAAGGAAGCGGAGCGCGCGAAGAAGATGCGCCGGACGGACTCCTTCACGCAGAATGATATGTTTATCGCAGGCCAGAAGCTTACAGGCGACAGTCTGATTGGCGTCGATGTTGTTACAAAAGGTGTTGCTGAGCCTTACGTCCGCACCTTTGATGACGATGATATCAAGGAGACTACGGACAAGGACTTGAAGGCACTTCGGGAAGAAATGAATAGCATGTCGATCTATGAGACCTGGGACCCGCAAAGTATGATTCTATCCGTGATATTTTTGCAATAGCTCGCAAGTGATCATTGACTTACAATCCTTAAATAACAGGAATCAAAATCACGCCCGAGCGAGTCTACACCATGACCTTCCACCCTTCTGAGACCAAGCCTCTGATATTCGCCGGCGACAAGATGGGTCACCTCGGTATATTTGATGCAGCGCAAGAGAAGCCCGAGGTTAGCGACGAGGACGAGGACGACGATCCGGACCCAGTCCTCACTACTCTGAAGCCACACACTCGGACTATCTGCAGTATGATGGTCCACCCATCGAAGCCGACCCATCTGTACACTGCAAGCTATGACAGCTCAATCCGTGAGATGGATCTCGAAAAGACAACCTGTGTCGAGAAATATGCGCCTGAATCCACAAGCGACGATGAGGCTCTCTCTGGGGTGGATATGGCCGCAGATGACCCCAATACATTGTATTTTACCACCCTCAGAGGTGGCTTTGGTCGCTACGACACTCGGGCTCCTATTTCAGAGAAGACGGTTTCCGAATGGCAATTGTCTGAGAAGAAAATTGGTGGCTTTACTCTCTGTCCATCACAGCCCCATTACTTTGCGACAGCAAGTCTCGATCGAACAATGCGAGTATGGGACCTGCGCAAACTGTCGCACAAAGAACCTATTCCCGTGGCGATGCACGAGAGTCGACTCTCCGTCTCTCACGCTGCATTCAATGCCGCCGGTCAAATAGCCACTTCCTCTTATGACGACACGCTAAAACTGTACGACCTCGGAGCCAAGGGGCTCTCATCATGGAAGCAAGGCCACAGCCTGCCGGATGGCGAGTTCAAGCCCGATACTGTTGTTAGACACAACTGCCAGACTGGTCGCTGGGTTACTATGTAAGTTTTTCAGCTTTTTCTAAACTCCTCAACATCTGGAAAGCACCAAACTAATATTGAAATGATATAGCCTACGCCCTCAATGGCAACTAAACCCCCAGTCGCATATACAAAGGTTCTGTATCGGAAACATGAACCGTTTTGTTGATGTGTACAGTGGTGATGGTGACCAATTGGCTCAGCTGGGTGGTGTTGGCATCACCGCTGTCCCTGCAGTAGCTGTGTTCCATCGCAGCAAAAATTGGGTTGCCGGAGGTACCGCTAGCGGTAAGCTCTGTCTTTGGATGTAAATGTTCACCTGGCTGTTTTCTTCGCCCCGTTTTTGTGTGTTTGGATAGGGACTTCGACGTAGGTGGTTTTACATGTGGTAGCACTGGAGTTTTGCTGAAGAGGAGGATCTGCTATCATTAGTCAAGCGATATAATATTGTACATCTCTGAGCAATTTCATGTAATTTGGTACTCTTAGTCTACCGCCCAATGGTGTCTGCACTTTTTCTTGCAAGATTGGTTCATGCCCAGAACCAACCCAGGTCTTGCCTAACCAGTCTACCAGTAGAAGGTTATGCACCCAGACATACCTGCTTACTACTATACTGTGACCCTTCATTGAAATGGCCACTACCAGCTTGTGAAAACCTACTACAGGGCTACTACACATCCATCTTCGAATTCCAGCCTCGCAAGGTTCCCGTTGAAAATATCCAAGTGTTCAACGAACTTGAAGTCGAGGCTTCTGCCGTGACTTGTTGCATTCGATTGGCAGTACTTGAAGTTGTTTCAAGGTGAGAGCCCTGGAGGTATCCTTGACAATGACTATATTGATAACTGGAACGCGATGGATACGCATAGAGATGAAGTCCAAGGTGAACGAGAACAAGAAGTCCATTTCGTCTATCTGAGTAAAATATCAAGGTGTATATACAGGTTCGCTATCCAGTCCCGAGGAAATCGCAAAAGCGAATTGAGAACAACCTCAGAATACAGAACCAGAAATAATCAAGCTCCATTTAAAGACCCAGGGGCAAAAACCAATTCTTATATATAAGAACTTTTGTCTTCTTTTTTTCCTCTCGTGGCTCCCGTGGGCGCTGTCTTCCAAGAGATGAGCCGGGCCGGGCCAGAGGCGAGGAGGTATTCAGATGAGAGAGGATGTTGGTGAAACCTGAAACACAACAATAGAGAGAAGGAAGGGTATCAACACCGTGACACATGCTGCCATGACATGGAGAAGGGATAGAAGAAAGATGTAAGAAGGCGGGACGAGGAGCGGGGACAGAGAATGGGGACAGAGAATGGGGACAGAGAGAGGGCAGTGTGGATTTCATGAGCACGTAGATGGAGAGAAATGAGAGAGAAAGGGATAGAAATGAAATCATTGATCGTTGATCAGAACTCGTTTCGGAGGTCTTCGTGGGAGTGATGAGATTGATCGCGGTCCTTCGCTTTACGCCGGGACGGAGCTGGGACGAAGTCGAAGAACCGATACTTGCTGGATGTCTCCTTGGTAACGCTAGATCGGCGAGCTTTGGCATTCTCAGAATATTCCAAGGAGTAGGTGGATGAGTTCTTCGAGCTTCCAGTGCTGTCACGAGCGTCTGACCATCGGGGTATGGAGAACGGCATGCGAGTCTGGTCCCAAGTGGCCGACGATGAACTAGGTGGCGTGTCGTCTTCCTCCGGAGCATAGTCCGTTGATCGACGAGGCATGGCGGGGCGTGGTGCGAAGAAACCAATTGATCCGCGTTTGTCCTGGGGGAATGAGGTTGTGCCTCCAGCCTGCGCATCTGGGGCCGGAGTGGTTGGTTTACTGGAAGCTTCATCATAGAACGTGACGGCCCGTTCCATCGAATCCACGAGTTCCTCCCACTTAACCTCGAGGGTCCCATTTGGACGCTCCGCTTGTTCTGCTCCTTGGAGGCACTCTTTGGTGCGTTCTTGCAGACGATGGGCAAGTTCATGGAATTTGGCGAGATTGACGTCCAGTTCTTCCAACTCAGAAATCCGATCCGGTACCACTTCTAGCCACACACGGATCAAATTGGCATAGCATCGAGCGTGATCGATCAAAAACGGAAGACTCGGGAAACCTTCACGCGAAGTAGATGGCAAACGTCCCAAAATCTGGATAGGAGTCGTGTATGAGGGTGTCGGGATAGGAGCCGGTTGATCCGCGGAGATGCTGCAAATATCATCGACAAATTGCTTGAAATCAGATCGATTGCCAACCAGAAATTTGTTCATGGGCTCCATCCACGGTTCTTTGTTGCCAAATGTTGTCATGTTTGCCAGACCCTGGAGTGCCTTCGCAATGAGAGTGAGGGTGCGTTGAGCTCGAGGTCGAGGGTGATCTGCAGTGAGATTAGCTGGTCATATCTTGAAAAAAAAGGGTTAAGCTGTGTAGAGCGAGATGTTCGTACCCTTTAAAAGTCCAAAAAGCTTAGGATTCAAAATTGCTGGACAAAAGAACCGCAAAAAGAGAAAGCCAGAAACACTGCTATAGGTCACTGTACGGAGGAAATCACCGTAGCGATCCTCTGCACAGGCCCTCACATGCCGGAAGATACGCCTTAATTCAGGAGGACAGTTATTGTAGGAGCTCGCAATGGTCTTCCAGACCCCAGTAGTAAGAGAAATCAAAGATCGCCAATTGCGATCAAGATCCTCGGTGCGTGCTACACGTGACGGGTCGACTTCACATTCTGGGTCACTCTCATCAATTTCACGCAGGCGCTCTCCAATTGTCACCTCCAAATATTCTTTGCCAAGTCGACGCATGTGAAGATCGAGTGCCTTTGTCAGAAGCGAATTCCCTCGGAAAAGAAGGTTTGCTTCCACAGTTGCTGTTCTTCCCATGTCTCTGACCAGGATTTCGCGATCATGGCTCGGCTCTCGAGTATCATTGGAATGTATCCTTGTTGTATACCGCAGTCGATTGGCTGTGGATTCCTTATGGACGCCGTCGATTTCGTCTTCGACTAACGCTGAAATCCAGTCGACCGTCTTGCCGGAGACCTGGTAGATATTCAAGAGCATTTCTGATAGCTGTGTCAATTCAAATGACATCAACTGGGCCATATTGATGGTGAGGCCATTGGTGAACGAGTGAAGGAGTTCCTGCATAGGTGCGTATTCCGCAAACATCAAGACGACCGTTTCTTCCATTCGTGCTTTCATGAAGATTTCTCCGACGGCCTGATCATGATCGTCTAAGATAGGCCACCACTTTTCGGTGTCAACGCCCGGGTCCAGTTCATCAAGTCGTAAATCCACTTTACCAAAGATCGCATCGTTGGTGGCGATTTGGATGTCGTCAAGCATGTTGACAGCATTGACTTCCTGGGTGGACGAGTATGTTCCCTGTGAGACAAGAGTCCAATCTCGCTGCGTTGGATGCATTGTTTTGACCAGAATAGAGGCCTGGGAGAGCACTGGAGGCACGTCGTTGAAGGTGAAGTCTTCCCGCCAGAACGGATTGGTGGTACGGTATTTGACGGCAGTCTTGGCACGAATCTCTCCATCCAGGAGCACTTCGGTATAGTAGTCGCTAGGTTTGGGTGGAGAAGGTGCGGGAGCGGTAGAATATCCGTGGGATCGAGATTGTTTCCGACTCCGTGGGGTATCCTCTTCCTTCGCACGAAAAAGCTTGGCCTCGGTGATTCTCAAGTTGAGAATTCTCTCAATTCGGAAGAGATCTTTCGCGGGAGATTTCATGCTCTCTGCTTCTGGGGTCTTGTTTGGATCTTCCTCCTCTGCTGAAACCTTAGGGCCATAAAGCTCTGGAATTGTGAAAGCTCGCAGAAGAACGAACCAGACCTCAAACAGAACGCGGGTTTCTAAGGCGAGATAGATGGGTCGCATGGCGGAATCGATGACGGGGTGAGCTGTATATTGAGGGTAAATGGCAATGCAGAATTCATCGTCGAGTACAGAGGAATCTAGTTGTTGAATGGAACAACGTGAGAGTTGCGATAAGTGCACAAGTGCCACGGGAGAAACATCGGACTCGGTATAGAGCCTGAAGACACCATTTTCCTGCAAGGTGCAGCTGACTTTCTGCCACGAAGAAGACAGTGCCCTTGATTGTCGGTATGTTGATACACGGCGAGACGAGACAGGTCGTGCGCCAGACGCAGATGGTTTATCCCAGAGAAGCATTTTACCAACCTTGATAATGGCCGCGTCCTTTTGCGAGGCAGACTCGGAGTTTCGGCGACGCTCGGGAATTCGTCGGTCACCTATCACAACCTCCTGTGGTTTGGTCATTTTATTTTGAACGCCCTTGGGGCGAATGGGTTGCCAGCATAGTAGCGCTGCGAGCCATGAGTCGAAGGTTTCGTTGACATGGGGACGGAGCTGTATCCCGAGTCCGGATGTAAAGGTGTGAACGTTGAGGTAGGTTGTTTGTAGCTCAGAATCGTAGTGTGTCCGCACTCGGCAGCCTCGGAGATCAGGTATCAAAGTTTTTGCTAATGCCGGCTCACCCTTGGCCTGGTATATAAGACTACCGGTGGCGACATTTATCGCACAGTATCCGGATGTCCAAGCATTTGAAGCAGATGCGGTGTTCGAGGTTGTTCGAAACGACAGGATTCCATGCATACGGCCACAGGTTGTTTTCATCAGTTGTAGGATCTTCGCAGCGTCGGTATTCGACAGAGGGGATGCAAAAGCGGCTTGGGTGTGTGCTAAACCGGGAGATTTGCCGAGTCGCTGGCGAGCAGATCCGGGGTAATTCGGTGAATGGATAGATGGGAAACCAATGCTGGATGAATCGTCTGTGGTCTTCGATTCGGTGGTGGCGGGCTTAGGTTGGGATGAGCTGGCCGCGTTGACGGATCCGATGCGAGCTCGAGTTTTGAAAGTGTTGGAGGGGAGATCGCTTCGTTGCTCATCCAAGGTCGCTGTTCGTGATCGTGTGCGCTGGTTTCTCGTTTCAATCGACGTGTCTTCCTCGCGTCGTTCGACGGTACGCGATCGCATGGTGGTCCGTGGGGAGGGCGCACTGCTGGTAAGGTGCTCTGGTTCGGATAAAGGGGAATGAGATTCCGGGGTCACGGTTCGAATGCTCGCTTCTCGAAAGCTGTCTGGGTAGACCATACCGTGGCGATCTCGGGAGGATGACTTCTTGCTAGCCCGGCGTTCGACAGGGCGGCTATGCAAGGCCTGGTGCATCGAACTCCGCTTCCCGGTATTATATCCATTTGGGTTGTCAGACTCCATCCTACCCGGTCGTGAGCTCACTGTGAGCGGACAGGAGTGTGGTAGGAAGTCTCGCGCAAACGCGGAGAGGCGGACGACTCGGCGCGGCCCAGGACAACGTCAAAACGGTCAGATGTTTATAGATAGTACGCGAAGGGGCGTTTGTTCAGCTGCGCGTGAACAATTGAATATCGCTTTTGTCGAGGAAATTGCTAGAAGAAAACATGGAGACCAGACAGTGGGAAGGTGTCGTAATCGTACATTCGGTCGAGAGGGCGGGAGCGACGAAACAGAGACAAAGGAGGCGCGGGTCACCGTCGTTTGTCTGAGAGATGCAGAGCCTAACAGATACGGTGAGCGTCCAATCCTCCAATCGATCGAGCGAAACGGTATCGCTTCCGGGAGGTCAGGTCAGTTATAACCCGAGGAAGCCCGAAAAGATGAGGGAATGGGACGTGATATCATTCTTATTGGGATGTGGGAGGGAGGAAGAGAGAGAGAGAGAGAGAGAGAAGAGGAGGGGGGCAAATGAACAGGGATTGGGTCAAAAGGTAATGGATAGAAGCAAAGGCAGCGCGCGCACACATAAACACACACACACACACACACACACCTTCATCAGTCCCCTTTAAAATGGGAGGGAGGTGGTCGAACTGGTATTGGAGGGGGATCGGGGGGTCGCGGTTGAGGGGAGGGGTTGTTTGTGTGTGGGAGAGCGAGTATGAGTGCGAGTGCCCGTGAGAATATGCAGATCGCCCAAGGAAGACGGCCCGGGTAGATGGGCGAAGAAGCGATGCGCCGTTCCGAGCGATGGGCGATGACGATGGGGGGTTGAAGTTGAAGGGTGAAGAGGGGAGGGAGGGGGGGAAGTGGATAGGCGGGAGCTGAGTTGTCTACACTCTCACTTTCACTCCCTCACACTCACTCTCACTACCAGAGAACACTAACTCACTCACTCCCAGAATACTCTACTCAGATCTACACTCAGCAAGGGCCCAAGAGTACTTCCACAATACTCCATATTCTCTATTCTCTTGGAAAATCACACTGATTGACCGTATTGACCGCATTGACCGCAACTCTGCCACCATTAGGTATTCGATTTCTACTACTTCCACTTCCAGTGCTAGTCTCTCATTCGGAATGATAGACTTTGGGGGGCAAGATACATTTAAAAGTGTATCCCCTCAGCAGGCATGAACAATTGCCGTTCCTTATTACCTTGCGCAGTTTTGCATATCAAGTACTCCACACTCATGATTTGTTACTGATTCTTCATAGGTATTGATACCGAACTCAGCCAAGCAAAATGGCACCGCCTGTTCCATTTCCCCGGGAGAACCTCGTGCATTCTCGACCTTCGATATTGGCTTCCACTCAGGCACTTCGTACTTTGCCCCTTCACTAGTGCCCTTCCCGCCACAGCCAAGCTCTCCCTTACTCTCCATTTCCCTCTCACTGCTCACTGCTCACTGCTCACTGTCCTCCCGGCAGAGTTTCGGAGATTTCTAATTTTACGAATTTTTGGGGCGGCTTCATGATTCATGAGCGGACACCAACAAGCCAAGGACTTGCTCAGACGTCGATCAGAGTCTCCGTCGGGGCCTCCTAATTCGCCTCTGCGTCTGCCACTCCCCTCCTCTCCCTCCCCTCCCCTGTCGCGGATGTCCCGGATTGTCTCTGATCTCTCTCCACACGGTCTAATTTCAAAAGTACAGAGACCGTGTGCCTTTCCAGTGCAGCTCTGCCGACAGGGGTTTGGATGGGAGGTTAGGTACGGAGTACAGGGTACAAACTTCCCGGTGGAGGCGGGCTAATGGAACAATGTAATCTCTACCTATAATATGAGGGACGGGGTGGATTGCGCCGGCGTCCCAGTCAAGTCAAGGTACTCCGTAATCGATATCCGCTTGACCGTAAGTCTCTTACCGAAAAAGGCACGGTAGTGGGAATTTCCCGAGGGTGGACCCGGCGCCCTAAGGGTTGCCAAAATTCCCTTGGTACGAGTACATAGGTATTCAAGTACTCGTAGGTATCCAAGTAGGTATTCAGGAGGGATAAAGTTGTGGTAAGGAATGGGGATATAGTGTAAATGTGATATTACATTCGTTAACTCGAGTTGAGTGGCCTACGAGTAGAGGACTGAGGACGAGGACGGAGTACGGAGTACAGACGGAGTACACCTCCCCTGCGATAACAGCCCTTGCGCGATCTAGAGCCCTAAAACTCTCGGCAGGAGTTTCCAAGGTCATGAGACCTCTTATTTTCTGGAAGATACTCCACTGAAAGAAAGCGACCGAGTTCTGGACACAGCGCTCCTCCTTTATGTTGAATCCCCGCATTCGCTTGATTGGTGGCCTTGATACCTTGATACCTTGATACCTTAATGCCTTAATGCCTGAAAGATGAGGCGCCAGAGGTCGTCATAGGCCGCTGCCCGCAGGTGACGAGAGGGAGCTCTGGTGACTGCTTTCACGCGGACATGATCAGATGCGACACATCGCATCTCACACCCCGTACACAAACTTGGAACCTACTACTCTTCATATTTTCCTCCCAAACTACTCTAGATTAACTGACCAGCTCAAACAAGCTCCTTCGTGTCGAACGACAGCCGGTCTTCGTTCTCCGCATCTCCTTGTTGACGACAACCCAACTCATATTCTCGTGGCGATGACATCCGAGAACGGCTATATCAGTCCCAGTCTGATATAAGATGATGTCCTCCAATATACTCTCGCGTTTTCTTCCCCACCGGACTCCCCCTCGGTCTATCAGACGATCCAACAATACGATGCTGGCTCCGATTCATCCGACATCGAACAACGTGCGGGGATGACCCACGATCGCGAAGAGGGAATCCAAGACCCTTTCAGCGATAGGGAACTTGAGGATGCTTTAGCAGATGCAGGTGGCAGCCAAATCTCGAGCCCACGGGCAGCTTTGCTCGGTGATCGAAGGTCCCAACAAGTTACCGACTCTCACCCCTCTCCGTCCGTATCCCGCCGTCGAAAGCCATCAAGGCCACGATGGATGACACAGGTCTCGCCACAAGGATACGAACTAGATGATCGAGATGAGGACGTGCCTATGTCACTCTTGGTCGAAGGGGAGGATGACGAAGTGTTGAAGGCGCGCCTTCCTCCCCCACCTAATGAGATGCCCAGTCACTCCAGAAGTCCGAGCCCCCAACTCCCTCCTCACCAGAATCAACAATGGGAAACCAACCGTGGTCGGCAAACGCGAAATCCTGAATCTGCACATCCAATCCGACAGTGGCTCAACATGCAACCGAGTCTCGCCAATATCGATCCCAAAAAGAAAGCAATGTGGCGATGGGCGAATGTTGAAGACTTGGACAACTTCCTAAAAGACGTCTACATATATTTCCTCGGAAATGGATTCTGGTCTATTCTGCTGAGCCGCACCTTGAATCTTTTGTATGTCCCCATCTTACAATTCGTCAACCATATCTAACATGTAATAGGACATTTGCGTTCGTCGTTGGGTTTTCCACATTTCTAACCAACTGTGTGAACTATCACAAAGTCAGAGGAAGTAAGAGTTTGGATGAGATCCTGGTCCCCAGATGTACGGCAAACATGTCCGGTACAGCGACCTTCCTACTTTGGTTGTTCAGTTTCTTCTGGATTGGCAAGCTCTTCCAATATCTACTGGACATCCGGAGGCTCTGGAACATGCATGACTTCTACCTTTACCTACTTGACGTCGCTGATGCCGAAGTCCAAACTATCTCCTGGCAGGAGGTGGTCAGCCGACTGATGAGTCTGCGCGATTCAAACCCCGCCACTGCCGCCGCCGTATCAGCGAAACATCGAAGATTTCTGGGCAGTCAGTCGAAGCAGCGAATGGATGCTCATGACATCGCTAATCGTCTGATGCGCAAGGAGAATTATATGATTGCGCTGGTCAACAAAGACATTCTGGACCTGACCCTACCGATTCCGTTTCTCAGAAATCGACAACTGTTTTCTCGAACACTAGAGTGGAATCTCAATCTTTGCATAATGGACTACGTGTTTAACGAACAGGGGCAATTACGCACATTGTTTCTTAAAGATACCCACCGAAGAGCTCTCAGTGATGGACTGCGACGACGCTTCATTTTTGCCGGTATCATGAATATCATTGTCGCGCCGTTCATCGTTGTTTACTTCCTGATGCATTACTTTTTCCGTTATTTCAACGAGTTCAAGAAGAGTCCAGCGCAGATCGGATCTCGTCAGTACACTCCGCTGGCGGAGTGGAAGTTCCGCGAATTCAATGAACTTTGGCATATGTTCGAGCGCCGCACCAATATGTCATATCCATTTGCTAGCCGCTATATTGACCAGTTTCCAAAGGACAAGACTGTCCAGGTTGCTCGATTCATTGCTTTCATTTCCGGTGCTCTGGCATCGGTGCTTGCCCTCGCTTCAGTGGTGGACCCAGAACTCTTCCTTGGATTCGAAATCAGCCCCGATCGAACCGTCCTCTTTTACCTCGGTATATTTGGTACTATTTGGGCCTTTGCTCGAGGATTGGCGCCCGAGGAAACAGATGTGTTTGATCCGGAGTATGCACTGCGTGAGCTCATCGAATTCACTCACTATTCCCCCTCGGGCTGGAATGGCCGGTTGCACAGTGATGATGTGCGCCGGGAATTTGCGATTCTTTATCAAATGAAGATCGTCATCTTCCTGGAGGAAATCCTTAGCATGATCTTCACACCCTTCGTGCTGTGGTTTAGCCTACCCAAATGTAGCGACCGGCTGATAGACTTCTTCCGGGAGTTCACCATCCATGTTGACGGGATGGGATACGTTTGCTCCTTTGCTATCTTCAATTTCAAGAAGGGGGCCAACGACCTGTCTCAAAGTCGACAAGGGCTCGCTAAGCAGGACCCACGAGCCGAATATTACAATACCAAGGACAACAAGATGCTTGCTTCATACTACGGATTCTTGGAACACTATGGTCCCAATCAACAACAACCTGCAGGACGACGGCCGTTCCACCCACCACCGAATCTCCCCACACTTGGCTCGCCCTCGGCGATCGATCTTGGAACCGGTCCCGATCGATTCGATAATGCCCATCGGCCCGGGCCAGCAGGCGGTCCTTTCGGCCCACAGTCGATCGTTGGCGCCTCTAGGTTCCGCCCAATGCCTTTAGGTGATCAACGGTCGCCAGCTCCATCTATCTTACTTGACCCACACCATCAACCTTCGACTTCAGGCTTCCGCACGGGTATGCGAAATAATCCCCACCCACGCTCTCGACTGGCGCTATCACCACGCCCTGTCAATTACGATGACGAGCGCCCTTCTCAAGACCCGCGTGATTCTAGCACTCGACAGCAGGGAGTAGCGGGTGCGTCTAGTGGTGGCGTGGGCACCGGCGAGAGTAGTCTTGGGGACTCCTGGCGAATGAATCCTCCTGGAAAAGACGAGGAAGTCGATGAGGAAGAGGAGGAGGAGAATGTTGATGACATTGCCGGCGGGGCTGGAGTTCTGGGATTAATCCAGCAGTTTCAAAAGGCCAACACCGAGGGTCGCCGGACGACGGTAGGGATCTAGTAAGAAGTATGGAGTACAGGCGGGATAGATGTCCACATGCTGTGAGACTCGGAGTTTTGAGATGTCTTTCTTCTCACTCTTTTGCTCTACCCACTGGTGTTTTCTTGGTTTTGGAGTTTATTGTACCGCTAGACGATTCATGAGTATTTTTATTTAACTTTTCTCGATCAAGGTCCCCGAGTAGTATCCGTCCGTACTCTGTATTTCCTCTGGTACGGAGTACGAGTTCATATACTCGTACTCGTAGTTAATGCGATACTCGTACTCCGTACATATACTTCGTACACTAGTCCGGAGACTAATGTTCCGGGCAGGACCGGGTGAGACCCTGGGGCTGTCCAGCACGACGGTGATAGGCTATTTTGCTTGGACCCTTGCTGATCCACCCAGGGTCCGCTGGTCCCACTCTCTAGTGTTTTGTCGTTCTCGCTTCAATGTTTCAACGGAGGCAATGCCATTGACGGCGGGAGGTTTAAGCCGAACCGAAGCCTAAATGTCAGCTGGAGGATACAATCTGGCCCCATGATAGGCACTTTTTTAACCAGCCCCGAGGCCAGCCCTGGCCAGATGCTTTACCCTAGACCCAGTCAGTGGAGACCGGCGGCTCTTGGCTAGCATGCGAGGGCAATGGGCATGCACAGCCGAGAAACAGGGGAATCGTAGGCGGAGGAGCGGGCAAGACTCGGAAACAATCCACAACCAGAAGCCAAACCAAATGAAAACAAGGAATATCTTGGCTCATCTTAATATCATATCAACATATACCAAGGAGAGGCCAAGACCGAGAGTGATCCATCACATGTGGATACTAAGGAGTAACCCTGTACTCCGTACGAGTGTAGTCCCCTTCGTCTCCGTCTCCATCTCCATCTCGGTCTCGGTCTCGTGACACTATCCTTTAGCCTTCTCGTCTCCGCGATTAATTGGAGTTCCAAGGTTGGTTGTTCCGAGTTGTTGCTTTTACTTTTCTTCCCAAGAGCAACACCAACCTCAACCGCAACCTCATTCTCCCTTCCTTTCACCCTCTCTGCGCGAGGGTGCCGGCCCGCCATGCTTCGCGCCCGCCGCTACCGAGCGCATCTCGTATTCGCCGCCATCTTTCTCCTGGCTTTACTGCATTTCACTCGGTCGCGCCATTGGTCCGACTCGGTCATTCTCGAGTCTCCGGGGGATAAGCCGTCTGCGCCCGCCCATCCCAATGCTAAACTAGACGAGTCAACGCCGCCATCGAAACCTCCTGCCAACAACAATGCCTACAAATACACCCCGTTCGTGCCCCACGACAGCTCCCCCGGATCGACATCATCTACCGAGGAACTCCAGAAACCCAAGGAGCCCGCCACGCCAAACACTCATGTGAATGGAGAATCGTCTATCAAGAATAATGAGCCATTGTCCGTTCCCTCGAACAAATACGGCGCCGGCGACTCAAAACCAGACACAAACAACGATAAGCGACCATCCTCCTCATACTACACGGAGGGGTCGCAAAAGGCCCAGATTCCTCCCCCAAAGTTGGAATCGTTGTCGGACGAGGCCGCCGAAGATGATGCACGTTACAAGTCAACACTCCCCGCCGTCACAGCCGAGGATACGACGCCGCATTGGAAGAAATTCCCTGAGAAATACCCCGTTTCGCCGGCCAATCTGATCAAGCTGCCCAAGGGTCCGGCCCAATCCATCCCCAAACTGCAGGCCAAGTTCAAGGATGAGTCGACCGTCGACAAGCAGGAGCGGCTACAGCAGTTAAGTGCAGTCAAGGCGGAGTTCGTGCATGCATGGCAAGGGTACAAAACGTACGCCATGGGTGAGGATGAGCTCATGCCGCTGACCGCGCAGGCGAAGAATCCCTTCATGGGCTGGGGTGCGACATTGGTGGACTCACTTGATTCACTCTGGATTATGGATCTGAAGGATGAATTCTCAGCAGCCGTGGATGAGATCAAGAAGATTGACTTCACAACCTCCGCTTACCGAAATGATATTCCTGTCTTTGAGACCGTGATCCGGTATTTGGGCGGCTTGTTGGGTGCGTATGATATCTCTGGTCAACGCTACTCTGGCTTGCTGGAGAAGGCCGAGGAATTGGCGGAAATTCTAATCGACATCTTCGATACGCCGAACCGCATGCCTGAATTATATTATAGCTGGGGCGCGTCAGTACTCCCCGCTTTCTATCTCCATATTTTGCAGAAACTAATTTCTTCAGTAGCAACGAGAAACACCGTGGGCACGCAGCTTCAATGACCTCTGGTCTGGCCGAGATTGGATCTCTTTCAATGGAATTTACCCGCTTGGCACAACTGACCAAACAGGACAAGTACTACGATGCGATTGCCCGTATTACCAATGAGCTAGAATCTCTGCAAGATTCTACCAGCATTCCTGGCTTGTGGCCCATGCGAGTCAACGCCCGGGGTTGTGCTACGGCTGCTGGTGCCAATGTTGGCGTTGGTAGTCCCACGAAGGGGTCGCCCTCACATTCGAAGCGCTCGATGAACACTACTAGTAATCTCGAGTACCCTGGCAGCATGGAATTGAAGCGGGAGGCCGATCTTGACTTGGAGGCTGCGGAACCTGCTACCTATAACCATGGTTCGAGCAGCTCGAGCAGCGGCACAAGCTATGATGATTCTAGTAGTGCATGGGAATCTAGCAGCGCTGATACTTTGACCTCTGAAACCCAAGAAGAGGACAAATGCGAACTTGGTCTGCAGATGCCCGCGTTTGCTCGTGACAACAAGTACACGATGGGTGGCATGGCCGACTCGACCTACGAATACCTGCCCAAGCAGTTCCTCTTGTTGGGAGGTAAGAACGACCAGTACAAAAAGATGTATACCAAGGCGATGGATGCCATCCGCAAACACCTCATCTTCCGGCCCATGACCAAGGGAGCCCGTGATATTCGTTTCGCCGCGGCCACTGGACCACTGGCCCTGTTAAACAAGGAGGGCCCCTTGCCTAAAGATCTCGTCTATGAAGGCGCACATCTCACATGTTTCATCGGTGGCATGGTTGCCGTTGGTGCCAAGATCTTCGACCTCCGCAGCGACATGGAGCTCGCGTATAAGCTGACTGATGGCTGCGTGTGGGCATACGAATCGACCACAACCGGCCTCATGCCCGAGACTTCCAAGATGAAGCCTTGTGGTGGAGAGACTCCTTGTGACTGGGATGAAGCCCATTATGCTAGCCCTTCCTTGTCTGACCATGTTGACTATCGGGACTCAGAGGCAGCAGCTCAGTTCCGTAGCGGCGAGAGCACTTACGGAGAGCGCGTGAAGCTGAACTCCCAAAGTCGTCCGTCAAAACCTGCTGCTGCTGCCGCTGCCGAAGAAATTGCTGTGCCTCTTCCCATGCCAGGATCGCTGAACCCTCATGATGATGGCCTTTCCTGGAAGCGCGATCTGTCCAATCTTGGTGCAGCCGCAACATCAGATGCCCACCCTGTTGCCAAACCCACGCCTACTCACCGCGCTAGCGACGCGGATAGTGTCTTGAACAGGGACACCACAGGCGCCCCGGGTACCGCTAAGGCAAACACCCCCTCGCGAACTAGTATCTACGATCGTTTACCGCCTGGGATGGCCAGTATCGGCAGCCCTGGCTATTACCTACGGCCCGAGGCGATTGAATCCGTCTTTATCATGTACCGATTGACCGGCGACAAATATTGGCGCCAAAAGGGTTGGAAGATGTTCCAGTCAGTCGTGAAGCACACCCACACCGAGCATGGCAACGCAGCCATCAACGACATCACGTCCGAGAAACCTCTGCACAAGAATTCAATGGAGTCATTCTGGCTGGCTGAGACGCTCAAGTACTTCTACCTCCTGTTTGCCGACCCTACCGTGCTCGACCTTGATAAATACGTCCTGTAAGTGTTCTCCTTCTCCCCTAACGAGTCCTTGGACCAAAACTAATCTTTCACCAGCAATACCGAGGCACACCCCTTCTTGCGCCCGATTTCATGATGACATTTGGTTTATTTTTTGTTTGTCTTTGAAAAATGCTGTACTGCATAGTGATACCAGCGAAATGCATATACTCTTTGTTTCTTTTCCTTTATCGATTTCTAAAATGACCGGGGATGCGCAGAATTTCTTCTTTAAAGTAAGGAAAATCCTGGTAATTCATCTAAGTTGTCTATGTCAGAGATAGTAACCGAAGACTGGAGTTATAATCTGCCAGTGGGTGGTGGTGGCCTTGATCCCACCGGTCTAAGACCAACAGATGGCGAGTGGACCAGTGCCAGTGGACCAGTGATTGTTTAAGTGTCAGTAGTGGGCATTGTTGACCTTTCTTTCAGTAGATATTAGTTCTGCATAATTACTTCGCAAGATAAAATAATAAAATAAAACCCAAGGCCTAGCAAATCAAAGGCCAAACACGCCGGGCCAAGTGTACCCGCAGTGGAACTGGAATTCCCCCGCCTCCAACACATTCCGCATCTCCAACCTCCTCCCCGACATACAAAGACGGGATGAGTGCTCTGACACCGCCCCGCAGACGCAGATCGAGCTCGGTGGGAAATGGAGCCCGATGTTTCGGAGCCCGAACAGTTCTGGAATGGTAAGTGCTCGTCCTGGCATTGGTGTTGGCGACGCTTTGCTCGGGGTTGATTTCCGCCTCTGAACGATCGTCACTGACGAACGCCCGCTCCCAATTAACGCCTATCAGAACTCGAAGCAATTGTCTCCAAGCCTTGCGAAACTGAAGACCTGATCGACGACGCTCTGCGCGAGTACCTGAGTCTCACGACCCAGCACAAAGGTGACACATTGCCTCTCCCTCCCTCTCTTCCTCTATCTTCCTCTATCTTCCTGTTGCAATCCAAGTGGTGTCGAACCTACAGAGCAGCTAACTGCTAGCCTTGCTTGTACAGATGAATGCCTCCGCACCGACTTCGATATCTCCCGCTGCTCCTATAAGCTCTTCGCTTCTAGCATCTTCGCCGAACACGCTGATTACGTTCGGCGACAGATCATCTACGGCCTCTTGCAAGAAGATGATCCGAATACCCTGCACCTAATTGCGGCTTTCCTTCTTTTCGATGGCCGGCAGAATGAGGTGCCGCTACAGATGATGAACGAGGAGGGTGCATTTGCACGGCTGTTGGAGCTTATCCAGGCATTACGGAGGGATGAAATGGGTGGTGGGGCGGGCCTCCACCGATTGTGCATGGATTTGCTATACGAAATGTCCAGGATCCAGCGAGTGAAAATTGAAGATTTGGGTAGGTTACTGCATTCTTGCATTTTGATTCTGACTGGGTGAAATGCGTGGCTGACAATACGCATTGGATAGTGCTTGTGGACGATGATTTCATTCGCTGTCTGTTTGATATCATTGAAGATCTCTCATTTGATGTCACGGACCCATACCATTACCCCGTTATTCGCGTTTTGGTGAGTGTCGCCCGCTCTGTCTAGTTCCACGACCACGCTAATGTGAACAGCTGGTTCTCAACGAACAATTTATGATATCAGCGCATGATCCTGTAGATGAAGCGTCTTCCTCAAGCCGATTGACCAACAAGGTAATCAAGATCTTGTCAGTTCATGGGAGCCTATACAAGACATTTGGCGAGAATATCATCCTACTTATCAACCGCGAAGGTATGACGCATTGGCTCCGTATGTGAGACTCTCTGTTGCTAAGATACCATGAACAGCGGAAACATCGTTGCAGCTCCTCACACTCAAGCTGTTGTACCTGATATTTACGACTCCCAGCACCTATGAATACTTCTTCACTAATGATCTCCACGTCTTGGTCGATATTTTGATACGAAACCTCCTCGACTTGCCTGAGGAGGCATCTGCCTTGCGACATACCTACCTACGCGTCCTATATCCACTTCTCGCACATACGCAGCTTCAATCCCCGCCTCATTACAAACGAGATGAACTCAGAAGAGTACTAAGCATGCTCGTTCGAGGACAGGTGTCCTACGGAGATGAAACCGAACAGGAAAAGATTCTTCACTTTGATGAGGTTGATGGGACTACGTGCCGGCTTGTTGGCAGATGTGCAACTGTACCATGGCTACGTGACGTGAAACAATGTGATTCTGCACCAACTCACGAAACACCGACTCCGGTGGTCACTACTACCATCGAAACCGTCCTTGATGAGTCTGCTCAGCAAGAATCCCCTGTTGAGATAGAGCCGGTTAATGTCCCTCGTCCCATATCACGCACGAGTACTATAGCTAGTTCTCCCGATACGCAATCGCCGACGAGAATGAACTCACTGGACTCGCGTGCTTCATCCGAGGCACCAGACTCTGGACGGAGATTCAGTGCCGTTCAACGTCTGGGTATGCATGAGCCCGCAACGTCTTCATCTCTCAGTGTCCAGGCTGTAGCTTCTCAGCATGAAAAACCAGGCATCATCACCCCTAGTCGAAATAACGGCCACGCGACGAACGACCCCATTGCCGAAGCACCAACCCTCCGTCCGCCAAAGGTAAAACCGGAGCCGCCTAAAACCAGACGCTGGCGTGGGCGCCGTCTCGCAGTCGACGAAGATGATCAGCATTCACCCGGTACCAGCAGCGACTACAACACCATACCTGAAGGCGTGGAGGTCAGTCCCGTATCCGCACATACAGCCCCGACCACACCTTTACCCGCCGCCCCATCTCCTCTTATCCCAAGCGCCAGTAACAGACGCAATTCAGCCTCGAATTCCCTCGCTCCTCCCATACCTGGACATGGTCGTCGCTCAGCATCAAACCCACCTCCCGCCCTTCCCCCACCACGTCGCTCAGCCCAAACAACCCCCTCATCTAGCCATCACCGGCCCGCACCCCCACCAGCTGGGGTAGGAAAACATGGCCAAAAGCCCCTCCCCCCGAAAACAAGACGCTCGGGCAGGGGCAAGCAACATGCTCAGACCGACTCGATAGAGAGCGGAGTGAGTAACGACAGTCAGCCAAAAGAAAGCGAAGCCGAGGCTGTAGCTATGAGTTCCATTCCCTATTTGCAGACGCAGCCACAGTTACCAGAGGGGACTGATCAGTCAGATCCGTTCTCGCCGACTTCACCGACCTCTCCTACCTTGTTGGTCTCGCCGGCTGACGCGGATGGGAAGTCGAACGCGAACGGGGATCCTGCGGCACCTCTGAGTGTGGAGGAGGCGGTGCAGAATGTGTCTTTGAAGTGAGATCATTCAGTGGATTTGATTGAGTTGGTAATTGCGGGTTCTGCTTGACGAATTGCACTTAGCCTCTTTGTTATTTGTATGCATTGAGTAGCATATCGCATTGGAAATTTCACACTGGCAGTGACCAGTAAAACTTGAACTCGTGATGAATTCGTATTTATACTAGCTATTTTTCAGATGTATGCGGCAAAATTCGGGAGATAAGTGGCTTCATGATACTCTGATCAAGGCATTCGTAGACTACCAGTAGTGCACATCCCTTTTCCGGACACTGGCACACTGGTACACCCGCCGTTTACCTAAGGAAGCGCGTGTACTCTATACTTCCAGTACCGTGACTGCCCCGAAACGGCCTTGCTGACATCAGACGCCCTCCATATGTTAAAAGAGAACTACTCAAATGATCCCCCTCCAAGTCATTGAAGTATCAAGATACATCTCGTTGATCAGAGGGAATTACAAAGACAACTAAAGATGGACCCGGCTCATCTGAACTGTGCCGTGCATACTCCAGACCTCTCTGCCCCGCCTTCTCATTCTATCTCAAGATGGTCCGATACGGGAATTTTGGACCACCCAGCGTCAATCATCATTCCAGAGACAGAAGATGATATTCGAGCTGTGTTGGAATATGCCGGCAAGAATCGGTTAACTGTATTTCCAGCCGGTGGTGGCCATGGCTCGTTCGTCCCAATCACTTCGAAGACATTATACCTTGATATGAAGAAATTCGACAAGGTTCATGTTGATACAGATTCCGCGACTGTCACCGTTGGAGGCGGCGCTACCACGAAGCAACTGATCCAGGAGTGCACCAGTCACGGATTCTATACAACTTGGGCTAATAGCCAGGCAGTTGGTGTTGTTGGGAGTATACTCGGTGGAGGAAATGTAAGTCTTCCCGCAGTCCAAATCAATAGGTGATAAGAATAATCAATTCTCATGTTTTGACTAGCCTACAATGGCCGGTTTACACGGCATGATGATCGACAATGTTCTTTCAGCTCGACTGATCACCGCCGGAGGGAAAATATTGGAACTCAGCCCTTCCTCAAAAGGTGACGAGTTCGCCTTATTCCATGCCCTCTGCGGCGCAGGAAATGGACTTGGCGTTATAACCTCATTGACAATGAGGATTTACCCAATTTCTGGTCTTCAATTGTCCCATGATGGAGTTTTTATCCGCAGACTCATCTTTCCCGCCTTAATGATCGATCTCGCTGCTACAGCCTTCAGTAAACTCCAGCCTCCTCCATGTCTGGCCGCCGTGATGATATGTGCTAGAGCTCCCCCGACAGCACCCAAGCCAGGGGCACCAATGATCATTCTCACTGCGACATACTACGGTCCTGCCGAGGAAGCCGAGCGAGCTACATCGGTACTATTTGACGAAGAAGTGGTTTCAAAGGCCATCAATGCGCAGACAGAATTCACGCCGGTAGCCCAACTCAATGACGCTTCTGCTCCTTTCGACACGCACGGAGATTTCAAAAATATTCAGTCGACTTGGATGAAGACAACTAATCCAGAGGCCATCAAAAGTGCCTTTGAGAAATGGCTCGAGTACACTACCAAGCACGAGGACGCGAAACGAACCGCCCTCGTATTGAGTAGCTTTAATACCAGGAGACAAATGGAAATCGGTGCAAGCCCTGAAGGACATGCCAGGTACTTTGATCATCGTGATAGAGGCCTGGTGGCTATAATCATCACTTGGTTTGGGAGTGAAGATACTGCTTCAGCTGCGGCGGCTTTTGCAGAGGATATAAAGATGGTCTATGAGGAACACGATTCATCAAGTACACCAAGGACTATCCTCAACAATATTGGACCTACGACCCAGCTGAGCGAACTACATACCGAAGAACGGATCCGAGAATTGAAGAGACTGGGTGGTATTTGGGATCCTTTGGGGTTATTTTGGAAGCCGTGGAATAGGGACTCGGAGTGAAGTTGTACTTATCACTGGTTCATCCCGTACCTTGATGAAACTCGCAGATCTCTACTAGTTTGTAGTAGATAAATTTTGTAATGCAACATTGCAGGTATCTAGTTTGTGATTGAGGGATTTGTCTGCTCCATAGTCAATCACTATGGTCCCAGAAATCAGCATTGCTATGCTGAAACTGAGGCTATCGAAAGCCATGGGCCAGAGGGTGTCTACAGACAGTATCAACTTATTCAATGACAGACAAGTATGTTGCGTGTTGTGTAGTAGTTAGTTTCTGCGGTTTCCTGACGGGGACCTACCGAGATAGATGCTTGAGCCCTAGGTTCAGTAGGAAATAATATCTACAATAACAAAGAAAAAATCTTCAAAATCGCTACTCACAATAGAAAAAGGGTAGTAGAATACAGTTTCGAAGGAACGTGCAAACACTCAAAGAGCCCAAATGCGCTGACACAGGCCTACAACACGATACCTGAAATAAAAATACACGAATATTTCCCAAAGAAAGACGAGATATATCGACCTGGGTACCATTCCCATTCCCAAGCCACTAGATCTTCAATCCCCAGCTTCTCCCCAGACCAACAGCCGTATTACCCCAGAACGAGACACATTGACCCACACCCTCAACCTTCTCCTTCAGAACAAGTCTATCCTCAAACCTGCGGCTCACAAATGCAGCCGTTTCTGTCAAATCAGGCGTTGGGTCCCGTGTCATGACAATTTCCGCGCTGGCGTAAATAGCCGACAGTGCCATGCGCCGAGTATACCACGACCCATCAACTGAGGAGTCACCAGCCAGTGAGAGAATATCGTTCGAGAGAGCGTGGAGTTCTGTAAGGGAGATGGGGATATTCGAGAGGAGGGACATTTGAGCCAGAGCCTGTAATTGAATGAGTTAGAATTGTCCAAGAACTTTCCAGAGCAAGCTTCCACATAGCAGAGAAGTGCAGAGTTCAGTAGAAAAATAAAAGAGAAAAAGAGAATCATACATCCTGCCATTGATCCTTAATCCCAACATTCATCCGCAAGCGCTCCAAGACCAAAATCCTCGACTTCTCCTCAACCGACAAACCCGCCACATCCCGACCACTCTCCGCCGCAACACGGGTAAAAAGCGCACCCTCTTCAACCTTTGCGCGAAGAATACCGCGCCTAGAAGCCAGCCAAAAGAGGATGAGGTCGAATTCTGCGCGCGGGAGCAATTGTACCGAGACGTCGAGGAAACCAGCGTCGCGGGCGCCGAGGGTTAGGGCTTCGAGGCTGAAGCCGTGTTCTGGGATGTGGGTGAGGGCGGCGGTTAGGATTGCGGTTTGGCTGTTTGTGTATTCGTGGTCTGGGAGGCGGGGGTGGAGGGTTGAGTGGTAGGGGCGGAGGTGAGATGGTGGTTGGCGGATTGGTTGGATGCGCGGGTTTAGACGGGATGTTGATGTTGTGAGGGCGTTTGTTTGGTGCAGGCGGAGGGATTGAATGGATGTAACAGCCCTTCGGGTGACATTGGGTATGCGTAGGGTGGCCATGGTGGTGTTGTGTTGTGCAGGAAGTTGGAATTAGAGGCGGAGTTGGAGGAGCGGAGGTTAAGCTACGGATTTACGGGAGAAGGCGGTCCACTTGAATCGGGATCTGCACGTGCCGCTATCTAGGCTTAAGTACAAAAGCAGAGACATCCATTCTTTAAAGCAGATCGGGATATTTTTGACGACGTGCAACGTGCAACAAAGATGGGAATAAGGGAATCATAGGAGAAGAAATAGAAAGCGGAGAAAATGAAACGAGAATCTGAAATGGGCGCCCCAGGATCACAGATTACATGATCTGGTCCTGAGTGATGCCCGTTGGCTCCATCATCTGGTCCTGGGGAACCTGGTGGTCCATTCCACCCATCATGTCCCCGGAGTCTCCCTGGCCCTCGGGCCCCGATCGGGCATTGCGCTTGGCAAAGGTGATTCCCAGGGGACGTTGACCATAGAGGTAGCCAGTGAAAGTATCTGCGGCACCGTTAGTCAATTGGTTCTTGTACACGACTAAAGGAAACACGGCATCCTTACCAATTGCCTTCTCGGCCATCTCGTCGCTCTGGAATCGAACAACGCCAGTTCCATTGGAGCGACCATCGGGAAGATACTGGATCTCAGCATGCTCCACCTGGGCAATGGTCTTGAAGAGCTCGGTCAAGTCACCGTTCTCAGTGACCCATGGAAGCTGTTGCGGGTTAGACGTGCCTATCGTCAGTTGAGTGGACTAAACTTACGTTGCTGACGTAGATATCCGAGTTCTTGTCACCACCACCGGTGACTCCATCGGTAAACTCGTTGCCGGGAGTGGCAGGCCCAGCCTGGAAGTTGCCGCCGCCGCCGCCGCCATAGGCGGGAGCACCATTGAAACCACCACGGAACCCACCGCCAAAGCCGCCGCGGCCAGCGAAACCACCACGACCACCAAAGGCAGGGGGACCGCCAAAGCCGCCGCGAGGGCCGCCAAATCCACCGCGTCCACCGAAGCCACCACGGCCGCCGCCAAAGCCTCCACGTGGGACACCCGCGAAACGATCGGGGCGAACCTCAAGAACACGGTTGTGCCAGTCCCGGCCATTGAACATGGCAATGGCGTTCTGTGCATCGCCTTCATTGTCGAAGTGCACAACACCGGATCCCTTAAAGCGACCATGATCGTAGTGAAGGTCGACGTGGAGATCGCGACCTGGGGCGACACCCTGTGCGACTGAAAGAAAGAGGTACAAGGTCAATTTACCCAGCGCTCGTTGAATAGTGACTCGGCGCAAGCCGAATCAGTTTTGTTTGTAGACTTACTAGCGTCACGGAAAAGGTCCTTCACTTCTTGCCAGGCAGTTTCGAAAGGAAGCTACAGGAATCAGTTAATAAGCCCTGTGTCAATTTTAGTATATGGGGGATATGGGAGTAACAAACGTTCGCCACATAGACGGAATGGCGGGGAACAGGGGGTCCGCCGAAGCCACCGCCGCCGAAACCACCTCGGCCACCACCACCTCCACCGAAGTCGTTACGGGGCGGACCACCGACGAATCGAGGCTCGGCCTCACGGTCCTTGGGGAAACGTTAACCAAAGACTCTCCTGCACAAAGTATAGCCCATAACGTACCTCGCGAACGTAAACGAGACGACCCATCAGGTTCTGGTTGCTGAGAGTGTTGACAGCATTTTGTGCTTGCTCCCTCGTAGCGTATTCCACAATCCTATGACGCATTAGCTTCTGGTTCCTAGCCGGTGGTAAGATTGAATGGTAACATACCCGCATCCCTACATAATTCGGACAGCCAGGCCCAGCCCGTCAACCCAACAGTCCACGCAAGGTAACCAAACGAGAAAGCAAAAAAACCACGAAAAGAATCAGGGAGTAGAAAGGAACCAGCCGCTCTACGTATTGGCGCCCACCTTCGACATTCCATTTGGAAGTAGTAACACATCGGCAAAGAGAACTTCTCCAGCTGTTGCGCGGAAAAATAAAACCAACGGTCAGCCATGCACATCCTTTCTTCAACCATGTGCCCGATCTTTGCTCACCCTGTCTCATAAAGTCTTTGAGATGATGCCATTTCACATCATAAGAAAGATTGCCGACATAGACACGGCGGTCTTGCTGGGACGAGTCGCGCACGGATTGCATCATATTGTCTTTGTTGTGAGAGCGATTTTCAAAAGGTTTCGGCGCGTAACCACTGCGTCCACCGTAAGGCGAGCCGGACGATCCAGCAGCACCAGAAGCACTCAAAGGCGATCGCGAACGGCGGTCGTTGCGACGATAGTCGTTACGATCACCTCGGTCACCACGGTCACCACGGTCACCACGGCTGCGAGAGCGGCTGCGCGGGGAGTACGAGCGACGGCTTCGTCTGGGACTGCGGGAAGAACGACGACGGGGTGAACGAGACCTCTCACGCTGCATGATGCGGTCAGAGTCGGGGTAATCAGACATTCTGGGGGTGATGCGCGAGATAACGCGACTTTGGAATTGAGAAAGAGAAGTCGGAGATATCGGGGGGAGGGGGGGGGGGGGGGAGAAGTGATCGATGGAAGATTGGAGGTGAGGTGGGAACGGGGTTGTCTCAGCAGGAAACGGCGGGTCGGGGCGATTGGAGAGATCCAGGTCAGGTGACCTGGGTCGCCAGCTGAGACAAACAAGCTCGAGGACCCCGGGGGAAACAGGGGGGGCGCAGCTTGCTGGGGGGGGGAAAGGAAATTGGCGCACACAGATGAATTATGTGTGTTTCATTGCAAAATCAAAAATTGACTCGCAAGATTTCCCATGATTTTGAGGTGACAAACACATACTCCCAAGCAAGCTGGGCAAGGCACATGTTGGAGGTGGCTCCTCCCCCGCACTGACCATCTTGCGATAGTCGAGACCAGGCGCGGCGCCGCCCCCGAAGTCGCATCGATCGCATGTTCCCATTTGCACCCCCGAGGAATAGAAGATCGGATCAAACAGAGAATGAGGGGCATTGAAAGGAGGGTGGTAGATGCCAGTAAAGGAAAGAAAGTAGGGGAAACATACCTGGTGTGGTCGATATACGTCGGCTAGACGTGAGGGTAAAACGGGTTAGCTAGAGAAAGAGTAGAATGTAGGAATATAGAAAAAAAGGGGGAGGGGATGGTGGAGAGGAAGAAGAGGAAGCGGGAAGCGGGGGGAAAAGGAAGAAAAAGGACTCAGGAGGTTCAACTGGGGGGGGAAGGGTGAAGATGATTGGGTGGAGGACTGGAGGGCTGGAATGCTGAGGAGGTACGGAGGGTACCAGGAGTACCAAGGAGAGAGAGGAGAGCACCGTGACTGTGACTGTGACTGTCCTGGTATAACAGGAGTATGTAATACGGGAGAGCAAGAAAGGCAAGGAAGGGGAGGGGGGGAAGGGAAAGGGAATGAAAATAGGAAACCCACCCATGGTGTATGTGAGATGCTCAAGCTGAAGATGCGTGGCGGTAGTGGGAGGAAGGAGGAGAAAGTTGGAGGAAAGAGGAGAGGAGAGAGGAGAGAGGAGTTCCGCGGGTTGAAGGTGTTTGCCTTTTCGGCCTATTCTGATTGATATTCAAGAGGTTGAGCTGTCGAATTCGCCCCCACCGCCCCCTTCTGCGGGGTTGTACTATACGTAGAGAACGGAGTAAGTATGTATTGAACTAGATTGAAATACTTGGGTGGGTGGATGGGAGAGGTAGATGGAGATGGTTGCGTGGATCGACCTCTGCGTAGGAATTAGTTATAGGAGCCAGAAGGAACTATAAGAAACAACTATATCAGACCAGATGACCAAGGGAGAGCACCTATCAATGTACATATAGCCCCAAGTACTACATAGATCGAACCGTCCTTTTAGTTACCTCCCATCCCATCCATACCTGGGTCATAAATCCTCTTTGTCGCTTTGTCTACTCGAAATTACCATACTAGTACTCGCCCACTTTGCGATCAAAGGATTCTGCGGTGTCACAACGTTCTGCACATCTGACTGGTTGCCCGTATCCAATTTCTGCTTGCACCAAAATGCCACGGCCAAGCTGGGCTGACCATAGGTACCTCCTTCAACGCCCCGATAAGCTCCGCTTGGGATATTTGTGACACCGGTCTAGATGGTGCCATGGTGGATCTAGACCGACAGACACCACGACGGGATCCGCATGCCCCACGGCTCCCGGAACGATCTGATCCCACCATGTGGCATGTGGATAACCTAAAGAATCAATCAATACCTTACGTATGTGCTTATCTTGAAGTGATATTGAGAATAAATCCTGGCTGGACCGAACTCGTATTCATTGCTCACTCCACGGAGTACATAGAAATCTTCGCTTGAAACCAAAAACTAAACAACAAAATCAAAATACCAGAAATAATAACAAAAATTGGTGGTAGTCAAGAAACGAGGGCGCGGATGCTCAACACCCGGGGAATCAAAATTCAAGTCAAAGACCCAGTTGCGCCTCAAACCCAGGACAAAAAGACCCAAACGCCTCAAATTGATCTAGGTCGTATTGTAGAGGAGGGTGGGAGAGTGGTAGCTGTACAGCGGATGTGGTCGTGGTCACAGTGGGGGGGAAGAGAGATGGGGGGAGGGGGGGTCACTCCGTAGTGACGAGGACAATGTTGGAAGCAAAAAGCAACCTTTGGAAAGAACAAGAAAAAAGAAAATAGTGATAGTGAAAAATAAGAAGAAAAATGGGAGGGGTAAATGAGAGAAAATATTGGCGACGAGGTCAACAAAGATCATGCAGCCACATTGGTTGGTGGGAAGCGACCAGGAATCTTCATGTCAATGGCCAGCACGCTATCCTGCTTCGGGCGCGACAAATCAGGCCCGGTCTTCGCGGTGCCTCCAGCGCCGTTCCCAAAACCCCTGTCAGCATACCCATCCTCGAAACCGCCGAAGGGGGCCGAGTCAACGGCCATAATGCCGGCGGTCTTCGATTCGTGCGTATCATCGACTGAAGTCGCGAGGGTGTTATTTGTGTAGTCTGTGCCATTGGTGTTTGTAGGCGCCGTGGAGACACTCTCGCGACGAGCCACCTGTGCAGGAGCTGAGTGGTCACGGCGGTCTGGCGCTTCAACTACGCCAGACATGGCGACAACGGAGTTATGGTCTCCATCCGACCGAATCTCTCGATTATCTGCGTTGGCCGCCTCCGACAGCTGACTCTTCTTCTGTTGACCAACAATAGCAGTAGGTCCAATCCAATCACCGTAGTAGCTGTCGTGACGACTCATGCGAGACCGAGATGCGGGGCTTTCGTTTGTCCCCCGCTGAGACACATTGTCGGCATCGCGACCTGTATAGTATCGCGAAGGGCCCGCGGTAGTACCGTCCGGAATGGCTCCTGCTGCGGCGATCATCTCACGCCCGGTCGAGCTATCACCGCTCGATGGGGAAAGAGGCGCCTGGAGGTGCCGATCAATCTGAACGTCACTGGGGAATGCCCCACCGGGCTGGCGGGTGGCGGACATGGGCCGCTCCTGACCGTTGGCCAGAACCACCGACTCCGCTGAATACGGAGTGCGGTCGGCTTCATCATCCTCCATTACCTCGCTGTTAGTAGACATTCCACTGACGCTACGCACATGTCGTTGACGGGTCGAGGCCTTGCGAACAAAGGCATTGCGTGCTTCGCCGGTCTTGTTGCTCAGGCTCTCGATATCTTCAAACCAGGACATCATAGTCTCGTGGGATTCAGCGCGGAATACCCACGAGTGACCACGATGCATAGCACCAGTTTGACGACCCTTGAGCATAAATTTGTGGGAGCTGGAGTCCTCCTGGGAGTGTGATCCCAGCTTCTGCTCGGGCAGATATAGTGACATGACTGGGGTTTGCCACGCAACACGGTCCGCGGACTTGAACTCGTGAAGATGAGTCGGCGATAAAACATACCTGGATGCCAATTAGTTATTGAATTGTCGTGACTTTTGCAGTGTTGGGGGATCTTACCAGCCCGGGGTATAGCTCTTGAGATACTTGCTCTTGCGCTCCAGCATGCCGGCTCGCACCTCGGCCGCAGCCGGGTGATCCTTACCAGAGTAAGTGATACTCTCCACGTTTCGTAGCGGGATTCGCGGGTCGACTAGCTCATCGGTGTTGGCGACAAATGTGTTCCACTCGTGATCCTGGGGCATCGAAATCGGGCCGGCCCGCAGTTTATCCACCGTATCATACGCCTCGTCAGCCTCGCGCTTGAGAATACTGGCGTACGCGTTGTAGGCCTTTTGAATCTCGCTAACAACAATTGACTCGAGTTCACGCCCGGAGCTTTCTAGGTTCAGGAATGCCTATGGACACGGTTAGCTCGGCTAGCGATATATTGGGATGCATAGAAGACCACGAACTCGGTGAAGGTAGTTTTCTTCCTCAATCTGCCTCTCTACTTGTTTTTCGACATTGAGGCGCATGAGGAATGGGTCGCCTTTGCCGGAGGTAGCAGAGGGATCGGTGTCTACCAGTCCTAGAGATTCGTGCAGATGGCGCACGGCCTTGCGCGTGCCATCAATCTCCTTCTCGACCGTGTTCTTGAAATCTCCCGAAAGACTCTTGATCTCCTTGGTCTTTTTCTGGAGGTCGCTTCGGAGGCCCGTCAGTTGACTAATGACTTCGATTTCGACCTCGACGGCCTTATTGGCCTCGGTGTATCCCTGCCGGTGGAAATTTTGCAGAACATCAGTGGCGTCGGCGAGACCACCAGACTGTAAAAATGACGGGGGAAGCGACTGGTTGTTCATGACATGAGAGGCGGATAGGAATAACTTGGAGCGAGTTTCGTAAGATTTCTGTACTTCCTTGAAGAAGACGATCAGGTCCTTGAGGATCTTTCGCCAAGCTGCGCGATCCTAAAAGTTAGCGCCGATCATATAGTGTAGACGGGCACCGTTCCATCCGAGAAGCCATTCAAAGGATCATACCTTGAAAGCGGTTCGCAAGCACCTCGGTCGGGTTTCCCGTAGTCGGGATAGGGACCAAGAAGGCGCTATTAACATCTTCTGAGCCATCGGCATTGTATTTCTCGCGGTCGCCCAAGCCGAGGCTTTTGACGCTGCCCGCGCGCAATGATCGGCGACTTCCGTTGCGTCGCAAACTCCCCTTCTTGCTCAAGGAAGCTTTCTTGCGCAGAGTTCCCGATCGGGACGGGGTCGGCGATCGAGCGTGGGACATTTGCGACGCCGAGCGCTGTAAGGTGGAGGCGGGGCCGTCAAGCACGACCGAGCTGCGGTGACTGGCCGCGTCGAACTCCTCCCTAAAACGGGGGTTATGCGGTATCGTCTGGTCGAGAGGGCCGTAATGAAAGGCCGAACCGGTACCGGCATAGGAACTGGGTCGGGAGGAAGAACGAAGGTTGCCATAGCCGCGACTCAAAATGCCGGGGTCGCTGGGTTGCGGGATCGAGTATGCGTCCTGCACGGGCGTCTGTGGCCGCGCGGCCATCGCCATGGTGATAGAAGCGGAAGCGGAGAGAGGTTAAAGGTTAAGGAACGTGGTTGTGTGGAGATGATAGGAGAGAAATGGCGAGAGAGGAGAAGGGTTTCCAAGTTCACCAAAAAAGGAAAAAGAAAAAAAAAGAGAAAGAGAAAGAAAATCAAGTCGATCGGGCGTCAGGATAAGGAGTAGTACTAGAACGGCCTAGGATGGGATGGCGCGGTTTTTGGTTACCAGGCGAACGGAGGGTCGGTCTGGCCGGATTTGCGGGGGTTAAATTCGGTGTCGAACAGGGTTGAAGAAGCAAATGATGATCAATTCGCAATACTCCACACTGTAGACTATCGATAAACCGCGTGAAATTGGAAGAGGGGGGGTGGGATAAGATGAAGAGAATACTAAATCTTATCCTACAGGAACTTGAACTCCTTTGGCCTTGGACTTGGCCTAGGAGGGGGGCCCTGCAGATATGTAATAATAATAATGAAAATGATGGATGACGTCTACGAGGGGAAGGGGGGGGGGCAAAAGATTGGGATCTGGGGGGTAAGAGAGAAAGAGAGAAAGAGAGAGTGATGACGCCTAAAACCCGTTGTACCCTCACCACACTTCACACTCACCCCGGGAGTGCCGGCTCGAATGAGGGGGAAGATGAAGTTAAATCTTTGGTGATTCTGAATGTGGTTGACGTACTGCACTCTCCCCGGAATTGAGCGCCGGCGAGATGTGATCTTGGTTGAGGTTGACTAGATTCTCATACGATCCCTTTTTGGACGTCTCCTTTTTCCTCCGAATCCCCTCTCCTTTTTCAAGCCCCTTTTGTAGACCCGACTATCTGGCTGCCTGCTCCAGGGCGTGGCTGACGACAGTGGCTCCGCCCCCCCATCCAAAACCTACTTACATATTTAGTTCCCTAAATGAGTTCGGCCCTGGCACTAGCACTCGGGAAATGAGCATGATCCACGCGATCTGTGGCTCAGCAAAAGAAAAAAGGCACCCCTGATCGCTGATGAAGAGATGACGTCGGGATCGGATCGATATGTATCGAAACTCATGCAAATCTGTACGGAAGATTATCCTGCCCCTCTTTTTACCCCCCCTTACAGGGCACAGAACGTGGATACCCGTCCCCCGAGGCTTCCGAAGAAGCATGGAAACCTTGGAAGAACGTCTGAGGATGCTCTAATGCCGTGGGGTTTGCCCGCTTTGAGCCATCCTAGAGGCTCGTGGGATATGGAACTGCTCTCCGATAAAGCTCGGCCAGTGTCGGTCCCTTCCTCATCGTGGACCAGTTCCATGGCGACCATTTTTGGATTTCGAGTCGAAATGTGATATCGGTGGAAAGGAGATCCTCATTCGGGGACCCGTGATGTTGTTGAGTTGCATTTCAGTGGCCGGAATCAGCCAAGTTTTAGCCATCCTGGTCCTTGGCAATGACATGATCGAACGACCGAGGTATCCCCAGCTGGTATTGATTGTGGCGGCAAAGACGTAGTACAGTGCCGATTTCTCCGTAGGGCTGAATCATCGTGGGACCAGCAGCACGAGTGTACATACTGTAGTGTGATCATTGGGACTGATGAGTTGTAGAAGTGATGTTGGATATAGCCACCCCGTCATTGGCCGCCGGGAAAGAACCCCTCCGCACTCCACCGGTGCCAACTGCCACTCTACAGTAGATCAGTCTAAAGAAGACCAGCTCATCCAATTGATCGATGCGCATCCAATCAAGCCAACTGCCCGTTGCAGATTTATATCCTCCTCATCTCCACGCTATAGAATGGTCCTGAATCGATCATTTTACGCCGGAACTCGCTGCCGCGCCAGTCTCTCAATCTACGTTACAATAACTGAATATCAATTCAAACAGAAGAAAACTTGATCGGATTGGACGTGTCCGGCATGCTAGAGAACATGATGAAGAGGGGGATAATTTACACAACGCAATTCGGAAAGACAGTGACAAAATCACGACATCAAGGGGAAAGGGGGAATATTTTATGATGCAGGAACCGGGGATGTGGGAACCTCGATGCCATACGCCTCCTTGATCCGCTCCCGGCGGCGCTCCTCGTAGTTAGGGCCGGTAATGCCTAGAAAGCCATGATGTTAGCCGATTCGTTCAGTCTGGGGTAGGCCTGAGAACGCCTGCATAGATGGGGAAATTGACGTACCACGTCCCTCGCCGAGTTCCGCGAAAGTCTGCTCCGCGGGGGTCTGGTAAGCCTTGCGCAGCTTCTGGCGGCGCTCGAATTCATCCTCCTCCTTGTTCTTCGAGTATCCGAAAAATCCCTCGGTGTAATCGAAGGCGGCCATGGCAGTGGCAGTGGCAGCACCGTAGCCGAGAACGGCGGGGAAAGTGCGGGCTGAGAAAGACCGAAGTTAGCATAATCATTCGCGTTGAAAGACAGCTCGATTTCTCGAATCATGAAATAAAACTCACCTCGCAGGCCCAGCAGAGCACCAGCAGAGAAGCCAGCCACCGCGGTGTTCCAAGGGTCATCCTTCTCGCGCAAATTGGCCGAGGCGGCCCTCACGAAGGCGTATGTGCCACCCATTCCACCTAGAAACATTGGAGAATCAGTACGGAGGTCGAAAACAGCCATTTATTGTTCGATATATCTCATACCGAGCATGGTAATGGTGCCTCCAAATCGAGTAACCACGGCGAGAGGGCTCATGTTCTGCTTGTGGATGGTGACCTGGGCAGCGGCTCCAATAAAGCCAATACCACCAGTGATGGTCAATGCCCTGATTGCGGTCGAGATCGCATCCTTCGGGTGATAGCTATCATCCTCAGCGTGGTGCGCCATGGTGTCGGTTGGGGTGGGAGGGATGGGCTGCGGGAGAGACGGGATCGTAAAATGGCGCTCGAAGTTCCCAAGTTGAGTGGCAGGTTTGCGGCGCTGACCGCCTACTCCACCGCCATCGAAGCTTGGGGCGTTCACAACACACTCAGCAACATCAAAGAACCAGGAACACGTTTGACTATTATATCTCTGACAATCTGTCTTCTGGAATCTACACTGGAGAGATCCAAGTTCTCTAAGTACCACTTCACACTGTCCCCAGGCTCCCATTGCAGCTTCTGCCGAGCATCCTCGACAGCTTGGCGCCCACTGATGCCCAGTGCGGTGGGCTCCCCGCTGTCTCTCCACCAGCAAGTTCCCATTCCATCACTGGTGCGCGCCGTGGATGCGCAGCTTCTTTGAAGATTCTTATGGGGCATTTGATTTTCAGAGTCCACGGTCTTGCATAAATCTGAGCAAAAGACGTTTGCATCGGCTTACGCCGGGATCATACAACTGCCTACATCATGACATACCCACAGAGGGCAGGTAAGTAGGAAGCATAATCTGACACCCAATACAATGATGGATAAATATTACAAATGCTAACATGTCGATTTTACCTCCATACAGGTAAACTGGCCCCCCGGCTCGCTGAGGACATCCAGTTATACGATCCAGAGCACCCTCCCAACACCGGTCTCAACTTACTCTCAGAGACTCCTCCCGTCTATTCCGACAAAACAGACAAACGCTACGAATTTATCTCGCCTGATGCATGCAAGCATAACTATGTGACCAAATCGAACCAAACTTTCCTGGCGCAGACGGACCAGCAACGCCGACCCGGGACGTCCTCCAAGGTCTCCGCCATGTGCTCCAAATGTCGCTGTCATTTGCAGCTGGTCGTCAACCACAACAATACAGGAAGCTCATTCACACGATCTCAGAAAGGAGACCATATCCATCACTTGGTCTATAAATCTGGGAGACAGAGAGGTAGCACGTCGGTGGAGGAGATGACCACCAGCGGGCAAGTGGCCGAAACATACCACTTTCAATGCTCCCACCTCTCGTGCTCCGCTATGGTGTCACTCCGAATAATGTCACCATTATTGAACACAAATTTTGTTCAAACGCTGACAGATGTCGATGCGGTTCGCAAACGAGCAGACGAGGCGATCGCAGCGAACCCGGATCGCCTAGAAGGAATGACTGGTCCTTTGCCAATAACCGTGTTAGATAATCTTCGCATCTATCTCAACAACTCCCTGCATAACAAAGAGCTTAACAAGGACATATCTGCTATTAACAAGCGGTTCATTCTTGCGTTTGGCCTAAAGGGCGCCCCCTGCAGGGAAGTGTTGGAGTTTTTGGGCTTTACCTATCTCGTATGGTTTTGTCTTGTGGTCCCAAAAAATGCTCATATACTAAGATCGTATCTAGGAAAATGGCGCATGGCAGCCTCCAAAGCCGGAGCCGGGATTGACGAAGCCTTACCAAGACGCCCTCTCCATCTTCCTTGACGACGCTATCCATGAACTGCAAGCCCTGATACATAATAGACCGAACTCGGAGAAACGAGCTGTGCAAATTCAACTTCCCCCGACATCCTCAAACGACATCCTCCATGCTTTAGAGGCAGCAGACTGTTTGTATACTCTTTGAGAAGTCGAGAAGCCAAGAGCTGACTGATAAACTAGACCCGAAATCTCTACATGCAAGCACTTTCGATATGCCACCTGCCCCGTTCGTTATCCCCATAGAATCATACATGCGAGCAAAACTGACAAGTTCTTTTAAAGGTTTTACGAAGACCTCGGGGCTGTCGAAGATATGGATGCTTCGTTGATCGTGGAAGCCTACAATCGTCAGATCTCTGTGGATCCATCCCGATCATCACTGTATTTGGGATCGCTCAAGGCTATTGGCACTTTACGGCGTGGCCAGGACTGGGAGATCATCGACCATGCAGCCCAGGTGGCCTATGCGGAAGGCAAATACACAAACGACGACGTAATCGAAGCATACAAATATTTTGGGCTCTGGCATGATGATCCAAACATCACGGAAGACACTATCATAGGAAAGTTCTACGCCTTTCTGAGCTCGACTTCTCATGAAACCGAAGCACGACAGCAGCTGTGGCGGATCGGGAATAGCAGAGGCAGCGAACGCATCAAAGCTGCTTCGGAGGATCGTAAGTCTCATGGGTTCTAATGGTTATCGGTTATCACAAGATTAATGACCATAATGCGCAGGCGTGTCCACTGTCGAGCAAGCCCAGGTTTTCCTTGGAGTTGATGACAAAACCCCCGATGATTTCATCATCACAATGTACACGGCGAAGGTATGAAACTCTAACATTGGACTATATTGCGAGGAAACTAACAGTAGTTTGTTTTCTGCAGGTCAATGACAACCCGTCATGTAAGGATACGGCCGATCGGGCTGTCAAGCTCATTGCGGAATCTCGCAAATCAATCGGGTTGAACCATTTTCTTAATACCGGCGAAACAGTGTCAGGTGAAATGGGCATTGGAGATGCGTACCGTTTACTCCAAATTCCAGACAGAACCGCAGATGAAGAGGCAGTCATGGCGGCTTATACAATTTGCATCGATGATAGTCCCGACCAGGCCGAACTCTACAATCGTGCATTGAGTGTAATCGCCAAAGAGATGGATAGCCAATTACTCAAAGGCATGGCTGGTATCTCCTCTGATGTCAGTCAGAACCTGGCAGAATGGCCCGTTGGCTTACAGAATATCGGCAACACCTGCTACCTCAACAGCCTCCTCCAGTTTTATTTCTCTGTTCGCCCCTTCCGAGACATGGTCCTTGATATTGAAAGGCACCAAATGGATCTGAACGACATCCCAGGGCTGGCAAACAAGAAGGTTGGCTCGCGCAAGGTGACTGGAAAAGAAGTCCAACGATCGCTCACATGTAGGTTCATCATGGCAATTTCTAGCAGTCTCGACATAAAGCTAATCAAAGTCATAGTTCTCGGAGAACTTCGAACATTGTTTCAGAATATGATCACCTCATCACAGTCTTGCGTAGCTCCTACTCGAGAACTTGCTAGGTTGACACTTATCAGCCCTGGAAACGAGGAAGCAATTCGTCGAAGGTCGACAATATCCAAACCCCAGGCATTGGGGGAAATTGGTGGGGCACCTATTTTAGGGCCCCTTGGGCCTCCTCAGCCCATTGTCGAGATGAAAAGCGAGCATCTCGTGAGCTCAGGTGCTGACCAGCAAATGCCTACCAAGGGTGGAAGTGATGCGGACAGTGAAGCGACGTTGGTATCCGAGAGCAATAACCCTGCACCACCTGCGCATTCTGCCGTCGAAGAGAATGAGCAAACCAATTCTGAAAATGCACTTTCTGAAGCTGAAGGTTATGTGAAGATCGAGGCGGGTGACCCTGCTTCGTCTACGCCTGAACATCCCAGCCGACCACCACCCGTTCCCCCAAGGCCTGTGGTCGAAGTCGATCGTCAGAAACAATTGCTGGAAGAGGTAGAAATCGGTGCGCAGCAGGATGTCACGGAAGTGATCAACAATGTTCTCTTCCAAAGCCAGTGCGCCATCAGACCGCTAAGTGTGGCCAGTGACGGGGAGCAGGTGGACCAAATTAAAGAGTGAGTTTCTCCAATCACCGCATCCCGCAAGTTTTAATACCAATAAATTTCAGTTTGTTCTACGGCGAAAGTCGATCCTACATTTCTACCCAAGCTGGTACCCGATCCAAAGAGGAAAGATGGTGCGATATCAAGGTTGATGTGGCGCATGGTTCACGGGATATCTACTCTGCCCTCGATGGCGCTTTTGATGCCCAGAAGATCAGCGTTGAGAACTCCGTAGCCGAACAATTTGGCTCGATCACCCGGCTTCCTCCCATTCTTCAAATCCAAGTTCAACGCGTCCAGTTCGATCCAGTCAAAAAGAGCTCTTTCAAATCGACAAATCATCTTGGGCTTCTGGAAACCATTTACATGGATCGATACATGGATACCCAGAAGCCAGAGATTGTGAACAAACGCCGTCAAGGCTGGGAACTTAAGAAAGCTCTCAAGACGTGTGAGGAACGCAAGCTAGAGCTTATGAGGAAACAGGTATAGCCCCATAAATCACTAGTATATGCCGGTCATGGACAAGCTAACCTATGACCAGGAGACTGATGGCCAAGATTTGGCGCAGCTGCTTCGAGGCACTAGAGATGTGCTTCGAGATCTGCCGTGGGAGGAAGAAGGAAATGTTGACGCCAATGAGTCACTTAGCAATGAGGTTGACCAGCTCGCGGAGGCCGCGGAGGCCGAGCTTCAAAGTGAGCATAGCTGTTGACACCCCCTTTTATTCTCACATGCTAATCTTTCCTCAGGCCTCGACACGGAGATTGAGACCATACAGACCCAAATCTCGAATCAATTTGCCGAATACAGATACCTACCTTACCGGTTATACGCAGTGTTTGTGCACCGTGGGTCTGTTTCTTTCGGACATTACTGGATCTATATCTACGGTTTCAACCGTGACATCTGGCGCAAGTATAACGACGAGTACGTGACCGAGGTCCAGAACCTGGATGAGATATTCAAGAACAACGACCCTGCAAACCCGCCCACCCCGTACTTCCTTGTCTATATAAACGACAAAATGAGAGATCGTTTGGTCGATCCAGTTTGCCGTGACCTCGCTGAGCCGATGCCCGACGTGCAGAATAGTGACTCCAATCTCGCGGGCGCTGTTCAACCCACGGAAGCCCCTCCTCAAGACGACGTGCCTATGGACCAGTCGACTGATTAGGAATCGTCGACGCGCTTCATCGATATGACTGGATACGTTGTCAGTGACTATTATGATCATCAGGGCCGCCGTCGACGCGATGTGGATCAATATTGGTAGATACAACACCCCCAAGGTCTATCCAATGGGGACGGGCCCGAGTACATTTTGGAGTGCTCGAGTCACTTTCAAGTTTTAAAGCATGCGGAAGATGATTGCATAACTACCATACCTCTATTTCTTTATGACCGAACGACGTCCAATCTTTATGTCAAGCATTAAAGTCAAGAACACATGTATGCCTGTGTACATAACGAAAGATACTATGAACGAAGAACTTTTAGATTATGCTAGTTTCTCAGATTTTGTAAACACCAGCAGGCCAAAAAGCAAACGACTCGAGCTTTGATCAGTTTCCTCGCCATCGAACACGGTGCGCGAGCCGCTGTCTCTAATCATGATCAAGTAACTATTCAATAGTCGAGCGCCAAAGAAAGAGTAGCATTAAGATTTTAGAGAATGAATTGTTAAAATTTTTCAATTGAAGCAATGTCTGAGTACATGTCAATTTAAAAACTAAGAGCAACATCGCTAGCAATTTTGAAAAAGAAAGAAAATCCAAAGAAATGTCAGAGTCAACGTGGTACAAAAATAAATACCAAGACTAGCCTCCGTAGACGGGCTATGCTTCCATCACAGTCTTACTGCCTCAGGTCTGTTCCTTTTGGGTAGTGCGCTTGTCCACTTGACTTTGCCGGCGCTCCGATTCTCGTTAGAACGAGCCCTTTTATTCGAAGGTTGGAGCGAGCCTGTATTAGGCCGCTTATTTTGACCGGGTCTCACTGCCAAAGCAGTCTTCGGGGCGGTATTTGGAGTCATCTCTTCAGGTGCGTCATCGTTCTCGGTCAGATTGCCCTCGTGGGTCTGAGAAGGAGGAGTATTTCCACGCTCTGCACTGTTTGCAGTTTGTTCATCAGTTGGAAGAGGGTCAGGCGAGCCATTATTCGTGCCATTGTCTCGGGTTTCCTCTTCAGTTGCATCGAGATCTGCATCATCTCCAGTTTGTTCGTTGGTTGGGAGAGGTTCTTTCGAGTGGGAATTTGGATTCACCTCTTCGTCGTCACATTCTTCTTCGCAGCTCTGCTCAGTGGAGGCTCCATTGGTATTTGTGGACCCTTCCCCGTGGGACGGCTCGGAAGACTCTTCGGTCGTGGAGGCTATGAAAGCTTTCAGTTCTTTGAGATCTTCTTTAACTTCCTTAAACTCCAGGAACATGCTCTCAACAAGTGCAGTCAGATCCCCTTGGCCGCCTTGGACGGTTTCAATGGCGATGGAGGGAGGAATGCCATCATCAAATGCCCTGAGGTTTCCCTGGTATGCGAGCATAATTCTCCAAAGCGGGACATACTTATCTAGAAGTTCATCCGATAGGAACAGGTTGCCCATGTCGTCCGCTTCCAGAGCAGTCCAGATGTAGGCCGGTTTGATGCATCCACTGTAACGGCCACTGATGTAGAAGACTGCGTTGTGCGTCCTCTTCACCCAGTGAATGTTGTCGAACAGTATGTCCCTGATGTTGACCGGGCTCAGTGTCGTTGGCTGATCCTGTTTAGGATGAAGCTGTGCAGGTTGTGCCTGTCCGTACTTATTGCATCTTCCAGTATGAGGAATGACTTGCAATGACCGTAGCATTCGATTTTCTTTGTCCAAAATTCTCCCTTCCCCATCGATAATCTTTGGAACGGGGCCAGCATATGGTAGCTGGTACATCTTCTGCTGGTTAGACTTGACGGCGAATTTCAATTTCTGCAAGGCCCCATCATCACTCAATGTTTTAAGATGCTCTTTCACAGCGTCTGGATTTGATCTTTTCTTGAGAAGTCCTTCTAAAAGGGATTGCTTGGTGGCATCACCAGCATAATGGTATGCCATATCCCTAACAAATACCAGGTACGAAAGCTCGGGCTCCTGAAAATTTCCAGAAAGCTGGTCACAATACTCATCAATTTGGAAGATCTCTCGTCCAGAAAACATATCTTGACCAGCTCGAAAATTTTCCATGATCTTTCTCAACCATGCTCCCGCTCGGGGAAACGATTGATCATCTGATTGGGCCATGTTGAGTGTACTTTCGAAAATTATTCTCGAAAATACAAGATACAGTGGAAGTGCTAACAGGGGATGGAAGTTGATGGTAGGGGATAATGATGGAGAAATACTTGTTGGTGAAGAAAGTTCAGATACTGGACGTGAATGGTGAAAAGAAGAAGATGATGATGAAGGAAACTTAAAAGAGAAGGGCTTCTATAGGGGTTTCCTTGACAATTTGTAATAGTTCCAGTGCATTCCGGCACATTTGACCAAGCAAGGTGTAGCAAATAAAATAGAGAAAATTCCCCCGAAAAGCTTTACATGCTAGAAATTCAAGTTTGTTACTTGGGTCAAAGTCTTTTGATAATTTTACGCATAATGATTTCTCTTGACGACTCAGAAATGCGCAGGTGTCCATATCATTATTATTATGTACGTCCGAGTCATAGTCGAGACACTCTGTTTCTGCCAGTGCGTGCCACTTTGTGCGTCTTTCAATTTCTGCGACAACTAGTATCTGTAAAAAGGGCGATGTCCCAAACAAAATATATCCAGTGTGTGGAGGGTCCCAATTCCATGAGAAATAGCTTTGAAGTTTCTAAATTTAAGGCCATGCATGATCAGAGGTAGCCTTGAAGGTTGATATCTACCAGATCCGATACCGTGGGACATACTATATGGGACCCATGGCTGTGGGATCCATAGTATACTCCAGATCACCTGACTGCACATCCCCCAGATCGGAAGGGGCTACCCGCCACCCGCCTCTCGGATGTCCGTCGGTTGTTACTTCGGCTGTTTTCGGCGTATACTCTTTATGCCAATGAAAATATCTAATCATATTCGAAATTATTGTTTGAATTGTACCAAAAAGAGTACATCAGTAATGTTAATGATTTATTGCCCATATTCCTGAAGCTTCCTTCTATAGGAATAACTGTAGGCTGCGGGCGACGTGTGGGGAGATGCGGGGAGCGTCGGGAGTGACTGGTATATCCGGGATTGTTCCGCCGGTCGAGTGCCGCCGCGGATGTATAAGACTGGCACACTGCCGACTCCTCTCGAATCCTGCTGCTCCTTGTCTTTTCTGCTCGCACAGCATTTACTCCCTTTCATTACCTTGCCAATCAAGTTGATTCATCATGCCTTCACAGGTGGCCACATGTCTGCGCTTCGCGCGGCAGTTTTCCGCGGATCCTGCTAAGGTAGCATTGACAAGCTCTCCGCATATCTGATTCTGCTTGATACTGACACGGCATTACTATATAGCACCAGCGTTTCCTCGCGCGTACCTTTTCTAGCAGTGTTCAGCGCGCTGCCATCAACAAGGTGTTCTCGTCCGCCGAAGATGCTACCAAGGACATCAAGTCAAACTCCACACTTCTGGCCGGTGGATTCGGTCTATGCGGTGTTCCCGATACCCTCATCAACGCGGTTCGGGCCAACTCATCAATCTCCGGTCTGACCGTCGTCAGCAACAACGCGGGTGTGGACGGCTCTGGACTGGGCCTGCTCCTCCAGTCCAAGCAGATCAAGAAAATGATTGCTAGCTACGTGGGCGAGAACAAGACCTTTGAGAGCATGTATCTGACTGGAGAGATTGAATTGGAGCTCACCCCTCAGGGTACATTGGCTGAGCGTTGCCGTTCTGGCGGTGCTGGTGTACCTGCATTTTACACCCCTGCGGCGTTTGGCACCGTTGTGCAAACCGGCGACTTGCCCTTGCGACACAACAGTGACGGAACTGTCGCCCTTTACAGCCAACCTCGTGATACCAAGGTCTTTGATGGCAAGAGCTATGTCATGGAAGAGGCCATTAAGGGAGACTACGCCTTCGTGAAGGCTTGGAAGGCCGACAAGCTTGGTAACTGCCAGTTCCGCTATGCGGGTGCCAACTTCAACGGCGCAATGGGTCGCAACGCTAAGATGACCATTGTTGAGGCTGAGCACATCGTGGAGCCTGGTGAGATCGAGCCTGCTTCTATCCACCTGCCCGGTATCTACGTCAAGCGTGTGATTCAGAGCACCACCGAGAAGAAGATTGAGAAGTACACTTTCGCCAAGGAAGAGGGCGCCGATACCTCTGCGCTGGGTAAGGGTGACACTGCCAACAAGCGTGAGCGTATTGTTCGTCGCGCTGCAAAGGAGTTCAAGAACGGGATGTATGCAAACTTGGGCATCGGTATGCCCATGCTGGCCCCTAACTTCGTCGACCCTTCTGTCGAGGTCACTCTCCAGTCCGAGAACGGTATTCTCGGCCTCGGTCCCTACCCCAAGAAGGGCGAGGAGGATCCCGATCTGATCAACGCCGGCAAGGAGACTGTTACTCTGAACCCAGGTGCTTCCTGCTTCGGCAGTGATGAATCATTCGGCATGATTCGTTCCGGCCGTATCGATTTGACCATCCTGGGTGCTATGCAGGTCAGCGCTAAGGGTGACCTTGCGAACTGTATGTGATCTGATAAACTGATTTTTTTTACTGTCATTGATACTAACTGCGTTCTGTAGGGATGCTTCCCGGAAAGATTAAAGGCTTCGGTGGTGCTATGGACCTTGTTTCTAACCCCTCCGCCACTAAGGTCGTTGTCACCATGGAACACACTGATAAGAAGGGCAACCCCAAGATTGTCAAGCAGTGCGAGTTCCCTCTCACTGGCCCCGCCTGCGTTAGCCGTATTATCACCGATCTTTGTGTCTTCGACGTTGACTTTACCAACGGCCTTACCTTGATCGAGATCGCTGATGGTGTGACCGTTGAGGAAGTCAAGGCCAAGACCGAGGCTCCCTTCAATGTTGCTGATGACCTGAAGCCTATGCTGTAAAAGGTATGGGGTGAATTTTGAATTCGCGGGAGCGTGCATTGGGAACACCGGACATTGTACATAGGAAATAGTTCTCATTTGCGGAGTTTATGAATAAGGCAAATCAACCTCAAAGATTTTTAATTGATTATAATGCATCGTCATTAAGATTTCCAGGCCTTTGATAGCCACCAATGGATAGTATTCGTACACTCAAATGGTGATGCAGCGGATTCAAGCGCAAACATAAATAATAATAGTACATGCCATGCAATCACATATAACCCCGCGGTGTCCCAGCAAAAAATCGACACCCTAAAATGACCAAAGCAAATCCCATTTATACACAGAGAGAAGAGAGATGGGGCAGTTTTTGTTTGTATAAATCGAGGAAGAAAAAAAAAAGTCGGATCATGACAACCGGAGGATGCCACCCAGTCTCTTCTTTAAACGGCCAAACCAGTCGCGATTTGGCGCTTCGTCGAATTCACGAATAAGGTTATCGTAGTGGTCTGGGTCGCTCGCCGGATACCGGACCTTTTGCGACAAAGGGTAGCGACGCGCAAAGCGATCACTCAAAAGGGAGGTCAGCGCATTGACTGAGGCTTCTGACAGCTCGCCAGTAGGCTTGGGCGCGGAAGTTGCTTGTGACTGAGGAGAGCCCTCGGTGCGCTTTTGGGCTAGGTGTGATTGGAGGTATGTTTGGACGGAGACAGAAGCTGGACGGACCGCATCGGAGGGCCAATGCTTGAGGAGATGGGAGATGCGGGTTTGGAGGGAGCGAGGAGTGACAGACTGTGGAGATTAGCATGGAAGAATTCAATTCTTTGAGGCCAAAGATTATACGCACGGGCTTCGCCATGGTGACGTTGATGGTAGTACTTCAAGTACTGAGTGGTGGTGACGGGGAGATTCTTCCAAAGTGGTTGCGGTTGCAGTTGTGGTTTGGCAATGAAGGAAGTGAAGGAATGGCGCACCTGCCTGAGGCCACCCGCCACTGACACTCCGACTCCCCGACTCCCCTGTTGCCTTCTTCCCCGTTCTTCCCACCTCCCCCATCTTCCTCGTGATATCTTTCTCTTCTCGTTTGTCCTTCTATTTGCCCTAAGTTGTGTTTTCTTTTGTTTATACTGTTTCCCTCTCCGTCGCCCCCGCTCAGCTCGCCATGAGCTCGCAGCGCTATCAACGGGTTCGTATTCCTTCCCCTCCGCTGATCCGCTTGCCCCAGCCGGGCGCCTCGCTCGGAACATGACTCTTGTCCATCTAACATCCTCTAGGTGAATCCCCGTGATGAAGAAGATGACTCCGAGTCTTATCAGTTGAATCCTCAACGATCCGATCACAATCCGACTTCTCCGCCTCCATCATTCCGTTCCGGTTCTAGATCATCTTCGCCGTCATCGAGGCGTCTACTGCACGGCGATCCCCAACGAAATGACGACGACCAAACCCTGGCTGATGCCTTTGGAAGCGAGAATGAATCCGACAGCGATGAAGAACCCGATGACCGGCAACGTTTGATGCGTGCCAACCACGACCCTCAATCACCCGTGGATAATGGCCGGGCTGCTGCGACGGCGGCGTCGTCATCGGGTCCCGGGAACGACGGTCAGGATAATCCTCGAGCCTCGGCGCTTGCCCGCCGACCTACAATACTCCCAACATTTACGCCATCGTCCGGAGGAAGCCGTTCTGTCGCTATATCGAATGATGGAGTCTTCGCTAACCTTGCCGCCAAGCCGGAACGGGGCGAGAAGAATGAGGATTTGCCTCCCGTAAGTTGAAATTTATACGTATTGGAGCGCTTTCTTTTACTAATGCATCAACCAATTATTCAGTCTTACGAAGAAGCAGCCGCCGATGCGACACCCCCATACTGGGAGACCACGATCGTGGCACCCGGCCTCTCGTCCGATGAAGTCTATGTGGATGGTCTACCCGTTGGATCCATCTTCTCGTTCGTATGGAATGCGATGATTTCGATGTCTTTCCAGCTTGTCGGTTTCCTCTTGACTTATCTCCTCCACACCACTCACGCCGCAAAGAACGGCAGCCGAGCCGGCCTCGGTCTTACTCTTGTTCAATACGGATTCTATATGAAGGGAGGTAGCGATTCCTCCGGATCAGATGGAGGAGGCGGCGAGCAATACGTTCCACCACAGGATCCTAATAGCCATAATTTCGATCCCAACTCAGCTGGCGACACGTCTGGAGGAGGTGGCGGTGGTGCGATATCCGCCATTTCCACCAGCGAATGGATTTCGTATGTCCTCATGATTGTCGGATGGTTCATTTTGATTCGCGCAGTTAGCGATTTCTTGCGAGCACGGCGCCACGAGCAGCTAGTTTTGCAGAGTCCTGACCGTGGTCTTGGTGTGCCCGTCATCGCTGAGGGCGAACGGTCCGAGACCGTTGTCTAATGTCATTGGGTTCTTGGAAATGAACGGCGTTTTTGAAAGGTTCTGGAGTATTCTTTCTTTTCTTTTTTTCCTTGCTATCATATCGACACCCCCCCCCATCTTGCAGAGACTCTCTCCTTTTTGTCTTTTCTGCCTTGGCCTCTCATTCTGCATTTTTCTTTCCCTTTTTTTCCTTGTTCCACGGTTTTGTAACTATTCTGGAGATACCATGTGTTGAATACGTCACACAGCCTCTTATATTTTTTTTATATATATTTTTGGCCATATTCTCTTTCATGTTCAAGTTTGTGTAGGCTTTTCTATCTTCTATTCGTAGTCGATCGTATTCGAAGGGGAACCCAACGCTGCGCAAGCTGGCCGCGCACTGCGCCACCTTCGGAGCCCAGGATAGGCAACCTTCAATTTGTCGCGCTTCCCTTGCGTCCCAACTCACGACAAGGGCCAACGTGTTACAAACAAAGTTTGTCAGGCTTCTAAAATACCGAGCATTTCCCCATTGACTACTAGTACTCCCTAGTATATACCTTAACGACCCGCCCACTAGGTTACCGACGGACCCGCTGTTTGTCATCCCCCCTCCTCCGCTCCGTTGTCCGCAACGAACAACGAACCAACGCGCCACTCCCCAGGACACTGATACTTCAATTTTCCCAGGCCGGCGCACTGCGACCGTGCCCGTCATGTCGACCGCTGCTCCAATTCAAGGGCCTGTGGAGGCGCGCTCGCTATCGTCAATCACCACCATCGCATCAAATCCCCCCGCCTATCCGCGCAATCCCACCCACGAGAAGCTCGACCCGTTACAACTGTATATCGTGAGGGTCCCTGGTAGTCAAGGTAGGTGTCTCTATACAATCATCGATTTTGCAAAATTACACCTGCATCCCATTGTGCGCCCGGTCGACGCACCCGGTCGAGATCTGAAGAAGCTATGCTGACTGGTGCCTGCGTGCGCTTATGACAGATATATTTCTATCCCCCGTTAAACCGCCGACGAAATCGAGTGTATCCGCAGAGGCAATCAACGCGTCCCTCTACTATGTCCATGTCGCAACCCCCGAAGACGATGCCTTGTTAGAAGAGGTGGAGCAAGAGCGCGAGGAAGAAGCCCAACGAAAGAGGGAGGCATTGGACGCTGCGGCTGAGGAGGATCCCTCGCAACGCGACTTTGTTCGAATGAACAATGTTCGACGGAAGCCAGTTGGAGGACAAGAATCTGCACAAGAGCCTCCTGCGCTGCCTCCAAAAGTACCATTGGAGCATGAGCCTCCGCAGCAAGATGCGCCTCCGCCGCTTCCCCAGAGACCGGTTCCTATGCCTGCGGTCTCGGCAGAGAATATGTCATTCGCAGGTACACCAGTAGCCATTGCGCAGTCATTTTTTGAGGGTGGGACAGGAACAGCCTTGGAACCAGCAGACAAGCCAGCACTCCCACGACGACCTCTTCCTCCGCTACCTCCCAGTGAAGAGCCGTTTGGTTCACGCCCCGAAGAGCCAACCAGGAAAACAAATCGGTGGAGCAATTTCGCAGATGGCTTGCATGGGAAGGGTTTCGATGCGTGGAAGGAGAAGTACGATTCGTTCTCGGCGGGTGGACGTCATAGCCTCGATTCCAACAGACCCCAATTACCGTCGCGTTCATCAGGAGAACGGCCCTGGTCATCACATAGCCCAGGACAATCCCCGACTCGCCAACGCAAGCAAAACCGAGCCCCTCCAAGTAACGCAGGCTTCACTATTACTCTTATCCGGCGTGATCCCACTTCGGGTACGCAGTGGAATGTCGCAACCATTTCAACGCCGCGCGCGGACTCCAGTGCGATCGATATCGAGATATCTACACCAGGATATAATCGATTCAATGGGTCGCAGGAACCTTTCTCGTTGGCTAGTCTAGGCGCCAATCTTCCGTCAAGCCTTCCGCCAGAGTTAATACGTGCCGCGGGGGCTTCAATGTCACAATCGTTACCGAAAGATCAGCCCACTGAACAGCCGGCTGGACCGCGCAAGTTCCATCGACAAGTTTGCGTCTCGAGGCAATTCGACGATCCTGCTGGGGGAGGAAATGGCTCATCGGAGTTCGGTACGGGACATGGACATGGACATGACTCCTCTTCGAAATTGAAAAGCGGCTACTACGTTTTCAACTCCCCGTGGAATGGCACTTGTACATTCTCTAGCAGTGTCAATGGCCGCAGCTTGAAATGCAAGCATATGATTTCTGGCCCAGCAACCATTCCAGCCCCAGGCGAAGGTGATCCAAATCCGGCAGTGACTGTGGCTGAGCTTCGCTTCAACACGCCTTTCCAAGCGGCGAATATTCGATACCAGGCAAATCAAGCACATCACCATCACCATAATCAATCCCCCACCTCTCACATATCTTCCCACCCTCAGAACCCTACCGATTTTATGCCGCAAGACCCCGAAGCAACATCCAAGCGTGCCTCTCTCTCCCAACTTCTCAACCCAAACAATTACTCCCGACAACGTGCCTATTCAGGCCCCAATTCCGCGTCTCCCACCGACAGCCAAAGAGCAAACTTCAATCCCTCTGGCCTCATCCGCAAGACTTCCCTCCGGGCATCGCGCTTTGCCCGCCAGAACCAATTCGGCCACTCTCGACGCCGCAGTACGAGTACTAGCAGTGGTGGCGCAGACTCGGATGAAGACCGAATGGATCTATCTCTGGCCCGTGAATTGGCGGGGGGTGGTCTGCGGGGAAAGAGCGCTAAACTGGGCAAGTTAGTTATTGAGGATGAAGGATTCAAAATGTTGGATCTAGTGGTTGCGGCCTCCATGGCAGTCTGGTGGCGCGGTTACTACCATTGATTTTCCTCGCCTGTTTTGATGCCCCTCTTTATCATACCTTTGTCAGGACATATTTCCCTTTGGTCGGCATATGAGCGATATTCATATTCATTAGGATCTACATAGCGAGCGTTTTTTATTATCAGAAAATACAAACATTGAAGTTGACTAATTCTCCTACAGTACAGTAGGAAGGGTCATTGTGAGACCCACATCACCCGGGCTGTTCGCCGTTGAAATCTAACCAAGCTCCCAATCGCCCGAATATTCAATTTAAAGAATGCATATAATTCTATCCTATTTGGCATTCTTCCCTTCAAAAGCAGTCAAACACTCCATTCGTTCATAAACCGAGGCTGCCAGTTGATATCCATAAGTAAATTAGGTTTGCGGGAACCCACTTGGCTTGCCTCAGGACGGGCCCTTCACGTGCCGAACCGGATCATCCTTATCAGCAACTTGAACTTGAATACTCAATTGTACCTCTTACAACTCCTACTCTCGGAATACCAGCATGGACAACCCAATAGCTGAAAATGTCCTAGGCACTCTCGGCGCAGTGTGCTGGTCCATCCAGGTAAGTCGTTTCCAGCCAACTTTTGAACCGCAGCTAACACTGTCCAAGCTTCTACCCCAAATCGTCATAAATTACAAAAGACACAACACAGAAGGCCTACAAGGCTCAATGATGCTGCTATGGGCGGTTGCCGGTGTCCCCCTTGGCGTCTACAATATCGTGGAAGAATTCAATGTGGCGCTCCGCATACAGCCGCAGATACTTACAACGCTGAGTCTACTGACTTGGGCTCAGTGTTTGTATTATGGAAAGGTAATCCTCGATCACCAATCACTATCCTGCTCACATTTATAACCGGGGATACTAATTATATATCAGGGGTTCTCAATCAAAAAATGCATTGCTGCGGTCGTCCCGCTTCTGCTTTTCTTAGGCGGCGTTGAAACAGGACTGATCTTTGCATTGAAAAAGGCTAAATCTCGTGGTCTGGAATGGCCACTCATATTGATGGCTGTTTTAAGTGCAGCTTTACTCGCGGCTGGAGTCCTACGGCATTATTGGGACATTTATGTTCACCGGACTGTGCGAGGAATCAGTTTCTTCTTTGTTGGAATCGATGCTGCGGGTGATCTATTCTCTCTTGTTTCTGTCGGTGAGTTATTTCAAATACGGGCCCATTCATTCTTGTCCTGGGAAGTAGCTAACAACTGGATGTAGTGTTTGGCCCGGCTCTAGATGCACTTGGTATGATTATCTACGGAACAGAGCTGGTCCTCTGGTTGGGGATTTTCGTTTGCGGCGGGGTTTTCAATTTCCTGCCTTGGCTCCGGGATCACTCTAGGAAGTCTGAGGTTCCACCGGAACCGGTGACATTGCACCCGATGCCTTCGTCTACTTCTGTATTTCGAACTGTATCTGGGACTGTGGTGGAACGGAGGGGGCGACCACGGTCGGCTGAAGCTGAGAACTGACTTGAAGTTAAGGGCCTACTAGTAGTAGAATATATAGACTTGGTGGTACTAGACATGCAGAATCCCTTTTTCTACCCGTGGACTCATTTGTGCAATTACGCATTGACTGTTCTTATATCAACTCGATTTTTGGGAGGATCTGCCTAATCTATCTATTCAATCCCAAAGCACACTCAGAGATCAGTCGAGTCCAAGACCTCGATCGATGTACAAAATTGCATAGAGCAGGCCAACAAACGATCCAAGAACGTAACAAGAGGCACGCATCGACGAGAAAAAAAAAACAAATCCGGTGCGTGCGGGGCCAAAAGAAAAAGAAAGAAAAAATGCAGAAATAATGCAGATCGCCCGGCCTTTCTTCTCTTGAGGTATCTCTTTGCTAACTCGTTATATCAATGCAGGGGGAAGCCGAGTGCGATTCACCAGTTCAAATGAGCCAGAATCATAACCAAGGATTGCCCCAAAATAAAGACAAAATGGTCACAGATCAAATAGATCAACGGTGGTGAACATCCATGCCGCGCTGCAGCGAGGATTCCAGGTCATTCAATTGCCCGCCGCCAGCGGCCGCCTCCTGAGGCTTGGGCTCCTCGGTCTTCCAGCCACCTTGCTGGTTGTCGGGGATTGGGACATTGGTTTGCTGGGTCATCTGTTGTTGCTGGGCCGCGTGATCCTGGGATTGTTGACGGACTGTTGCACGGAAGCGGACGACCTCGTCGAGGATCATGTTGCGCATCTCCGGGACGTCGTCGACAACCTCGAAGTGGAAGTCAAAGGTGGACGGGCAGCTAGGCTCGTCCGAGGCATCGTGCCAGATGTGCAGGTAAGGGTGCTCGAGTGCCTCCTCAACAGAGATACGAGAGGAGGGGTCGAAGGCCAGCATGCGGTCCAGCAGGTCCAGAGCATCGGGGTTGGCATTGGGGAAAAGACGGTTGAAGGGAACCTTGGGCATGAAGGGAAGATTGCGCACATATTCCTGTGCGCGGGGAGATCCAATGCGGGACAGGGTCTCTTCGTTGGGGGTACCCAGATAGTGCAGGATCTGGTTCAGCTGGTCGACATAGTCACGACCCTTGAAGAAGGGACGGCCGCCCAGTAGCTCGGCCAAAATACAACCGACAGACCAAACGTCAACTAGATAGAGTTAGCTATTACGGGTCTGCTTTCTCCACTCATCACGCTAGGCATATACTTACTGGCCTTGGTATAGCTCTGGAAACTCAACATGATTTCCGGAGCACGGTACCATCTTGTCGCGACATACTCGGTCATATATCCGGCATTCTCCTCCGGGTCAATCGAAAAGCCACGGGCCAGACCGAAGTCACAAATCTTGAGCTCGCAATCGGCGTTGACGAGCAAGTTTCCTGGCTTCAGATCACGGTGCAAAACGTTGGCGGAATGAATGTACTTGAGACCACAAAGGATTTGGTAGATGAAGGACTGGAAATGCGCGTCGGTCAAAGGCTGTCCGGAGCGGATGATGGCAGCCAAGTCACACTCCATCAGTTCTGCAAGAATTGTCAAAGATTATTCCCCGCTTTCAAGCCATGCAGAATCGCATCTGGGACATACCCTCATAAAGATATGTTTCATTGAAGTTATCCGGTCGGGGAATGTCCATATCGTACAGGCATGTAATCTGAGGGTAGAGTCGGGGTCAGCGGGGTGAACCACGAGCGGTCGCGAGGAAAGGGAGAGGGAGAGGAAGCACATTGCGGTGACCCCGGAAATGCTGGAGCAGCTTGATCTCTCTCAGGGCGCGCTTGGCGAGGATCTTCTTGCTGAAGACGTTGGTGACCTTCTTGACGGCGACGCCTTCGCCAGTCTGGGAGTTGGTTGCGGCGCTAAAGACAAACAGAGAGACAAAGATTAGCCGCGGGCACTCGAGAGAGCGCAACGGGGAAGAGGTTTACCAGACGATGCCGTAGGCTCCTTGGCCCAGCTCCTTGGTAACAGTGTAGTTTTCATTGACGATGAAGTCTTGGTTGAAGACCTTGAAGACCTTGCGACCTTGAAGCTCAGCCATGGCGGCGGGGGGTTGTCAGGGAGAAGATGGAGGGGGAGGAGAGATGGGGGAAATAAAAGAGTGGAAGAGGGGAGGAGGAGGGTGAACGAAGGATTCGAGTAGCAGTGGAGATGGTGTATAGAAGAGGTGTGATACTCGTGAGAAGTGTTGAGTGTGAAGTGTGATGAAGGGCTGAGAAGAAAGGGAACTTTGAACCTGAGGAAGAGCCCCGCTGACCCCGCGGGTACCACGGCTGATCGCTGCCCTTCCCAAAGAGGCCACTCTCTCCCTCGACTACACTCCACTCATAAGTACGGAAAGCCAAAACACTTCCCGAGGGCCGCCATACTACTGGGTTTCCAGGGATCCTGTAGGTAAATGATTATACATACTAGTACTCATCGGACATTTTTCCGATATTTTTCAAGCCAAACTAGAGCTCCAGACAGAGCTTTGGGGATTTAGGGATTCCATGGAAAAACGAAGACATCTATAAGTTGCATTGATGTGTTTACAAAACCAGAGTTAGGGATATGGTACCTATGGAATTTGTGGAATAAGTTGAGCATCAACATGTACTTCATTTCACCTACAGAGTGCTATCGAGACGACGCTCCTTGCGCAGCACCCGGAGCTTCGCTCTCATTTCATCGATGCTGACCATAACTCCCTTAGCGTGGCTGGAGGGGTCGTCTCTAGCCCGGCAATTGACCGTTCTGCTTTCCATCTCCTTTTCAAGGTTGTCAGTAATCAGTTCTTTCAATCTGCGCTTCGTACAGCGAGTTCGATAGCGGAGGGGCATACCTGTTGACCCACGACGAAGATGAAGTTGGCCTGGGAAAGGGTCGCAGTGCGAATCTTCTTTTGGAGAGTGTTTCCACTGGTGTCAACTTCCACGTGAAGTTTTTCGGCAGCAAAAATCTGCTGCACCTCTTCTGCGTAAGCATTGAGCTGCGGCATCACGGGAACCACAACAATTTGCTTAGGGCTGATCCAGAACGGCCAGCGGCCAGCGAAGTGCTCGATAGTGATACCCAAAAATCGCTCAAAGCTGCCAACTAAAGAAATTATCAGTATCTCGAAACTTTACAGCCACCGCGAAGGAAATGTCACGCACCAATAGCTCTGTGAATGACCACTGGCCTGTCTCGGCCTTGGGGCAGCCAATCTTTAGTCTTGGCCTCATCATCCTTCACAGCCTCTTCGGTGTTCTTATTCTGACTTTCGTTGGTTTGATCTGTTGTGAGAAAGGTCAGAAAGCTGCACATATACTGCCGGCAGTTGGTGTTTGTGGAGAAGACACTCACAAGACAATTTGAAGTTCTGGCTAGCCTGATAGTCAAGTTGGATGGTCTGATTATCAACCGTTAGTCATCTGGCTGGTTCTGCAGGTATTTCCCGGCACATACTGCGCATTGATGGTCACGTCCTATTGCGTCGGAAATTTGTATATCGATCTTCGGCCCGTAACTTTTCAAGTGATTAACGGTCAGTTCTCGTGTCCTTGCTGCAATCGTGTAATGTTGGAATGGAATAGCTTTGTCGGGGCTTACAATGCGCCATCGCCCTCATCAATAGTCCAGTCATTACCACAGAACTCGGTCAACGCTTCTTTCAATTGCGCCTCCGCGAAATCCCACTCAGATAGTTTACCCATGTACTTCTCTGGACGAGTTGAAAGCTTGAGGGCAAATTTGAATCCGAAAAGCCCGTAGACACTGCTCAGAAACTGGAAGAGATCGGCTATTTCCCCTTTCTGTATAGATGGTATAGATGTTAAAATAATTGGAAAGATAGATTCGGAAAGGGGGATATATAATAACTTACAATTTGATCCTGGGTGCAGAAGATGTGGGTGTCGTCCTGTTGGAACTTTCTCACTCGGGTTAGCCCACTAAGCGCTCCGGAGGCTTCATTACGATGAAGAACTCCGAAATCCGCAATACTAGATTTTGGTCAACATTTGGTCAATGTATCAGCATTATTGCGGACATAACATACCGCATGGGCAATTCTCGATAGCTTCTTTCGCGATGACCGAACAGAAGAAAGTGGGCTGGGCAGTTCATAGGCTTAAGAGCCCAGTTCTTCTTCTCAACGTTAAGCTGAAACATGTCATCGGCGTAGTGCTGGAAATGACCGGATGTCTAACTTCTTTGTCAATAGCCGTGTTGACTGGGATGTGCGAAATATGGTTGAACTGACCTTCCACAGGCTGACGTCGAACATGTTGGGCGTCTGGACTTCCTGGTAGTTACGCTTGCGGTACTCCGAGCGAAGCAGCTTTTGGAGGGCATTGAAGATCTTGCATGGTCAGTATGGATAGATAGATGGAAGGGTATATCGCTCGTGACTCACCCTTGTACCAGCGGGGAGCAAGAAAGGGGATCCGGGAGAAGCCTCGTCAAAGAAGAAAAGCTCCTGCTCCTTGCCCAGTCTCAGGTGATTGCGCTTCTCTGCCTCCTCGAGGAACCTATAGAACGGTTAGTATCATTACTTTGAGATGGTCCAATAGTAACAAACTTCAAGTGATCTGCCATTCGCTTCTTGTCTGGGAAAGCAACACCTCGAATTCTCTGCAGACTGTCTTGGGACTGGTCACCGAGGAAGTAGGCGGAAGAGTTTTGCATGATCTTGAAGGTCTTGATTTTGCCTATGGAAAGGTTAGATTAGAGTTTTCTTCTTGGGTAGGGAGTCAGGAAAGCTCAAGGGCTTACCTGTGTTTTGAATGTGAGGGCCACGGCAAAGATCAACCAGATCACCGTTACGGTAGACGGTACTATACTCGCCCACCACCAGTTTTTCGATATAGTGCAACTTGACACCAAGTTAGCTCAATCCACAGCTATCACTCCAGCCCTATAGGCTGCATGGGTAGTTGACGGCAAACGTTACTTACCTTGTAGGGAGAGTAACTGAACATGCGACGCAAATCTTCCTTGGATACCTCCAGACGGTCGAAATTCTCCTTTTGCTTGAAAATCTTGGCAGCCTTTTGTTCAAGGGGCTTCCAATCGCTTTCAACGACAGCACGTCTGCTCAGATTAGGGAGATTAGCCTAGTGATACCATAATAAGTAAGGTATTCACATACCCTCCAGGCATAGCCATGTCGTAGACTAAGAATATGTTAGCACCGTCCTTTGATCCTTCAAAGTTGTAGAGCTCAACATACAGAAACCCTGGGGTGTGGGAGGGCCATGGCTCAGAAGGCAGCCGAACTGCGCTTCGCAAGACTCTCCAAGACAGTGAGCGGAAGAGTGCCAGACTATATAATATTAGACTTGAGCTTGAAAGGAATAGCAGAGCTCAACATACAAACATTCCGAGCCTCGGGGTCGGAAAATGGGACCAGGACAACGGCAGAGTCGGCCTCGAGGGGACGGTTCAGATCCCACAGCTCTCCATTGACCTTCGCGATAACAACCTCGGCAGCCACATCCTTTGGCACATCGCGCAAGAATGAGCCAGGTGTAGTTTCGAAAGCCTTTGCAGGGACCGACTTGGGGTTCCGGTCACCAATATCGAGAGAAACTTCGATCGAAGGGTGGTCCTTGGCCGCGAGGTCCTTGAGGTGCTTTTGCCACAGTTCTTCGAACAGATTGTTGCGCTCGATCGCCCAGTCGGGGAGGGGCTCGCTAGGAGGGGCTTGCTTTTTGGCGTCTTGAGGCGGGGCAGCAGCAGCAGGTTTTCCCTGAGCTTCGGCGGCAGGGCGCACGGGGAGGTCCTTGGGGGCTTCGGAAGCCATGGTGCAGACCTCTGGAAGCAATGACAGAGAAATTGACCGTAAGGAAAGGATGGGGGATCCAAGTCTGACTCGTTCTGACTCGCTTGAACGAGAAATAATAATATGACTCTATGTACCGCAAAAGCGGGCGGGCGGTGAGTCATGTGACTGTAAACTGCCCTTGCAAGCGATACCCGGAACGCTGTATGCATACGAAGTTTCCACCACCCGAAAACTTCTTCGTCCAACCCCCAATCCCGCAACAACTCAACATGTCTTTCCGTGGGCGTGGTACCGGTGCTAACCGTGGTGGCTTTGGAAGCCGAGGTGGTGGTGAGCAATTCTTCCTTGTCGCATGCGAAATTGTCGGACGGAGCAGCTAATGAAATTTTTTTTCCGTCCAGGTCGCGGAGGCTTCCAGCAGTCGTTCGGCCCCCCCCAGCTCAAGTCTTCGGTACTTTAACCCCGTCCACACGAATTCTACGACCGCGATACTGATTTTTTCTTGTTAGAGATGGGAACTGTCATGCACTCCTGTGAGGGTGAGATGGTCTGCGAGTCGATCAACCCCAAAATCCCGTATTTCAACGCCCCGATCTACCTCGAGAACAAGGTACGCCACCACCCCGGATATTCCGACCACTCAATGGTTGTCGCAATGAACTAGAGCTAACAAGTTCTTGTAATAGACCCAAATCGGCAAGGTTGACGAGGTCCTCGGACCCATCAACCAGGTCTACTTCACCATTAAGACCTCCGAGGGTATTCAAAGCGAATCCTTCAAGACTGGCGACAAGGTCTTCATTGGTGGTGACAAGCTCCTTCCTCTGGAGAAGTATGTCTTTCCCTTCCCTTAGCCCCCTTGGGCCATTACGAGAAGAAAGAAAGCTAACCATTCATATTAGGTTCCTCCCTAAGCCCAAGCCTCCTCCCGGAGCTGCTAAGCCCAAGCGTGCCGGCGGTGCTGGTCGCGGTGGCGCCCCACGTGGTCGTGGAGGCTTCGGTAGTCGTGGGGGTGCTCCCCGTGGCCGTGGTGGCTTCGGTGGTGGCCGTGGTGGTGGTTTCTCCCGTGGAGGCGGTGGTGGTTTCGGTGGTCGCGGCGGCGGTGGTCGTGGTGGCGGTTTCTCTCGCGGCGGTGGTGGCCGTGGTGGTGGCCGTGGCCGTGGTTGGTGAAGATACTACTCACCGATTGTATTGTCTTCTTTCGGCGTTTGGGGGATCTGGGAGCTTTTGCAGGAACATTTCCTTTACTTCTTGTGCATCCTGACACAACTGCTTGTTTCCGTGACTGCAGGGACTGTAGAATATATCCAGTCACAAAAAGACGATCTGATTGCTCTTGTTTCGAATGTTCAATGGATGCTTTACAGTATACACATACTTGATATCAACTTGTAGCGATACTCGTACATAATTTGACTCTACCAAAGGGGAATGCCAAGCCATATGTGGCTGGTGTATTGTGTGCACAGCCCCGTGTGGCACACCGCCAGCCCCGGGCTATCGCACATCGGGAATGACGTTGACCGCTCTGCGGAACCGCGTGCCCGTCAACACTTTCAAGCAGGATTAATTGCCCATTCCTCCTCCCGCAGTCCCCTCTCTAACCCCCTTTCGATCCGACAGCACTTTCAATCTTTTTTCCCTTGAGCATGTCTCGCAGAACCTCGACCATGGCGTCGAATAGTTCCAACGTCCCGTCCTCCGGCGACGGAGGTCAGTTTACGATCATCTTTCAACCCCACGGAGACATGTGAAACTCACACCGCGCAGGTCAAGAAAAGCAGAAAATGCTTCTTTCTTCAGACCATGGACACTTCAGCTTGGTCAAGTCAGTCCCCGGAGATTTTCCTCGCCGTCGAGTCCTGCCAGGCTCCCGCTAACCTTGCATCAGGGCTCTCCATCTTGCCGATTTGGTCACTGAGCTCAATGGTAAGCCTTGCCTCAAACTATATACAATACTCGAAAGCTTCTAGATACTGATATTGTATTCTTCACAGGGTTCTGCGGAGGCAAGTCCGGTTTTTCTACCAAACTCAACAATCTTCGGCTAACCGTTGGGAACAGTTATGTCCGTTTTCTCTTCCATGCGCTACTGTCTCGGTGACGCCTCAGACTACGGTGCGCTGTGGGCTGCTCTGGCATTCATGCCATTCGGTCTATTCTTCGACTTCATGGACGGAAAGATTGCCCGGTGGCGCAAGAAGTCCTCGCTGATGGGACAGGAACTCGACTCGCTCGCGGATCTGGTAGGTTAAACTTTTACCCTTCCCCTGACGCTATTAACCGGCCGCTAACCATATCTCGTATCTGGTCAGGTTTCATTCGGCCTCGCCCCCGCTGCTGCTGCCTTCGCGCTCGGTATCCGCACCTCTGTCGATCACGTTCTCCTCACTTTCTTCGTTCTCTGCGGCCTTACCCGCCTGGCTCGATTCAACGTCACGGTCGCTGTTCTCCCGAAGGATAAGAGCGGAAAGTCCAAATACTTCGAGGGCACCCCTATCCCGACTACTCTGGGTATTGTCGGTTTGATGGCTTACTGGGTCTCCGAAAGCTGGACCCACGAGAACATTCCGCTCGGTCTGGTTGCCGAGGGCACGATCTTTGAGTTCCACCCGGTCGCTCTGATGTTTGTCTTGCACGGCTGCTTGATGGTCAGCAAGACGATACACATTCCTAAGCCTTAAGCTTGAGGTGACAAAACAAGATCTGGTCAGGTAATTCATTTGGGAGTAATTGCCTGAAGGTTGTCCCTTTTTTTTGGACAAGTGGGCATGAAAATAAACGAGAGAAACTCTACTGTTTATAAGCAAGCCTGGACACGATCTCAATATACTTAATTGTGGATGATCTCGGGTCTAGTTGAATAGATGATAGCAGCCCTGTGCAGGGTCGTCATGATTCTCTACTCAACATAGAGTAAATGTCTTCATCTTCAACGATGTGAAAAAGCCGCTCTTCAATAGAGCATAAATAGAACGAATATGAATGTCTTCGATTACAGTGAATTGGTTTTTCGTCGACCCATGGTCATAGGGTCCGGTTCCAGCCGAAATGGAATCAACACTCAACATGGCCAAGGTACCATAGAGAGCCATATGTGCGCGCAATGTTGACGAAACATCAAGGCTTGTCGCATATTTCTTCCTGCAGAACAAGTCATGTCCCCAAAGCGTGCTTCATGACGTTGAATTCGAGTTGCCAAGTAAAGCTGATATATCCAAGTAGCTGATTAGCATATCGACAAGCCTTGCAACTACTCCTATCTCCTTCGTTTACTGCATATACAACTCAAACCCGAGTCAATCAGAAGACAATAAAAAGATAAATATCTTGATAGGTTCCAAAAATATGACTTTTGCCGTGACCTGTCGAGTTTGCGGCCACGACGGCATATACAAACGAGTCCACGTCGACAATCCCAACTGAAACGGAGGAAGACCTTATTACCAATGCGAGAGGTGCTATACGTTCTTGACATTCTGCGAGGATCGAGGAATGGACCTGAGCAACCCATTCTGTGAGTGCAGAGAGCCAAGTAGACGTCGAATCAATGGCTATGATCATCCTGTACCTCGTGGCATACATTATGTTTGCAACGAGGGAAACTGTTTTTTTTCTATATGGAGGAGCGAAATTCGCATGGGGAGCAGATCCAAGTTCCGAAGGATTTTGTGGGGAAATTCGCACGCAACTCTTATATTTGATAATTCTAGTACTGTGTTGCTGCTTGGAACTTGAAAGGTTCAATCTTGCTTCAATTTATATTTTGGCCTTGATGGTTTGTCAAACAGGAGTGTGCCCAGGTGCGCGAGAAGTAACGCTGGATGAGGCTCCGAGTCTTTTCATGTTCAGTATTGAGTATAGGTATATAATCTACGAGGCGTCATTGGAATCGCCAAAGCCTTGTTATGGGTTTTAATTGAGAAAAGCGAATGAAAAGTTGAGTTTGTTGGCCCAAATCTCAACAAGCTTACTTTAGCGACACTTTCGCAGTCGAAGACGCAACGATCTCGATTTTACATGCTTTCTTTTTTTCATTGAAGCCAGTTTCCAAGTAAAACTACTCGTACACCGAAAACCACCTGTCCCGGTTGCCCAGCCAAATGCACAAGCCAAAAGCCGACGTTGCATTCTCAGGGGCGAATTGAAATGAAACACTGCACTCCGTAGGCAGCCATTGATTCGAGCATTCAACCAATTTTATGGAGTGGGTCGGTTCGAGCTGTCATTTCTTAGCTGCAGAGCACCATGGGGAGGTCTCCTTAGGGTCTCTACTCCGTACTCATTTGGTGCCTCAGGGTTCTCGGTATGTACAGGGCTCCAGATGTTGCCCACACGACACAATCAGGTAGTTACATAACCCGTAGCTGGCTGATTAATGGCCGTTCATGCAAGCGAGGCCACAGGTAAGTTCTAGACCACCGATCCCTACCAAGCAAAGTTGAGAGCCCACACCTCCCAATCCACAGACCGAGTCGAGGACCAACAGCGGAGAATACATACGCTATTACAGAGTACATACACAGAACGAGTTGAAATTTTACTCTTCTGCGTTAATCAATTTTGATCCTGGCGGCGCAAGGGGCTAGATGCACCCAAGATTTCCTTCTGGCAGGAAGTGGGGGGGTTCCGACCGCTCTAGCGGACGCCACGACTCCATAAATAAAAGGTGGTGAGTCAATTTGCCGGATTGGACAGGTCTGGACGGGGTCTCACGCAACTTTGCTTTTCATTTGAGATGAACTGTTTGTCTATGCGGCGGGGTGGTTCATCCGGTGGGGTGGATTGGTTATGTACCTTACGGTATGCTTGAGATCCTTGCCTGATTAAAAGGGAACAGGTGTGAAAGTGCTCATTCTGTATGGATTTCTGAGATGACTTGTACACATTATGTGAAAATAATTTGAATTGAAAAAGATACGTAGTAACCAAGTACTACTGGAGGCTGAAGTTGGGAGATCTTCCGTAGCCGATCCTGGGGTCACTCCGAGTCTCGATAGCAATCCTTAGGCTCACCATTTTTTGGGTACATTGGCGATTCATAACTAGATAAATTTTGTCTCACAAATTATGGTGATATTTTTGGGGTTCGCGGGTGAACTCGTGGATGGTGGTAGTAGTAGCATTCAAGCTGTGGTCTGTGGACATTGATGGTCTAGTATTCAGACTCGTCGTCCATGTGCTTCAGAATATTACTACGAGGTACTACGAGGTACTACGAGTAAATAATATATATATCGACCACTACCACGGTTGAAATAATACTTCGGTACTAGCAACAACTGCCGAAGTGCGACACTGCACAGGCAGTGTTCACCTCCAAACTCGGGTATCTTAGTTATATATTAATTAAGAATAAACAGCTAGAAATAAATGTTATTTGAGCTCATCTTTGCGCTAAATTGGACGACGACGCAGGCTGTAAAAGTGGACTTGAAAGACAGCTCATCGCTCTGAGAGGATTGCGGTTGGGCAAGCAGGTGTGGGCTGAACATCCACTATGATGATCAGGCACTCAAAGACCCCTTTCTACTCTGTTCTCTGTAGTGGTCTTTGATTCTATCAATTGAGAATTTCTAGTCCTAAATCCGCACATCCACATGTCTAGCGACAAGCACGCGATGTGCGGGTAGACCGGATGATTTGAGTGCATTTGATGTATGGATGTATGGATGTAATATACATACGGTACGGTTACGGGAAAGGAAGCGAATCCTTGGGTGTCTGGTCCACCGCCGGGAGTGTCCGTTGGGAATCCGTGGTAATGCCCGTGCAAAAAAAAAGGGGTTGCACACAGTCGAAATTCGAATGCACTCGGAGTGGTGGGTATTCCCAAGGGTTTGAAGATAATATCATCTTCAACGAAGTATGTAGGTGTAGATACTATGGCTGTCCCCAAGCAAGACTAAGACTAGACGAGGGCTACTGTGGGCTTAATCCCTAGCGCTGGCGGCATCAGTCGGGAAAATGGGCTCCATGCGCTAACGGGTTTCATTTCCCTTGCAAGCATACGGAGTCAGTAACCGTTCGTATTTGTCTAGGAGGGGAGGATACTCCGTACATGCCAAGGGCTAGGTCAAATAGGAAGCCGCTTGACCACTGTTGTATAGAATTGAGATGCCCTACTTAATCCGAATTGGTGTCGGTTAGGGCATCACCGGCTTCGGAGGGGTTTCATATTCATGTGGCAAGTGATGATCGCATGAAGATAATAATCAGAAAGGGCCCCGGAGGCGCCACAGTCACAGCCGGCCTCTGAAGGGCCACAGGGGGAAAGGCAGGGCCTCCAGAGTGGCACCAGTCAGGCCGTGTCTGGTCGAAAGGGAAAACGATCGCTGCGGGCCCAGGGTCGTACCTGATGAGGTCAGCGTAAACAAGAGATTTGATTGGCGTGGATGGAGTCGATGTGGGGTGGTTTGATTACCGCCAGGAACACAGCACACACAAACAACGGGAGGAAGAGGAAGACGAAGAGGAAGAAGGAACTGCAGGGGAAGGACTGTATGAGTATTGATACAGAGTACAAGTACCTAGGACTACTGTACAGTGGTGTCTGTAGTACAGCTAATGCCAAGAATGTACTGGTACCTCCTCCAGTTGGTAAATTAGTACGGGGCAATAAGTACCCTAACTTCTCCGGTGCTCTGGCTCTGGGGAACGGACCCCTATTACATATGTGTACAATAGTGTCCATAGGGTACGGAGTACAGAGTATACAGTTGTATGAGTATTACCGAGTGTCAACGGATGAACGCGAGAGACGAGCGGAGGCGCCCCATCAGACTACTCCCCCTTTCGTTCTGAAGACTCCCTCTCCTTCCCTTCGACATTATCCCACACTCCCCTCCCTCAACAACAACACCCTCACGCTCTTTACTTCGAGGGACCCTCCTTTCACCCCAGTTCTAAACTCGACCGCTTGCTTTCGCCCACTCGCCAATCCTATTCCGCCTTTGACGCTTCTCACAAAGCCGATTAGGGGGCAAGCGCTGTGAAACCGGTCCCTCGTCCACTTGATTCGTTTCACCTGGGGATCGTCTAAACCCCCATTTCTCTCGCTGTTTCCCTCCCAATTTTCGCTCCTTCATATCGATCGATCGATTGTCCCTTCGCTCGTCTTCCGCGACTTCGATATCCCAGGAGCCGAGCTTCTCCTTCCACGAAGGCCCTGGTTGATTCCACCGTGACTTTGCTCGAGGTCTCTGCGCCGACTCGAGTGCCGGAGATTCTCAAGTGACGACCTTTATTACTTTTTAGTCGTCCTTTCTTTCCCTCCATCGAGAAGTTCCTAAGGGTTACGCAGGTCGTTCCTGGTTCTTCATTCCATCCGCTCCGACTGTGTCTGACGCGGTACTACCTTTCCATCTTCATTTTCTTTCGTGATCTAGATCTCTCCTACCTCTCGTCGTCATCATGCGCTTCACCACGAAATCTGTCCTGAGCCTCCTGTTGGTGGCCGGCTCCGCCTCGGCCAAGTCTTTCCATCATATGGCCATTCACAAACGGTCTAGTGGCACCTTTGTCGGTTGCTTTAGCAGCGCGGGGAGTCTCGGCGGTTCGACAACATACACGTACCAAAGTACTGGATGGTGCTCGGATCACTGCACTAGCAAGAGCGCCTCATATTTTGCCACGACGAATGGAAAGGACTGCCTGTGTGGTAGCTCCGCGCCTGACTCTTCAGACAAAGTCGACACCAGCAAGTGCGATACCCAGTGCGCAGGTTACCCGGAGAACAAGTGTATGTTGTTGATGTTGATGTGAAACCCCCATGATGATTCGATTTGCTTTACTAATCCAATAATTACAACTCTTAGGCGGCGGTGACGGCTTCTATTCCGTATACAGCTTTGATACTGGCAATGATGATGGCTCATCAACTTCGGCTACCACTACTACTGGCGACTCTTCCCCAACTAAGACTGATGCCGCAGTGGAGTCAGTCTCGACAAACGCCGGAGGCCATACCGTTATTATAACTACAACCCCCACGAGCGCCGCATCGAGCGATGACAGCGGTTCTAAGGGTGGTGGCACCAACACGGCTGCGATCGCTGCTGGTGTAGTCGTTGGTGTAGTTGGTGTCGCTGCTCTGGCCGGTGGTGGATTTTTCTTCTACCGCTCCCGCAAGCAAAAGGCCGAGGGTGGTGCTGGAGCCGGCTTCTCCGGTAGTACTCACCAGCAGATGTCGGACTCGCGATTCGATGGATCTTATATGGCCGAGCGCCGCCAAAGCAATGGCAGCATCGACGACGACCATGATTTCTCCCGCCGGATTTTGCAGGTCACCAACCCTGATCATCGCTAAGGCATACGACGACCACCATTCATCCTCTCCACTTCATTCCGCCCGCTGCATTGCGCGTTGTCAACGCCCTTTCCCTCTCATCCGATATCCCACCCTATGAGAGATCTGTTTTTATTCTTTTTCTTCTCTTGTCATATTTTCCTCGGGTTATTTTTAGCGGAGTTATGATATCCGAAAGGCATACGGCTCGACCCGATTCGGTGTCCATACTTGGTGAATTTAGTTTGAATCTGTTTCTACTCTGACCGTGCCTTCGCGCGGATGACGTGCATTTACATGAAGCCCCGCCTGAAGTCCGCGCCAGCCTGCGAGTTCGACTTGATAAAAGGGACAGTACCCACCCCAAGCAACTCAATCGGGTCGATCACATCGAAAGGCCATGCATCCCATGTGCCGAGCTGTGGCATACCGTCTTTATGGACTTTGAGGATTAGGCGGTATTCTAGTGTCCGAAAAGGCGTTTCTTTCTATTTTCTTTCTCGGCTCTATCGATGCTTGCTAGAGCAGACTTGTCTCATTCCCACGATTTCCTTTTTCCACCCTCAATTCTTTTTCTTCAGCCTTCCATTCGACCGGTCTGAACAGTATGTTCAGGTGTATTCCCGAATTGCTTTCTTTTTCCCCTTGGTGCCGTGGAATGGTACTGTAAGTAGGAAAGATGAGTTAGCCTGTATTTAATGCGAGAATGGATATGCGCGCATCAACACACGTCACATTGTAGTAGGCCAGCTCAGGCTCAAGAGTGTTTACTTACCAGGAGAATGGGGTTGGATCGTTGGAGGTAGAGACTACCTTCGTGACCTCTGCCCAAATTTTAGGTCGGACGATCCATGTGCTTTCCAGGAGCGTTTGGTGTCTGATTGCTGGTTGTGAGTGCGATTTTTCTTTTCTTCAAGATCGCTAGATCTGGTGCATTGAGACCTACCTGTGATACCCAGGAACTAATGGTATACCAGGCCATGAAACAAGCGGTTAAGGGTACTGGTAAGACGAATAACGCAGGGAGTTCTCTACATGAAGGTGGAATGTGGGAACCTTCGGATTGCTAGAAAAGCAGTGCCATACCTTTAATGTCTCTAGGTACGTTTAGAAACGATCTTTAGTCTATAGAGAGATTGATTTGGCACTCACTGGTCATGGGATTCTTTGAAGGTGATGCCATTTGAATCCATCCTATCTAGCCGAGCTTGAGGTCTCAACTCTCAGTTGGGCAAAGTATTATTCCAAATACTCCTAACTAGAACACCCTCCGCCCATTCTCCGTTTGTCCAGTCTTTCTTGACTGTAAATTGGACATTCTTGCTTTCCCCGGGCCAGCCAGAATCCATTGTCCGAGAAATAGCCCTGCACTCCGAGTGGATGATCCAACCACACCCACGCAGCCACTCCGCCCTTCGCTTCAACACGGAAGTTATGGGCCCCGGCAAAATGAGAGACTCGAATTTTCGGATCTTGAATCTTCGCCTTTCCCAGGGACTCTGGATGGAAGAAAGATATATGCTCATATGTCTTCTTTTGGGACTCATTGGGCGTGACACCATCACCAGAGATATCCACGCGAAGGAGGGAATTTGAAAAATCAAGATCAATGTAGTCTCTCAGAAGATTCGTCTTGAATACACGGGTCGAGTTGATGGCTCCAACAGTGAACGGAATCGTCTTGGAGATAGGCTTGTTCGACCCAGAGAGTGGTTTCCCACTCCAATCCATCCAGCTCAGTTTGGCCGTTCCACTAACTGGAGACCAAAGATCAGACATGACCCAGGCTTCCAAATCACCCGTGGTCGAGTTATAGAAAGAATGCCCGATGACGGGCTGGAAGATGTCCTTTGCACGATAAAAGAGAACCTTCCAGCGACCGTCAGGTTCGATGCTGGACCATGTAGGTGCAGCCCTGAATACTTAAAACATTAGTGGCCGATCGCCATCCGGGGGCTTGAAAATAGGAGCTTCTATTACCAAAGATCTTCCAATTGCCAATACAGCGACCCGAGATTTCGCTGTGGCATCCCGGAACCCCGTCTGTAGAAGGCCAATTCGGAGGTGTAGTAGTCGGCTTGAAAGACCTGAGTTGTCCAGCACCACGCACTATGAAATTATTAAGAATGAACGCTCTATATTCAAGGCCGTAAACTTGCCTGAAGTTCGCTACACTGTTCTGTATATCTGGGACTGGATACCAATTTTGTACTGCAGCGGTCATCTCTTCGAGCCCTAGAACCGAAAGTTCTCGATCAGTAGCATTGGCAGGTCCTCCAAAGGGGTAATGGCGATTGTGATGAATCACCATGTCCGAGGACATAAAAAGCTGGTCATACGGTATGGCTTGCTTCCAAGAATAAACCGAGGGCATGGAGATGAATCCGAATTCAGTAGCAAATCGACCAATTGGATACGAGCTAAGATTGAAGGCTTGGCTCGCATCATAGTTATATGTGTCTATGTGTTATTGGTAAATGCAAGAACTCTAACGTTAGATTGAATGAAGAGCTTACCTGTATCTGCGTAGATATAGCCTGGTCCAGATGTATTGTGATACCGTGGAAGCTGAGGCATCGTAGAGCTAAAGTTCAAACTCAAGAATCCGTTGTATGTACTTTTGTCTCATTCTGTTAAAAGGGAAAAGAAAAAGAGAAAGAAACGATAAGTAGATACTCACGACGATGGAATATAGCCGATTGATTTTGTATTCGAGTAAACAGCCCCAATTAGCAATTCTAGAAAGATATGCTCGTATTCGCGGAGAAGGGTCCCAGGACTTTCGGGATCAAAGAAATAGCTCAGCATGATCTGCTCTAGCTCGTTGCCGCCGACCCATAGGGCAAGACTTGGATGGTGGTTGACGCGACGCTGTTTCATCCTCAGTTACCAAATAATTGGAAGAAGGGGAAATGGCTTCATACAACTTGATAAGTGGCCTCTTCTTCATATTGAGCCAGGTAGCTGGAATTGGCAGGGTATTCGGCATCGGAGAATTCTTGAGCGTATTAATGCTTGAATTGGGAGCCATGTTTAGGTGTCTTACCAAACTCAGACCACAAAAAGATGCCCATCTCATCTGCAATGTCATAGATCCAGCTAGGAAGATAGGCACCAGATGACCATACTCGAAGCATATTTTGATTCTTATATCTGGTTAGCTTATTGAAAACAAATGATCAACCAGAGTTGGATTCTTACCCCGACAACAACGGCCTCGAATAGACTGAAAAGGGATATAAGCATAATTACCGTCCAGCTGGAGTAATCAGACATACTTTCGTATCTTAGTTTCGTTCACTCTTGGCCAGAAGACATCAGGCGGAACAAGATTTGAGCCCTTAGCATAAAATTCATGGCCATTCACCTCGAAGTGGAAGTTCGAGCCAGGCGCAATACCCTGAGCCTGTTGTTCTTCTGTCACTGGTAACAGATTCAGAACCACGGTCCGGAATCCAACTCTGCGATTAATTTCTGAAATGGTTTTCTCGCCATGAAGAATCTTGATAGTGGCCTTGTAGAGCGGTTGTGACCCCAATCCTATCGGCCACCAAAGGTCAACCAACTTGGGGTCAATAGTGATACTCCCCTCTATCGTGTTCGTAGATTGATAGGTATTTTCCAAGGGCCGATCCAATATGAATTTCCCGCGAGCATCATCTAAGAAGACATGCAGTGAAGATTCTCGAGGCAAGGTGCCTAGATAATCAAGGCTCACATTGAAGATCCATGGCTGGGACTGATCCGGTGGGATATTATTCATCTGACCCTTTCGAAAGATATCAATCAAGGCGTTTCGAACATATACAGGTGAAGCGGAATCCAGCTGTACGACCCGTGCCGGCTGCCAGATCCCAGCAGGTGCTATCTTTGGAGCCCAATCCCAGCCAAAGTCAGACTGCTCCTTACGCATGTATTCTTTGCAGCAGAATTCTTCGGTTGGGGCGCCATCGGCGCTATTCAGGAGAGCTGTTTCTTTCTTTTAGAAATTTAGAAATGTATAAGGGAGATCGGGACATACGGTCGCCATTTTCTGCTATCTCTTTTACGATCTTGGTAGCGGACCCGAAGTTGAGACTCAATTTGGGCTCATCCTTGCATGACCGAGCTATATCGGTTACATCGAAGTACCATTGACGGAACTGGTTGTCCGTATTTCCAATAAATTGATTACAAAATTCGATAGAGGCAAAGGTGTCAAGGCCATCAAAAATAAGCCACGTTGAAAAATCCTCGGTTTGGCCCCTAGATAAGGTGAATGAGTAATGAACTATCGTTCCTCGAAAAATGATGGTAACACACAGGTTGGAGATCACGGTCGAGTAAGTCCAGTTAGATCTCTGGACCCAGAGCAGCTCGGTATCATTTTCTCCATATAGTGGATCCCCAATCACGCCCGCTGCAAAGAGATCCAGGTGTGCCTGGGATGGTGCGGAGCCAGGGACTGTGATGTTTGGACCTGTCAAGGTCCAGTTTTTGTTCCCTAGATCGATGACATTCTGGGAAACAGCAGCTCTTGCCAAAAGTAATATATAAGATAATGTCTTCATGCCGACTCAAACTCGAAGATTGAAGCTTTCCAAGTGCCAGCGCCCATATTTGCGTGTCGAGTATTTTTATGTCCATCTTTTGGTTCATTGAGGGGGTGAAATCGCATTGACTTTGGGGTAGTATTCCATCGGACATTTAAAGGCGATATTGAAACTAACTAAACCTCTCTGAGCTTGGGTCAGACTGCTCGAGATGATCATTTCCTAAAAAAAGGCTAGGGAATCGCACCTGGAGGTCTCCATACCGACTGTTCATTGCACCTACTGCGTACTACTACCTGTATGAGTCAAGAATCTACGCTGCGGCCCAGAGCTCTATTTGAAGACACCATGGATGCAGACTCGCATACAAGTATTTGTCTCGGGAATTTTGTGCACATCCTTATCAAACTTGAAACTGACCTATGATATTGGTGACTGATATATATGGTATTTATGTATATTTTGAAATTTGTACCGAATATTCGAGATCTCGTTAAAACTACCCGAATATGCCCCATGTGAAATAAATTCAATATTCTCCATATCTTGAAGCAAACAAAGTGCCCAGGTTAGCAAAGTTGACATTCTTAAGTCCGTTCCGACTTGGGACTACCCCGCGTGGAGACTCGGTCTTTGTTTCGCCGAAGGATCACGACGGACGGGGCCCCAGTCTGGGGCAAAAGCTTGAGTGGCCATGGCGCTGATGTCAGTGCGCTCGGCCTGGACACCGATTTTGACCCCTTGTCTTGATTTATCTTTCATGATTGAACATGCCTCTAGGTGAGGTCTATTCTGTTTATCTCTGAAAAGTGTGCTTCCGTACTTGGCCTTGCTCATTCACCCATGAACAAAGAATAAGTAGTTGAACCCCTGGGCAAATAATTGTACTCGTCAGATCCGACTCAAATTTCAACAATCAAGTTCCACATTGAGTGATTGATTTTCAACGATGAGGCCGATCTTTGCCAAACTGTAACCTTCCAGGAATGTAACGATGTTCCTGCCGATCTCCATGGACAGATAAATACACATGTACCCCTTCCCGTTGCCAACATGAATCAATCTGCAGTAAATTAAAGCATTGTTTTTTTTTCTTCACTGAGGATTCCCAATATGGTTGGCGTGTCCCATATTTTGCTGGCCCTAGCGGCGGTCACCAGTGCTGCCCCTTCAGCTTCATCCGGGAGTACCTGCAAGAAGGTTCAGCATGACTTCCCCAAGGGCACGAACAAAAATGACCCTCGTGCCGAAGCTGTAAAGCAGGCGTATGCACGCGAGTGGCACGAATACTCCAAATATGCATTCCCGAATGATGAACTTCTACCCCTGACCCACAACTATACCGATGATCTCTTTGGGTGGGGTGCTAGCGTTGTTGATGGAATCGACACTGCGATCATCATGGGTCTCACGGATGTCGTGGAGCAACAGCTGAAGCATATCGCCTCAGTCGACTTCACGTAGGTTAAAAACCGGCAGTAATCGATCACACATCCTTATTCTAACTGTTTCTTAGGAAGTCTCCTGATATCGTGAACTTCTTCGACATCAATATTCGTTACCTCGGCGGGTAAGACTCACTCCCTCTTACATTGGATCAGAAACTAAATCTTCATAGCCTTCTGAGCGCTTATGACTTGATCAAAAGCGGCCGTTTTCCCAATCCCTACGATGAAAAGCTTGTTGAGGCCTTGCTATCGCAGGCCAAGTCCCTGGCTACCGCCATCAGCCCGGTATTTGACACTGCCTCTGGCCTGCCTGCATCTACCATGAACCTTTCGACCGGCGAAATTATGAAGAGCACGACAGCTGTCAATGGTACTAAGTACAACAGTACGAATACTGCACAAGCTGGAACTATGATTCTAGAGTACTACAGGCTGTCTGATCTGACTGGAGATGAATCATTCCGTAAAAATGTATGGCTCAAGTATGCCCGGGAGATGACAAGACCAAATCAGATGCTGACACTTAGAATATCATAGGCTCAAAAAGCCGAAAAGTACCTGATTAACCCTCAGCCTGCGCCGGCTTTCCCCGGTCTGGTGGGAACTGAGCTAAACACTGAAACGGGCAAATTTATCACTCTCGATGGTGGCTGGGAAGCTGGTGTCGACAGTTTCATTGAGGTGAGCAATATCTCAAACCAGGTCCTGACATTGACTAACTTCTTTAAGTACCTCATCAAAACCTACATCTACGACCCAGAAGATGATATGGTTGAGCAGTTGAAAGACTTCTGGATTTTGACCGTCGAGTCAAGCAAAGAAAATATCGCGCTCAGTCCTTATAAAAGACCGGAACTCACTTTCCTATCGCAGCTTGACGAGAACGGCACCATCATGTGGTCAATGGATGATTATGTTAGTCAACCGTTTTCAGCCAAGAAGAGTACTCTGTTCTAAACAATTTTCTTAGGCATGCTTTGCCGGTGGCAATCTTTTGCTCGGTGGAGCTTATCTTGATCGACCAGATATCTCAGAGTTGGGCGTGAAAGTGACTGACAGCTGCCATTGGCTATATAACACGACAGTCACTGGCCTTGGACCATCAAGTATGCACTGAAAGAGTTTATTCGCTTCGTTTCTTTCTCGAATCAGGCTAATGACTTTTAGCAATCGCCTGGTACAACGAGCACAACAGAGCATACGACAAGAGTTACAACAAGAACGCCACCCTTCGCTCATACGCTGCCAAATACGGATATTTCATTGAAGACCCATCATATCGCTCGTACCCAGAGCCGCTCGAGAGTATCTGGTATGCCTATCGTATCACCGGCGACACACGCTGGCAGGACTACAACTGGGAGATTTTCCAAGCGTTGAACACCACTCGCTCGAAATCAGTCCCTTACGCTGAAATCACTGATGTCAATGCTCCGTATGGTGGGGATCTGGTCAACTATGTTTCCAGCTTCTACTTTGCCGAAGTCCTCAAATATCTCTACCTCACATTCACCGAGCCAGATGTCGTTAGCCTGGACGACTTCGTGTTCAACACTGAGTGCCACCCCGTGCTGAAGAAGAAGGCTTGCTAGTCTCCTCATCTTAAATTCGGCGTTGGAATGGAGTGCGCGGTACTTCCTAGTAGTCAGAGTGAAGAATATATGAAGCATGACTTCAACCTTGGAAGTTTGTCAGGATATAGTTCTGAATTAAGGAAAACGGCAATAGAAATCTCTATGCAGGTGAATTGAGATCAATGCGATGAGACTCCAGCTTAAAGCCACATGGCCAAATCTTGGAACATTACCTAGGCAAGCTCGGAATTGTTTGACTATTCTACTAGTAGGTCATTCCAGCAGCGAGTAGTAGACATTTCAAAAATAATTTTCAAAAAACCTTCATAGTTTCGACTGAAAAGACGACAACATTCAAAATACAGTAGAATTCAACCATAAGAGAGCCAACATCAATCATCCTCGTTCTCATTAAATCTGTCTTATTCTTCTCATAGCATTCAAATCGGGACTTTAGAGTCTCCAGTACAGTGAGTATCCGAGATAGGCACCCCAGCCTAAGGTAGCCAAGCACATGGCAATGAACCGCATGGTTTACACAACTATAGATTATCACACTCTCTATCCTACACTCAAGCTGGGGTTCGCGACGAACCCCGAAAGGCAAAGAGCATTTCATCCCCTCACCTTGAAATGACATCAGGCATCAGGACCGGTAACATCCAGTATCCCATCGGGACTTCTGTCAACTCAAGAAAAAAAGCCTCTGAGGTCATCCAAGACCACGCAGGAGCACCATTTTCCCTAGCGCGAAGTGCTCCAACCATGATCGACCTTCGATCCAACAGCGGTTATAGGGCCTAATCTTGAAATCCAGACCACATAGCCAGAATGGTATGGGGATCTCCAGACTGACGTGCAGATGAGGTAGAAACATAACCACAACCACAGTATGCACGTGTACGAGGCGGTGATCGTCGCTCCAAAGTGGTTTAGAGGCGCGAACCATCCGAAGACGCAGATCAAATGAAGGGCTTCGAAGGGGATACCTGCACTATAGGTACACAATGAGTACATCTCAGTTACTACTGTAGGCTACCGTACTAAGCTACCGTCGGTGCCTGAACGAAGAGCGGGAGATGGAAGTACTAGTACAAGCAGTATGCTGGCTCGGCCAATTCCCGACTAGGACCGATCTTTACTCCGTACTCCGTATCCGTACATGACATCGGATTTTGACGGCGGAAGCGGAAATTGTCATGAAAGTCCTTTTTACAAAAACTAAAAGTGTCGGTCTTTGCGGGGGCGCTTCGGGCTTAAGCAGGCCGCCGCCTTGGTGTTGGCGTTGGCGTTTGTAGGTTGACAAATCCACCCACATCTCGCAGCACGACTCGTCGACATTCTGCAGCACCACTGCAGTATTTCTGCAAGGCCGCTCTATGTACCTAAATTCTCCCACTGGTTTGTGGAACATATCGTCTCTGCGAATAATAGCTGTTCCTCGAACCAACAGCGCCAACGACGATGACTTGGACCTTCTGGCCCAGCGTCAGGGACATGATGTCATCGCGCATATGGCGATTGCTGGCCTGGGATTGAGATTCTTTTTCTATAGGCCCTGGAGGTGCATTGCGTCAAGGGCTTGAGCTAGATTTTACTTCTTGCATCTATCGAGCGCTGTTTGCTGCGGCTAGGTCATTGGTTGGGAGTACGAGCAGTGCATGATTGGTTGACTGTGGATATGTTGGTTTTGCTGGTCATGCAACGCAATCGGATTTCGGGTCGCGCTTTGGTTTGGCAATACAAGGACGAAACCTGGAGAGAAAGACCTCAAATGGTGCTAATTAGGGACTTATATCGGATTTGGGATTTGCCCCTTCATGAAGTGGAGAGCTTGGGCCTCATTCGAATATCGTTGTTACGGTGAAGAATTACCTTTGTTCTATTTTTCTTTTCACTGCTCTTACCGTTCAAGACCCATCCCTCTCTTGATTCTATCGCTGTACGTCAAAGGTGCAATCGTGTAAGATCAAGGTTCCTAGACCGCCAAGTCGTA